GGCTCACATTACAATCATCCTCTCGGCCGCAGCCGTGGGCTTTGTGGTGGGCTGCACGTTGCGCGCCATCCCTTATACGGCCGGGTGGTTCTACGCAGAGATACTGGCACAAAACATATCGGCTGTTGCGGCGGCTGTAGGCACTCTCCTGTGGACTTGGAGGGATTGGACGTCGCCCACGAGATCGAGCAAGCATTCTGACAGTGATGAATCCGACAAGCCTCAAATCGTCGCACAATGCCGGCTCGAGGCAGAGTCTGGCACCAATGACCGGGTTACAGCTTCACATATCAAAGGCTTGAAAGGCACTGCCCTACCACAGAGTGAAGGTGCGTTTGTCTTCCGCGAAGTATCGCGGCATCTCCGCAGTAGCCTGCAAGAGCCCAATGCCTTCTCGCGATCCGCCCCCTGGTCCGGGCAGCTGTTCCAGACGGCACTGAACATGTGGGAGGCTCGAAACATCAGTGTCTTCCTATGCAGTCGTCAGCAGTTTGTACGCTCCGGCCTGTCGCACGTCTCATCCGTCAGTGCGCCGATGGGGGAGTCGTTGATCATCAATATCGGCGTACTGGGAGAAACGGAACTGCAAAATGCATCGTGGCAGCCGCTTCTGGCGCAGATTGTGACGGAATCGGTCCTCTATCATGTTGCACGCACGGGACATGGGCTGTCACATTCCAAAGCTGTGCAAGCCGAGCATTTCCTCCAGAACACACAATCCCTTTCGAAACGACTGGAGTTTGAGCTGTCCAATGTGGACGACGCGGCTCTGGACCGACTCATTGGCAGAACCAATGTGGAAATGATGAAGCACCTGTGCCTCGACGTGCCGGTCGAGTCGCAATGGGAAATGCTGCCGGAATCTGTACGCCAAGCGATAGTTGAGCGCATCAATGGACAGCGCGTCAACATTACCAGGGACCTGCTTGCTTGGCTTGCCCGGAGCGGCACGGATCTGACTACATGCGACTTTCACGTCTCGTTGGCCCTGGCAATATCGCAGAAGGTTGGGCAAACAGCAGGGTCCGTTGTGCCATTCTGTGGCAACCAGTCAACCTCCACGGCGGCACTGAAGCCCGTCAGAATGCCGGACAGCATGTCATCGCCATCCACAGCACTGACGGAGTGGCTGCGATTGCCAGTCAGAATCGTCGTGGCATGGGTGAAATGGGTCGCCATCATCACGGGCGCGGGAAACGACATTGAGCGCGAGCTTTGGTACTGCTCGAAAGATTGGTATCTTCAACGGTTCATCCTGGTTGTTACGCTATCCTTGTGGAAGTTTTGCTGGCACGCAAAGAACCTCTGGATCTACGTAATGCTGGTACATCAGCGGGTCGAGGTGGCCAGTATGGCAAGGCTGGCCCAGAAGGGTGCCCGCCGCAAGATCAAAGGTAGCTCCATCCTCGTCGAGCTTCCCCGCAAGAAAGTCACTGGGTTCGCTACGGGCGAGGATGGAGGAGCCATGGTGTTGAAGGTGTACGACGGCTTGCACAAGTCTGCGCCCTCGGGGGTAAGCCCTCTCTTCAAGGCGGTCTACGACAAGAACCTGCGCCTCCAAGCTCGAATTGATAGTGACACGCTGGTGACAACCTACCGGTACGCCGATGCGGCCGCGAGACGGCCCTTGTCCAAGGAGTTTAGCGACAAAGAGTTTCGTACTGTGGGGTTCTACGACAAGTATGGTCGAATCCACAGGGGCACGATCACAATGGGCGAGACCGAAGTTGCCTTTCAGTATCACTTCAAGAATCTCCCGCACGGCAATGCAGACGTTCTGGCGGCTGACTTTAAGCTCATCTCCTCTGACACCGAGAACATGATCTCGGTGTACTGGGGCTGCCCGCCTGACGAGGATGTCTCCAAGTACAACTGGGCGCCGACGGACCGCCTGAGCCGCATAGTCAAGGTCATTGGGGGCAGGCAATACACCACGCAAGTGGAGTACAAGCATCGCCGAGACCCCCTGATCACCACGTTTCTGGACGGAGAGGACGGCATCAGGACAGCCATCGCAAGCGCCCCCAGGGCGTTCGCCGAGGAGAGCATGTTCCTGGCTCGACCAGGCGCCGTCTCATTTGACTTGGACGATCTTCTCATCTATCACAGCCTGGCCCAGCTCAAAGAACTTCGGCGTCATGCCACTCCGTGCTCCCTGGGCGTGTCGAGACTGAACCCCTGGGGGTGGATCGTCAAGCTCAAGGGCAGCCGCGTGTACCAACACGTTCCAACGTGGCGGTTGAGAACCGAGCTCTGGGCCCTGTGGCTCAAGTCCGACTCGCTCGATGCGCCGACAGCGTGTTGGCTTGATGAGCTGATCCTGCGAGAGGAGCCTCTGCTCCGCAAGTATTGGAAGGCTAGGGATCGCGGCCGACTCCACGAGGCCAAATCCTACCTGGATCGTCACGTAGGCCAGATTGTATCGACCATTGACATGCAGACGGACGTGTCCGAGGTGTGTGCCCTGCCGATCAAGACGTCTGACCTATATGCCATGGGCCTTGGCAAGGATGCGACAGAAATCACAAATCAACCCCGCGACTGTTTCAGCGACTCTGACGAGCGCATCTCGGTGATCTTCAACGACATTGGGTGCTGGCCCGAGGCGCCTGGTGGTGTGTCCAACTGCCGCCGCGATCTCGTCAACGGACACAGCACGATCCGGAACCACGTGCTGGCCGAGTGCGCCAACGACTTTGGCATCCCTCGATTCCAGATTGAGAGGAACGTCCAGTCGCTCAAGCTGCTCCCGCTGTGGGGGCTGGACAGGAAGACGGCGTACCATGGCCTGATTGACAATCTCCTCCAGTCCCAGGTGGACGAGAAGGTGCGCAACACCGAGACCCAACGCGACATTGTGGGGGTGTTCATCCCCCTGATCAAAGACTTTGTCAAGGGTGCGCGGACGAAGCGGTATACTCGCGCCGACTTGATCCGGTACAGCAACGTGGTGCTCTCCATGTCCAAGTATTACGAGCAAAAGGACTACAGCCGGACCTGGGAGTCCAAGGAGGTCGAAAAGGCCTGGGTCGATGCATGGCTTGTGCCTTACAACGATCCCAATATTACGGATCCGTCTTCCTTTTTCGACGTGGAGAAGCCCAGCATGTCCGATTTCCGAGAGGCGCTGGGCATCTACTTGGCGTACTTTTTCATCTTCTCGGTGAAGATTCCGGATCGTTGTCCACGCGTGTTCCAGAGCACGCACCACGGCATCAGCAGTCTCTTTGGCATGATTCTGCGTTATCGTCGGGGCGTCACCTTTGGTGTTTGGGACCATGCCATCCTGTGGCGAGAATGCTGTCTCAACATCAGCCCCGCGCAGTGCGAGCTGCCCATCTCGGTGCAGTCGATGCTGCTGTCAGGCATCGGTCTAGCGACGAGACTGGCCTACCTGCATGCCGACGTGATCATGCCTTGCACGTCGCTGTTCAACCCGTGAGTTCTCCCTCCCCTTTGACCCATCTGTTCTGGCCACGCTAACACTCGTAGTATGTGGGAGGCTGAGATTGCGACCGATCGAGGGCAGCTCAGCAGCAAAAAGGTCTTTAGCCGGCGGATTGACCCCATTGTCAACGGCATCAGCAACATGGAGTCCTTCACACCAGTCGACAAGATCCGCACGGAGAAGCCTACGGTGGTCATGCTGTCGAACGTGCAGTTCATCAAGGGTATCAAGACGGCGATCCTGGCGGCGGACATCATTGTCAACCGCTATGGGTTCAAGGATTACCAGCTGGTGGTGTACGGTGCCAAAGATCGGCAGCCGTCCTATGCCCTGGAGATGGCCAAGCTCATTGTGGAGAACAACCTGTCCGAGACGGTGATTCTGGCCGGTTTCGGCAAGCCCAAGGAGGTGCTCAAGGACGCCTGGCTCTTCATGAACTCTTCCATTTCCGAGGGCCTGCCCCTGGCCATTGGCGAAGCAGCCCTCGCTGGCGTACCCATCGTGGCCACGGAGGTGGGAGCCACGGCGCTGGTCATGACGGACCCCGAGGACCAAGACAAGCGATACGGCGAGGTCGTTCCGCCCAACGATCCGCTGGCCTTGGCTCGCGCGCAGCTGAGCATCCTGGGCATGGTGGGCCCCTGGGCCAAGTTCACCGAGGAGGTCCAAGCCGAACCATCTGCTGCGGCATCAGCTGTGCTGCCCGACGACATCACCTCGGGCGTCGTGGACTGGCTTACCCAGCGAATGTACGACAAGTCACCCGATCGTCGACGCCTGGGCCTGCTGTCGCGAGAGGTCGTGCTGCATAGCTTCCACGGGAACCGCTATTTGCGTGAACATGAGCAGATGTACTGGGTGCAGTGGCATCTGTCCAAGATGAGAGCCGACGAGGCGTTGGGCAAGATCGCGTCTCGGACGTACAGATTTGGCATACCGCCGCCGCTGGAGTATGAGGACGAAGATGATCGATGCATCGTCGAGGCAGACGGGGACGAGAGCGAGGGGAGCAGCCTGATGAAGGACCCGACGGTCAAGTGGCAAGAGTTTGACAATGGGAGGGTGATCAAGGAGAAGAGGTCGGCGAGGAGGCTGAGCAAGCAGCGGCCTCCTAGTTCGATGGTGTAAGTTTGGATCTGACGGTAGAACAGTACGCATAATTTATCTATAATCCACTTATTGAAAGGAACGTCGAAGCATTGTCAACTGAAGAAAGATGGAGCTTGATCTACACGTACTGTCTGTCAAGGACTGGGGAGGCGAAGTTGAGCTCGACAATTGAGTTCAAGCGAGGCAGACCGAAAAGCGGAGATCCTGGTTACCCCGCCAATCAACAGACGAAACAAGGGCGCTGACGTCGCGCGCCTCCATGTCACCTCGAGCTCATCCACCTACACCTGAAGCTACGTCTCTACTCCTTGTCTAGCAATTGAACCACCATTCTTCCCTCGAGCTTGACCATTATTCATTGATCATCCCCTCGGTAGTCGCCCGAAACTGCCTCATTCATACCACATCAACTCGAGCAGCATACGCCCCGCCCATCAGCGCAATGGCCGACAAGATCGAGAAGATCAAGGGCGCAGAAACGCCCGCCGACCTCTCCACGGCCAGCACGCCCGCCGCCGACAGCGTCTACTCAATGGACCCCGGCAAGGACGAGGACTTGCTCTCCAAGAAGGTCTTTCTCGCCGACCTCACCGCCAAGGGCCAGGCGCTCTACGCCCACAAGAACTACGACGAGGCCTGCGAGGTCTTCTCCCGCGCCAGCGTGCTGCAGGCCGACATCAATGGCGAGACGGCCCCCGAGAACGCCGAGATCCTGTTCCACTACGGTCGCAGTCTTTTCAAGGTGGGACAGAGCAAGAGCGATGTGCTAGGTGCCTCCGCGCCGCAGACAGAGCCAAAGAAGGCCAAGAACAAGCCCAAGAATGGCGATGCGAATGGCAGCAAGAAGGATACAGAAGCTAAGACCGAGGAGGAAAAGGTGACGCAGGAGGGCGTTGGCATCGTCGCAGAAGAGAAGGGAAGTGCATCCAAGACAGCGACCGCAAAAGAAGAGGGCAAGCCAGTCAACAAGGCACTCTTCCAGTTCACAGGCGACGAAAATTTTGACGACGAGGACGAGGAAGAGGTAGGATGCCGAGACGCGACTGAATCCGGGCTCTTGTTTCCATTTGCTAACGGCTGCGCTACAGGACGCCGAAGAGGGTGACGAGGAGGACGACGAAGACGACGACGACCTGGCCACGGCCTTTGAGATTCTCGACCTCGCGCGCGTCTGCTACACCAAGCGCCTCGAGCAGCTCTCGAGCGAGGAACAGGAAGCCCAAGCCAAGGGGGAAGACAAGGAGGCAGAGGGCACCGAGTCGGCGGCAGTGAGGCATGTCAAGGAGCGATTGGCGGACACCCACGACTGTCTGCACGAGATATCGCTGGAGAACGAGAGGTTGGTCGAACCTCTGCACCTCGTTCTTCGCACAGCGGCATGCTAACCACCGTCTCTCTCTACCCAGGTTTCCGCAGGCTGTCGAGGATGGACGCACGGCGCTCAAGTACAAGCTGGAGCTGTACCCCGAGGAGTCCGAGATCATCGCCGAGGCGCACTACAAGCTCTCGCTCGCCCTCGAGTTTGCGTCCGTGACGACGGCTGGAGAGGATGGCACCACGGCCAAGCGCGAGGACATGGACCAGGGTCTGCGGGACGAGGCTGCCAAGGAGATGGAGCTTGCGATCCAGAGCTTCAAGCTCAAGCTCAAGAATAGGGAGGTCGACATTGCCGAGTCACTATCGGCAGAGGACAATGAGCTTGGTCGCAAAGACATTGGCGAGATGAAGGAGCTCATTGCCGACATGGAGCAGAGAGTAGGTCACGACAATATCCACCCCCGTGAGGCCCTCTGCTCACCTGGATAACACAGCTTCTCGACCTGCGGAGCGATCCGATCAACACCAAGGAGATGCTCGGCGGCAGCGAGAACCCCCTCGGCGGCATCCTGGGCGCCGCCCTAGGCGAGAACTCGGCGGACGCCAAGGCTCGCATCGACGAGGCAAAGAAGACGGCTAACGATCTGACCAACCTCGTGCGCAAGAAGAAGCCCAAGGAGGAGGCGCCCGCCGAGGGCAACGGCAAGCGCAAGGCGGAAGACGAAGCCGAAGATGGGGCTGCGAAACGGGCCAAGACTGAAGAGCCCGCCGCCAGTGCCCAGTAATGTACAGTTCACGCAATCTTCAGGTAATGTAACGGGCAGCAGGACTCGGCGTTCTAGGGCTGGTAGGGGCTTCCACATGGGAACCAAGGGGACAATGGAACTGTTTGTTGTACGAATTGACATGTAATAACCTGAATGGGTACCCAGTGTTCCTCTTCTTCTTCTGTGGCCATCTATTACAGCTTGTAGCTTCCGCTCGACGCCGTCTTGACACCCTTGACCTTCTTGCCATCGACATCCGTCACCTCGCCCTTGCGGTTGATGACCTTGACGCCGCCCTTTTTCAGATCCGCCATGGTATCCTTCTGCAGCTGCGCCCGCTTGCTGAGCGCCTTGCCGCCGCCGACGCCGCCCGCCTTGCGAACCCTCTCCTTCTCCCGCCGGCGCTGGCGCTGCTTGTCCTCGCGGCTCATCTCCTGCTTCGCGAGCGGCGCGCCGCCCTTGTGCACCACTTCGCCCGCGGCCGCCGTCTTCCTGTTGGCCGTGTACACCTCCTGGGGCGCCATGCGGCTGCTCTCACCACCAATCGCAGAGGCCGTCGTCGGCTGGGCGTCCTCCATGGACACCGTGGCCACGTCCGCCACGACGGAGAGCGACGGCTCGACGGGGCGGGGCCGGTAGTGCCAGCTGCTGAGGGCGTCAAGACGGGAGGACACGTCCTTCCACATGTTCTCAATCTCCTTCTCCTCGCGCTGCAGCTTCTCGTCGGATTGCGAGACGTACGCCTCGGGATCCTGCGTCTTGGCGTGCTCCTCCTCGTAGACCTCGGCGAGACTCTTGCCCTTTGTGTCGTCGACCTCGGCGAGCAGGCCGCGTCGCGTGCTGGCGGGCATGCTCTCCGTCCCGGGCCGACGGCGGATCACCTCGTCAAACTCCTGGGCCAGGATGCGTCGCTTGATGAGGTCCTCGATGCTCTCGCTGATCTCAGGGGTGATGACGGGCACGGGCTTGCCGCCGTGCTCAAAGTCAAGGTCCTGCTCGAGGAGCGAGTTGACGGGGCGATCGGCGGCGGCCGCCTCGCCGGACAGCGTCCACTCGCGCTTGGCGACAGAGGCGGCCTCGAGCTTGCGGATCTCCTCGGCGAGTCGGGCCTGTCGGCGCTCGTGTGCGGAGCGGCGAGACTTGGGGTCGCCAGCGTCGACATCGGACAGCCCGTCGGCCGAGTCCTCCATCTCGGACTCGTCCTCAAACAGATCGCGCTTGACGTCTTCCATGGCACGCTCGACGTCCTCCGCGTTGTGCTGGGCCTTGCTGTCAAAGCGCACGGACTTCTTGTTCTTGGGTCGCTTATCGTCGCGCTTGCGCTTGGGTGGCGCGAAGAAGTCCTTGTAGTAGACCTCGTTGGCGTTGAACTCGCCCAGCCCGTCGGCCACCCCGTCGTCGAGGTTGCCGACCATGTCCTCGTCGTCGCTGGCGCCCTCGGGCGCGTCAAGGTCCATGTCGCCAAACGTGGGCCCGCCCTCGCTGTCGTCGTCATCGTCGTCTTCGGGCATGTCCCCGCCGTCCTGAGCCTTTTTCGTCTTGGCTGCGAGGGCTTCCGCCTCGGCGGACATGGGGTCGGCATTCCAGTCAATGTCCTCGTCGTCGCTCGCTTGGTCGGTGTTGGGGTCGCCTTTGGCATCTTGATCCTCAAAGTATTGTGATTGCTTGTTGAATTCGTCGAGGGAGAAGAATCCGTCATTGAGGCCGTCAGGATCTGCCTCATATTCCTCCTCAGGGCCATCGGCATCTTCCTCATCGTCCTCCTCCACATCTTCGTAGTCGTCGTCTTCAAAGTCCTCCTGAGCATCTTCAAATTCGAGTTCTTCGCCATCCTCTGAGGCTTCTTCGTCCAGGAGACCATTTCCGTTCAGTTCAGCCTCGAGGCCTCCGTCGCTGACATCCTCTTCCATTTCATCTTCCTCCTCATCGTCGTCTTCCTCAGCCTCGGCGGGCGAGCCCTCCTCGTCGTCATCCAAATCTTCTACGATGACGCCTTCGTCTTGTAATTCTCCCAAGCGACCATCAGCGTAGCGCAGCACACCTTCAATAACCTTCCTAGCCTGCTGCCACACCTGGTTGGTCTCAAACCCGTCGACGTACACCTTGCGCACTTTCAGCACTTCGCCCTTGTCTTCGCCCCTCTTCCTCTTCTTGAGGCGGATCTGCTGCTCATCGACCACAGTCCCTGCAAAGTCCTCTAGCGTGTCCTTTACAATGTTGAGGGATGTGGTAGGAAGGGAAGGCGGTGGTTGCAGGAAGACATGTCGATTGGAAGGGGCGAGGTTCTGGAGGAAGTATGATGTCGGATTGGTGGCGGGCATGGTGGCCGGGAGAGCTTCGAGAGTATGCGACGTCGATGTCAGAGTCGGCGACGTCTCGGCTGCCATGGTTGTGCGGATGTTCGGCGGCCAGGACGATCTGGGTCAACTTTGCGTCTGGAAATTTTGGTTATTCACGATGGTCCAGAAAAAAATCTGGGTGGAGCTGGCTTCGATAAGCCCCACCTGGCTCCCGTCACGGTCAAGCTGTCCCGCCTTTGCGTGGGTTCTGACTTACCCTGGAGAAGCAACCTAAGTCCTAACCCAAATCTAGACTACTGTCGAATTGTGGCAACTGTATGCTCAAAGTCTCATTCTGTCTGGCTGATGATAACAGTTAAAATGAAAACCACGAGATAGAGTTCCGGAATTGTTGGGCAAGAAGGCTGCCTGCATGCTGACAATGTCGAAACGTGGTCTACACTGTTGGTGAAGGTACAAGACTAAGAATAACCATGACCGGATGTACCAGGACATCATGTCTATTGAAGCGCTAGTAGTAATCTTACGCACGGTCGCATGATATAACAGACCTCACCCCTCCGCCAGGAACTCACACCAATTACACAATGACTACTTAGGCCATCAAGACCAACGCCAGCAACGCCGACCAGCTAAGACGAGAATGCAGCAGAACCCCAGAAAAGCCAAGGACACAGACAATCCTCATAATCCCCGGCGTCCACCAGTACTCATCAGTGTAATCTTCTGCTTCTTCTTCTTCTTGCTGCCAACCGCTGTCGGTGTCGGAGCCTGGCTGCTGGGACCGGCGGACTCCTGCTCTTCACTGCCATCAAACGCCCGCATAGCTTCCATCTGGGCCGCGAGATCGTGTTCGCTCAGTAGCGCGTCATCGTTCAGCCACCCATCGTCGACCGGCCCAGAGTGTTGCGCTTGCAGCTCCGGTGAGGCATTGATCGCCCTTGTGCCCCAGATGGTGCGGTGCGAGTCGGGACTTGTCGACATGGACGCCAATGTCTCAAACCCAGTTCGGGGTTCCGGCGGCGTTGTGCCCGAGGATCCATTCAAGGGCTGAAAATCAGACATGTCCATGGGGGGCGTCTCTGCTTCCATGCTGGCGGGAATGCGCTGGCCAGTGGTGCGGCGCAGTTCGGCAGCCGCCAAGCGCTCAGCCTGCGCGCGCTCCCTCTCTTCTTGCGTAGCCTTGTCCTGATTTCGTTTTCTTCGCCTCTCAATGTCAACCTTGAAGGTCTCGAGTGTCTCCTCGGGCACGATGTCTGTCCAGTCGCATTCGATGAAGTTGACAATGCAGCCGCGCGGTAGGTGACCAAGATAGCGTGCTCGCTTGCGCATAGCCTCGTCCACGACATGGCCTGTAGAAATGTGTTCGACTCGAGGTAGCAAGGTGGACGGAAACGAGGAGAAAGACCCATACTTTGTCTTGAGGATCCGGATGTCCAAAGGCGAGAGATAGAGATGTGGCTGTGAGCCGTAGAAATAAAAGTCGGCTTCCGATGAACGGCGAGGCGGATTCTTTGCCGACGCCAGCGCGGACTCAACGCTGCCGAGACCATTGTAGCGCTCTTTCAGGTTTCGAACCGCCTTCATAGCCTTCTGTGTCCACTCATTATCCGAGCCGAACAGTGTCTCGTCAATCTTTTCCTGTCGCTCGAGTGCCGCAACCTCTTCGTCACACTGCTCCAGCATATACTGCTCGCTTCCCATCATGACACGCGCATAATCCAAGACATTCACATCCGAATGCCAAGGAATGGCTTGCCCAGAGTTCAGCACCTCGACGCCCCCTTCACGCGGTAGCGCGATGATCGAATCGGCGTTCCTGGCCATTAGCCGCAGAACAACATCGTCACCTACGCGAGGCAGCGGGCTCTCCTGTCCAGCGTAGAACCGCACTGGTCGTCCGTCGTGGAGATATATAAAGTCTTCGCAGATTGGACACTGCTGGCATCTTGAGCCCTTTTGATTTTTCCCGCCATCCTCTTTCGAAGCTGTGTGCATGAAGCGAATCAGGCACGGCAGGCAGAAAATGTGACCACACTTTGCCATGCGAGGCGCCACCGGCTCGTCAAGACAGATAGGACACGACGTTGTTTGCGATTCTGTCGATGCAATCACCTGCAGCACATCGTTCCAGTCCAGGTGTGCGTCAGTATCGGATGCTTGTTTCGCGTAGGAACCCTCCGGCGAGACGACGAATCGGTAGTTGGCGTGGACGTATCGAGATTTGTCAGAGACGTGGTAGCCCGAACCGACCCCAGTATTTCTCCTCCAATTCCTCGTGTTGTCAGAAGCGTAATGAGGTCGCGGGGCGTGATAGTTGAGCAAGTGTGTTATCGACGTCTGGCCCCTTCGCCCGCTCAGATTCCCGAAAACATGACGCTCCGCCATGGCGTCATATGCATCGGGTGAGGTGTACGATCGCTCACCGCCACCAGGGCGGCGTTGGTTCTTGTGCTGCTTGCGCGAGGTCTGGCTCTTCCTTGGATTTGAAGACGAATTCGATGGCCCGGCAAGTGCTGGGCGACGCGACGATTCGATGCTGGATGTAGCCGGCCCGGTTGGTATGTGTGACGAATGGTTCGATGGCGTGGGGAGGGACTTGCCCACGTTCGAATTCGTCGAATTCATTGTTGATGTCGATTCAAGAGGAGGAGGAGGGACGAGAGGGGTTTGGCCATCTGGGATCATGGATTGCGGGTGAACGATGGCCTCACGAAAACTCGGCCTGCCAGTGCCATCTGACGATGGGCGAACGATGGGGGTCGCGGTTCTTAGAAGATACAGTCTTGGAGAAGATGGTTCTGCAAACCGCCGACAGGTAGCTTGGGAGAAGATGTATCAAAGTTGCAAGTTGATGTCAGGGTCCCACGGGCGGACCCCGGTGTGGTGTTCCGAGTCACAAACCAGAGGGGTACGAGAGGTATGATGACGGGATGGAACGATTGGACGCAACGCCCCCTCGACGGGTGATTATCGATAAGCGAGCCACGTGACAGATGTCTCTCAGCCAACGCTTTGGGCATACTCGAGTGGTGTATTAAACCAATGTCATCATGTTAGGCACTATGCATAAAGGAACTGTATTAACTATATGACGTTCAATCCAGGCGCGTCCTTGCTAAGTAGACTTCTTCTCGCAACGAAGCAACCATGCATCATCTCTCGCATCTGGGGGAATCATTGACACATAAAGACACTGAAACGACATGCAAACCCAACCAAAATAAACGTCAATCGCACATGACACCTCGACATCATTGACGACCCGACTTCGTGTCCAGCTGCACTCCGACGCTCACGCTTTCAGCTCTTATTTGTCCGACATCTTGTGCTTGAGCTTGCTCAGCATGGCGCTGAGGCGGTTCTTCTTCTTCTTCTCGGTGGTAGAAGCGGTCTCGGTCGGCTTCGTAGCAGATGCGCTGCCAGAGCCGTTGGCAGGGGTAGTGCTCTGGCCCGCAGCGGCAGCATCGGTCTTGGTCTCCACTGGCTTGGTCTCGGCAGGCTTGGACTCAGTGGGCTCTGTGGCGGCCTCGGTGGGCTTATCAGCCTCGTCCTTCTTCTCCTCCTGAGGCTTCACGGGCTCGACGGCGGCGCCTGCATCGGTGACTGGCTTGGCAGGGGCGGGGTCGGACTTGACCTCGTCGCCCTTGGTCTCGGCCAGAGCAGGGGCAGACTTGACCTCCTGGAGGAGTTCAGTCTCGACCTCCTTCTTCTCAGCGACAGCAGCGGTGTTGGCAGCAGCCTCGGGGCTCTCGTGAGCCTCGGTGATCGACTGCTTGACCTCGGTGGGTACCTCAGGCGAAACCTCCTCGCGGGTGACCTCCTTGTCCTCAGTCTTGATCGCGCCCTGGATCGACACGGGAAGCTTCTCCTTGACAGAGTCGGGCAGGTTCTTGTTGGCAGCGTCGGCAGCACTGGCGGCTGTCTCGTTGGCAACAGGGGCACCCTTCTCGACAGCGGTGTCCTTGGCGGAGATTGCAGCAGCAGCGACGGTAGCGCCGGCGGCGGTCACAGCGGCAGCAGCGCCGGCAGCGAAGCCGGTGGTGTTCTCCGACTTCTCAGTGCCGACACCAGCGGTACCCTGAGAGGTGACAGGGGCCTCAGGCACCTTGCCCATGAGCTCATGCTCGACCTCGGCCTTCTCGCGAACCTCCTCGGCCACAGCGCTGGCTTCCGGAGACTGACCAGCCTTCTGCTGGCTCTCCTTGACAGCCTCAGGGACTTGTGTCTCGGTCTCCGCGCCCTTGGCCTCCTTGGGAACAGCACCAGCCAGGCCAACGGTGGTAGCGGTAGGACCAACAGAGCTAACTGTGTTGTCGGTCACCGGAAGCCCGGACTCGGGAATGACAGGCTTAGCAGTGTCGATTGAGGTAGCGTTCGCAGTGCCAGGAAGAGTGTCAGCCTTCTCATACGATTCCTTATCGAGCTTGACGTTCTTGTTAATCTCGTCCTGGGTGGCAGGAACCGGCACAACGCCCGCGGCGGGGGCAATGGGGTTGACGGCACCGTCAGCGGCCGGCAGAGGCGCGACGCCAATGGGCTTGTCGAGTTCGTTGGCGGGGGTCTCGGGGAAGCCGCCAGGAACATCTGAAGGAGTGGCTGCGCCCTCCTTGGGAACTTCGCCAGCCATAGCAGCGGTTGTAGAGGTGGGAGTGACGGTGTTGATGACAGCAGCGCCGGCGCTAGAGGTAGCAATCTGCTCCGGTGTGAGGAAGTTGTTGATGTTTCCTTCCTGATCGGGCTCTTTGGGCGCAGATTCGTTCAGGACCCAGTTGTTGTCGACTACAAACTATAATGAGATGCGTTAGTGCAATGTTGAAGGAGGAAGAGTTGCTTGGGTGAAAGAAGAAATCAGGTTTCAAGCCACGATGCGGGATGCGCAAGGGTGTGCTCGTTCCTGCAGTCATGTGGTGGGCTGAGGTCTGAGGCGCCCAGGCCCGTCGCAAGCGCCCTTGCCAGTTTGGGAGAGGGCCATGGTTTGCCGCAAGAAATCATGATACGTAAGACGACGTGGGTCCAGGTTCAGGTATCGTGAGATTTGATTCTGCGCCTGCGCTGTCTTGCACGCCGGCCATGACAACTTGCGTCATAAGCCGCGGCCGGCGACCCGCATGATCGATTCGGAGAGTTCGGTTGTTCCACCAATCCACCCAGCAAAAACGGTGCCAGCCACTGCACAGCAGGGATTGGAATTGCAACAACGCGGCAAGAGATGACTCGCCAGGCGCCGATTGAATGCCTCAGCAATACCTTGGGCAGGCGCAGAGGCATTGCAACCTGGAAACCCGGCCAGTGACACAACAGCCGTCGTGAGCTGGGGTGGATCCATGCGAACAGCTGGTCTGACCATGCTTGCAGGGCTGGCCTGCTGTCCGGGGACAGGCACCGAAGCTGGCGCCATACCCCGTGCAAGAGATTGGACTGCGGCTGTGCCCAGCGCAGGCGATTACGAAGCGACCAGCCCCGTAGCTCGGGGACACGGGGACAGGCGCGAGGCCATGGACGATCTCGTGCGCGATTGTTCGTACCAAGGGAAAATCAAGAGGCGCGCTCGTCGCTGATGCAGAACGTCGGAAAGCCACCTACCTTATAGTAGATCTTCTTGGAAGCATCCTTCAAATCGACCGTCTTTTGGAAAACATCGCCCTGCTTCTCGAGCTTGACGCTCTTAGTCCAGTCGTCGAAGGTGCCAGTCACATACACCTCCTCGGCGGGGTGCTCCCTGAAACCATTGTGTCAGCGCATTTGTTCTGGACAGGTTGGGACATTGCAAGATGCCATTTCGAGCCCGAGGAGTGCACATCGAGCCACGGCTTGCGGCTTTCGGCGGGACGAAACAGGATCAGAGAGAACTGACTCACCACTTGAAGGTGTAGCTGCCCATTGCTGTGGTTATGTCGATGGAAAAATTCCACGTGAGGCGGCGCTAAGGGTATCGTAAAATAGGGAACTTTCGGGAGAGGATAAAGGAGAATGTATCAGACCGTATCGTATGTACGTAGAGGCGCGAAAAGAATTGTTCAAGTTGAAGCTGGAGGACGATGGCCGGCAGCAGAGCGACAGATTGGTGGCTGGAGCGTCTGGCGGTGGGAGAGGGGCTAGTAAAATTAGGGTAAAGTGGCTGGCTGGCTGGCCGGCCGGTGGGGGTGGGTGGTGTTGAGCCTGTTGGCGGCGGTCGAGGCCGGCACGAATGGACCAGGATTCTGATGACGCCTGTTCCTTCCTCAAGTGACTGCGAGTAGTTACGTAGCATGAGCTACAGCCTGAAGATGCTTGCTCTCGATGGTTCTGGAATCGTGTATCATGCATTTCCAGCCTCGTATCGAGCGCAGTCATCCCGGCCTCTGTACCAGTCATTGAGCCTTCACTTTATGATTGCGAATAGCTCGCTGGACCTGCGCGACAACGTCATCGGACAGGTTGCGCGCTCGCTGCCCAACGGCCCCAAGAAGCATCCACTCGAAGTCTTGAACTGAAAAGGCACCAGCGATCAACAGCAGCAGCGAAGCAAATATTGGCTCCATCTGCCGCTGTCAAATTTGCAGTGCAAGAGTCCGCGCTATCTACGCTAATCAAGCTTCCCGGCCATGTGTCTCAGTTGCTTGATCTGCTCTCGATCCCAAGCAGGGTCGCGAACATCCGGATGCGGGACACCAGTGCCCATGCGTCGGCCCAGACTGACCGCATACGGCGACATACTCATGAATCACTCACAGGGTCGGACGCTTGCCTAAAAGTATTGCCTGATTGGCCTACTCAATATTGATACCTATACGGCAGGCTCTCTAACTAACACCTAAACGCCAACCCAGCCATAAGGATCCTACCCAGGCGACAGAAACGGAAACAATGGACGAGGTCACAGCTCCTCTTTTTTGATGCCCTCAGAAGCTGAGGGCACGGCCTTTTCCTTGAGCGCATTGACAGTGACCCTGAACTCAGTTATCTTGTTCTCCTTGGGTCGCTTGTGGTCGGCCCATCCCACAACGGTACCGTCCGCCGGCTCGGGCTTGTAGTTGCTCAGGTCGAGCAGTTTGTCTAGACGCTGTCAGCCATCAGAACAAGTAGTCGCGTCAAAGAACTCACCTTTGCAGTCACTTTCTTCCGCCACCCACAATGGCAGCACGTGATACACGGCCGCAGGCGCGAACATGACCACGCGGTCCTTATCTTGGCTGCGATCAATGTTCTCCTTCACGTCCACCACGTCGTCAACGGTGTCCTCATCACCCTTGGAGTCGCGAAAGACACCGAAGAGACCTTTCCATTCCCCCTCAGTCCTCTCCTGCTCCTCAATCCACTCTCTCAAGGCGAGAGGGACGTCGGCGTAGTCCATCTTGAGGATGGAGCGGTCATATCCGTGCCTGTCGTAGCCTGACCAGCCACCAGGGTACTCGCGGCTGGAGAAGAGTTTCTTCAGGCCATCCGCCCATGGTTTGAGGCCCCTGGGCGGTTCTTCCATGAGCTCGTGGAGGGTGTACTCCCTGGCAAAGAAATGCTTTACCGCCTCGCACGAGGGCTCGACAACGTCGGACTCCTCGATGGGGAACGGGTTTTTCCAAGGGAAGTTTTCGACGAGATGAGGCTTGACATTGTTCAGGGGCGGCTTCTGGTAGATCTCAGCATTGGCGCCGGACGCTGCCAAGGCAATGGCGAGAGTGAGGGCAGTGAACTTCATGATGGCGGCTGGCGGACAAGCGAAACGATGCAGCTCTACTTGTTATAAGTAGGAGAGGCGTCTTTCAGCAGTTGCTCAAGAAAGGTGTGGTTGCGGTGTCCTCATCATTTTATAGGATTCCCTCCTCTCGAGCCAACGTCGGGCTCCATGCTTTGGAAATTCTCGCCTCGCTGTCCTCATCGGACCCTTGGTCCTCCGCATTGCCATTTCGAGAAAGAGGGTGATGGAGACGGCGGTTATGCGGGGATATCCTCAGGGCGTCCATTGGTGACGCGCAAGTTGGAGATGCGGAGGGAAGAGGGGCAGACTGTCTCAGATCCTTGCCGTACAGGATGGGATTGGGGAATAGGGACCGGCTCGCCGGCTGAGACAGCCTGAGAGTATTGGCACACAATGGGGGACGATAGTGGCCTCCCGATGCATGCGCATGAGTCCGCACTTGAGCGTTGCCTGTTGGGCTGATCCCACGGCCACAACATGACAATATGACAACATGGTCGAGATCTCTTAATCTTCTCAATTGTTTGAGTTGACGGAATCATTGGCATGCGCCACATTTGGACAGCTTGAAACAACTTTCTGGCAGAGCGCGATATCTAAGGTCAGGCTGGAGCTCTTGATATTTGGGATACTGTTCTCATTACTTGCTCTACTTCATGAGACTCTTCTCAATATCCGCCGCGTCTGCCATGGTCTCTCTCACAGCCTTCCTCGCTGGCTCGGGCACTGGCTCATAGGGATGTCTCGGGGATAGTTTGGCCTCTGCATCCTGAATACCCGCGAAACTGGCCGTATAATGCGACACTGCAAACTTCACCGACGAGATACCGCTCTTGCAGGGGCTCTCCGCCAGTGCCTGCTTCCTCTGCAGATCGAGGGCCTCCTGGTGCATACCCTCCTTCCACAGCTGATAAATCCGAAGCGTCAGACGGGGAAAGACGTTGCCAAAGCCAGCGATGCAGCCTGAGCTGCCCGCCGCGAGTCCGCCGATGAGAAAGTCTGACTGGCCTCCAAAGATGGCAAAGTCTTCTGGCTTGTGTTCGGCGCTGAGGCGTGAGATCTTGCCCACGGATCCGCAGGTCAGCTTGACGCCGACGACCTTGGACTTGCCGTCGGGACTCTTGGCAGCGCTCTGGCGGACAATGGCGGTGATGGTTTCCGAGTCAATGTCGACGCCATTCGTGACAGCCGGAAAGTTGTAAATCACAATGGGCAGCGCCACCTTGCTAGAGAGCTCGGCGAAGAAGCGCTTGACGACGTTCATGTTCGTCGCCTTGCCAAAGTAGGCCGGTGGTAGGACGAGCAGGTAGTCTGCGCCGGCCTTGTGGGCGTCGTCGGCCAGCTCGATGACCTGCTTGGTCGAGTGAGCGCCGACGCCGGCCATGAGGGGATAGCCAGGCCCGACGGTCTCGCGAGCGGCGGCGATGAGCTGGCGGCGCTCCTCGCGGGTGAGCAGGAAGGACTCAGAGTTGGTGCCGATGATGACGAGGCCGGTGAGACCGGTGGAGGCGAGATATTTGAAGTGCGCTTTCTGGGCGTCAAAGTCGATGGTGTCGCTGGCATTGTCAAAGTACGTGATACTTGGTACCCAGACGCCAGCGGGCGGGACGCGGGGAGACTGTGCCGCAGAGCCCATCTTGAATGTGTCAGAGTAGGAAAAAAGAGAAGAGAGTGAGTTACTCGGGGTTGAGTTTGACCACTTTGGTCTGTAGTATGGCAAGATGTAATTACGCTTTCCTCGCTCGGAGGTCTACCGAGTTCTGCGCGGGGCAGCGATACCGTATACGGCCGGTGTGGGGAGGATGTCCGGGCGCGGAGCTGCCGTTGTCGGCGTGTCAAGGACTCAAGGCTCGATCAGGATTCACTGTGATGATACGAGAACTCATGTCATGTTCGGAACTGCATCCGAAGAGAAGCAGGGGCGTGTCCGAGGCTCCGAGGTGTCGGAGTCAATCAGCTTTACATGGATTCTGTTGGTCATGGCTGCATCTCCAGACTCCAGAGAGTCCAGACCCATGCTGTTGTAACCAGATGGATGGAGGTCTGTAGTGATCTTTTGCGCGACCCTCAAGCAATGCACTACTTATCCCGGCTTGTGGCGATATCGGGCATATATGCTTCGTATGCAAGTTGAACAGGACCTTCATGCCAGGAGATTGCGCTGGGCGTATGAAAAACCACTGTCGGTTGGGGGACTTCTCCTCGGAAGGGCTCCCGGTCGGATCAGGGGTATCAAGTATCAACGTCTTGAATCAGAACTTCAAGATGCTGCAGCATACATTTGGGATTTTGGAATTGATATGGTAGCAATGACCTCGGATAGGACATATTCTTCCTCAATAACGCGTCTTGACAGAATTGAGCGTTTCTTGACTGACCCTTCACCTAAGCCCAAACACACCTATCTACATGTTGCTCGGATACGTGAAACCTGTTGCGGGGAAAAACTCCTCCTTGATCAATCTTGGACTCGTGAATCTCCTTAGAACATCTGAGCTGCCTGCTTTGTCGTTTGTACCGCTCCCGCGAGCACCTCCAAAGGACTGCTGTCCGATGACAGCAGCCGTGGTTTTGCAGTCTGGCGACTGTCAGCATCTGCCTCGAAATCGGACGAGAAGAATGTGCGTTGTACGTACTGATGTAGAAATTGCCGGCTGAATATCGCAGAGCATCTTCAGCTTCGCGAATCGCTGTGCGTGAGTTTGCGAAAACTGCACCGGTCAAAGCCAAGCCACCACCTGCTTGATCGATCTTCTTCAGCACAGCGGAGTACTCGCGATCAGGATACACGTAGATCGCCAGCACAGGGCCAAATATTTCCTTGTTGAACAGCTCATGGTCCGGCGATTCAGCCTGATACACTGTGGTATGGATATAGTACCCAACAGATCCGTCGTACGTCCCACCAGCGATCAGTTTCAATGACGGATCCTTGTTGGATGCGTCAATAATGTTCTTGATTTTCTCAAAGGAGTTTTTGTGAATGACAGGCCCCATGAAAGCGGAGAGGTCCTTGTCTGGACTGCCCAAGGTGATCTGTTTGACCTTGCTCTTGAGGCTGGAGATGTACTCCTTTTCCAAGCTCGCAGGAATGTAAACACGTGAGGTTGCAGAACACTTTTGTCCCTGATACTCAAACGCACCACGGATCGTGTGGTTCACTGCGCTGGACACGTCGGCCGTGGGGTGTAGAAGTTGGAAGTTCTTGCCACTGGTCTCACCAACGACACGAGGAAACTCGCGGTAGCGTTTCTCGCCAATACCCTGGCCAATCTTGCTGTAGATACTTCTGAAAACGTCACTTGATCCGATAAAATTCAGACCCGCAAAGTCACGGTGCTGGAGCACCTGCTCTGTGATTTCGGCGGCGTCTCCGGGGATGAATTGAACCACGTTGGGGGGAAGACCTGCTTCGATGAGGATATTATAGATCATCGTGCTGGGGTAGATGTTGTACTGAGAAGGCTTCCACAGAACCACGTTGCCCATCAGAACAGGGCCACTAATAAGGCTACCACCCAGTGCTGTGAAGTTGAAGGGTGAGACGGCGTAGACGAAGCCCTCGAGGGGTCGATGGTCCATGCGCGACCACACCCCGTCAGCGCCCCTTGTGGGCTGCCTCGACAGCAGCTCGGCGGCGTAGTTGGTGTGCAGCCGGAAGAAATCAGCCAACTCGGCGGCGGCATCAATCTCCGCCTGCCAGATGTTTTTGCCTTGTCCTAGCATCGTCGCTGCAATTATGTCGTGGCGATACTTGCCGGTGACAAGCTCAGCGGCGCGCAGGAAGATGGCGGCACGGTCGACAAAGGGGGTATCTTGCCATGACTGCTTAGCAGCGAGGGCTGCATCAATGGCCTCGTCAACTTGTTGCTTGGTGCTGAGAGGGTAGTGTGTGAGGACAGAGGCGTGCTCAGATGGCATAACCTGGGCTTCGGAGGCATGGATCTTCTGAGTGGTGTTGTTGTAGATGATGGAGCTGCGCAACGGGAGCTGGGACCTGAGGCGCTTCAAGGCGTTCTCAACAGCTGCTCTTTCAGGAGATCCTGGCCTGTATGCCGGCTGCTTCACGTCAGTGCCTGAAGGTGTAAATGGATGAGAAAGGGGGGGCGTACGTTGGGTTCATTGCGAGGGTCGGGGAGGCGGAAAGGAACAGTGGTATTGTATCGAATCTGCTGGGATGATGGAGAGACATGCACAGAACCTGCTGGTCTATGAATGATAGCTCGCGCTGACACTTTGAAAGGGCCTGTGTGTAGAAGGGACGAGGACGCTGCGCGTGTGAAAGGCATTGCAGCAGCGAGCGAGGAACTAGTACCTGAAAGGTTCAATACAAGGAAAATGACCTAGATCTGGCCTCGAATACGATTCCTTGAGATTTTGACATTGCTCTATATGTTGTTCGCTAAGTATTGCACGATGTCCGGTCACGGACGTTCTCCCGCCGAACATCATCAGCGTGTAAGTCGGCTCAGACCCACACCGGGAAGCCTTCCGATGCTCATCGGTGCAAAGCAGTGTTCATTCCGATGCTCAGCAGGGGACTCGTAATTTATTCGAAAGTACCTAGAATATCCGAAAAGAGATGTCATCAACGGGAGACATTGTGGCGAACTTGGAATAATGAGTCTGAGACTGGTGTACCGAGGCCCCGACCAGATGACTGTGGGTGTTAGGACCAGGTCCGCCACAGCGTGCCAGCGAAGCTACCAACAACTGAGGCGACAATGTAAGCTGAACAGATTTTCATGATATTTTAAAGCTGTATTCAGTCACTCAAAGTCTTGACAATCGGCGCATTCAGTATATCTGCTGTGCCGCAAGCCTAACTAAACCAAGTCTCGAACGTGACACAACCCACCATGAAGTGGCGTCGGAGCATACCTGAACATGGAGAAATCGTATTACAAGAAATCCATGATTTTTAGGAGCTCGTGGGTAAGACAGAAAATGTTCGCCAGATGCCGAGGGTGACATTGCTTGTACAAGCGCAACACCATGCAACACAAAGGACATCTCTACCGTTCCCAAGGCCATCAAGTGCCGCAAGCGATTTTATTCAGCCCTGTTCATCTCACTATTTCATGCCGAAATGACTGCCTTGAGCCTTCTGCTCAATTCACCTCTCAGAGCGCGGTATTCATCCACCGTCCTCCCTGCTGCATCCTTGTTCTCCCGGGCACGCCTCATCAAATAACCAATGCATTCTGCCATACTTCCCCACGTGGAACACTTGTATACATTCGCGCCCTCCTTTCTCAAAAGCTCAAAGCTTACCCGATCCGCCATGCCATGCAGCTGTGCAAAAGCCACGGGAACGGTAGGTTGGCCCGTTGTCAGACGCGACGCATGCAGTTCGTGCGCCATGGTAACAGATTGCACGTTGTGTCCCGCCAGAAGCAGGTTCAGGGAAGGAAAGGGCTTGGTGGTGCCGTACGCTCCGAACTTCTTGGAGATAGCACCCAGAGCAATCGAATTGTACGCATGGTCGGTGTCGTCCTTGGTGTCGTGGATGACGGACCTCGGCTCGGTCGCCATGTAAGCACCCCTGACCAGTTTCAGACCCAAGGTGAAGCCTTCCTCTTGTGCGGCTGCGAGATGGGATTCGACGACGTTGGGCGTGCTTTTGAGATAGGCTTGGTAAGTGTTATAAATGACCGCATACCCGTCTGTGTTGAACAACCGCATCATGTCGAGAGCCGTAGCTGCAATGCCGCCTTGGAACCGCTGAGACTCAGCGTCAATCATGATTTGCACGCCCTTGGACTTGCATTTCTGGCACAGTTTGGTCAGGGCGTCGAGCATCTGCGGGGGCAGCGGCTTGTTCTGAGTGAAGGCTTCGGTCACACGTGGTCCGGCCCCAGTCAGCCTGTTCTCTCATCAGTAAAGGTTTTGAGGCTTGAAAGTATTCGACAGGTGAACCTACTTGATCGCCAGCTGGTCCCCCTCGCCAAGCATGTCCAATGTTTCTAGCGTTCCTTTTCGCCAGAACTCTATGCCCTTGCATATTTCAGATTGCGTTCCAGTCTGCGCCCCCGCTCCGTGCTCTGTCTTCTTGTTATCATCAAAAACGATTTCCTTGGCATAGGTCAAGATGGTCCCTCGGAAGCCCAGACCTCTCATCTCGCGCAGTGTCTGGCGGACTTCTGCACCATCTTCGCCCGTGCAGAATTGATTATAGAGCGTCTTCTTGAGAATCCAGCCGAGTGTCTTGTTGCGTTCGACGTTGAGAAAGGGTGACTTCGAGTTTGTGAGGAGTGTCAAGAACGAGATGCTTGGCGTGAGAAGATAAGGCTTCGAGCATATGAAGCTGATCAACAGGGATCGCAGCAGAGCTTTGCGTGACAGCACTGCGAGTGGAGGAAATGTCGTTTTCGGCGGTTCGACCAATTTGGTCACCGTTGCCGTCTCGTACGGGCGAGCTGTGGTCGTGAGAAAGCGTGGGCTGTGGCGTGCCAATGGCGTAAATAGGCCCGTCACCGAGCTGATCGACTTAGTCGTTGACATACTGTATCGTGCCATCAATTCGGGAGAGACTCTTTTGGATCCTCAATCCTTCTGCAGAGCGCATGCCTGAGGCGCTCTTGTATTCAAGCAGTTCACCCACGACAAAGAGGGGACCAGCTGCCTTGCATTCCATCCATTCCACATTCGAGGCTGGTGCCATGTCCTTTGCATTGCCGCATTTCCATTACCCTATCGTGCCACCGGCTTCGCATCCGACGAGTCGCCGTTCGGTCTCAATTGGCCTGTGTTGTCTGAGATAAGAAGGTCTGGACCCTTGTGCGTAGTCCGAGTCCTGGCCGCTGATAAGGAGGGGTCGGGTCAGATGACATCCTCGATACATCACGAACTGCGGAGTTGACTGTCCCCAGCTTATGAGCATTACGAAAAGATCTGCTTTTTGTGAGAGACAGCGGAGATGGGTGGCGGATCGCCCATATCGCCTAAGATAGTGTCGGATGGTCTTCCTGGTGTTGTGTACGTGAGGCCGATGCCGGGTCGGCAACATTCCCGCTGCCTTTCACACGTGGCTCTGGACATGCAATGTCACCTCAATCACTGATTCCATGCAAGCAGAGGCCATGAAATCTGCCGCTGCTCGCTGCTGCCGGACGGTCGGACCTTTCAACCGCGAGGAAGCATAGACGGCGGTGAGCCAGACGGTCTCGCGCTGATGAACCATGATAGACAACACACATCAGACTGCGAAGCAGTATGGAAAGAAGGAGACAGTCCATCATGAGGAAGGTAGTTTATTGTGTGAAAGGTGTGGGTAATCTTGTTAAACTCCGTTGCGCTGGGGTATCTCACCTCACTGCTACGCTCCTGCCAGGCACAAACGAAAGGCCTGGCCACCGGAAATTTTCTCACTCGCCATTGTTTGACCTCTGAGGACTGCGGGATTCCGAAAGACCTATTTAAGTTCTCCCTGTCAGAAACGGGAGGGGGCGTGGCAGCTCGAGATGATATGCCGCCGCGTCTGCTTCGGGGCCGGCTGCTCGATGTTCTTCATGTCGTCCACGAAGACCTCATTCTAGAGCAAAAAAAGATTTCTCAATTTGCGGCCGCAAGCCTTGCAATCGCTGAAGACGGTCAACGTATTATTCGATGTCGAAAGACTACTCGGAACGGTCAGGGTTGAACAGAATATGCTGCGATTGGGAACGCAGGGGAACTGTGTGAGAAAGATGTGATGTGAAAGGGACAAGACGGTTGTTCCGGAGCGGTCACTGAAGATAATAGTTAGGTATCATACGGAACTGAAATGGTCTTCTAACTCATGCACTAGATCCTTTAGCTACGACATGGAGTCTATGACATTGCATGTGACTGGCTATGTGCTCGAGAGCTTTGCAGACCACAACCCACATAAGATCAATCATAGGCACGACGCGACTGCTAATTACTTAGTAGGCAAGAAAGGACCTGAGTACATGGCAAGATAAGTACTTAAGCACTAGTTAGTAAGGAATTGTAAGCAAGGAATAACAATCTGGTCAAGGCCAATCTCATCGCAGGCTATGGCACCGGGCACGCCGACCTTGGCGCCATCTACACCCTGGTCACCGAGAACCACGCCTTTGACGCCGAATGGTTCGGCAAGTACGTCGACGAGGGCGGGAACTCGCTGACCACCACAAACAACGTTCTCCTGAGCAATGGGAACTGGCACGCCCCGAATCAGCGACAGTCCCTGACCATGGACAGCAACGACAACCTGCTCGACAATTTCGGAAAGGTACGCGACGACCGGCTGCATCGCCCTAACGGGACAGGTAGGTTTGGCAATACGTTCTTGAGAAACTATAACGTGACTGGCCTGGAGCAAGTGTCTATGGAGGGCCTCCGCGTTGCTTATAGGGCTGGCATCTCACCAGGCCGTAGGAGTGATCGACCCGTCTCCAACCCAGATCGGGACGACGGGCACGTTGCTCTTGGATTTTCCAGCGAACTCGACGGTGCCGTTTTTGCCAACCTGACCAATTTCGACGATGAGGATTTTGCCAATGCTTTATTCTCCGTCGTGGCGTCTGAGGGATACCGAGTGTCAGTCGAGCAAGAGCCGCCGTCCTCCGTCCCCTGTGATAGTCAAGCGCAAGTTCTCTACAGTCTTTCCGGCGCCGGGGACCTTCCGCCCACGATCATGGCGACAGTTACATACAACAATTCTCGTATCGGCACTGAATCTACACGCAGTGTCTCGAGCACGCAGCCTGGTTCCCTGCCGCATGATGGCAATCTTCAGACGTCTTCCTCGTGGCACCCTGCTTCCATGTTTGGCAGCAGTGGTGACATCCTGGGCATACGCACGGGCGGACGTGGCCTATTTCGTCCCTACCATGACTGGGCGGCCTTCTATGCCAGCCCAATAGGTGGGCGAGTCCTCGCAAGTGAGAGTCCGCCTCCTATCGCTGGATACCATCGAGGACACAACCTCCCAGGCCGGGCTCGCTATTCGTGGCAGCTTTGTCGGCGGTAATTCGACATGATTCCATCTCTCCATCAGAAGTCTGATACTACGGGGCGGCTGAGCCGTGCGTGGGCTTAGTCGGGCCTGGACTATTCGCTAGCTTCAGACTTTTGTTCCAGAGAATCTCGGATGGCTGAAGAATTCACCTGAGCTTTGCTGAGGAGGGGAACCCAATTCGAACCCCTTCTTTCGAAACCCTTCTTAGCAGCCCATACTCACGAAGCCTCGGGTGTATCAAACCTGTCCATTTCAATTCCTCACTTGTCTTTCGACTTTGTCGCGATAAAAGCATTGACACGTCATGCAACATGCCAACTGCCAGGCACCTAGAGCAGATGCCCGGAGTTTCTGACATCTGAGTCTCCCTGCTTGTGCGCCTCTCCGCATCGACTGAGGTCAAGAGGCAGCAGGGGTCAGCCCCAGTATTTAAATTAACCTGTGCAATCAACAATGATCCGACCGACTTGGATGAAAGTGAGCATCGAGATGGACGTGCATTTCTGGACAATACTGGCGAATCTCGAGCGGGTTCCTGCCGAAAGAGGCATGAAGTTGATCATTGACGCGCTGCCATTGGTCGTAGGCTCTGTATGTGGATTAGGCGGAGAGAACCCTCCGGTTTATCGAGCGGAATTACATCACCACTTTGCAACTCCGTCAGTACCACATCCCTTCCCCATCGCTTTTACATGGCGTTTCCAGCAGAATTGCATCCCACAAGGTATGGTGCCGAGTATTCGTATGGTCTGCACCGGCCTCTTGTTTGCAATGGCACTGTCGCTCGGCAGTTGAACACTGGAACACTGGAGTCCTGGATTCTGGTCTGTGGGACCTGCCGTCACCTTCCAGGCGATAACTCGCACCGACCTGACGTCAATAGCACGGCATCGCTCGATCATCGAGGGGCACAGCGGGGTGAGCAAACCACATTCACCTGCTTACCATTGCCTTTGCTGAGGTATGCGTTGCTCGTAGAATGGGTGATCGGGGACGCGTGGTTGGCTCTTGCCGTGAACTTGTTTGATGGACCCTTGGAGTGAGCTGCCGTCTTCTTAAAGACGCTCCCTGCCCCCCCGATGGTACAAGGCAGACCTCTCGAGACGAAACTCAACCTGCCCTCTCATACTCCAAGATATTTCGACATACGTTCCCCACGGTTTTAGATGTCGCATATCGTTCCCGAATCGGTCAAGCAGGCAGTCATGGGCGGCCACGGAGGATCCCAGGCCAAGGCCACGCAGCTTGCTGCCAACACGGTTGAGCCAACCAAAGATACCAGAATCACCTCGGACTGGGGCACCAAGCAGAACAGCACCGACGACTGGCTCAAGGTCACCACCGAGGACCACACCGGGCCTATGCTGTTGGAGGATGGCTTTGCCAGGGAGAAGGTGAGCATGTACTGAGGACAGCGAGAGAGCGCAATATCTCGATCGGCTGTCCTTGCGTCAACTATGCGAGACCTTTCTGACCCTTTGCAGATTCACCGCTTTGATCACGAGCGCATCCCCGAGCGTGTCGTGCACGCCCGTGGCGCTGGCGCCTTTGGCACCTTCAGACTGCACGAGTCGATTCCGGAGCTCTCGAGCGCCGGTGTCTTGAATGACACGTCCCGCGAGACCCCCGTCTTCCTACGTTTCTCGACTGTTCTTGGTAGCCGCGGGTCTGCTGACACCGTTCGCGATGTTCGTGGCTTTGCGCTCAAGATGTACACAGACGAGGGTAACTGGGACATTGTGGGCAACAACATTCCCGTTTTCTTCATCCAAGGTTCGTTCTGATGACTCCTCGTTGCAGAAGTGAGATTTTACTGACACGTTCCAGATGCCATGAAGTTCCCCGACGTCATCCACGCCGGCAAGCCTGAGCCTCACAATGAGGTGCCTCAAGGTAAATAGCAACCCATCGTTGTCAGGACAAGACTAATCCCAAACAGCTCAGTCAGCACACAACAACTTCTGGGACTTTATGTACATGCACTCCGAGGCCACACACATGTACATGTGGGCCATGTCGGATCGTACCATCCCTCGGTCGTACCGCATGATGCAGGGCTTTGGTGTCAATACTTACACGCTCACCAACGACAAGGGCGAGCGTCACTTTGTCAAGTTCCACTTCACCCCCGAGCTTGGTGTTCACTCTCTCGTCTGGGATGAGGCCCTGAAGTTGGCTGGTCAGGTATGATTGCAATGCTCCACGTACGTGCGGTGCATAACTAACCCGCCCTAGGACCCTGACTTCCACAGAAAGGATCTCTATGAGGCTATCGAGAGCGGCTGCTTCCCCAAGTGGAAGTTTGGTGTCCAGGTGCTGCCCGAGTCGCGCGAGCATGAGTTCGACTTTGACATCCTGGACGCTACCAAGGTGTGGCCTGAGGACTTGGTTCCTGTCCGCTACATCGGTGAACTCGAGCTCAACCGCAACGTCGATGAGTACTTTACACAGACTGAGCAAGTTGCCTTCTGCACGGGCCACGTGGTTCCCGGCATTGGGTTCTCTGATGACCCTCTCCTGCAAGGCCGCAACTTTTCCTACTTTGACACCCAGCTCAGCCGCCTGGGAATCAACTGGCAGGAGCTGCCTATCAACAAGCCTGTCTGCCCTGTAATGAACTTCAATCGTGACGGAGCTATGCGCCACACCATCTCCCAGGGCAAGGTCAACTACTGGCCCAACCGCTTCGAGGCTCAACCTCCAGCGTCCGCCGCCGAGGGTGCTTACATCGACTATCCTGCCAAGGTCGAGGGCTTGAAGCAGCGCACTCGCTCTGCCAAGTTCCAGGAACACATTTCTCAGGCTCAGCTCTTCTACAACTCTCTGTCTGAGATTGAAAAGTCCCACGTCCTGGCCGCTTTCGGATTCGAGCTGGACCACTGCGACGAGGCGGTCGTCTACGAGCGCCTGAGTGGCCGTCTCGCCGACATTGACCTCGGTCTAGCGCAGTCTGTCAGCGAGATGGTGGGTGGACCCAAGATTGAGAATTCCAACAGGCCCAACCACGGTCGCAAGGCTCCTGGTCTCAGTCAGATGGACTTCCTGCCCCAGAAGCCTACCATTGCCTCTCGCCGTATCGCCATCCTAATCGCCGACGGCTACGATCCAGTTGCCTTTAGCGCCTTTGTAGGCGGCATCAAGGGTGCAGGTGCGCTGCCCTTTGTTATTGGTGCGCGCCGTTCTCCCGTCTACGCCGCTGGCGAGGATGCCTCCAACAGCAAGGGTGTGACACCTGACCACCACTTTGAGGGCCAACGCTCGACCATGTTCGACGCCATTCTCATCCCCGGCGGTGAGAAGTCCATCAAGACCCTCTCTTCCATGGGTCGTGCCCTGCACTATGTTCGTGAGGCCTTTGGCCACTTGAAGACCATTGGTGCTACGGGCGAAGCCATCGACCTCGTCAACAAGGCCATCCAGCTGGATGATATCCAGCTGTCGAGCAGCCACACCCTCGAGAGCTATGGCGTTGTCACGCTGCGTGACGTCAAGCCTGAGGGTCTGGGTGATGTCCTCAACTCTGCGAAGGATGCCAAGGGCTTTCTGGAGAAGTTTGTCTACAATGTCAGTCAGCATAGGTGTTGGCAGCGCGAGCTGGACGGTTTGTCGACTCAGGTTGCGTATTAATCTTCGAGAAGAAGCTTTTGCTCAACGTGTAAGAGATCCTTAGTAGTATATAAGTAATTGAAACATAATATGTACCCAATGTCCTTTTCCGTTCCATGTCCTGAAATAAATGCAAACCCAAGTCGCTCGCCAAACCAACTCCATGCTAAACCAACCCCATGCGACGGGTCCTTGTCGCAATATGCAAAGAGTATCTATCTCTAAAATCCAAGATAGACCCACTCCCCTCCATGATGCCATGTTCATTATATAGCTGACGTGATGAAATCAATATCCTCCGACTCCTGCTGCGCTTCTTCGCGGCGTTGCCCATGGGTATCAGTGGCAGGCGGCGGCGGACTGTTGTTTGACCCATGCAACTTTCGCCCCAATTTCCCCCAAATTCCATTGTGCTTGTCCTTCTCGCGGTGTTCTGGCGCCACAAGTTCATCTGACGTGTGAGAGGTCTCCTGCTCATCGCTGGACGAGCGCGTCCTGGAGCGTATGCTGTTCCGCGGCCGGACCATCTCCCGTGCGTCGCGGCTGGCCTCGAGGAAGATGGGATACGCTATCATGATGACCTGCAAGACAACAATGACAACGTAGCTCAGCTGTGTCGAGCCGCCCGACGTGATGATGCCGTACATGATGAAGGGTACGACGCCGCCGCCGGAGCCACCCATGGTGATGAATGCTGCGGCGCGCTTGGTGCGACGACCTTGACCCCGCAGGCCGATGGAGAAAATGAGAGGCCATATGGGGCCCTCGGCGAAGAAGAACAGGATGACGGGGATGACGATGGCGTTAGGGCCGGACGGATTGAGAACGACGGTCAGGAGGGCGAAGAGGAAGGACATGCCCAGGAAGATGGTGAGGATCGTGCGCGGTTGGGGGAGACGGCGATGGTGCACGGACAGATAGGTGAGGCCGCCCGCGAAGAATCGCGCCACGGCGAAGGCAGCGTGCGCGATGAGGAGGTAGTCCGACACCGACATGGCGCTGCCAGGTGGTTTCTGAGGGTCCGCCGTGCCCGTGGGGTCTTGCGCGGCGCTTTGATCACTGTCGGCACCGGGCAGTACCGACTCGACGAGATCACGGAAGAATAAGCTGTTCGATTCTTGGGCCGCGGTATAGCAGTACTGCGCGAGAACGGCGAGGATGAGGCTGACGGTGCGCAGCTGTAGACCCACGGACGTCTTCTTTTGTGAGTCGATGGGCAGCCGTTTCGCTGATTGCTCGAGCTCCTCGTCGCTGACTTCGGGGAGAGGCATGTAGTAGAAGAACAGAGCCAGGCCGGCACAGAGAAGCGTGATGGCCAGGTAGGTCCATTGGACGTCGATAAGTGTTGCCGTTGTGGCGAAACCGGCTCGACCAACGGCATCGAAGAAGACCTTGTTCGCGAGGAGGCCTGACAGGACGGACCCGGTGGCCTGCACAGCCTGCGCCAGCAGTAGTCGGGTCTCTCCGTATTCGGGCGGGCCGCAGAGGATGATGAAAGCGTTGGCGGCGACCTCGAGGACCGACAGCCCAAAGCCGACGATGAAGTTGGAGAACATGAAGCCGCCGTACGACCCCGTGACGGCAGATGGCCAGAAGATGATGGTTCCGATGCCGTAGATGCTGAGGCCGACGATAAAGGTCACCTTGAAACCGCCCACGTTCTCAAACTCGTTCTTCTTGTGACGCCTGGAGCGATTGTGCTCATCTCTCCGCAGGATCCACTCGCCCACAAGTAGAGGGCCGAAGAAATAACCGCCCCCGAAATAGGCAGCGGTGAGTCCTAGAGTTTCTGCAGAGGAGTAGTCGTGAATGGTGGCAACGACCGTGTTGAGGGTGTTCAATAGACCATATGAGATTCCCCAGAGAAGGAAAAGGATGGACACGATGCTGCAATACTTGAATGACTCGTGCGCCGAGGTCTGCAACATGCTCTTGGGCTTGGCCATGTTGACGAAACCAAAGTAGACTGCGTTCTCAGTCGTCGTGGACGTGCGGGCCGTTGCGTGGGTGTGCATCCGTTGCACGGGGGACAACATGTCCGGCGTCGAGAGGAACTCCATGGCCGTCATCTCTTCGCTGCTACGGGAGTCTCGTCGCTGTTGCCCAGGTGGCTCTGGGTCGGGTGCGTCGTTACTGCGATGCTCGTGCACCACGACTGCAGGAGGTGCGGCAATCTCGGGCGTGGTTCGCCGAGCGTTTCGTTGACGCGAGTCTCCCTCGCTTCGCTTCGACATGGTGGATGTGCTGCGGTCCGGGTCGTACAGCATCGCGGGGAGCAGCTTGAGGATGAGGGGCTTCAAGGTCGGAATGCAGGCACAAGTGATGCCGACGTTGACTTCCACAGCGCTCCACATGAACGAGAGCGAGGCGTTGTAGGCAAAGTTCTCTTGCCCGCCAAACGTCGATCCCAGGTCACCCGACGGTCTCGACGGCAAATCGGAGAGCGCAGACTGCAGAAAGTAGATCCTGACCACATCCACAACCGTGACGAAGATGCCCAAGCTGAAGAGCAGGACCACGACCACTTTTTGGCGGGTCGGTAGGCGCATTCCAGTGAGGACGGGTATTGGAAGGAAGAGGAGACACAGGTTGGTGACGATGTTGATGGGCGAAGAGCAGATGAACTCGGTGAGAAGAGGCAGGCATTTTACCTCGCCTTCGTAGTAGGGGTTCCAAGCCGCCGACACAGGACTGCATTCTGCGCATGTTAGCAAGAGTCAGGGGGGGAAATGAAGTGAACTCACGAAAGATGTTGAGGAACGTCAAGATGATGCCTGCAAGGTTGATGACACCCAACAAGGCCCAGCTCCAGTATTTGAGCACGAACTGCGTGTTCTTAAAGAGGCGGAGGTAGAATATGAGAACCGAGGATTTGGTAGCCATCAGGGCCGGATTCTGGCGGGCGTCAGTCCAGGCACGAAGCGTCAACTTGCAAGACCCAGGAGACTCACGTATAGGATACTGAAGACATACTCGCACCGCCTCAGCGTGCCCCGATCGGAAGGCTCAATGTCCCTGTCGTACCGTCCCAAGCCGTTTGCGGTGCCGAGTGCAATCACCGAGCTCAGGAACACGGCGATGACCCAGGCCAGGCCCATGACCCTGTCATCCCAGCGGATGTTGCGCACGATGAGGCCGCGGGAGATGAAGCGGGCCACGACGAAGACGGTGGCCAGGACGAGGGTCGCGACTGAGACGGCGAAGACGGAGGGCCCTCTGTCGGGGACGCCATGCCCTGATATAACAGCGTTTGCACTCGCCATTGTGGTCAGAGGGGCGTCGTCGACATCGCTTGGCTCGTTTGTGCGGACAAGGGTGATGGCGCGTCGGGTGCAGGTCGTCGTGCCACAGCCATGGTCTACCGGCTTCTGTTGAAAGTCTGTGACGCCGGCTTCACCCGTCCACTGTTTGGGCTTGCGTCGTCGTGGTCCGTCGGTTTCTCAGAGTGCCTCGAGGTTGATCGATCGAATTCGGGACCCAGAAATTGCCAATATCGGAACTCGAATCGCATCCGTGGGAGCTCTAAGTTAGGAGCGTGACCCCATGTGTTGTGTCTTTCCCAAGGTTGAACTCGAGAGACTCTTTCCAGGCGAATACTAGATCCGTCGAAAGAGCGAAGTGGTGGACAGGAGGCGGCAAGGTTGTGTGGAGGAACGCAGAATGGACCAGGCGGGTGGTGCGGCGGCAGAGGTCAAGTTCAATGTCAGCGCCAGTCGCATCGCTTCTTGTCAAAGTTTCTCCACCGCGCGGCGCCGTTCATCCAGCCACCAGCTTGTCGTTGATTAGTCTAATTTCTAACGGGCCTTTTCATAGCAATTACGGCTCACGGGATCTCTAAGGCAGTGTGCGTTCTTCAGGCCAGGGCCCAGGCGGGCCCCGTAATTCCATATGATGTGCCTTTTGGCGAACGGTCAGTGCGGGCAGCCAGCCGCCCAGCTCCCCGGAAAGCTGCGTACGCGGGCATGACTCGGTAGATTAGTAGACTCGGTCCTTGCTCGAGTCTGGACACCGACCTTGGTTTCGGACCTTTTCACTACTACGGGTTGCGCTGGTTACAAGCTTGCAGCACAGAGTTATTAGGCAGATGTTCGAGTACGTACAGTACGTAAATGCAAGTACAGTGGTCTCCCCTAAGTAGCCACGTCCACAGCACGGCTTGAGAGAATGGGCGAGACTCTTGGTGAGGCATATCTGTATGTAGACAAACAGGTAATACCTACGTACGGAATCCGTATACCCGGCTCACCGCACGTCGATCATCGCAGATGCACACATCAATTTGCTGCATCAAATTTCTGCACTACAAAACCCGCCCCAGCCCGCCAAAGACTGACATCATCGCCAGTGCAACTTGAGCCAATCAGTGGCTGAGTCGTGCTCGAGCCCAACCGCTCGCCCCGCAGGTTCTCCGAGTCAAATTACCCCAGACATCAGCCTCGACATTCTGCGGTCTGCAAGTTGACACGAAAGGCTGAGGTCGATATTAGAGCTCATATCGAGCACATTCATCAAGCTTCCATGTGACAAAGACCACTACCGTTGCATCGACTGAACCACCACGACTTCTCGCTACCTAGGCTAGGTTATATCGACTCACACCATAGTCTCAACTCCGCTGCTCCGCATGCAGCCACCGCCTGTCAAGTCCTCCTGTTCGGATGGCGGTTCCGACGGCTAAGGGCCTCGCGTGGTAGTGAGATTCACCTACCCTACATAGATTGCGACACACAAATCTCGCGTTCACGAAGTCAGATTCAGCCAATACATATACGAATGTATTTGATGTGAAGTATGGGCCAGATTAAGGACTCGCATCAATTTGGCCAATGCCACAATGAGTTTAAAGTGTCAGATGCTGAGTTCCAAATACAATCGATGTCAACTTCAAGCTCAGCCCGTTTTGCATTGTTGTGCATCATACGTCAAGATGGAAGAACCAGATCACGTGACCATCAATATCCCCTGGACGGGATCGAGCTCGAGAACGCAAATGAGCGCAGTGCTCAATCTATGATCTTGGACAATTTCACCAGCCTCTTTAAACGAGCCCTTCCATGTCAATTGGACAGATAATTACTTGCTAATAATCCATGGCCCGTGCGCACCGGTACCATGACGGCGCCTGGGTCGGGGACTCGGGGATGATGGATCCACCGCAACCATGGAAAATGCCAGCGCAAAGCCATCTCGAGGCAAACAATGCCAGGCTAACAAAATGACCGCTCAAACAACCGAGCTTCTTCGCCATCAATCGGCAGATCTTTGATTGCTCGATGATGGTGACTTTCCCGTCTGTTTTCGCTTCTGAGTCTGGACGTCGAAGATCTCAGATCCTGAACCCTGATACGATTACCAATCAACGACGCATCGATCCACGTCAGGCCGAAGTCAGCATCAAATGCTTCCAGTCCTCAGCTTGCTTGATCTCCCGCAATCTGTCGACATACAAGAAGAACCTCACATTGGCCTTTGCAAGGCTATCGAGACTTCGAGCCTGATAATCTGCAGCCATGGCTCCCTCGAATTCTCTCGTACCGGAGCACACCTCGGAAGCATCGCGCAATGATAGGGACCAGGCACCCCACGATGAGGCTGAAAATGACGAGCAAACACCACTTCTACGTGGCAGCTCTCCCTCAGAACGGAAGACTGACCATGGTGATGAGCCCAAAGTTCGCCTCAGCGCTTTCCGCGTCGCAGCTGTAGCGTTCAGTCTCTGGCTGCTCATTTTCCTGCAAGGTATCCATCCACCATGACCAGCCAACAGCCAGTGCGGAGTACTGACGGCAGGCAGCCTCGAACATGTCTGGCATAACCGTGATTCAAGGCGCAATAGCTGCCGACCTGGAGGCCTACGACGACACTGCGTGGTTCACGACGGCGTATCTCATCGCCATGTCCAGCCTTGCGCCGCTGGCCGGCAAGCTCGCCGCAGTCTTTTCCCCAAGAAGCCTCATCATCCCGGTAGCCATACTCGTGGCGATTGGTACCATTGTGTCGGCGCATGCGCTTTCCTTTGAGGCATTCGTGCTCGGTCGCGTTGTCACGGGTATGGGCGGTGCAGGCGTGCTCACGCTAGCAATCATCTTGATGCTCGACCTGACGAGCAAGAAGACAAGAGGCGTCGCCCTCGGCATGGTCAACGCTGGGTTCAGTATTGGTGTTTCACTCGGTGGTATCGTCTATGGTGCCATGCTTCCGGCCGTCGGCTGGGTGAGTCTTGAATCCTCTCTTTGCCCTTTGTCAAACTGACAGGCCTTCAGCGCGCCTTGTTTTGGATACAAAGTCCTGTGGCTGTTCTGGCTGGGACGATGCTGTTCCTGTCTCTGCCGAATTCCTTCACCAAACCCTCGGAATTCTCAGTCTTTCGTAGGCTGCGTCGGATCGACTATCTCGGGGCTGCCCTGTTGATATTGACGATTGTGCTATTCTTGTTCGGCCTGGGGGGCGGAGCCATCAAATTCCTGCCCTTGGTTCTCTCCCCCGTCGCTCTCATTTTGTTTGTGCTCGTGGAGAACTTTGTAGCTCCAGACCCGGTCATTCCACTCCAGGTCCTCAAGTCTCGCGCGGTGCTGCTGTCGTGCGTCGCGCAGCTTGGTCTCATGTCAGCTCGCTGGACGGTGCTGTATTACGCGCCCATCTTCATGCTCGCAGTCAGGGGAACTCCACGAGCAGAGGCGGGAGCCGTTCTGGTGCCGACCAACATGGCCTTTGCATCGGGCGGGCTGATTGTCGGCTACTTGCACATTCGACGGAATGGTTCATTTTGGCTCCCCTGTGTTGTGGCCATTATGCTCTTCAGTATCTCCATGTTTGCACTGTCAAGTGTGGCTACGTCAGGTTTTCATCTCGCTGCGCTGGTTGCATCGGTGATTGCTGGCGGCGTGGCCACAGGCGCAGCGCTCAACTACACGTTGGCGCACATGCTACATCATAGTCACGACGGGACTCAATACATCACGACGAGTCTCATTGGGACGTTTAGGGGGTTTGGTGGTGCATTCGGCACCTCGATTGGCGGCGGAATCTTTTCGCGATACTTACGGTCCAGCCTGAGCGAGGGCTTCAGGCTACTAGATGAGACTGACGTTCTCGATCCTGAGAGGCGTCGGCTTGTCTCTCGGCTACTTGGAGCCCCCGAGCTGGTATGGCAAGGTGGCCTTGGCGCAGCAGATAAGGATGTGGCTATCCAGGCGTATGCTGGTGCCACACGCGGTGTCTGGCAAGCTGCCGCCATTCTAGGCATTGTGGTCTGTGTCTTGCAGGCCGGGACGGGCTGGAGAGGGCCTGAGCCGGCGATTGTAATGGAACAGGCGGAGGCGCAGACCAACGTTCTGGAGAATGAGGGCACAGAGGAGGTGTAGTTTACCCAGGACGACGCAACGTTGTAATTGCCGATAGGAACCCAGCATGGAACAGCGGAATCTGCGGGGTCTCGTGATATTACTGAAACTTTTCATGCATATGTCTCAGGAATGCAATCGCTCGTAGATGATGCGATTCGTGGAACTTTCGACAGAGCCTCGCACATCTCAACCCGTTCCGGATCGAGATATCAAGCGTACCATGAAGGTTGTAGCTTATCGCGTGTTCCATGATGTGCTATCAACAAGCCCATATCCCGTGCGAGATGATGCATGGAGAAATCATCGTAGTGATCAAGAGGGTCTTCGGCATGTTGCGTCGTTCTTCGTTCTCCGAGGACACTTTTCTATAGCACTGCTGTGATGAACAGCCAGGATCAGAGGTTGCCAGTGTTCGTAGTCCAAATCGCACCTAAAGTTGACGAATTCGGTCAGTAATTACACCTCATGAACTCTCATGATCGTATAGCCTAAGTTACGTAGATATTGATCCTTTGGTGTTGCAGCGTCCATTTCTGAACTGGTGTCGTTCAGCACATTGAGGCCAGTGGAGAGCTGCGAGCTCGAGCCTCAATGCAATTGATTATAGGCTGATTAGGTATCAGCCAACGGGAAGCGAGCGGAAAGACAGCGAGAAGACCAATTGAATCTTCGTAAGCGATGTCTAACATTGAAGTCAAGAGGTAATGGTTAGGTACTGGCATGTCGATATCACGATTGGAGAGGGGTCTAGGACTCCAGAGTCCGGAGTCCAGGCCTCCAGGGCGTGTGGTGCAGGTGGTGGCTTGAATCCGCCAACGTGATTCGAGGAGAAATGATTACCGCGCTCAGGCTAAGGATGGGTGGGGCACTTTGGGACCCTTGGGTAGTGGAGGTGGATTAGCCCTCTGTTTTACCCCAACTTTACACCACCGCGCGCGCAACGTCCGTCCTTTTTTGACCACTCGAGTCTCGAGGACCTTGTCCAGTCCAGGACTTCTAGACTGCTGACGCCAAGTGCTGAGGCTAGTGGTTCATCTCTGGAAGCGTGCGTCGCCGGGCGTAGGACCAGCACGACAATCTCATACGACCTGGGTGCCTGGCTCGCGTCAGATCATGGTATAAGCCCTCGGAAGCAGAGAACAGTAATATCATTGCTGCACCGATATTTGGTGGTGGATTAATTCAGTCCGAGGCTGTACCCCTGTGCTCCCGCGCCTCCACCAACAACAACAGCTGTTCCCCAGATCCTGGACTGCCCTGCGGCCTGCCATTGCTACGGAGAGTCCGTCCAGCCGTCATCCGCACTGTCTCCCGGCACAATTTGTGGCGATTGAATGCACAGTTCCTGCGTTTCTGCGACCCAAGATAGTTTCGATACTGCTATCTGCGTCGAAGCCCGTCCGCTTTGAACACAGCAGTCAAAGCCATAACCCACCCGTGCGCGCAGACCAAGTTCAACCGCGACTTTGCTGGTTCATCTGCGCCTATGCAAGCGCGGAACGCTGTCTGTCGATCGTGAGATTCACTCTTTACATTGAACCGTCGGCTCATATCAGCAACCTACTTCCGCACCATCCATATAGCTACACTTCCAACTTGCTGCTCTTCCAGCTACGCTCGACCTGACATCCTGCTGCCGCTCTACTTTAGCTATCCGTCATATCACTTGCATTTCGGTGCTCTTGGCTCCGCGGGCTTCATCGACAATCGACAACCACCACGAGCCCGTTTTGCGACACCACTGCATGACCAGGGAATTTTGGCATACGGCAGACGAGGGAGGCCTGAACTCTGCATTTGCACCGTTTGTGCCCTGCATTCGTCTTGAGGGCGGGAAGCTTTGGTGGGAAGCTTTGAGGATCAGGCACTTGGTTGTGCTATGGTGAAGCATCGCACACGAATCCGAGACGCCTTTTGAGTCTAAGGGACAGACGAACCCGGCTGAGCAGTTGCAATGGCGGCCGTTCAGCAACTTCTATCGAGCGCTAGCCCGAGCCCCGGGCCGACGTCTACATCATCGATGAAGCACTCGACGACTATGCCTGTCAAGATGGATGTCGATCATCCGAGCCAAGGTCCACTCATGAACAATGCAGCCTTTGGTGCAGGTGTACCGCAGACGGGGGATTCGCGCATTGCGGTCATCGTCTTCGGACCAGGGCAGGACCAAATTGTCTCAGTCTTTGCAGAGGTGTTAGGAAAGCCATATCGACTCAAGAACGGTTTCCGGGACGTCAGCAGCGAGGAGCGAGGTCTGGTGGTGGGGGTTGAGGCTCCATCAGCGAAGCTGGACATTGAGTCAAGGGACCAGGGTCTCGTTGTTGCCATCAACGCCCACTGCGTGAGACTTGGAATGCCTCCAGACGTGCATTTGTCCAAGCAGTGTGATTTCGAATTCCTGTACAACGATTCACCGTTCGTTCGGCGAGACCTGTCAAGATTCATCGCATTCACCCTCGGCCAGGTCAGTCACCACAAGGAACTCATGGAGAAACCTCGAACCTACTTTATCTCAACCACATTTCCCGACGTGAGGGCAGCCTTGCCGAATCTGGACATCTTGACAGTGGGGTCTGATGCAGTGGAAATCCGCGTGGACCTGCTGCGCGAAACACTTAGCGATGGATCCTACTCGTCGGTCCCTAGTCTCAGTTATGTCGGCGAGCAGGTCATGTTGCTCAGGCAGAGGACGGAGCTGCCCCTCATCTTCACCACCCGATGCACGAACGAGAATGGAAGATTCCCGATGGATGACCCTGATCTCTTTTACGAGTACCTCTACCGCGCTATTCAGTGGGGCGTGGAATACATTGATGTTGAATTGTGGCTGCCCGAGCATATCCGCCAATCCTTGTTTGAGAAAAGGGGCAATTCGAAGATCATGTCCGCTTTCCATGATTTCTCTGGGACGTTCAAGTGGCCTTCACCCTATGCGCAAACCGTGTTCGAGAGGTCAATACCCTACGCCGATATCATCAAGATGATTGCCATCATCACTGAGCACAACGAGAATTTTGAGCTGGAGTATTTCCGTTCCAGGATGCACTCGGATTATCCCAATGCACCGCCATTGTCAGCGGTCAACATGGGCGAGACAGGTCAGTTCTCGAGGACCCTGAACAAGGTCTTCACCCCGATCACGCATCCATTGCTTCCCATCATTGCGGCGCCTGGTCAGATGAGCACGGCAGAGATCAACTCGGCGCTTGCTCTGCTCGGACAGTTGCCCCGGAAGAATATCTATGGTATTAGCAGCACGGCATCGCGCAGTGCCACCCCACAGGCACCCTTTTACGAAAAATGTTTCAATGAGTTGGGCCTGCCACATCACTTCTCCATTGTAGAGCGACAACCAGGGAGTCCAGCGGGCATTGACGCCTGGTGCAACCAGAAGCACTTTGGAGGCGCATATCTCGACCCAGGTTTCTCGTACCAGTCTTTGCTTAAGCGCAGTCCCTTTTTCGCCAACATGAACAACGGCAATGGCCCGGTTCTGACGGAAGCCGCACGTGTGATTGGCATCTTTGACACAATCGTGGTGCGATCGGGGTCGCAGTCTGCTGCCAATTCCACACCAACTTCAGCGCCTGCCAGCCCACGCCCAAAGTCTGCCGATTTGATGAGTCGCCTCGGTCAATCCGCGCTACCACCAAACGCCTCCCTCATACTGGACAACGCGAGCTGGAAAGGCATCGTGAGCACGTTGACACGCGATCTGGCTCCGTCTGCCTATGCAGGGAGGACTGCCGTCGTCCTGGCCGCTTCATCGGATGATGCGGCCGCTACTCTTTTCGCCATGAAAGCGCTGAGAATCTCCAAGATCTACACCGTCGGCTTCAGGACACCAACAGCGCTGGCCCGAAACGCCCCTCCGATCGAGCAGTTTATTAGCCTCGAAAGTCTGCGACGAGCGAGGTCGACGACGGAGGATAGCGCACCTTTCCTCATCGTGTCTGCTCTTGGTCCCGAGAAGAGCCACCTGGTCGGCATGTTGATCAGGATATTTGGGGGCGTTGGCATGTCCAACGGTTCAAACACGAGACGTGTCTTTCTGGACTTGGCCGACGGCGCCGTGCGCAAGCGGAGCGATCCTGGCGCCGTCGCTGAGAAAAGCGGCTTCGCTGCCTATGGGGCCGCCGATGTTGCTGCCTTTACTACGGTGGAGAGTCTCCGGCTGCTCATCGGCCAGAATGTTCCTTATAGCTTTGTGAGACTTGCCAGCGGGCGGATGTTTTGAAGTACCAGGTCGATATATCTCAAATCAGCTTAGGGCCCAGCTACTGGGGTACGTACGTTCCGGTGAATGGTTGGCCCTGCCTCGGAAGCACTTCCGAACTCGATCTGGATACTGATATATCTTCACGGGGCGGCCGCTGATGCAAACTTCAAGCTTGAAGTCCCCTTTCAGCGTGGTGATTTCTTTGGAACATACGGATACATTTATGAGAATGTCGGCCGTTCGCTTGCTGCACCGCAAGACGTGGACACTACGGGCGTTTGTTGGCGTTGGCGACCTGGACGACAAGGGGGCGCAAGTCCACTAGCACACCATGAGCTTTATTGGCGTTTCATTTCGAGTGTGTATATATATATTGATTCGTATCCGTTCTTGGGCTCTCAAGTTCTCAGCTTCCCGGTCGCCTTCTTCTTTGTGAGAATCTGCAACCCTCTCTTTCATAGAAATGTTCTGCGCTTGTGATACTTGATCTTTCCTCGGCAAGAGCTCGGCAAGCTATGGTGGCCCAGCGAACAGCTCTCGCGGTCAGAGGCTCGAGCCAGAAACAGCCCAGATAGCGGCATCCATGTGCTGCCAAAATAAATCTGCTCTGCTCAGCTGCTGCCACGACCATTCGCAACCGCCAGTCCCACCCCCTTCGGTCATTTCGGCATGATGCACCACCGATCCTCGGCCGAGACGACCGACACATCAGGGGGGAAGTTGGGCAGGTGGGGTTGACAATTTGCTCACAAGCACATTCGTTACTTTGCTTGCACTCAACATGAATGATAGATAGACTTGGTTGAATTTGACGACGGAGATGGTCAAATCGACGCTGAAATAGTGAATGCCACCAAGAGCATATTCTCCTCCTCTACTTTATAATTGCAATACTTCAGCCGGTGAATGACCATGCATTGGCATATATGGAAGGGCATACCCCGAGGTGCTTGTGTGTCTGCAGCTAAGACAGAAATTGGATTGTTGTTAGGCACTCTCGGCTACACCAGCAAAATGATGGGGTATCCCACCCACACTTGCTGCCTGGTAACCCAATTATGGACATCGATTACATCAAAATAGATTGGTTTGCAGGAGTGGAGTCAGCCAAGATCCGGGGATTCACAAGTCATCAAGACATAAGCCGCCCTCATAACGCACAGATACTGGCTATGCCTTCCAAAAGTAGCTTTAGTTTCAATTTCTGTCCGTCGTGATAGTAATGGATCACGGCAGACTTCCAGTGGTTATTTTATTTGAAGACTTGAATTCTTGGTTCGTGGTGGAACAGCCACGCTTGTTTTGGAGGTGTAGTCGATCTAGAACATTACTAGACATATCTTGTTATTAACACCTTCCTCCAGGTTGGCTTTGAACCGCTGTCAGCCTTCCTCTAGGAGTTGTTACGTTACTAGACCAGACCTGTAGTCTGGGAAAAGCTTGCGAGACTCGGGTTCCGCGCAGGCCTGACGACGCTCAGTTGATCCCTGCTCAAACTCAATCTGATGTCCCTCAAGCAGATATTCGCGCTAACCCCGTCTCCACATTCTCAGGAAATCTAAGCTTAACAGAGTGTTTGGACCGTCATAATCTGCAAGCCTTGCTCCGGGCATTGACAACGTCTACCCTCATTGGTGCCATTTGCAACATGATGTCGCACGCAAGATGAATGCAACCTGAACCGCGGGCTCTTTGCCTACTACGCTAAGGCTGTACAACAGCTGCCACAAGAACGGATATAATTGTGCGCATTAATTACTAGGCAGATGATGAGCAAGGAATTTGCGAAGCGGTGCAGGGTGGCCCTTCCCTGTTTGAGAAGTGGGGACCGGGGAGAATGAGGAGGGACGGGGGGGTCACGGGCAGGAGTGATATTGGAACATGGGGTAGGAGCCTTGAACCGCCTACATGCATTTTTATGTCCACTGCAAGTGCGAGCGCTCACCCTGTCTGAACGAACCCTCATCATCTTCCCCATCTTTGCCCTCCACACTCTCCACGTTCTTCAGCCGTCCCTTCGTTGCGCGCCCATCGACTACCGAGAGACCGCCTGGCTCGCGTTGTTGCCGGTTTCCTGACGACTCTTTGCCCACAAGACGCCCTAACTTGGAGGGTACTTCCAAGTGTCAAACAAAGACCCTTCTCAACCTGTCAAGCGGCCGATGATTCACACCAACGACGGCGCACCGAGATTACCGCTCAGAATGAGTTTCGCGGCGTGACAAGCTATCAAACACGACATCCTCTTCGCCTACCCAACCGGATATTGTGCTTGCAATCGATGAAACGAGTCTCACGCCGACATCGAGGAGCAACGGACCACCATTCACTTCACTTGGCACACCGGACGAAGCTCACCGCATATGTCCGCTCATGTCGCCCAAGAGATGAGCGTTTCCATCTATGAAGGCTCAGGGGGATCTGGCCAGATTTCTGGACCACAATCGGGGCTGGCTGCTGCTCGGCCGCAGGTTGGCATTGAGCGGCTTCCGACACGCAGGATGAGCAACGAGCCTAGAGAGTCGATGAACTGCAAATCATGCAGAAAACGAAAGATCAAGTGCAATCGACTGAGGCCCACTTGTGAAGCCTGCCAAGTTTTTCAATGCCCTTGTATATATGGTACGTTGGACCAATCGCTCCTGCGTGATCCTGCGCAACGCCCGCTGACATACATCAAGACGCTATACCGAAGAAGAGGGGACCTAAGACCGACGTGCTCGATGCTCTTCTGAAGCGCGTCGATGGCTTGGAGGCGAAGCTGAGAGAAAAAAACGCCGAACAAGATCCCAGTTCGACCTCGGGGGATTCTGGTGAAAAGAAGGCAAGGGAAGAGGATGAAGAAGCTACAACAGAACCGCCAGCGAAACGCCAAGCAAGCGAGAACAAAAATTCACCGCAGGAAGGGCAGTTCCTCGGTAGCGGCCAATGCGCAAAGCCAGAAAGGTACGACATTAAATCCTTGATAAGTCATATTCCGCTCACACCGCTCAGTGACACCAAGTCGCCTTCCCTAGGGTCTGAGATCTATCTTGACACATACTTCTCTCGGTTCCATGCAAAACCCTACCACATACTTGACGAATCGGCAACTAGACAGCGGATGCAGCTCGGTCAACTACCAGGGTTTCTGCAGCACGCGATATTTGCGGTTGCGTCAAAGTATACACCACATCCTGGCGGCTATCAGGCCGCCGTCGATCTGAGCGAAGAGTTTGCGACATGCGCAAGACGTGCCGTGGACACGGAAGATCCCACTCTCGATGGTCTCCAAACGATGCTTTTGCTCGTCACATCCTTCATCGCTTCGGGCAAAGGCAAGAGAGCGTACATGCTCCTGACGACGGCAGTCGGAATGGCAATGGCACTCGAAATACACCGTGAAGTAGATCATGCGAATAAATCCCCACCTGAGAAGGAACTCCGGCGCCATTTGTTTTGGACTTGTTACTTGCTGGACCGCTTTGCCGCCTGTGGCTCGAAGCGTCCGTCTCTGATCAGTGACAAAACTGTCATGCTTAGATTGCCAGCCTGGTCACTGGGCCCTGGGACTGGGTTCATTGATGGCGAGTTTTTCCAGGCTGGATCAAATCTGCAGCACTTCCAAGGAACCGGGCGGAAGTCACAGGGGAGCACAGGCATGCTCATTGACATTACGAGGATCCTGGGCACGACAAATCGCTACCTAGCGGCGGGCGGCGTGAGGGGAGATTCCCACTTCCCCTGGCACTCGCTCTCGAATCTGTCAAAGATTCGCCAGGATCTAGACACCTGGGCTTCAGGAACCGACGACGTCTTCTCCAGCCTGGAGGCCCTCTTCGGGCAGAGCGACTCTACTGTTTTAGTATTGAGCAAACTCATCTACCACCTAGTGCACTGCCTCATCTATCGACCATTTCTGCCCATCGACTTGGCCGAGCTCGCTGGAAGCGGCCAGCACGAATCATGGCAGATCGAGGCGACCAACATGTGCTTTCTGCACGCGAACGCCATTGCTGAGCTGATAGAGCTGGGTAAACAGGCCAACACCATCGAATGGCCTGCATTTGTTGGATACTGCATCTGCACGGCAGGCACGGTACATATCCACGGAGCTCATTACTCGAAACAAGGCGCAGTTACAGAAATGAGCGTCTTCAGCTCATCGCCACATTTTCTATCTCGAGAACTACAACATTTAAGTGAATTGCGATATGCGTGGGCAAGCGTGCAGCATCATCGCGAGACTCTGCAGGGGATGTACACAGCCCATGGTGAACTTGTCAAAACGCTGGCTGGTAGCAGCATGAGATACACGCCATCCTTCCACCTGGAGGACTTTTTCGAACGCTATGCTAATCTCATGGGCCCCAATGGCCAGACCTTCCAATTCGATCCTGCCAACCTGAGCCTCTCAGACGCGGTAATTGATTTTACTATCGATGCCTACTCAGGATCCGATCTCTTCGCGCCCCGTGCTGAAGCAAGCAGGCCCAGCCTGAAGAGAAAGAGCACCGCTTCATCGTCAAAGAGTCGCCCGGATCTCAACACAATACCCGTATTGGAAACAGCACCGACTGATGCTTTGGCAAGTCCCACGCGAACTCGTCATTCAGTCTCAAACCAAGGAGGCTTTGCGTCCCTTGCAGACGCATCCGTCGGCCTACAGAGTCTTTCGCATCACCATCAGCCTGGTAACCACCAACGAATGGCAGGCTTTGGCGAGAGTGGGCTGGGCAACAGCAACCGCATCAGTTCCGCCGATTTTGCAATCTCGAATCAGCAAACTGCCGGTGGTCAAAGTCTCTCGAAACAGGCGGGCTTCAACTCAGACTTCAGCTTTGGTGGGGGCCCCAACGCACAAGAATCCAACTTGATGGGCGATTCTGCAAGCTTCGACCCCATGTTCGGAACTCTGCCAACAAATGCATTTAGCAGTCCAGCTGCATGGCACAATGAAGATGGCCAGACCAGAGTGGGTCAGCTGGCGACCTCAGGCAAGCCTGCGGCGCCCAGTCCTGAGAATGGGAGCAACAGTGGCAGCATTACTACCGGCCAGGGCGATGAGAAAGATCCTTTCCTTAGCTTACTGGAACAGCTGGCGGAGAATGAGCAAAGAATCAATAACGGTGCCGGGGGCTCCGAATTGGACTTTTTTCTAGCAGCGGGGCTCAACCCCTGAATGGAGAGAGGTTATAGGAGCCGGAATATCTGCTTGCACAATATTCCACGACCACGTTCAAAATGGCACGTTTTTGTGATTCTTGCTATCTCATTTCATTTGAGCTACCCTCAATACTCTAGCCGCTCATCACACTCCAGGGACACGTCGTGTCGCTGCTGATCTTTCCACACCCTTGTCCCTGAGTTTAGCCCAGCAATGGCTTCTCTCAGTTCAGACATCATCCTTCCTGGTCCACTGCTATATACTTTAGTTGGTCCAGAGACCGTCCTTTCGACAAAGTGCTGAACAATGGGCTTGACATTGGGATGGCCGCTGTTGCCTGCCGTTGCTGCTGCTGTGCTAGGGCGGATCGTGATGAGCTTTCGTTGGCGCGGCGATGACGGTGACTTCTTCTCGTCATCACTGGATAAACCACTGTCATCTGATATGGGAGTTGAAGGCTCGTCGGTATCATCAATAGTGTCGCGGGTGGTGAAGATGCGAATCTTGAGCTCGGTGCCATTATCCTGGTCCTCGAGAACGTTAAGCTCTGGTTTGATCCAGTCAACGTCAGTGCGGTGACGCACAAACCAGACAATTTCGACCTTGCGATTGACAGCCGGGCGACGGCAGACGTCCATAACGACCGGAAGAACGTAGGTGATTCCAGTGCCACCGGCGATGCAGAGGACGTTGTCGGTCGACGTCAGCGAGCGTGTGATGTTCGCCCCATATGGGCCTGTGAGGATGACACCCGTGGTAGACTTTCTTGTCTCAGCTAGAATCTCCGCCATTTTTCTCGTCTCGCCGCCCTTGGCGCGGAGGATGTAAGAGTGTTGCGTTGTGCCGTCAGCGGCTCGCTCGGGGAGGTTTAGGGGTGTGAATGGATGCGACTGCCAGATGCTGCCATCTGTAAAGCATATATAAAAATGTTGACCGATGCTCCAGGGCTTCTGTGGGTGCTTGAAATCCAATCGAACAATGTCGCCGTCATCGTGATCTGGGAATCGTGTTACGGAGGCTTGTGCTGAGTTGAACAGACCACCCTTGTCATTGATAGTTTTGCGGTGGATGAGCCACGTTCGAAGAAGCCGAGTGCATCGATCCAGACTCCAGAGGATGATGGAGGGGGTCAGAAAGCAGTGCAGCTGCTTCCAGTGACCGATGCATGCGCCACAGTACACCATGGCGAGAACATAGTGTGACTTGCGGAAGAACTCGTAACCCGTCCGGCGTATGACGAAGGGAAGTGTCAGTACGTAGAGCAACAGCAATGTGGTCATCGCTACAAGTCCCCAGATCATGTAGAGTTGCACGATCCATTCGGCTCCGACATCTGGCTGGGGTTGATAGAGTCTGATTTCAATGATACACCAGCCAATGGTGTGCAGTGCCCCTTGGACCACAATGATGTACCCGAGCCAGCGATGCAGAAAGTTGAAATTCTGGTATGGAACGCCGGTGATCAGGCTGAGGAGTGATTCACGGCTGCCGAGGAGAACAGAAAGTGGCGTCAAGGCGTATGCCAGCACGCCGACTCTGTCTGACCAAGGACCGAGACCTGACCTGGTATTGTGGAGACCAGGGTGATCTTGGACCGGTGTGGTCCAGTGCTTGTAAGTGATACCAACGAATGACCAGACAGTCAAGTAGGCCGTCAGTGTGGCCAATATGAGCACCTGTAGTCTTGTCGTTCTTCCGAAGATTGGTCGCCAGCAGTCGGTAAGGAGGTATGTTCGCGACGTCGACGACGCCGCCCGGGAAAAACGGGCAAGTCCGCCTTGCCCGGGGCTACCTTTGGGCCAAAGCAGCCGTGCGAAGCCCCAAACACTCAACACAGTTGCAATAGTGAGCCATAGTACGCCGACGTAGGTCATCCCACGATCGTGAGCGCCGTAGACGGCGTCAAGGTACTCACAGGACCCGGGGTCCGTGAGGCATGGGATTTGACGGTCGGCATAGCCCCAGTGGTGCTCGACCTCGGTGTCGAGGGTGAAATTTTGCATATGCGAGCGTTTGAGATCCATGATGGGAGTTGGATGTATTTGAGTGGCGCAACATGAAGCTGTGACTAGCAAGCCACCACGAAACCGAGCGTGCGATTGCTGAACCCATTATAAGAGCTTTACGGAGTATGAGAAGTTCAAGTGCAACTGTTCGTCTCAAGAATAACGTCAGGCACTGCGAGGTGCAGCTCGATTCCGCAACCACCATTGAAACGATCTTGGTCATAGTCGTCCAGCCAAGACATCATGTATATTGCGTGGACCCGTCACGTTTCGTGATGCCGGTCGGGAAGCGGGCCGCAGCATCCCAACAGCGGGTCACATCCAACACGCTTAAGGCTGGTTTCGAGAACCAGGACACCTGCGAGGCAGGAAGTAATAATCTAACGTGGAGCCGTAGTTTCAATCTAGCCCTGCCGGTGGCGACTGTCTCCATGAACCTCAAACGTGTTTTATCCGCTGGATGGAGTTTGCCCTGTGCTGTACAGTCATGGTTGATTTGAGGGAGCACTTTGATACTTCCGATGCATCTCAATTCGATACATCAAAACTATTGTAACGATCTCTTGGGTTGGCGGGAAGGCCGCCCTCGTTGCCCTGAGAAGCCCTCGCACTTCACGTCGTTAGATGGTATGGATGGCATCGGGGCCTTTCCGACCTGACATATGGGAGGTGACCTTGTGTGCGTAGTGATGGCGAATTAGGGCTGCGGACTTCAATAGACGGCGTTTGTCGAAGCATTCCCAGGCGGAGCACAAGCTTCCGTTCAACATCTTTGTGTATGTACATTGAAGCCAACCTGTGACGATGATCCTGTCGAGGTGGACCCAAGCCGAGAGAGGACCCACGTACCTGTAGTATGGACGATGCAACAAGCCAATCGGAAATTATGTGTGGATGAACATTGGTTCGGCACGTTGATTGCCAGCTTGTCACGCTGGGTCAACGGTAAATGCCAAGCATGTTTGGTGAGAACTCCCGTGTCATCGGGGGTCATCCGCAACATCACCAGATGCTGTGTTCTGTCATAGCATGATGCATCCACTCCGTCTCCGTGTGGCCAATTGAGTTGGCCAGATCAAGCATCTGCTCTGCCGTAAGCCCTCCTTCCCACAGGTCCTGCTCGTCCGTGTGAACCATCAACGGGGAAGTAAGAACGTTGTTGCTAGCGTCGTTGGGATCCATGCCGCATGCATGCTCGGGCCCAGGTTGTCGCGCATTCGGAGCAGTGGCTCTGGTGGGTGAGTCTGTCCCTTGGTTCACGTCAAGATGCAGCCCATCACTGGACGAGGATGTAAAAGGCGGTTGGCCCTGGAATGGCCATGCAACGTCTAGTATAGCAGCCAGCTGCTGGAGCTCAGACCAGCGCAGCCGCGCGACCAGGTTGCCACTCTGCGTTATCTCCGAGAACAACTCATAAGCCTTCACCAGCCACGGTTGTGAGGCTTCCTTCAGTGACGAATCGAGCCATGGACCAAGGATAAGATTCACCGTAGCCACAAAAAGCGTCTCGAGATCGTGAGGCAGGAACTTTTCTGGCTTGATGTTAGCAATCCGCGTCAAAATCGCTGGTGGGCAGAGCATACCCAACAGCGCTTGCCCTTCAAGGCAGGCTAGAATACCGATCATCTGCTGGGAAGACTCGACACAGAGCTTGATGAGGTTGGCAACTGTGGCCGAGGATTCTATCATGCCAGGGTATGCCTCCGCCGATTCGCACCGGATTCTCTGAAAGCATATCAAAAGAGGGCGCGTTGCTAGAACGATGCACTAATGTTGATTCATTAGTCAGACGTTTCGCCATTCGTCGCAGACAGTTCGTACCTGATGATATAGAGAGTGAAGATAAGCAGACATTCTCGATATGCCCTGCACGCTGCCCTTCTCGAGCGGCAAGGGAAAGGTCTCTCGCAGCTCGTCGGCCTGCCCGGCCAATGTTGCCAGCACTGATCTTGTGCTGGACAGAAAGTTCTTGTTCAGCCGACCATCGACTCCATACACTTCTATGAGATTGTTGAGCATTCCTCACCGGGCCACAGATTAAGTTCTATCTTACCTCGGCCGATGGACGCAACGGTGTGTGACAACTTGATCTGCATCCGCAGGGCCGACACTCGCTGTATTGAGCCCCCGAAGCTGGGCAACTCTGCACGTACATCCTCGTCATTGATGGAATGAGGTAGTCCCATGAGCGACGTCATTTCACGATCGAGGATATATATGGTCCAGAATATCCGACGACAGCGCTCGACGTGAGGGAGTCCCAGTTGCTCCATGGGCATGTTGAGATGCATACCATTGTTCAGTGCCAGACGCAGCGCTTGACCAATCCACAGCCAAGTTAGCTAGATGTGGTATGGGAGAGGGTGAAACGCCTTACAAAGTTGTGTGCGCAGTGGCGAAAGTCCAAGCTCTGATAGTAAAGCGCAATGCAGCACAAGATCTCGGCTGATATTATGGGAAATCGACACAAAATATGGACATCTGGTAGAAGCTGAAGAGCCTTGACGAAGAAGTCGCACCCCGGTGGTTTGCCGTGGCGACTAGACTGTCCTCCGACGCTTTTGCCAAAGGCCATGACCAACAGTAAATGGACATAAAACAAGCTGCCATCGGCAATTTGTGGCTCCGGGTCAGCATAGAATGCGTACAATGATTCCATGAAGGAGTCTTCGTCGAACATGTGGAAAAGCTGGGCGCAATGGAATTTGACAGCGTTGATCAAGAACAAGGCATGATCCAAGCTCGGAAGCACTGGCACGTCTGAGGGTACAGAGACGCGCGATCCATCCCAAGGCAGGTTGTAGGTTTGACCATCAAACAGCAAATGATCAGGGGCCACAGGGCTATGGTGAACGTATTCGTGCGCCATATTCAGGACTCTCCTTGTGAAGGACCAATTCGAGGAGGAGCCGAGGTGAACTAAGGTGCAAGTGTCAGGAGAGTTGTTTGAGCGCTGTATACCTCAAGCAGACAGCGCAACTTACAAGCATGGCCATCACTTGATTTCATGAAAGATGCTTGACCGGCCGTCAGAGGGTTTTTCAACCGTGCAGCCACCGGATCAAGCCGCGCCAACGAGGCACGAGACTCGTCAGCGGACTCTGTGGCTCTGGAGTCATCCTCCTCCGGCCTTCTTGGCGAGACTAAAGCGTTCGCATCAGTCCCCCTTCGACGTCGCTCGTTTCTTCTGGCAATACGTGGCCATAGGGACTGGCCTCGCAGATGACCCGTGGCTGGCATGACAGTTTCATCATCGTCTTGCTGGAAGACTGGGTTGTCCCTCGATCGATGACGAGCTTGCTCCTGAAGGTCGCTAATGAAACTGCAGGGGCAACGAGTCAGCTTGTTTATCAGATTTAACGTCTACATGTACGCCCCAGAACTCAACGTACCCTTTTGTTACGAGGACTTTTTGATCTCGCTCATCAAGCTCGCACGCAAGGTTTCGTTTCTTGCATGCCTCACACGGCTGTGAGCCGGAGCATTTGATCTTCTGTCGCCGGCATCGAACGCATCTGTCGGTGGTCAACTTCCGTCTCGATATCTTGTTGTGCGATACCAAAAGTTCACGTACGCATTACAGGTGCGTTGAGAAACGCGATTTCGACGCGCAGATCTAGCGATGCGCTGCGTAGAAGACGCGGAGGGCGACATGCCTATGAGCAAGACAGACGGAGTGCTATCGTTTGTGCATAAGGTACTGACGACAATCGATTGTGAGGGGCATTGGAGCTTGCAGGACGTCAGTCACTGTGGCGTGCGATTGACAGTATGTGGGGTACATTGCAGGTCTAGGGTTGTCAGGACCACAGACCTCAGTGGGTTCAAGTCCAAGTTGTCCACTTTCGACGAAGTATTCCAAATGTTTGTTGTCAGGGGCCTAAGTTACCTGATTATTGCCGTGCGTGATGTTTAGAAAGCTTTTCTTTTGAGCGACGGAACTTTTCTGGTATCCCTTCAAAAGTAGTGGATGAAAACTACCCAGCTCCTTTGAAAGAGAATACGAGGAAGGAGAAAGAAAACAAAAACACTAAACGCCCATACAAGTCGCCGTCCTGGTTGTATTCACATCTACCGTGGCCATCACTCAATCACACAGATAGCAGCTTGTTTCAAACAACGACGACGTGGCTTCAATGGGCTTCTGGCCCGTGTTCGGATTCACGAGCGACCTTGACTAAGGTATTCACGATGATCTCTGGGGCTAGAATAGAGCCGCGAACTTTGAGTATATCGCAGAACATATCCAACAAAAAGTTTGCGCATGCGATATATACTAAGTGTTTGAGCGAAGCACCAGCACCACCATGGCAATGGACACGACCAATGCTCGTAGCATACGCGGAGGATTTTCGCCGTCACAGCGTATTGGCAAGCTGAGTCTGTTCCTGACGTGTTGATACACTAAGACATGGGACTCTAATCTAATCATTAGATTTGATGCGTCGAAGTGAATGCTTGATTATGTGAAGGTGGCCACAATCGAGTCTCTTACCTCGAGACTTGACAAACCCGTGAAAGGCCATCATGATCAACACTTATCAATGCCGTTCCAATCCTCTTGTTCTCCTGCTTTACTTTACTGTTTTGAACCTATATATGCCATCTTCACGGACTGTTCCCTCTGAGAAAATGTCTTCATCTTCACCACTCATCATCTGGTGTTGCGAGAAGCTCCATGAAGAACGGGGCTTGTTTGACACAGCCAGGCACCAAGTCCACCCGGAACAGATCCGGCGCATTTTTGCGTGCATCTAGGCCTCCCCGTGACTCACGGTATAAATCTCTTTTCTTAGAGGCGGAGCCCCGAGCCTTGTTGCTCCAACTCTACTGATTCGGAGGACTGGCTCTGTCCTGTGGAACCAAAAAAATCACTCGGATCTCAGTAGAAAGGTAGAAACAAGCAAACAAACGCGTTATAACGTGACAATAACGTCATCGGGAGTGAACAAACATCAAGTGTGGGTCACATATCAGTCACTCCTGGCCTGACGGGTCACGTCGGGCCTTTGAATTCACAGTTCTGAAAGGAAACCCGTTCTGTACAAATCTGATTTTGTAGCTGCTGGCTCCATTTTCTTACTCTTTATATGCGTGTTCTCTCTCAGCCAGTCTGCCCTCAACGTAAACACTCGACATAAACACTGGACACCGCCAGAAGCATCCTCTACAAATGCAAATCAATTCATGAACAACTAAACACAACATAGATAATTTTTCTTTTCTGTGGCTCCTCAATCCTGACCAACTCCTTCTTCTGGAGCGGAAATGGACATGGTTGTTGTGTCCCGGTTTCAATCAAAGACGGCCATGCAACGCCATTTAGAGACTGCGAAGGTCTTTAGCAATGAATTCCACACACACTTGGGAGTACCCGAAGACATGGGAGGATGTCACTGGTGTAAGTAAGAATTGCGGCTTCTATGAATGCTTGGCTAACGTCTGGTCTCAGACATTCGGCACCATTGAACGAATTTGGTTGAGCGACACATCTCAACTCACAGTTCCCGGTCCGATGCTGTTCTCTTTTGCTTTCGGCCGTACATGGACTGAAGCGTTGGGGGGGCAGTTCTTGAGAGAACAGAGTCGTGATGGGGTTGCGCGTGCTGAGTCGGCGACATTTGGAGCTCTGCCGATGAGGGGGTCACATTTGCGATGGAGGGACATGGCTCGGTTTGCTTTGCACATGCAGTTAAATTTCAATTCAAATTTCTCATGCACTCTGTTTACGATTGGAGTCCGTGACAGTACATAGTAACGAATCCCGGGACCTAGACCTCGAGAGTACGCGACTCGTCTTGTTCGTGCACTATGCCGCAGTCTGTTTGGGTTGTTCTTGGTCTTGTTCTTTCGACAACGGAGGCAAAAACCGGTCAAGTTCAGCCATGTTCTCCTCCTGAGTGTCGTAGTGCCGAAAGAGGGCATAGAAGATGAATCCGGTAATAAATGAAGCGACCCCAACTCCGGTATACATCCAAGTGAATTTCGGATTCACAGCCACCGAAACAAGTGATTCAGACAGTGCAGAACCAAAAGCATTAGTAGTAAGATAAAGGGCCGAGACCAAGGATTTGAGGTTAGGCGGTGCTTTAGTATAAGCGTACTCGAGCCCAGTCACGGATATGAAGATCTCAGCAAGACCAATGAAGACATAGGCTGGTGTCTGGACCGCAATGTGGACATGGTTGGGCAGCGGTGTCTCGCCGTCCATACCCGCGGGGCAGGCGCCAGGCTGTTCATAACACGGACCAGCCAAGTAGATAAGGTGCTGAATAATGGCAGCATATGCCAAGCATAGTGCCGCAAACCAGAATCCGATGGTGATGCGTGCAATAGGACGAAGTTTGATGCCGGCACGTCTAAGTAGTGGATACACCATCCTATCCAAAATGGGAGTGAAAACAAGAATGCTGATACTACACAGCGCATTAGCATCATTACAATCGATCTGTGAATGGATTACTTGCGGATCCAGGTTCTGAGTCCAGTCGTTAGGGAGGCCATGGCCTTCCATTTGACCGGCCTGAGTGATGAAATTGGTTGAAAACTGTCCGTAGCATACCCAGAAGATGGGATCTCCTTCAGGTCAGCATCCGGGAGCTGCACGCGGTGTAAGGCGATACTCACAGAAGACAAAGACCTTGCAGGCACGCAGGGCACGCTTCAGCTCGTCGATAAAATGATCATTCCAAGGCACAGCCTGTGTCTTGCCGTGGGCCTCGCGCCAGGAGGGTTTGGCGGCATTAGTGTCACGGGCCGCGATCATCATGCCGATGGCCTTGAAGGAGTCGGTAATGACCGACCCCTGGGGCGGGCGGTTGACGTAGCTCTTGCGCCTCAGGATGAGGATGGCGATGCCGACGTTGAACATGCAGAAGCACATGAGATAGGCGGCTGCCACGAGTTAGTCTTGGTCGTTTCGCTTGGTGAATTTCACAAGCACCAAGTGGACGTGACATATACTTACACCAGAAGCCACAATACTTCTCCATGAACGGTGTCGCCATGAGTGACAATGCTCCAAGGTTGATGCACCAGTAGAAGATCATGTAGATCCTCTGGTAGGTGACGGCCGGGTCTATGACCACGCGCTCGCCCGACTTCTCCGTCCTGATGGCCATGATGCGGCGCTGGTACTGGTCCGCAATGAGGGGGGCAATGTTGGACTTGATACCACCGGTGCCAAATCCGATGACAAAGATGGCCACGATGTAACCAGGAAGACCGGCGCCGGCGTCAAGGGAGGCCGGCAGAGACGTGGTCCACAGGATGACGAGACCGAACCAGTAGATGCCGGCAAAGACGATGATGGTCTTGTACTTGCCAAGATACTGATCGGCGACGATGGCGCCGAGGATGGGCGTGACATAGCAGAGCCACTGGAAGGCCAAATTGAGGCCGGTGGCCGCCTGATGTCCCAGACCCAGGCCCTTGGGACCGTCCGAGCCGTTGCGGCTGTGGCTGATGTAATTTTGGAACAGACCCTGGGCACCGTAGTAGGCGAAACGCTCGGTCAACTCCACGATGGCGATGAGAAAGGCGGACGCGGGCAGGTTCTCGCCGACACGACGAAGCGTACGCTTCTCATGCTCGCTGGGCTCCTCGCCATCGAGGGTGGGCACGGCCTCGGCGTCGAAGCCAGGCTTCTCGTCCCTGGCGTTGGCAGCAGTACCACCAATGTAGCCACCGGTCATGTCCCTGTGAGGGCCAGTCTGGCGCGACTCCATGGCCTCATGCAGCCTGAATCTGGGGTGAGCAGATGTCGTTACCTAATACGGCCGAGGGAGGGACCAAACTCACTCTGCTGTGGTGTCCTCGTGGTTCATGGCCATGTTGAGTTACGTATTACCCTCGGCTACCCCAGGTTGAGACAGATGAGAATCGAGCCGTGGTCAGGGAAACGAAAGAGAGCCCTGACTTATAGAAAAGTCTTCAATGGAGCCCCGGTCCACTTGGAACGACCCTTGGGATTTATCTCGCGCTTCTCCACGCCGAACCACGCGAGGGTCCTCTGCCACGGGCGTTTTACGCCACTTGGGATTCCATGACCGCATGGAGGTAAGAACTGGAGATGTGTAGTTGGTGTGTGTGTGTGCGTGGGAGCGCGTGAGGCCGCGTCTACGTCGATCTACCCCGGACGACCTACATGTACATGTAGGAATCCGGGCTGGTTGCAACCGCGTACATACGTGGTACTGTAGCGTACAGCGGCTCGCTTGCTGTGGGCTAGCCTCTTGAGGCAAGGACACTACGCCCACGCACGTAGTCTGTACTCTGTACAAATAGGGGAACTTATGGTTGTAGCCTCGAGGACAGGCGTCTGGCCCGTGGAAGCCGGACCGAAAGGTCGTCTCGCTAGTTCGACGTTGACCAAGCCCAAGACGCTTGTGCGTATTCCCGGCGCTGCAGTGCCGAGTCTGGGGCGGGACTGGAGGTGACCAAGCGCCGGTTGCCGAGGCCAAAACGGGAAAGGGATGGCCAGCCCGCTCTATCCGGCCGGGACTCGACTAGAGATCAAGTATGCGGCCCACATCTCGTGGCCGGTGAGCCGAATGGGTCTCGTAATGGCGCACTAGATGGTTGAGCAGCACTTTTGTGCTGGCGTGGGCACACCGAGCCGACTTTGCCGGAGGATCCACAGCATTATGTACAACTTGGACGCAGGAGCGGATGAAAAGCGATGCCACAGGGCAGGAATCATGATGAATAATGACACCAGGGGATTTTCGGAACGTGAGTCTGCAAGAGGAGACTGGAGATTGTGAAACGCGCCGCCAATCGTGGTGTTGACTGAGGCGGGTTGATTCAGATTGATAACAGTACGTTCCATTCAATTCACTGTTGTGTCGGTTGCTCAATTGGCGAGAGCAGTAGTTCGCCACTAGAAACTTGAACTTGCAAGCTGACGCGCCCAAACACTAAAGCGAGCGAATCTCCCGCGATGTCTGCTGCCAGGCGACTCTGCTGTACTTGCTAAGGAACACAAGTGTCAATTTATGTTGTGTGTCAGGCCCGGTGACTGTCAGACCAGTCACTGCCCTGATTGGTCAGGCTGCCCATTCGGCCCACAGCTGCCCTCAAAAGGCAGCATCTTCGCGCTATCGCGTTCTTCCTCTTTTCATAGCATCAGCATCTTCCTCAGATAGAGAATTCATCTTCTTCCTTCTCTCCTGATCTGTTGATCATCATAATTAATCTCTACCGCTGTGGGGATGACGGCCACGCTTGATGTGCTCGCCACCCTGGACCCTTGCTTTGGCTATTTGCACATACTTCTACGGAGTACCTGTAATCCACATTCTATCATCGCTCGAGAAGCTCTTGCGAAAGACTGTAACGGTCCATGCGACCACCGCTCGTGCTGCGACACTCTGCAAGTTGCCAACTTACCTGTCAGAACTTTATCGTGACCGTGCAAAATTCTCAACGACATTTAGCATCGTGCCTGCATGAGCCCTGAACCAGTTGCATCAAAATTTCAAGCGGCTGACACGGTGAGGCGTCCCCGAGCATCTACTTCTGCTAACGTTATAGTAATTGCAAGTTGTAATTTGCACCCCACAATCCCGTGCAGGTCACTCACGGGTACGGAGTACTTCTATGGACATCTTGACGCTGTACTTTCCCGACAAGTGTGTTTATAGTAAAAAAGTGCAATCTTGGACAGAAGACCCGACTTTGTATACGGCAATGACGACAGTGCACTGCGAGGTCTGCTCACAAGGGGCATATGTCAACCTGTTCGCCTCGATGCATATCCTTCCCTCCCAAGTTGCTTCCAAAGTTGAGTGCGCTCCTCAGAACAGGGAGACCTAGCTGTTCTTGTGACCGCTGCTAGTGAAGTCACTTATCGATGCGTGTCTGAGCTCCAGTCGTTGCCTCGAGCACATTTGGAGGAGTAGGTGAAAGGAGCCCGAGCAGGGCTGATGCCTGTCGCATTATGAACTCAAATGCCTGCACAATTTTCAAGCACATCTGGCCGAGCGGTCTAAGGCGCTGTGTTCAGGAGATTCGTTTCTCGCAGTCTCGTAAGAGGCCTGGGTTCGAATCCCAGGGTGTGTAATCGCGTAATTTTTTGGATTTCTTTTCTTTCACTTGACATGCTCTTTTTTTTGGCTTGTGCACGCCATCAAGTCGAGGGAGAGATGATGTCCTGGACGCTGAACCTGCTGACTTCAATGTTGCGTTCATCCACAGCGACCTCCTTGACCATGCTAGCCCGTTCCACGAGAACCGTACCAACTCCACTCCTCACTATTAGCTGACCTGTCTAGCTGCTTGCATCATTTTGTCCTTGTTTCTGATCTATGGTTCGTCTTGGTGGGTTTTGTATGTTTATTCCTTTTATTTTGCTGTTCTCGAAGCTGCGCGCGCATGGCACCCCGTCTCACCTTTCTCGCGTCGTGACTCGTGAGACTCGTGTCTGACCCCTCGGGTTGCAGATGCAGTTCAGCCGCACATCCGCCCCGCGACTTCATCCTCGTACCATCCACACCGACAATATGCCGTTCATTAGGACCGTGGAGCTCATGCGCCGACAACATGCCCTGGGTTGACACGCGCCGCAAGGTGAGAAGCGTCTGCCGCCGGGTGTGGGCGAGACTCGCAGAGTCAGGTCCACGTCCGCCAGAGCCTGTGGTAGACGAGCCTGAGGAGGTCCTCCCCTTCCTCCCAGATCCGCGCCCCCGATGCATCACGCCGCCGCCCTCCGCCGCGCCTCCGCGTCAAGAGCAATGTCTCTTCTTCCGCAAACTGCCACCCGAGATACGGATCCAGATATACAATCATGCGTTCGGCAACCAGACCTTGCACATGGACCTCGAATACACCTGGCCTGACAAACCCAGATCAAGAGTCGCTGACGAGAACGGGGGCACGCGACGACACTGCGCAATAGCACCCAATGCGAATTTTCCGGCCTATCGCAAACTCGACAGCAAGCAGCCAAGGGCGTGGCGCTGGTGGGGCAGTGTGTGCCATAGAGAACCGCCGCCGCACAAATTGTCCGTGATCCATCGCTGGGACGAGGAGCCTGCACCGTGGGTCGACAATTGCCGGAACGGCCGCGTGAAGTACTGCGCGGCGTGGGGAGGCGCGTGGCCTGAAAGGTGCCAGACTGGTGTCATGGGCTGGCTTCTGAGCTGCCGCCTGGCGTGGGTTGCCACATGAAGACTCTGATCGTGCCATGGCGTGAGCTGACTTGACTGTTTCTAGGTACGTCGAGGCCATTGACATTTTATACCGCCAAAACACCTTGCACATAGACAGCCATGCGATTTTCGAAAACCTCGACCAGCTCTTCCTCGCGCAGCGCTTGTCATGCATCTCCTCGTTGGAGATCAAGTACAACACGAACATCCTTACGGAGAGTTGGGGGTTGTATCCGTACATGGAGGCGGTCTGCGGGATACAGCGTCTCTTTCGGGCCCTTACATCTCAACTTCCAAGCCTCCGCACTCTCCACCTCACCATCACATCTGTGTATGATCTTGGAACGCCGGTGAACTTTAAGCTTTTTTTCGAGGCCGCGGACAAGTTCGTTGTTGACAATCCTGCCTTGACACGCTTCACGCTGTCCATACCGCGAGCCGCCTTTCAGCATCTGTGGGTCGAAGCACAGACGAATAGAGCGCCGCAACACGAGGATGGTGGCGTCGAGACGGAAACCTTTCGGTTTCTCAACGGCACCTACGGATTCACAGATCAAGACGCCCAGGAGACAGGCCTCCGTTGGAAGCGCGATCGCCCGCTGCGGTCCAACTTCAAGGAGTGCGACAATGGGTACTGGGTTATTGAGGGCCAGAAGAGCCCTTTTCGATTCAACTTTTAGCATCAAGTGAGCATTTTTCCAATGGACACAGGTCCCCGCTTGGTCGAGGAAATCTAGTATACGTATGTAAAGTACGGGTTCTCCTTGTCAGTGAGGTCTTGGAACGCGAGCTTGTCCCTATCCTCGGCGCTGACAGCCAGCTTCGCCTTCTTCCCGTTGTCCCTCCTCAGTACAACGTACAGTGCTGCGCTAGCCGCGATGCAGATGGCGTAGCAGATGATCAAGCCAGTCCACAGGTCGGGATAATGGTCGGCCTTCTGCTTCGAGTCCACCAGCAGCGGGCCCACAATGTTGCCGACGCAGTAGGCAACGAAAATGGTCGCGGCCATGAAGCTCTTCTTTGTGTGTCCGGCGACGTTGGACATGCCCACCGTGATGATCAGAGAGACGACGGCGCCAAAGAACCCGGTGATGGAGTAGCCGGCGAGAGGTGTCGCAGCGCGGTACGACCACTCCGACTTCCAGATCATGACGCACCCTATTCCATCAGCCATTCGGACGATGCGACGTTTTGGAAATGCAAAGACTTACCCGCAATGACGGGGAGGCAGCAGACAATCAGCATAATAAGCCTGATGTTGCGAAACCTGGATCCCAGGAAACCGGTAAGTAAAATGGCCACAAAGCAAATGGCCCCCAGAGGAAACTGCCACAAGATGGAGTTCAAGGGCGTCCATCCAAATGTCGAAACAATCAAAGGCCCAAAGCCGCTCACGGCACCGTTGACGGTATACCTGTCGAGGTCAGCGCTGCGCCCTTCCATTCGCGCGCTTGATGCACTCACGCGCTGCTCATCATGACGAAGATGAGCCAGACTTTTACATCTAGCAGTGCTTCCCTCAGCTGCGCCCACTTAAACGTGGCGCAACGCACGCCGGTTTGACCATGCCTCAGCCTCTCGACGGCTGCAAACCGCTCTTCCTTGGTCAGAAACCAGGCATCCACCGGTGAGTTGGGCACGCAGAAACAGAACAAGCCGAACAAAAAGGTCAAACTCCCAGCCAGGATGTAAATGTACTGCCATCTCGTCAAGCTGCCGCCCTGGATCGTCGCAAAGCCATAGTTGAGACCGCCTCCGATGATGGTCCAGAGCCCGGTGCTGCTGAACCACCAGCCTTGGCGGAGACTCTGCTCCGACTGCGTGTAGTAGCTCGAGACAATGCACATGAATCCAGTGGGGATGATGCTCTCGACAAACCCCAGGAAGAATCGCTGGACGTACAGGCCCTGGTAGGACCTCACGCCCGCTGTCGACAGGCAGACGGCTGACCAGACGATGACGATGCCACCAAGGATGCGGCCGATGTTGAATCGCTGAAGAGCATAGGTTAGTGGGTACAACCCGGCCAGCATGCCAAAGTAGAAGAGGCTGGTCGCCCACGACAATCTCTTCGTATCGACAACGGGCGGCGTCGCATCTGGGTCGGTCACCACAGAGAGCTCCAGGTCAGTGGTCATGCCGAACAGGACGGCAGCGCCGAGGATGGCCTTGTCGTAGTAGACGAGGCCGTAGCCGACGATCATGGCGGGGATGAGGAACCTGTCGATTTTGCGCACGGCCCGCGCCGTCACCTCGGGGTCCAGCTCGTGCGCTGTGAGCCCAACAAAGGCGATGGCATCGTCTGGGGACTTTTCGTTGTGGCCAGCCGGTCTGGCTGGCTCTTTCGTCGGGTGATCCGTGGACGCCATCATATGTGTTCAACAGTCCAGCGTTCGTGATCTGCGAAAAGAAAATAATTTGAAAAAAAAAAAAAAAATCGCGTGTATTTGTTGCGGTATATTTGTTGTAGTATCCTTGCCAACCTTATTATTTTACCCGCAGCTGCGTGATCGGCCAGGAGTGGGGAAGAGTCTGTCTGACAGGGATCCAGTCCTTAATTGACTGAGGGACGAGAGCAGCCGATAACCGGCCGGAGAGGCGGGGCCGGACACGGATGTGCTTTACAGGAGAGCAAGTCCTTCACGTCAGGATTGTTTACAGTTGGAAAAGGGGGTTGCATCGATTCGCGCAAGTAGCGTCTTCTGCAATACGGAGAAATGAGGCTGCTTTTGACTTGTTATGTCTTCAATACAGATACAATCAACGTCATGTGCAGCACGTTGCAGCAGAATAAAAAGAATATTTCCCCGTTACTGTAAGTACTAGCTGAAAAAGAAATGGAGCAACAGGGAATTGAACCCCGGACCTCTTCCAGTCACACATAACACACATGCGAAGGAAACATCATACCCCTAGACCATTGCCCCTATTAATAAGCATCAGCCTCACGCGTAACAGCATTATATATCCATGCGAGATCCCTCTGATGCATGTATCGTCACTTCTTGTTATTCCCTAATCCGCTATTCGCAGTCTTGATCGTGTTCGCCTCTTTGACATAACCTACCCAAAGTCAGGGTTGGGAACCAGTCCATACTTTAAGGACTGCCTAGTCACCAAATGGGAGGTCTGGTCTGGGCGGGCCATTTCTTGGTAGAGGAGATTGGGTCGCAAATTCAAGCGGGATCAATTCACTGGCATCCATTTCATGCGGCAATTACTTTTCGCAATGCCTGAAGAAGTGGCAAGGCGCACATTTTCTACGAAGAACAGCGGCTGAGCCTTCGTTGCCATCAAGTCCCCAAGCCAGACGCCGAACATGTAGAATATCCAGCTTTCACTGGAACTCTCAGCGTTCGCTGTTTCTAGAATTTGATGTAAAAGCGTGTTTTTGTCAGAAATTAGCTGTTCTCAAGATCTTCGTATGGTGCAGGTTGAACACACTGTCAAGCCATGGTCCAAACGGGAAAATCACCAAGGCCACCAGAGAACAAAGATCAGCTTAGAACGAGCAACAGCATAAGAATATAGTTCATCCCGGGCATAGAAAGCTGAATCTAACTTTTCTGTCATTCAAAACCGACCATTACTTACACCAAACTACATTACAATCACATCAGAACCACAACATGCCTTTATTTTCCCAGTCAGCAAGAGGTGCGAGGGACGATCCCCTGGATCGCGAGTCCAGAAGCCCCGAGTGGTGGGGCCAAGCACACTATGTCCCTCATAGCGGTGATCCCGAGCGACTCTTCATCTTCGCCGAGCCCAGCCACATGACGAAGGAGGAGGAGGAGGCGATCCTCGCCGTGTGGAACAAGGAGACTTCCGCTCCCGGCGCCGAAGACGCCAAAGGCCTAGCCTTTGACCTCCGTCCAAGCAACACGGTCGACCAGAAAGCAGCAGCCCAGATCAATGAGCTCCGCCGCAAAGGCGAGCAGATTACGCCTGAAGTTGAGGGCATGATCCGCTCGCACTATACCAAAAACTGTGGTCTTCTCGAGTCTTTGCGCCACTATTGTCAGGAGAAGGAGTTTGTCCCTGTAGACTATCTGAACGAGCTCGTCCTCATGAATGAGCGATTGATTGTCGAGTGCGCCAAGCAGGGAGCTCGTGCTCACGAGCCCATTGTCCGAAACCAGGCCCCTGATCTGCCCCCACAGCGGAATCAACTCAAAATTGAGAACCAACAGCTGAAAACCCAAATTGAGCTGCTCAGGCAGAGAGTCGAAGACTTTCAGCGCAAAGAGAATAGATGTCGGGGGTCTTCGCGCCCTCCCAGAGTGGGTGGCATTTACAGTTCTGCGCACCCTTCTCTGCATGTGTCGAACGCGTCTGGCTCCACGCCTTCCAGCCAGATAAGTGACCGTGAACGAACCGAAAGTCAAGGTGCCCCTCAAATTACAGGTGACGACAACGACAATTGGGGTACCACCGTCGTTGGAGGAGACGATGCGTGAAGTGCCTGCGGAAGTGCCGGAGTCGCAGCCTGAAGATGAGAACCGGTAAGGAACCTCTTCCCCCGCCCCTTTTTTTGCGACATGGTGAGCTGTCATTCACTGCTGCAGATGAACATTAGGTGGCTTCCGAGTGGTTTTGTTTATATTTGATGAGACGTCTAACGCGCAGTCATACGGCATCAGATTGACCTTCTCCGCGTTGGCGGTCACTCGTGGAACCCACGCGTAGGAGGCATATGCCACAAGAACGTCAGTGAGGAGAGGGAAGGCAAGAATCTCCTTTTTCATTTTCACGGGTGAGTGCACATGTGTCTGACAAGTGAATTTTACCGGAATTGTGAATTGAAGACAGCATTAAGCAGCATAGCCCCTGGATACAATAAATGTGGCATGAGGCTCAAGTGGCTGTCACAGGTCGATGTCGTGCTCTAGAGACTGACGCCTAGCGGGCGAGATGAAGAACATTCAAGGTTAGCCCTGGGGACCTCCATGTATGTGAGTAACCGCCATTTGATGCAACACAGACACCGGAACTATCCGACTCCCGCCCGCACACACCTGTGAGGTTGGAGACGCCCAGCTGCACCAAAGATTCAGTTTGATACTATGTTCATATGGACACCGCATGTTCATGTTGGACACGTTGAATACCACGTGTCATCAAATGACCGTGCTGCCCTGGCTAGGGCGAGCCCGTTCGCCCACGTTCCAGATAAATAGGTTGTAAATCTAGAGTTTTCGTGCTATCTGAAAGATTGAGACTTCGTAGCTCGGAAAATTCTCAACATTGAGATACCAATTACTAGGCCATGGGGCTTGTCTCGAAGCCCATGCTTATCAACACATCTGTCATCACAGATATTGCTCTCAAGAGGCGCGTCATACCGGTTGGCGGCAGGCTTCCTTTGCGGGGGTTTCATAAAGATGTTACTTGGGTGGCACCTGGGCTACAGCACGCCTTTGAAGAGATGCTCTTCAGCGTCTTTTCATCCGGCGACTTCACTTTCACATCACATACCGAGGGGAAGCAGCAACTGATCACGCCTTATAGCATCCTCACTAGTGGTGATGTGGAGTCACTCGAAGAAGGCCATATGCCTAGACCATTTCAACATCAATCATCGCTCAGCTCTGGATCATTCTCTCTCCCCACCTCTCTTGCCATGCTGCTTTCAACCTCCACACTCCTTTCACTCCCTTAACTTCCTGTTCACTCTTTTCTTCCTCAAATACTTCAACTCCACCTTTGAACATCATAGAGGCCTGAACCTTCCTCGTAAAGCACTTCGACAAGATTCACCATGGCAGGCCACGATCCCGCTTTCGAGGCCATGATGGCAATCCGCACCAAGAACAACCACCACGCGATGCTTTACTTCGCCGTCATTACTTTCATTCAAGCTCTGTCTACCTTCGTACTCGTTTTCGCACCTCGCTGGATGAGGGTCCAGAAACAGCGGCTGACCCTGCCCACGTTTTGTGCAGCAACTGTTTGGTACGTGAGCTCAGTGAATCACAGTACGGAATGCTGATGCAGACAGTCATCTCGTTTCATTTCTCAGCAAGCATGTCCCATGTCTTCCGTCAGTTGGCCACACGCTACACGTGGCTGTGTGCACCATCGCCAACGTGGTCTTGACGTTCGCGCCAATTGACTACACGAACATGACAACGCTTTCCAACATTGCTTCTCGAACAGGCTGGTGAGTGCAGTTCTTCATTTTGCTACCTTTAAGAAAAGCTGACGCCTGCAGGCTTGCCATGGCAAACATGGCTGTCGTTGTACTCTTCTCGATGAAGATCAACCCGCTCTACTTGATGGGCGGCTTCACCTACAATCGCCTCAGCATCTTGCATCAATTCGCTGGATACATGACCATCGCGCATGTCATCGTACACGCGGCTTGCTATTCTGCTTACTTTGTTTCGGTCCATCGGCCAGAGCGTCTGCTGTATGAGGCGGAGGTGTACGGAATGGTAGCAGGCATCTGCTTCCTAGGTCTCGACATCTCAGGGGCATTTATACGGCGTTGGTGGTATGAACTCTTCTATTGCCTTCACATTGCATTCTGGATCATCGGCGTCGTCTCTCTTGGGCTTCACCAGCCCGAAATTGGCAAGGGCATCATCTTCATCACCATCACATGCGCCAGCCTCTGGGTTCTCGACCGCCTGACACGCTTCCTCCGGCTGGTCGTCTGCGGTGTCTCGAACGAGGTCACCCTCACACCCTTGACCAACGGCGGCACCCGCGTCACCCTCAAAAAAGCACCACGTGGAGCGCAAGCTGGACAGCACTGCTTCCTGTGGGTCCCCGCCGTCCGAAGGTTCGAGATGCACCCGTTTACCATTGCTAACATGGACTCTGCCGAGTTCGTTATCGCTTCTTATAATGGATTCACAAAAGATCTCCATGAGTATGCGGTCTCGCACCCTGGAGCTGTTGTTCAGGCCAGTGCAGAGGGACCCTACGGCTGCCCACGCACTCCTGGTAGTATCGACAAGCTGATTCTGGTTGCTGGTGGGAGCGGTGGCTCCTTCGCTTTTGGCATAGGCAAGACACATGTTTTCGCCCCACGCCCCCGGTCCGTCAAGGAGATTGAACTCATCTGGATCGTTCGTCACTTTTGTAAGTATGCTTGTGGGCATCGATACTACTTCTCGCTCTTGCTAATTGATTATAGCCCAGCTCAGCTGGTTCGCCAGAGAGATCGCCGACCTCGCCGGTCAAGAACGTGTCAAGATTCACTTGTTCGTGACCCGCGGTCCTGGAGTAAGCCTCCGAGGCATTAACTCCCTCGCCTTGAGCACGATTGCCTCGAGTCAAGACGGGGCAACTGAGCCCGCCTTTGCCGGCGAGGACAGCAAATCAGCAGCAAGTTCTGTAGGGTCTGTCGATTCCGAGAAGGAGGATCTTCCGACCACAACTGATGAGCGCGATGTACCCCAAATTCACGGAGTGTCGGTCACTTTCGGGCGCCCAGACATTACGGGTATGCTTCGTTCATCTGTCGAGGACCTTGGCAGCGACCATGCTGTCACGGTCATGGCATGCGGGCCAGGAGGTCTGATACGTGCCGTACGAGAGGCCACTTCGTCGTGCACCAAGCCGGGCGGACCTGCTGTGAGCGTGCACTGTGAGCACTTTGGCTGGTAGTCTTGATTTTCTTTGTACTGGCGAAGGCGAGCGGCGAACAACTGGGGAGGCGTTTTCGTTGAGTGTGCATTTTGGTTCCTTGTTCTTCAAGGGCGCGCCGCTACCACCATCGGCCTTGTTGCCCTCGGACCGGTTGATTTTGACATATTTGATTGGACACCAGCGTGCAGCTTTCCTTCACGGCTGAGCTGGGTATTTTTCTGTGAAAGTCCAAAAGAACTACATCAATCTTCAGCAAGGACTGGCAGAGTCCCGCCACCCCTTCCGTAGATCCACCAGGGACTTTCCGAGTCTGGGAGGCCCTCCTTCGCGAATGCATGCGTTTTCTGCCTGTCATGTTGCATGTGCTATCATAACACGTCGTCCAGATCCCTTGGGCTTTCTGAACGCTGAAGGCCTCGTGTATACCCCACATACACCATGCCTCCTCTCCTGTCTTCGGTGATTAAACTGCGGCTGTTCAATTCGGCGTCACCTTGGGCAACCACAGAGGGGCAATTGAGGGAACTGCTGGAATGTCCTACGACGGGCGCAGTCACTGTCCGGACAAGCTTGATGCAAGGATTTGATCATCGACCAAGAGACCATCGTTTTACCTTCTTCAGTGCGGGCTCTGCGCAAGTTGCGAGAGCGGGGACACAATCGTATCCCGACGACGCTGATAAGAGTGCGAGGGACGCTGACTCCATCACCGACCACGACGATGCGCCTTGCGACTCCACGCTCAACAACTTGGGATACAGCCCATACACCCTGCCCGAGTACCTCGAGATACTGCAGAAGCTGTCGAACACTTCTAACAGTCGCAAGTGCTTCATTCTGTCAGTCACAGGCACCGCCCCAGACGTGAGACAATGCTACGAGGCCATCGTGGATGCTAAAGAGCGCATCCGTTTCCCGCTCGCCATGGAGGTCAACCTGAGCTGTCCCAACATCCCCAATTCGCCCCCAGTGGCGTACACCAAAAGCGCTCTGTCTCAGTTTATCCGTGCGTTGCCAGGAGACCCAGAGATACCTGTCGGAATCAAGGTGCCCCCATACACTCACGCTGGACAGTACGATGCCTTGAAGGAGGCGTTGCTCGATTCTGGGGCTGCCTCCCGTTTGAGCTTCATCACCGCGGTCAATACACTGGGCTCCTGTCTTATACTGGAAGAAAAGAACACCTCTGATAGCGTACGGTGTGTACCAGGCATACCTGCACAGAGCATCGCACGACAAAGGTGGAAGGAAACTCTGCCTGGGAGAGGGTTCGGTGGCATGGCCGGAGCCGCGCTGCATCCTCTTGCTCTGGGGAATGTCCGCATGCTTCGAAATCTACTCGATTCAGAAGAGCCCCTATCGAAGATCGAGGTCATCGGCGTGGGTGGTGTGGATGACTTTCTTGGATACGAAAGGATGCGTGCTGCTGGGGGAACGTTCGTTGCTCTGGCCAGCGCGTTGGGTGCGAGGGGGATTCGTGTCTTTTCCGAGATTATCTGAACTTGGTAACTTGCAATCTCGTTTCACGTCCCACTTCCGCTTTCATTTGAAAGTATGACCATATGTGCTGTAGCATATGGTACGCTAATTAGCGGCAATCAGGCACAGCGGGATCCCTGTTGGCCTGTTTGATAATATATGTGAATGCCTGGAATGTGCACGATCCCGCCTCCGCAACGTGTCGCCGGAGAGGGTGAGCTGGAAAACGTGGATCGGAAATCAGCATCTGTCTTTATGAGACTACCGGCGTATGAATCGAGCCACATAGCTAGGTTCTACTAAAGTTACTTGTACATGTACGACTTTGTCGAGAGAGGTGAGCAGGGTGGTGTAAGAAGAAATCTGCGACGCCGGCAATTCGGATTTTAGGTGTCCGAACACCAAAAGTGACGTCGCAGCAAATTATCCCGAGAACGCGCCAGACGCGTCTCCCAGCTCTTCATCACCAACACTACCACCACCAAATCCGGTGCGAAAGAAGCATGGCTGCATCGCTCTTCCGGCTCCCTGACGAGCTTCTATTAGCTCCCGTCCTGCAAACATACCCTTGCCGCGACCGCCAGATTCACACCCTCGCAACATTGCTTTACGTGCGTCTCTCCCCTCCTCCCCTCCCCGAGGAGCTTTGAATGCGTGTCTAACAACAGAAAGCCGTCAGCAGCCCCCTGCCGAACACTCACGATCCACGGCGTGGAGTCTACCGGCAAGTCCGCCATCACAGCCTCTTTGCTGGCCTCCCTTGCGAGACCAACGCCGAACCTACGATATGCCTTTGTCAGTGCGGCCCAGTGTATCACCGCGCGTCACCTCTTCGAGTCCATCGTCACTTCGATAGCTGAAGCCTTGGATTGGCCGCAAGAAGATACTGCGATCCGATGCGAAACTTTGGCGCAGCTGGACGTGGAGCTAGTCCGGATGTTGAAGTACCCCGAACGGGAGGACAACTTTCGCTTCGTCCTTGTGCTCGACGCGATAGATCGGGCCAGAGATGCGCCATCGTCCATGCTCCCAGGCCTCGCTCGCCTGTCTGAGATTGTTCGTAGCGCGCCCTCTCTTTCGTCATCTCCCGACTGACACGTATAGATTCCATGCCTCACGACGGCTTTCATCCTCACAACGCCGCTCCCGCTGAGAACGTCCTCCTTCACGCCTAGTGTACATTTCCCACCGTACACAAAGCCCGACTACCTCCGCATTCTCGCCTTGACGCCACCGACAGAACCAACACACAATGCTACCATGGAGGAAACACTCGCCCTATGGCCAAGATTCTGCGCTGCGGTGCACGATGCGCTCGTACAGTCAGCCGCCCGCTCGCTGCCAAGCTTCAAACGAGCGTGTGAGACCCTTTGGCCGAGGTTTATCGCCCCTGTCGAGAAGGGCACATACGAGGCAAAAGAGTTCTCCAAGCTCCTCGTCGCAGCAAGGACACACTTCCAGGACGAGTCGGTGCTGAACCCCAGCATTATCTCCGTCGTACCCTCCTCCAAACCCACTTCGACGGACCTGTCCACCTTGCTTCCTCGCACGGCACGGATACTGTTGCTCTGTGCCTATCTCGCCTCGCACAATGCCCCTCGGCATGACCTGACGCTCTTCTCCACACACCATCAGGGTGGTCGTCGACGACGTCGGGTAGCCCCGACAATAGCCTCCAACAAGCACCGCAAGATCGCGAGGAAGCTTCTCGGCGCCCACGCCTTTGTCCTCGAGCGCATGATGGCCATTTACGCGGCTGTGAAGAGTGAATGGACGGAGGATCCCCGAGTGGCAGCTGTGGATGCCGACGTGGGCATGGCAATGGCTACACTCACCAGTCTCAGACTGCTCACGCGTGTCGGCACGGGCGACGTGATGGACCGCGGTGGCAAGTGGAGGATTAGCGTGGGCTGGGAGATCATCCGAGGGGTGGGAAGAAGTATAGGCGTCGAGCTCGATGAGTGGCTGATAGAATGATGGCAATCAAACAAAAGAACATGTTCACCGAGAACAGTTAACGATTCAGTATATCCATTCAAGGCGTAGTAGGTCATAATCTCTATCTATATCATGCCGGGACGGCGCGGTCAGGGGACCGCCAAGTGTCTTCCTGCTTTGTCCCAGGAGCCAACCACTGCGAACTGCTGTGCCCCCTCTTCCTTCTCGATCCCGTTCCAGACAGGTCATCGGTTTTCTTGGTATCCTCGGCAGCCGTCGAGATTGGTGAGAAGTAGCTCCCCTCATTGCAGGGGTGGATACCTGATGGTGTTCCGTTGTGGCTCCCGGGCTGGCCTTCATCGATGGGCAGCAGAGGCGCAGGCGTCTTAGTCTGTGTCATCATGCGGACTTTGCGATCCGCCTTGTTGCTCTCGCTTGTGCGGTCATACAGATACAGCCCGAGGAAAGTGAGTGCAATGCCGGCGGCTTGGACAGGGGTCGTCGGACTGCGGAACCATATGATAGCCAGCACAATAACAAAGACGCGCTTGATCAGGCTGGCCACGGAGTATGTAACTGGCGAGACCATGGACAGCAGCACGAAGGCAAGAATATTCTGGCCAAAGTGGGTAACGCCGTTGAAGATAAACTCCAAAAGCAGGCGTCCGTGGTCCATTGCCTCGGGTCCGTCCTTCAAAGCAATCGACCCATCGTTGAGGAAATCCCTGAGCAATGTAATACCCTCGCTCCAGAACCAAATGGGCAAAGTCAACAACAAGGCCATTCCCGACGAGTAGCACAGGAGATTGAGCTTGTCCAGCTTCTTGGACTGGGCAGTCGCGCCGTTTCGCTCTGCTTTCGCGGCCTCGTTGAACAGCTTCTTTGAGAAGATGTTCTGAGTCACAAAGATCAACGTCGCGAGAAGCGCCTGGATGATCCCCAGGAACTCTCCTCCCAATCCATGCTTGCCAGAGCATGCCAGCATGACACCAGCCGTCAGCGGAATGAGGGACAGGTATGTCGCTTTCGGATAACGAATATCGTATATCAGGCGGTAAGCGAGTACGGTGAACAGCGGAGACAACCCCTTGATCGTGTGAACCAGCGAGACGGGGATCTTGGCCGTCGCTGTCGAGCTAAGCAGATGTCCACCGATTTGGAAAGCCGCGAGGGGAAGTGTCGTCATGATCACGTCCTTGGATGGGGGTCGGATCGGGTGTCTCAGGGCGGTGATCTTGGTGCGAAGACTAGGGAAGATGACTGCCAGCTGTGCAAAGAGTATGCACAACGTCGAGACAAAGGCAAATTGCACGACCGTGAGTGTCGCCGGCTTGTCAAAGGCATTCAAGATGGATTTCGAGGATGTGTTGGTGAGCGCAGACGAGGTGTACCACAACAGACACAGGATCTGGAATCGCAAAAGAGTTAGCGACTCAATGAGAACTGTCTTGAGCACAACTCACAATAAGCTTGGGCGAAAGTGGCGCTCTGAGAGCATCGGCCAGCTCATGCGCGTTCTGGCTCACACTGCCGTTGCGTGTGCGAATTGTGCGAAAGGCATCTTGGAGGCTCTTTTGGCGGTTATGGCGACCTACGCCTGGCGATCCCAAGGGCGACCATCCCGAGCTACTATGCTCCCTGCGCGGTACAGGAAGCCAGCGGTCTGGCAGTTGTCGAGGTTGATCACCATCGGGAAGACTGTGGAACTGGCTCTGAACGGGGGAGTGAGCGTCCCCGTTTCCCATGACGGGCGCATCGATGTGGTCCGGAAACTTCTCCATGGCGATGAGATGTCAATACTGTTCGCGAATTCGAAGGAACGAGTGACTAGGGCAATCGACGCAAAAGCGAGCGAAGGGGTTCGAGTTAGCGTCGCATAGTCCGTATGGCGTGCGTTGACGTAAAGTGTATGAAGAGAATCCCGAATTCAAAATGACAGTCCCGAGCCAGCCGCGGTGTTCAAAGAGCGATGAGAGTCGTGGTGGTGGAGAGAAGCGACTATGAAACGACGAAAGGTCTAAATCCCGCCAAGAACGCGAATAGCAGAATGACGATTTTGGCGCCTCAGGGGGTTGCATCCACTGTAAATGGGCGCGGCGCAGTGAGCTGTTTGCGATTTGGTGGAGCCAATTGCGTGGCATTGGCCATCCTTCCTGCATGCAGTGAAGAGTGAAAGCTCGTATCCACTAGTCACCCGAGGAATTGCCGGCAAGCGCTTTTTTTAGCGCGCTTATCGGGTGGCTTATCGTGTGCCAGGAGCCTTGCCGTTGAGTGCTGGCTTAGCCTCTCAGCCTCTCAGCACCTTGGCCTGTTGACTCCACCTCGAATTTTATCAGGCTAACAGGCGCGTTCCAGACGATCTTAGACCCGGCCCATCACTGACCTGCCTATCTTCTCTTCCATCCTCGTCTTGCGCCACGGCATGCAAGATCCCAGAAAGCGCATGATCCTCAGAGCAGCCGTAGCATACGCATTTTTCCACATTGTCACACAAACAACCAATCCGACCACCTACCACAATCGGCGCTGGGCCACCTCTGGCTCGTCCAGCAACAACTGAGGCATCATGGCGGCCACCAAGATGACGAAGAACCAGATGAGGAGGGCGAAGAAGAAGGAGCAGAAGAAGTCCGCCACGGAGGAACCCGCGACAAAGGCAGACGCCGCTGAGACCAACGGCACCGACACCCAGCCGGAAGCCGACCTCGAGACGTCGAAAGAACCTCCTCGCGAGCAACCGCATGCCGACGGCCCACTAATCGAGGACCTCGAGGATGATCCGGCCTTTGCGATCTACAAGGACATATTCAACAAGTTCGGTGCCAACACAGAGGAAGATGCGGTGGCACAGGAGGCGAATGCTGGCAATACGGGCGACGTGTTTTTTGGCGACGATGACGATATTCCCGATGAGGAGGACGCGCAACCGAAAATGTCAAAGAAGAAGCGGAAAATGCTCACCAAGCTCTCCGTGGCCGAGCTGAAAGCCCTCGTCCGCATTCCCGAGGTCGTAGAATGGCAAGACGTGTCGTCCAACGACCCTCGCTTGCTCGTCCAGATCAAAGCGCAGCGCAATGTCGTTCCTGTACCCACACACTGGTCGTTGAAGCGCGAGTACCTGTCATCGAAACGCGGTGTCGAGAAGCCACCATTTCGCCTTCCGCAGTTCATCGCGGAGACAGGCATCACCGAGATGCGCGACGCCGTGTTGGAAAAGCAGGCCGAGCAATCGCTCAAGCAGAAGCAGCGCGAACGCGTGGCTCCCAAGATGGGCAAGCTGGATATCGACTACCAGAAGCTCTACGACGCGTTCTTCCGATTCCAGACGAAGCCGGAGCTGACACGGTTCGGAGAAGTGTACTACGAGGGCAAGGAGAGCGAAGTGGACTATCAGCATTTCAGACCGGGAGACTTGACAGAGTCGACAAAGGAAGCCTTGGGCATGCCGCCCGGTGCGCCACCACCGTGGCTCATCAACCAGCAGCGCATCGGCGTGCCGCCCTCCTATCCAACCCTGAAGATACCTGGTCTCAATGCACCGCCACCTCCTGGCGGCTCATGGGGATTCCACCCCGGTGGCTGGGGCAAACCCCCTGTGGACGAATTCAACCGCCCTCTGTACGGAGGAGATGTCTTTGGTCTTACCGGGCCTAACGGTACGCAGAACCAGCAAGCGCAAGCTGCCCAGTCGCAGCTGGCGGATCCTGTTGAGCGCAATCTCTGGGGCGAGCTGCAGCCTCGAGAGGCAGAGTCTGAGGAAGAAGAGGAGTCTGATGAAGAGGACGAGGACGAGGACGAGGAGCCCTCCGCCAGTGGTATGGAGACGCCGAGCGGCATGGAGACTCCTGGAGGTTATGCGAGCACGATTGCGCCAGATCACGGCGTCGAGACGTCGATTGCGGGCGAGATGGATCTGAGGAAAGAACGCCGTGGCTACGACACCGAAGAATCATCAGCACCAAGATCAGCCTACACAGTCCTGCCCGAGAGACAGGTGCGCGCAGAGGGCTTCTTTGGCAGTGACCGCGCATACGATATGCCCACGAACAAGCCGCCCGTTCTTGGCTCCGGACAAGATGAGCGGAAGCGCAAGAAGCCAGGCGACGTCGATGTTGCCATTGATCCAGAGGCTCTCCAATCTGGTGGCCTTCGGAAGGAGGACATGAGGAAACGATACGATGAAGGCCTGCGGGAAGAGGGCGTGGGAGCTAAGTGGGCGCACGAGGATGACCTCAGTGAGATGATTGCGCAGGAGAGCCGAAAACGACAGAAGACGGAGCAGGAGAGGGGGCAGAAGAAGAAGGAGGGCAAATACAAGTTCTAAGAGAGCCATTCTCGGGTTGGCCATGGCGTCAGGTGCTTGGGTTGTCAATCAATTTAATGTATATCATACGCTGGAACTGGCCGGTCTTCGGCAGTTCCTCATTTATTGGCGGGTTTGAATCATATCGTGTCGCAATCCTCGATGCATGAATATCCAGCGCCGGCGATTCAAGCCTTGCACGCATCGCATTTGTATGTCTTTTTATCTTGGAAAAATGTCTTCTTCTGCTGGATAGTGATCCTCGGTGGCAATACGCACGCAATGTGAAATTGCTTGGGACCCTCGTGTCGCTGCTCCTGTCAGTTTCAAGCAACGAAAACCGAATGTATTCGACCATACCTTTGCCGTGCAATATACAGCTCGGGCCACAGTCACCGGTTTATGGCAGACGCCACAGCCGCTTCGGGTTGACCTGGTCTGTGGTCGCACAGGCGGTGGATCCTCCTCGACGCGTTTGCCTCGTGCTGTGACCATCGGCTCGATGCCGTCAACATCCTCCTGTTGAAGGAACCCGACTCGCAGTAAAAAGTCCTTCTGCTTCTCGAATTCGTCGACACGGTGCTGTCGTTCACTGATCCACTCCCTTTTCCGCGCCACAAAGTCCCTCCAGGCGGCAGGGAAGTAGGTTCGCGCGTTGATATCGTGGTCATCCACCACTTCGTCAAAGGCTGCGATGTATTCGACTTGCGCGGGCGTTATGTCGGGCTCCTCTCGCAGCCTGTACATGTGCTTATAGCGAAGCATCCCCTTCATCGGTTCTGGTCGAGGTAAGACCGTCCCTGGTTTCAGAACATGCTTCCCAACAGGATGGATAAAGACAGTGCCGTTGTCCGGAACTATAATGTCATCTTCCGGTGGCCTCACCCGAATGGCAGGCCGCGGCGGAGGTTTAGATGATGGGACGTTTTGTTGGGATGCCGAGGAAATGTCATCATCGCTCAAGTCCACTTGATCGACATCCTGGGAGTCTACACGCTGGCCAGGTTCTTCGGTGTGCTTGTCTTGGTCTTCACTGTTGCTAGACGTGTCGTCTGAATCATCGGATTCGGAGTCCCCCACACATATAGGATCATCCTTCGACCCGACGATGAGGCTTTCTTCGTGGGTAGTAGACTGTACTCTCATCTGCCCGCTCGCTGTTGTGCGAGCTGACCATGTTGTAGTTTTGCTACTAGAGGAGCGAGACATCGATACGACCGACTGGTGCTGCTTTGTGGTCCTAGACGAAGCCACGCTGGACACCTCCACGGGTGCGTGTGCATGTGTCGCATGGGGAGCCACTGTACGCACTTGGAGCGACGCGCAAGGGGATCGGATCGGGAGCGCACCGTTTTGCTCAGCCAACACTTCCCCATTGGCCTTGCTTCTTTCTGATAGAGTCCGAGCGAGCTGTTCACTTCTACTGTGACCAGAAACACTGGAAGTTGGCCTCCAAGTCCATTCCCATTTCAGGTTTGACGTCATCGAATCCTGCTGATAGACGAATTCCTCGTGACGGTGAGCCCGGGGTGTACCTGGTGGCCACTGCTCTGTGTCTGGAGGAGACGGGACGCAGTACCAAGGCGAACAGTGATACGGCACCGACTGGCCAGACCAGACTTTGACCCAGTTGGGTAGTTGATTGCCAACTTTGATATTTTCGGTCTCTAAACGGATGCGTAGCAAAAGTCCTTGTGGAAAAGCAGAAGCCTTGGCCACGGGTCCAAACCCGTCGAATTCCTCCTCATGAATGGCGAATGGCCGTTCCAGGTCGATCTTGAGGCCACGCCGGGCGTTCGGTGCTTTGGGGCACTGAAATGTGCAGCGTCTTTTGACAACAACTTCGGGTTCCTCATGCCTAAGCCGGCTTGCGACTGGTAAGACTTGTATCCGACAGCGACCCTTGAACGTGATTATGTCGGTACCTGGAGGGAAGAGGCCAGGGTCCACGCGGTTTCTGTGCTTTGATCTGAACCAGAGACGTGAGAAGTTGAACAGCAAGCAGCGATCTTCTGTGACATGGTGAAGATCTTGGGAGGCTGCGTGCCCTGGTTCTACGCTCGAAGTTCGTTGCCTCTTGGGCGATGGCTCGTCCAGGTGGCTCAATGCATCTTCCAAGGCAAAGCGTGCAGTAGTGATGTTGCCATGTTGAGAGGTGCCCTGGTGTCTTTTACGCCGATGTGCCGCCAGGCTAGCATCGCCAGATGAGACTTGGCTCATGATCGTAATCGTCCCTTCCTCCCCGTCGACATCATCGTGAGGCGTTAAGAGCCGGGGCGTGTGAGGTCAGATAGCTTGGCAAACGCGTCGATCAGGGGCGCGTCCAGATACAGTAGCTGCAAATTTGAAGCTTCTGAGCCAGGCTGATAGTGCAAAGTAAACGCCCTGCCGTGATCCTTTGCAGGCTTATGAAAAGAACAGTTTCCAGTTGGTCCAATTTGTTGTTGTGTGAAAAGGGAAAGAAGGTGGTTTGTTACTTGAGCGTATCAAACGTTGAGGTACGCAACAATGGCTTGCTTGCCACACTCACACACTCGCGTCGCGTTGTCCGTGGCCTACCCTAGAGAATATCTCGCCCCCACTTCGTCTACGCGTGTTTGGCGCCTTTCGGCAACCATCGCAAACTGGCGCCTGAGATTGGAATACACAAGACTTCAATTTTTCTATTTAGTTCGAAGACTGTGAGAATTGACCTTACATAGGTGAGAAGAGGGTGTTTCGTTGACCGTTTAATACCATTGTCGTTTGAAGTGGCTTTGGCGTGAATGACCCCACCTAAATTGCGGTTTTATGGCCTCGCATCCCCATCAAATTCACAGTCCTGTGATTTACCTCAACTTCTATCATTCCATTCACCCTCTAGCAGATCAGGACTTCTAAACATATACCTGATGCACCCGCAACTATTGACCAAGTAAATCAGACTAGTAGGTGTTGTTGCCTCTATGATACGCAGTGGCTGTGAGCCGATGACGTTGCAACCGAAATCGTCGTTTGCTCTGAAATACACTTTGCGCCGTGATTACTGAGTGAGAACCCTATTCGCTGCGTGTCTTTGGACTTGAATCTGAACATTCTTGATGGCTTTTTTGTCGATGGTCTCTGGGTTTTGAGATATCACATTTGCGCCTTCCATGAAGCTGCGCAGTGGCCATCGCCTGTCGCATTCAGAAGCATCATGGCCCGCACACGTGCACGTGCTGCCAACTCGACAGCCCAGCCATCGGATGCTGCCTGGACCACTTCGGCAAAGCGCACACGTCTAGATCGCCGCACAAAGCCCGGAAACCTCTACGAGTCCGACCACGACAGCGAGAACGACAGCCCAGATGACTCCGATGCATCCCTCGAGTCGTTTCACGACAGCGACGACGATGTCGCAACAGGCGCCGATCGCGCGCTACTGGACATTGTGATAGATGCGCCCAGAACAGCCCCAAATCGTCGTGGACGACCGAGCAAGCACCAGTCTGCATCGCGACCGGCGCCGCAGAGAGCTGTCAAGAAGAGACGCAAGGCTCCTCGGGCGCTCGGCGCCCCGAGGAAGAAGCCCAAGAGATCGAACGAGGCCCCGGCTTCATCGGCTCCATTGGGCAGGATACCCAATTGGCTGGACCCAAAGATACCATACTCGGCTTGGGTCGATATCTTCTTGTATGCCGCCAGGGCAGGCGGAGCCCTCGACAATTCCTGGCTTGTATATGCAGCGACGACGTGTCGAGCGTTCATGCAGCCGGCGCTCACAGGGTTGTATAAGTGTCCTACCCCGACCACATCCCTAAAGGCACGGAAACTCATGACAATCCTGGAGAAGCCAGAGGTGGAGACACTCATTCGCTACAAACCCATCATCGAGGCAATGTATATCGACATCGATCTCTTTCCCGTCGGAGCGCTCCCTCCAGTCCTCGCTTCTCTGCAGAGGCTCAAAGAGCTGATAGTATTCACCAAGCTCGATCAGCCGCCGTACAGGGCTCTTGACAAGTCGCTGCGCTGGCAATATCCCGAACAGCTCTTTCAGTCTTTGGAGTTGGGCCAGTACAACCCGCGTGATGAGGGCGAAACCTCCCCCGTCATGCTCAAGAGCTGGGAGTGGAGCAGTCGCATGCTTGGAGGGACGGTGCCAGACATCGCAGCCATAGCTCGCATACACAAGCTTGCGTCCTTCAGCCACCTGACGAAACTGAGCTTCATCAACTTCCAAACACCGTCCCTGCACAAGCCTGTGGCGAAAACCCCAGACGAAGCGCTGGAGATCGAGCTGGCCGACGAGGCGGTCGTGGATGATATCGCTGCAGCTATCGCTTGCCTGGGATCTCTTCGTCACCTTGTATTTGAGGCATCCACAACAATGAATGACCGAATGCTTTCCAAGCTGCCGGCAGGCCTAGCGCACTTGGAACTTATCAATTGTTGGGAAGTCCGCTCAGAAGATCTTGACAGCTTCCTGCAGAGCCACGGAAGTAGTCTGCGATACTTGACACTCTCCCACAACCAAAGTCTCAGCTTGGAATTCGTCCCTAACCTTGCGTTGAGCTGCCCGAACCTAGCTGAGCTGCGGATGAATCTGTCATACTATCGGCACCACGAGACAATCGACGACTCGGATGCCATGTACGACCAGGCCCTGCTGCCTGGCCAGGTCCCGCTCTGGCCATCGTCATTACAGTTGATCGAAATTGAGCACGTTAGGGAGTGGACGGTGGAGGCAGCCGAAACTTTTCTTCAATCCCTTGTCGATAGCGCCCCGAAGCTGCCCAGACTACGCCATCTAGCCATCAAGACAGTGTTGAATATCCCGTGGCAGCGTCGTGCAGAACTACGCCAAGGATGGACGGACAAGATGGATCACGTTTTCCTCAGGCCTTTTGTGCCTCCATCGCATAACGTCACGCTCAGACAAGAGGAGAACATCGTCGCACCGTGTGTCGAGGAGGCCCCCCCGAAACCGCGGAAACGTGCAAAGCGTGGATCTCCCTCCCGGCGCAGTGGTCGCATCGCTGCCCATTCCGCTTCTGACACGGACCGGCATTCGTCCCGCCCACGGAATAGACCTCAGTATCGCGAACCTGACACAGACGAGGATGAGCAGGAGGAGGAAGAATCGGCCGACAGTCACTCTTCTGGGACGGAGTCCGAGCGCAGCGGGCAGAATGAGCCACAGACCGAAAAGTTACCCGTTCAAGGCATGTGTGACACGGTACTCATCGTGATCGACAACCAAAAGACCCGCGAGCTCCAGTACAGTATGGAAGATTTCCAAGACGAGGCCAACGAGTCATCTGGGGAAGAGTGGAACGAGGATAACGAGGTTGAAGATGATGATTATGCTTGGTAATGGCATACTCGATGGTCGATATGAACTTGCAGCCAATTGTCGGACGCACAAACGAAACATGGTGAGGGAGCGGGTACGTGGGACGGACACATTGAGGCAGCTCACGCCTCAGAATCACCTGTATGATGCCATGAATGGGAAACGACGGCAATAGCTGTTACGGCTGGCAAAGGCTACGGACATGTACATGTGTCAAGGTCAGCGATGTCAATAGATTAATCCGGACCACTCCCACACAAGATTTGATGGGCGCAATATCATGGTCCCATGGCTTACTCGAGCGGTGTCACAAGTCACTTGTGTTCAAAAATGATGAGCCACACGATTTAGGAGATTACGAAGTAGAGCTAATGCGTTGCGAAAAGTAAATTATCAATTTTAGCCAAGTCTGTCGACGACGCCCCAACGCCAGCGTGACAATGTTAATCTAACACAATAGTACAGTGCTGTTCCTTCCCCCCAACCCCCCCAAAGTGAGTCCGCTAGAACGCCGCGCCACTCGAGCCATCTCCAGCGAGGTTGGTCATGCTCCTCTCGCTCAGATCGCTCCTCATTTCCCAGGCGGCGGATTCACGCCCCATACGATCCCACGTGTACAGGCTCTTTCGCAGGCGTTCCTGCTTCGCACGTAGCTCGTCGCGCAACTTCTCCTCCTCATCGCGGAGTTTGCGATAGTGAGGCTCGAGCTCGCGGGTGACACCCAGCACCATGGGCATCATGGTTGGGTCGATCTTGCCGCCAGGCACAATGGGAGGAAGGGTGGCGAGAAGAGACTGCGCCAGAGACTGGCGAGGTGCTGGAGTCCCGGCGGACGGACCTGTGGGTGGGTTGAAAGGTCGACCCTGCGTTGGTGTGGAAGAGGCAGCACCGGACGAGGCTCGAGGACCGGTGGGAATCGTGGGCGCGCCGCCCGAGCCCGAGGGACTCGTGGCCCGACCGCTACTCATGTGGCGCGGCGTGGACTGCGACCAGTTTCCACGTCCACCTCGAGAGGCATAACCACCTCGGGAAGAAGCAACGTAGCCACGGGGTCCAGCAGGTGGGTTGGCAGGGTTCGGGCTAGTGATGTCCGCTCGGTTGGCACCGGGCGTAGATGGGTGAGACGAGTTTGAGTAGCTGCGACTAGCAGCTGGCCCTGTGGGAGGTGCGCGGAGAGCGGCAGGACCGCGAGGCGGAGACTTTGGCCCCGACCCGTTGTCGTCCCTTAGGGTGGTCTTTGATGCTTCCCTCGACAGCGGGACTCGAGGACCAGGTGAGTGGTCCCTCGACGGCAAAGGTGAGCGGTTCCTGGGGGCAGGGCCTGGCGAAGGGCGCCTCGATTCGGGCCTCGAGTTCATTGCTGAGGATAAATTCGAGTCCCTGGCTGGGGACCTACGGAAATTCTGGTATCGCTCTGGTCGCCTGCTGGGGGATCGAGAAGGTCGGTACGAGCCACCTCTGCCTCCTGACATTGGTGTTCGCCTGCCAATCGGGGATCGTTCGCGCCTGATTGGAGATCGCGACCGGCGTCTCTCGCGTCCAATGTCACCCCGAAAGGGGCTGCGTCGGGCAAATGTGTCGTCGCGCCGGTCTGGGAACCTGTCCGGATTGCGACCTCTGGCTGGTGATGGGTCCCTATCCTTCCATGGACGCTCACGCTCCGGATCACGCCTGTTGTCTCGGTCAAAGTCTCTGTCCCGTCCCCATTCTCGACGCGGCGGGGGTGATCTAGGTCGGTCAAAGCGATCTAGTCTGCCAGGGGAGGGTCGCCGTGGAGGGCTTGGTCGTCGCGATATGCTCCGCCGAGGGGGCGACCCTCTCCGTATCGGTGAGCGCGTACGTTCCCTCCGTCGCTGAGGGCTATCGCGGTCTCGTGATCGATCTCTCCTATAGCGGTCGCCTACGGGAACACGACTGCGACTTGGCGTCCGTCGCCTAGGCGGAAGTCGACCGGGCACGTAGCTGTCAGACGAGGGCACGGGTGGGCTACGCGGTCGAGGACTCCTCAGTGGTCGTGGGCTGCGCGGTGGTGGTGGTCGAGATCGATCTCTGTCGCGTGGCGCAGGGCTTCGTGGCCTTCTGGGTGGTGATCTGTTGTTCCTGTCGCCAGGCGAGGCAGCTCCTCCTCCCCCTCCACGGGGTGTAGGACGCCATGATTCGCCGGCGCCGTATCTAACGACCTCGCCATCGTCGTACCTAGAACACTGTTAATATGGTGTGCATGGGACTCGACTGCAGAGCTGGAGGCCACACACCTTCGACCCCGATCGCGATCCATCCCGATAAAGGCTGCTGAATCGCAAGATGATGGACGGCTGGCGCTCTCAAGATGCAGCCCAACAAAGCTGCGGAAACGCGCGGATGCTATGCCAGAGACTGAAGAAGTCCATCCTCCATGTGAACGCCGACGTTCTCCCGCACTAGGACAAGCCTGATAAGAAGATAAGAAGATAAGAAGATAAGACGATAAGAGGCCGCCAAAGGCCGTCGTTCATCTCAACCAAGGAAGCATCAAGTGTCTAAATTTCAAGCCTAACGTAAATCTATGCTCGCAGGTAGCAACCGCCTAAGCAAATCAGAAAAACTCCCTTGTCTAGGACGACTCTTCCGTGGTATCGCCACTATCCTCTTCCTCAGAAACCCGATCCCGTATCCACCGCTGTACATCTTCGGCGTGCGCATCCATCATTCTGGTCAGCCCGCTCTCCTTACTACGAACAACGGTGCCGAACCGGCGCTTCTCAATCTTCTGGGCGAGCGAGGGGTCCAGCCAGCAGTTGTGGTCGGCTGCGACGTAGACTTGAGAGTTCTGCTTGTACCACGGGGACAACCCATCGTCAGTCTGAGACTTGACGGGTCGCAGATTGCCGTTCACAAAGTTGACGACCCCAGAAATGCGCTCTCTGCAGGCTACAGTATATCTTAGTCAATCTGCTTCTCCGGGTAAAAGTGGTACTCACGCCTGTTGATGAGGAGCATCTTCACACCGAGGTAGGCATTACCCACACCCACCAGGAAGATGTGGTTTGCGTCGTACAGCTCGATGTAGTTGTCCCAAAGCCACTCCATAAGACTCGCAGTCTGTCTTTCGAGCTCGCCTGGAGTTATCGAGGGTATTAAAAGCCCAGTGTTCTGCAATTGTCAGCTTTTGAGTCCAGGGCGGCATGCGAGCACTTGCGTCTGTTCTCTCCGCACAGTTAGGCACGTTGACGTCCATGACGCCAAAGCCTTCTTTACGCGCCCAATCGATATAGCTTGTGACTCCATCCACGATGAACGAATTGTGTAGCTCAAGGCGCGTGTGGTCGCCGTATTCAGGCTGCGACAGCAGCTCAGGCCTAGACTCGTTAGCTGTTTTGTGTGCACTACTCGAATCGGATAACAAACGGGTCATGAATGACGATCAATACCTTGCGCGCCATCTCGATTGTCGGCGTGACCAGGACCTGATTTTCAAAAGTACGGTGAAGCTTCTCCCTCTGAATGTACAATGGTACCATGTGGTGCTTCATCATCAACACATCCTTCTGGGCAGTTCTCACAAAATCGTGCAAGCGCTGCGACCTGTTGGACTGGGCGAGGGCCATGTCGACCACGCCGGGACGCATGCACTGCCAATAGTGTGACTGGTAGATCTGTACCTTGTTCAGGACTCTGGCCGCCTCCTTGTTGAGTTTCGGTATCGTCATCTGTGGAGGCGGCTCGCCCATGAGCGTGCGCGCAACCGCAACGGCCGAATTCGAGATTGCATTCAGATTGTAGCCTCCTTCTAAGCAGACTGCTAGACGACCATTGGCGAGCGACATGAGCATGTGTGTCATGTGCGCGTAGCACGCTGGTGTGACGAAGCACGCCCCCAGCTCATCCCCATCCGCCGCATCAAAGCCAGCGGAAATCACCACGAGATCGGGGTTGAACTCCTGAGCGATGGGCATCACAATCTTCTGGAAGGCGGCCATATATTCTCCATCTCCCATGCCTTGCGCATGCCACCCGATGTTGACGTTGGTCCCTAGTCCTGCGCCAGCACCACAGTGCTCGATGCCCCCGTCTGGGATTGCATCGTTCTCGGGACGTCCAGGATAGAAAGTTCCGTCCATGTAGACGTGCAGAGAGATGTAGAGTACGTTGGGGTCATCATAGAAGATGTTCTGGATGCCGTTGCCATGGTGTACATCCCAGTCCAGGATGAGGACCTTCCGGCACGTCTCGGGGTATTCCTTCTGGCATGTGCGCACCGCCACTGGAACATTGTTGAAGAAGCAAAATCCCATAGGCTGGTCCATCTCAGCGTGATGTCCGGGAGGCCGGATCACCGCGAACGCGTTCTTGACATTCCCGGCAACGACGTTTTTGCACGTGTCAATTGCACCGCCTGCTGACAAGGTCGCTGCGTAGCAAGAGAGGCTACCCACGTAGAGTGACTCGCGTGTCGAGTCGTACCTCTTAGTCAACTCGCGTAGCTCCGCAAGACTCATGTTCTCCGTCTCCTTGACCCAAGACAGGTGGGCTGGTGTATGCGCTAGACATATCTCCGCATCCAGAGCGAATCTCGCTGGTATGCGCCACATGTACCGCGTGGGCATCTCTTTGAACACTCTGGCAGCGAGTTCTGGCGGCCCCTGGTAAATCAAGCCGGCGCGCTTGAAAGCTTCAAAGATCTCGTGTATGCGCCTAGGGTCCTCCGGGTGATGGGCGTTGTTGCTGAACTCGGCATTCATGTGCATTTTCATCCTGCTGTCGTAGCAAAGTCCTGTTGGCAAGAGACCTCGCCGCTTCAACTGTTCCAGAGCCAGACTGTCTGGCTCAGTGTCGGCGTCATCATAGCTTGTGGCTGCCGAATGAGGTCCCGATGTCTGATCCGTTTGACCGCTATCATCTTCAGTCTCCAAGGGATCGACGTCCCTCATGTGGTGGTCCTCGACCGGGGGTGCGTCCATGTCGAGGTCTCCAGCCGGCCTAGGCGACAATACAATTTCAATAAATCTTTATCCTGGGTCTCGAAGAAGAGGGCGGCACAAGCGCAGTACAGCTGCTGGTGAATCAGTAAGGTCTCAACGAACGTATGATGCAGGCTGCTCGCATGGCATGGGGTAGGAGGGCGCAGAGGATCAAGGTGAGAATATGATATTCTGTATTGAGAATTAGGGTGCGAGACAAGCGCTGTACACAGTTTGGCTCTCTTGGTGACAGCGATTTTGTGTCTGTAGTATGGTCAGGTGCTGCACTCACCTTGTGCTTCGACTACGAGCCATGCGCCAACGTCGCGCGCACCGTTTGCGGCTCTGTAGAAACAGCTTCCGATACCCTAATCAGTTCCCCTATCTCACTGACGAGAGTTCCGAAAAACGTAGCCTGCGAGGGCTGCGCTGCGCTGCAGTAGGGTGGTGTAGTAGATGGATGAGTGAGAGGATCCCAAAATGAGTGAGAGCCGGAGTTCTGGAATTGATTGGGGGAGCGTCGCGGCTAGTGGCACGCCGCAAGTTACAACGAGAGCCCTACAACGCGAGGACCTCACATTGATGGCCAAATGAGGTTACATGCAAAAGCTAACGAGGGACAAGTACATATATTTGCAGCTACATAGACTCTTTTCATATGGAATTGATTCCGATTTTCCCGAGTATGAGACGCCGCAAGGGACGATACACCATGCCGCAGCGCTATCGCCCATGTCTTCGCTGAGAGTCATTCTATGATTCATGATAACACACAATAGACCTATTAAGCCCGGCAATCTCTAAGGCATCACGGATTCGACGGGAAAGGTCTGAAAGGAAGAATGAAGACGCTCCCAAGCGCTTTCCCGATCGTAGTCCTCGAGATGCGCCCCATCGTCTCCTCTTGGCGAGTATTGCGACAAACAAGTCACGAACCTCTTGCCGTTGGGTAATCCGCCGTCAGGGCTGCCATCCTTATTGAACACTGAACGTTCAAGGTCCCGCTCGTCGTCGAAGTCAATGATGCCGCCGGACTCGTCAGTTGCCAGGCTTGGGGAAGAGACTAGCCACTGTCGCTCATCCAAGACGCAGCGAACAGTGAGCTGTATGGATTCCTGGTCGAAAGTAAAAGTCGCAAACTTGGCCCGGATTTCTCCAATCAGACGCCTCCGAGGGTAGCTGCAAATGTTGTCGAAATAATACATGAGATCTCTGGGGCCAAGCTTGAAGTAAGTCTTGATGACGCGGCCCCAGCGACTCTGATCGTTCCAGCTGTCCGACATGGACTGCATGCGATCAACGCTGTCTATAAGCGGGGGTTGTTCATTGAGATTCTGAGGATTCGTCAGACTTGTATTTCACAGCGGCGTCAGGCTTGGCTCACCAGTTGCTCATTCGCGTTCAGCCGCGGGCAAATGTAGTGCAGGATGATATCCTTCAGCGTTTCCATCAAATCCATCAACTCCAGCAGCTGGCTTGTAGGGTAGTGTCGAATGAGACTGCTCCTGAAGTCGTCCGCAAAGGGTTCGGGCAGGCCCACGCGTGGTCTGGGCATGTCTCCGTGGAAGTAAATGCCGAAAAGCCACCATCGATAGAACGCTCTGCGGAAGCGTTCTCCCTCGTGCGGCCTCAGTGTTCGACAACGGGCCGGATCATAGTACCATCTCATTGAGGGGAACAGCGACTCCCATTTACGGACCAGCAGGCAAAGCTCAATAATGGGGCCAAGGTCTTCTTCAGTGAGAACAATGTGGCCATGACCACGGAGATCAATACCACCCCGTACGCCACGCCCGCGTCCATTAACTTGGGTGTGTACAGGCTTCGTCTGAGCCACGGAAGGGCCATCCGCCAGCACAATGCCAGCGTCCCCAGTGAAGCGCCTGAAGATGATTCGCCGGGGCTGGTACAGGCTGCGTGCCGTGCTTGGCAGATCGTTCGCTGTAGCGGTATAGACTTGCAGGAGCTCGTCGAATGGACTGAACTCTCGAGCCAATACCGGAAACAGGATGGCTGCCTTGCGTGTAGTGAAAAGGTTGTGGAAAAACTTGTTGATGGCAGACAATTCGTAAATGCTGCCGACGTCCATGTGATGGTAAATGTCCAAGAGGAGTTCCATTGGAAGGCTTGACAAGCCCGTCACACGCTTTGATGCAACCATATCAAGGGTTGAATTTGCGACGACGGAGGTGGTGTAGGATCTGTATGTTGGGTTACGGTCGTTAAAATGTGCTGGACCTCTCAAGCTGTAGTTGAAGAAGAAAGCAGGCCAGGCCAAACTGAATGATGTTCGACAATTGATGCTGAAAGCAACGACTATGGCCGTCACGTAAGGGTAGTCTTGATGAGGGCCCTGAAAGCTCTGGAAACCAAGCGATGAGGTGTCCAGAGAAGTTAATCTTCAGCGATTACTGATCGACTACCCCGGCGTTGGGGCTTGAAATGGTGATAAGGGTGTTGCGTCCAGGCATCGTCACAGTCGCGCTGCGTGGGGAGACTGCGCGCCTCGCGGGCTGGGAATGGTGTTCGTCACGGTACGCCATATTCGACTACGCTCTGCTGGAGTGTCAGAGGGTCGGCTCAGTGAAGTTGGATGGAGAAGGGACGGCGGGATGGGCAGGAGACATGTCGCTGATGTCGTTGACTCTGGTTCAGTAATGTCCGGACATTTGCCGGGACGCGTTCCACGCGACTTGGAGTTCAGTTACCGGACCGAGACGGCACTAATATATTTCACGGCATAACCTGCCCATTAAAACATGTCAGTATGACTCAACGGTGTCATTTGGAATTAACCTGGGTAAGAGCATGTGCTAGCGGTTTTGTATATCCTAGAGTCATTCACTTGCCCTTGTGATTGACGAGCGGCAACGTCGCGTGCATAGAATCGAAAGGACAGTCGACATCCGGATTTCAGATGTCCGTGAGCTTTCACGGCATGGATCAAACCGAAACTGGACAGGAAGCCAAGTACCTAATGTCATTGGTATTTCACTCTACATCCAGAGCCGTAACGCCAACGCCGTGTTGAGCACCAACTCAATATCCCTTTGTCCTCATGAGAACAACATCTTCGTGTCCAAGTCACCTTTCGGTTGCCTCTGAGGACCCTTGGTACGTAGTCCAAGATCTCCCTTCCGCGACAGCCGTGCCACGGTCTGCTCTGCCCTTGCGTTGTGTCGTGTAGCCTTGCCTCTGCGGAGGTCAGACCTGACTTGGTTTGGCGACACAAACTCTCGGTTCTGGTAGATGATCGGTCCACCAAAGGAGCCCTATACACGCATGATTAGCTCCCATTGCATTCCCGTGTACTCTGACGAGTGCGATTCACCTCCTGTATCACGATTGGCGTAAGGACAAAGCGAGGACCGATTTCCACGAGGCTCATGTCAGTCGTTTCGATCTCCTCCTCGCCCGCGGCGTTCTTGACCTTCGACTGCTCTTCTTCGTTGATCTGGTAGTTGCGGATCCAAATCTTGCCGTCGGCCACTGTGAACCCCATGACATGATCGATGAATGGCTTCGACTTGCGAGCGCCCTCTGGAACGCCAAAGGTACGCGTGAACAAAGCCTTGATGACTTGCAGGTGGGGCTCTTTCTCGAATGTAGAGTCGAAGGACAGAATCGGCCGCGAGCCTTTGAGGCAGTTGCCGGTGAAGTGAAGCTCTTCCATGGTGTGTACTAGCAAGTCAGTGCCTGGTCTCATCTGTTCGCTCTAGAAAACATACGGTTCTGGATATGGAATTTGCAAGTCGGTCCGTTTGGCACAGCTGATAGGAAAAGGTATCCGTCAAGACCTTTGCGGCCTTCCAAATACAGACAGTTGTTGCAATTGTACAGCTCGGAAAGCTCGTTCAGTTCGTAAAGCTTCGATTTGGAGTCGAATTTGGCGTCTTTCCGACCGTGAGGAAGCATAGTCGCGAGATCGTTGAGGAGATGGCGATGTCTGTAGGTGACGCCTCGCGAGGACAAGATGAGAACCCTCTGCCTGTTCTTCTTGATGCCATTGCTAGGGCCATCGGCCTTCTTGCTCGCTGACTTGTCCGACTTGGACAGTGACTTGTACACGGCGGCCATGACTGATATTGGCGCGAGCTGATGGGAGATGATATAAAAAGCGAGGATGCCTGGATTGACTGCTCTCGCGTCCAAAGATTGCGATTCGGCGAAGTCGCAAAAGTTCACTCTTGCAGCAGGGGATTATGTTACTGGGGGAAAAAATTGGCCGCCAGCGACTGACACTATGCGATAAGCTCTTATCGACACCGACGTGGGGCGCCCGCCAAACCCCACAAAGTCGCAGGATGAATCCAACTGGCACTGGAAAGGTGAAATACGATTGACAACACGGAGATATTGGAATCAAGGCCACTAAAAAGACAAAAACATCAACTTGTATCATTATAAGTCCATTGCCTTGCTACCAACACAAGACATAGTCGTAGTGATCGTCGAGCACGTGCACCAACGTACTAGCAGCACATTGCCCTCTCGTGACAGCATGAACAAAAGAGAGTCAAGAATCTGGCGCCTTTCTAGTATCACATCAGAGCAGGAATCCTGTAGACTTGTTCTCTGCCTCCAGCAACAATGTTTGCGCCCGTCCGACATTTCTCATTATAGCGGCAAGGAAGTGACCATGTCTTGCCAGCGGAGAACACGAAGTACGCCCAGCATATATGTGAAACCCCACTGGAAAAGTAGCGCGACCGATCAGCAAAACAGATCAACAGCATTTGCCGTCCTTGGGAGCCTCGTTCTCTCTGGACGGGTCGATCTTTATGCCTGTGCCGGCCATGGGTGCCTGGCCGCCGTCCGCGCTGTCAAGTGCCTTGCTCGACACAATACGGTAAATTTCTAGCCCATGGTCAGCGAGCGTCTAGACTCCAGCGCGCGTCACATACCCGTCAAGATGTTCTGGAAGGCCAGCTCGACATTGCTGGCGTCGAGGGCAGAGGTCTCGATGAAGGAGAGGTGGTTCTCGCCTGAAGATGGCGGTTAGCATGTGATCACTCGCAATAGCATTCAGTGACGAACTGGCAAACGCCTTGGCCTCCTCTGTGGGCACCGCTCGAAGGTGTCTCAAATCGCTCTTGTTTCCCACCAGCATGATGACGATGTTGGCGTCCGCATGCTCACGCAGCTCTTTGAGCCATCTGGTGACGTTTTCGTAGGTCTGGTGCTTGCTGATGTCATAAACGAGAAGTGCGCCAACAGCACCGCGATAGTAGGCCGACGTGATGGCGCGGTAGCGCTCTTGGCCGGCAGTATCCCAGATCTGCGCCTTGATTGTCTTGGAGTCGACTTGGATCGAGCGGGTCGCGAACTCGACGCCGATGGTGGACTTGGAATCGATGTTGAACTCGTTACGGGTGAATCGACTCAACAGATTGGACTTTCCGACACCAGAATCACCAATCAACACCACTGTGAACTCAAATCAGCAATAGGTCGTTCAACGCTCCGGCGACCTGTCGGGAAAGGGGTAGATCGCACCCTTGAAGAGGAACTGGCAGGGCAAAGGTCAGCGGGGCGCATCAGGGTACTGGGGCGATAGGGGAACGCACATCATATTCGTCGTTAGCCATGATCTCAAGATGTCGGAAATGTCAAAATCGTCCTCGCTGAAGTTGCTGGAGTCGTTGGGGCTTCTCGAGAGGCAGCTCTGTGGCAGTTGTCAGTCTGTACTGGGATGGGGTCAAGGTGTCAAGGTGTGGATTGAGTTGTGGAGCACGAGGATGGAAGGGAGGCTCAGTAGGCTGAGCAGGGTGGGCATGCGTGGCGCTCCCACGGTCGAGCCTGCGTGGTGTTAGCCGCAGATAGCAACTGACGACCTTTGTCAGGGCTTTAATGCCTGTAGTGCGTTTAGCAGATTGTTCAGTGACAAGACCAAGGGTTCTCGAGGACTAGGAGCGCTTGGATGATATCATGTCCAGTTTGACTATTCAAGTCGCGCTTTGACGCGCTTCTAGAGTCCTACTTTCTGCAAAGATAGGCTTATACTATCAATCATTATCACCGGTTTCACCGCCCTAGGGGTTCCTCTGCAGGACTGTCTTGCTTACCCTGTATCCTCCCGCACAACAGGTCTCATTGAAGGTGAGTCCCGTACCTTGGCGTAGTGTTCCAACAGCCCTATTCGTTGATGATGACCGCGGTTCATCGGCTGTTTGTCGTCGACCAGCTTGCCGGTACATCTGCGGCAAGCTGTCTCGACCTCTGAACAGCCCATTGTTGCTCCAGCCATTGGTGCCGTGGAGCCTCAGGGTCTTGATGGTCCAATCAGCAGTAGTTAAAGTGAAATCGTACCATGCTAACGCTGCTATGTACTACTTCCTGAGAAGCCTGAAGGTCATTGTTCTTGCGTCGTGGTCGCCAGTATTCCAGTATTATTTGACATCTCGCCGCGGCGTACTTAAAAACCCCACCTTACTTATTACGGCAAGGTGCCTTGGAACTAGACCCTGTCGCTCATCAAACTAGGCGCATTACCTTCACCACGAACTCGGGCTCTAGTCCACGAAACCCGCGACGTTGCTCTGCTAACAAATAATGGACTGAACTATATGGCAAAGGTCTATGCGTCCGACGTTACTCAGCTTCCATCAGGTACTTGTTCATCTGAAGTCACGTGCCGTGCAGTCACGTTTTGGAAGTGTCATTCCGTTACTGTTTGTGCTCCAGTCTCGCTTGCTCATGAGATTGTGGTTCTACGAGCACACACGCTCTGCTCACCGTGTTTAGAACATAGCGCTACACAAACGATACCAGCGACGCTTGATGAGAATTTCGAATCCTGTACAGCGGCGCTCATTCTGCGCAAGCCTTACGTTCGCCTTGCTATTCATGTGAGCACACCGTATCTCAGCACACACTGCACGTTCCACAACGCAAGCAACCGCGACTGACCCAGCCAGGATCATGACAAGAGCCCGCCTGGCACGTCAAAGTCATCATGTCGCGAGAAGAAGACGAAGTGTCTTTGACATCTAGCATTGAGGAAAACCCTGAATCAGATACTGAATGGGAAATCGAGGGCATCATCGGTGATGCCCTCCTCGCTGAGAGGGACGACAATGATCGACCACTGACAAGACATAGATGCCTCGTCTTGTGGACAGGTGAGTTCAAACTTTTAGCTGCTTGCTATTCTAACAAGTGTTGTGCTCATTCTAGGTTTTCCGCTTGCCGAGGCTACATGGGAACCAATAGAGAACTTGCCCGAGGAGACTGTCGCAGAGTGGGAAACGTGCAAAAGAAAAATCGAAGATGAGGGAGGCGACCCGAAAGAATCAATCAGCAAATGGGTGAGAGAGCAGGAGAGAAAGATCGGCAGTCGTTACAAACGCCACAAGCTGCGAAACAAGCTTAGGACTCGGCATGGGCTGAACCCGAAACCGTGGACAGTGGCAGGCGGACAACTTCCAAAGGAATTGTCTGATGAGATGAGGAGGTTTTACCTACAAGAAGCTCTCAGTATCTGGTCGCCTTCCGAGTTCGAATCCAACAACTTTGATTCACTTAACACGCCCAAGGCCCGACCGCCGCAACCTACGGCATCCACGCAAAGCAAGGTTAACGACGACGACGACGACAGGAACAACAACACTGCTTCAAATGGATCCATGAGCAGAGAAGCGCGCCCGCCCGGCACAAGTCCAGCCCGCAAACTATCGAATGCGAAGCAGACTGTCCAAGACTCTGAGGAACCTCGCCCTACAGGATTGAAAAGGCTTAGCACACTTCCAGGCGCGGCAAAGAAGCCTGAACCTCGCAAAGCTGAACCGATGGCCCCTGTCGGCAACGTATTTTCGGGTGGCAAGGTGCGCAAGCAGAGAACGACATTGAAAGACGCTGCCGCGGACCCGTCCCGGGTAGCGCAACGTCTCAATCTCCATAAGCAACATCTACTTTACAAAGCATCCAGAAATGCGGAGGACCGAGACCCCCGACGCCGGCCAGAAGTTTCCGAAATGTCTAACCCCCTTTTGCCTGGGTCGAGCACCAGCCACAACGACAGATCTCAAGTCCCCATTACTGATCCCACCACGGATCCTATCCTTGAATCCCGTCCAAGTTCCCTCAAATCGTCTGCAACGAATACTTCAGATGCTTCTGATCTTGCCCACGGTGTTCGACCACCGCTAAAGATCCGGAAGACTGTTAGTTTCGGAAAGGTCACGACGGCAATTTTCAATGACATGCCTATTGCTTCTCAGGACGATGACAACGAGTCGGAGCTTTTTGTTCCAGACCTTCCCGAACTGGACCTGTCTACATCGACATCGACACCAATATCACAAGGCCTCGAGCGACAACCGACACGGCCATTAGAGCACAATACATTGTCCAAGCCCAAGACGGTACTTGTTAAGGAATGTTTAATTGGCCTCCAGGCGTCGAGGCCGGTCAATATAGGCTTTAGTGGGCTGCCTCAGGATGATCAGCTTTGTTTACGGCAGTTTCGAAGCTGCAACCGCGTCGTGCTTAGCCACTGGTGTAAAGTCGACGAGCTCAGAACTCAGTTACCACTGTTGACACAGCGCGAACCACTCGCGAAGGGCACACTTTCTACGCCGTCTGATCTCGATCTTTTGCAAAGTATTAGACAGAGATTGCATTCTTTGTCAGAATGTATCATTTGTGCAACACCAAATTACATGATCACAGTATTCCCACCTCAGTACGAAGAGTGGAACCTGGGGGAATTCGACTTTCCCGAGAACGCTGACCCGCTAAGATATATCATTTGGGCGCCAAGAAGTCCCGACGATGGGTCGACACCAGGTTCCTTCAGTCTGGGCGAACTTGCTTCTACTTCAGGCAAGGGTGAAAGTACAGAGTTGCGAAGCATGCCGCAAGGGTTAGCTCGACTTATACATCTTGACTGTACTGCCCTTATGCCCAAGGAGCCAAGGAACATATCGAAACTACCTGTATTCCTAGCTTTCCCGGTCTCCAATGTTGCGGAAGCCCGTATGATGGCGGATTGGATGTCCATGGCGTCAGGGCGTGAATGCAAGTTCTACGATTGCCTTTCGAAAGGCGATTGGATGAGCTTTATCCGCGAAGGCTGTGGCACGATTATTATCCACGAAGACATTCTATGGAAAGTACGGCTGTTCCCCGATATGGCTGATGTCCTTAAAAAAGCAGCTCGTGGCCTTTACACCATTTCAGTATTCGATCGAGCCCTGTCTACTTCCGTCACCTCACTCTGGCGGGGAGAGCCTCCAAACATTGGGAACGTTTGTGTAAGACCAGCTTTTCAAGGTGGTTGGGTCTTCCACCTCTGCCCGACAGTCTTTGTGGCCCAGCCCAGACAAGCATACATGTTTCTTAAGTGGTTCATGCATGAGTATGGGCGGCCCGGTAGGCCTACACGGCTAGGACGGCTGGTCATCCCCGCGAACCTCGATGAATGGCTCATGGATCTTGCTGATGAACGTCAACACTTCCCTGTGGAAAGAGACGAGGCTGTTGCTAGGGCTGATATGGCTAATCTATATAAAGCCCTGGCCCTCATTAGGGAACTCATGCAAATATATCCGAGGGACGAGGCTGAGAACGACACATCTTACGCGCAATCGGCTTCCGCTTTAGTATATGCCCCGCCCTTTATCGATCCAAACGACGAGCAGAGCTTGCTTAATTGGCTCGGATGGTGGTCCGTTGCTAACATGGATAAGTACTCGAGATTCTTCGCTATTTGCACCTCCAAGGTATCCCACAAGCTCGCGCGGAGGATTGCTCCAGTGAGATGGCAACAGGATACGGTATCACATGCTCAAGATCCCGGCCAAATCAGCAATGACGGTCGCAGCGCGGGACCTAGTGAACTCGCAGGCGAGGACTCCCCAGAAGCGTTACGCGAATACCTCCAGTCTGTCACGGGGAGTGAGCCATATCTCAGGCAGGCCGTGTTCCTGAACTTCAATCCTGTCGGGTATCCGGACTTACACGAAGTCTCTCAGCTCCTAGGCCATTACACAGGAGGATTCACCGATTTCGTCTCATGGTTTCGGAAGTTACATCCACTCACCCCTAAAGGTATCCAGGTTCAGGCCGTGCGCGGCCCTGTTCTTAAGAACACGCTCGCCGGCCTGTTTCTTACACCAGAGGGAAATTGGCGTAAAGCTTTGAAAGAAACCGAAAATGTTGTCTTACACAGAAGGCCATGGTTTGCACTATTCCGACCCGTAGAACCTCACTCACGGCCCTGGAGTTCTGGTTCTGAATTGCTAATTTGGGATCCTTCGTACGCCGGTAAGGTGTCTCCGGATGAGAAATTCACTGAAGCGGACATGGCACCCATCCATCGGGAGTTTGTGAGGATTATAGCAGAGGAAAACGGAAGAAAAAATCCCGAGGTACAGCTCCAGAAGGTCTGGGTGGGTGGCTGGGCCAGCGTGAAGACGCGCTATAGAGACCCTCTCGATATCGTGCTCGAGCAACTCACAAACTTTGTGTCGGATGCGAGGACATATGTCCCATCACCAAGACACGTGATGCCTGAGCGCGGGTGGAAACTTGCCGAGCCTTCTAGCCCCGAGGATCTGAAGAGAGCCGATGAGATGGGTCAGGCGTCTCTCAAGGACTTGAAGAGCAACAGCAAAGACACAACGATCCGCGAGCCGACAGACGCGAGGATAGTTTTCCATCCTCCCCGGGGAGCTCATGCGTCGCGGAACCTCTTCTACAAATGGACACAGGATGCTGCAAAGCAAGGTCGAGTGGTAGAGACCGGTGGTTCTAACACGTTGGTGTGGTACGGTCAGCAGCGAAGAGACGGCAGCGATTTCAAGCACATTGTCGTGGCTGATTATGAAACAATTTTCCCGGAGCTGGGGATCCCAATTCGGCCATGAACAAGTTAAGTTGTATTGATACTGGGGCCAGCAGGTGGTAGGTAGGACTATCTGGCGGATGTCGGAAAACTTCTTGTACTTAACAAGGCGCCTTTTATGCGCCGAATATTATCTCTGACCTTCTTGGTCTCATCGTCCGGCTCTGCTTTCTTTTTCCCCGAATAAAAGTCCATCTCGACAGGACTCTTGTAGGTCAAAGCATCAAGGTCGTCCCGAAACACGTCAACCAGGGTTTTTATATCACTAATATCATCGCTTTGGGATCGTAGCCCTTCTTTGATTTCGCCCAGCGATTTTGTGAAACCTTGCAATCGCGTGGCCTGGATCTCCGACGGCGACGCTTTGGTCGTGGTCGTGGTCGTGGTCGTTGAGGAGGCGATTGGTAGGAAAGTCTGTGTTCCGACATCACGATGGAACATCTCGCTGGGGTCATCTTCGTCCTCGTCCGCGTCTGTCTTCGGCTTGGCCGTTGTCGGTACGGTGGATACTGTGCCCTCGAGGAGGGTCAACATCTTGTCTAGTTGCCCCGACACATCGTCGTGTAACTCGACACGGGACGTCGTGAGGCTTTCGAGCATTGGGCTGAGAACGAACTTTGATGTACCCACGACTAGCGTAGAGACCAACGTCGTTATCTGGAGGGTGGCCAACAATCTTGCAGTCGTCACGAGGGGTGGAGGCTGGGAAGGTGTTGCAAGGAATTCAGGATATGTGACAACGGGCGGGTGAGACGTTGGCTCGGTGTCAGCAGTTGGACTGCTCGGTTCGCTTCGTGAAGGAGTCGTTTTGGAGACTGGCGTGGGTGAAGGTGTGCTGTTGGTCTGGGGTCTGTCAGTCCACTTGAGCGGGTGCGGGTTGTGCAAAGCGCGAACTTCTGTGGCTGACGATTCCGTAGGGGAAGACGGAGACTCGTCCACGAGAGCCTCGATATCGCTGTCGTCTATCCCCTTGGCCTTGAGAAAGGCGACTTTCTTGTCTCGCGACTCGCTCTTCACATGCTCGTCTTGGAGGAAGCGCCTCGCAACAGCCAGGCTGTCTTCGGCATTTTCCTCGGTCTCGTTTTTGCGCTGCCAGTCAGGGATCCCATTGTTGGGTTTGTCGTCTGCGTCTGCGTCTCCCATGGTGAATGCGGGAATCTGGTTGACGAACTCGAAGGACAGTCCGGGTTGTCAGCAGCTGGAATTGTGACGCAGTTGTACCGCGTCAAGCGGCCTATGCCGTATGCGACGTGCCTCGGCTGTTAGGCGGCTCTGGGGTTGGTTGTGGGTCACTCTGGTTACCAGGTCCTACCTGGTAGTAGCAATGTTGCAGTGTATTGCTGGGAAGAGCCAAGTTTAAGAAAAAAAAGCGATGGTCATTTCCATGTTAAGCATTTCATAGACGATCGGACAGTACTGAGACATGTTCGCGACTACGGAGTGTCACTCATAGAGCTATAGGAGAAAGATGGTGCGTTTTGTGATATGCGACAAGCCGAAGCGTGCTGCCCTCCTCGTGTGCTCTGCGTTGCACCTGTCTATCCATTGTGAGCATTCACAGAGAATCGGCATGGTAGTTGGTTTCTTTCTGCCTGTTCCTTTTCTCTCCAAAGCAAAAGAATAAAATTTTTTTTAAAAAAGAGTGAATATTTTGCGTTTGGTGGCAGAGTTTATCTTGAGCAGCAGACTTTATCCGTAGTCCGGGAAAGCTTGAATGGCAGAGCACGTGATCAATTCCCAGAAAGCTGTCCGTGTCTTCTGCTCCCTTGGAGTCGAGAGTATCGAGCATTCGAGCTAAAGAGCTTAATTCCAAGAGCGAAAAAAAGAAAGAAAAAAAGAAGAAAAAGAGAAAAAGCGCATAATCCAAAGATAATCCAGAAGGCCTCATCAAGTCGTACAAAACGCATTTCCACCAATTTGTTCCAGAATCCTCCGTACCTAAAGTTGGATCGGACGTGCGATTCGCGACAGCCCGCGAACTCATCATCACCTGCGCGGGCGAACCACCAGAACATCAACCTCTTCCACTGTGGTTCCAGCGCATTTCAGGGCGATCACGACGGTATCTGATTAAATTGGAGCGAAGGTCAAGGCATTGTATGATCAATAGCCACCACTGGTTGCCCGCCATCCCCAAGAGGGTTTTATCCAAGGCAAGTGATATCCCGATTTCCTACAATGTCCTGGCAGCGAATTCGAGGAGGCCCAGCAAGTGCCGGATAGACCGTGTATGGTCATGGCATGCCGATCTTTGCTCAAAGCCCTTCTCGCGTCGTTGTCGTTCGAGGGGTCGATGATCGCTTGAGACTGAGATCCCCGGAGGTCTGGTCTCCCGGTCATCTGCTTCAAAATGTTGTTGCGTCGGTCAAGTTGGATGCACTGGGCATGATTTGAGCGCGTTGCGGCCAATTTGCATGGACGCAACACAAGCGGGAAGTCAAAACAGACTGGACATGGAGCCAATTGTGGTCGAATGTCGCTGCGTTGCATGAGGTACACTGTGAGTGCCTGCGTCGAAATGGCCCTTGAACCGCAGGTACTCGGCTTGGCCTGGGTTTGACTGGGCAGTTGCATCTCAAGGGCCTTCCCGTCCATAGGAGCTTCAGCCATAGCCTGCCTCATGCTCCAATCACGTCCCTGGCCCGCCCCTTCCTGTTCATCCCACTACGCGCACCAGAACTATCTACCCTCCGGATTGCATAGCGCTGGTCAAGCAGCATCTCCCATGATCGCACCACTCTCAATCGAGACCGCGACCTTGCACAGGCTCTGTGCAAATCGTCTTGTTCACTTTGCCACTGCTCACCTATCATTATCACTACCCACAGAGACCACTCTTCCCTGGCCATGCCATCCCGCCCTCGTCGAAATGCAGCCGCCAAGGCGTCTGAGGCACTCACTGCACAAAGTCATCGTTCTAACTCGCCTTTAGAGAATTCACCATTCAGTACTAGGCCTTTTGTCACCATGTCTTCTCGTCGGACCAATCGCGCTCGCGACCCAGTGAGCTCTGGCGACGACTCTTCTCATCTTGACGTGACAGTCAAGGTGCCGTCACACAAGCTGCGCCAGGCTACTCGCGGGGCCGCCCCTCCTCGTGACGACTCTTTTGAAGGCGGACAGGTTTTGAACCAAAAGCGCGACCGCGGCGGCAAAAAGAAATATGTCGTTGACGATTCAAGTCTCGACGACGATGAAGATGACGAAGACGGCGAGGTTCAACTGGATGATGATGACGATGAAGAAATGGGGGAGGATGAGGAGGATGCAGAGGGCGAGGACGACATGGACGTTGGTGCTGAAGGCGACGAAGACGCGGATGGTGACATGGACATGTCAACCGCTTCAGCTGTCCCGCCGCCCCGTTCTGGAGCCGGTACCACCATCAAGATCTCTCGAGGCGCTCGGCCGTCTACCACCCGCGCTGCCCCGGATGATGAGGACGATGATGATGATGAGCTGAGCGAACCAGTCGACAGCGACATGGGTGACGAGACTTTGGGTCTTGACGCCGGAAATGCCGACGAAGATGAAGAGGAGGACGCAGAAGGCGATGAAGATGCGGAAGGCGAAGAGATCGATGATGTCGCCAATACAACGGCTGCTGGACTCGACAGCGAGGATGTGAGCGGCGACGAAGAGCCGGATCTAAACAAAATGACCAAGCGTCAGCGAGCACGGTTCGAGGAAGGCCCTCAGGATTTCATGAAACTTTCAGATGGTGAGTACAGGAGTTATATATGGGAGCGAGAACATGTGCTAACACGTGCACAGAGGTCCAAGCTAAGAAACACTTTACGGCGGAAGAACTTTCTATGCGCAGGCAAGAGATGGCGCGCCGCCGACGCAACCTAAGCGAAAAGCGCAACGAAGAAGTCAAGGTACGTCTTCATTGCGTGAAGGCACGCAGTGCCTCCATTGATAGTGTCGCGACATGATTTGAGATGTCAAGGCCTTCTCCGTGTCCCCTTTGTGGACTCATGTCAATTTCCAGGTTACTGACTCCTTGTACTTTAGATGGAGACGATCAACAAGCTCCTGAAAAAGCAAGCGCCCAAGGTCAACAAGAAAGCGGCAGCTGCCGCAGCCGCCGCAGAGGCAAATTCCGAAGAGGGCGAGCATGGCAGCCGCAACAATCCAGTGTTCATTCGGTGGACCAGCACCAAGAGTGGTAATCGAGTGGGCGTATCCAACGACTTGATTGAGGGTCCCGCCGGCAGTTTATTTGGTCCGCCTTCCAGCGGCTTAAAGCGGGGCAAAATGGTCAACGAAGTGGCATGAACTTGTCTGCTCTCGTTTTGATGCGGCAGCAATTCAAAGTCACTGAGTGGGCTTGGTTAATAATGGGCATCTGGTTCAGCTTCAGCCATTGTACGTACCTGATCCCCCCTCCCATGTCTTCTTTTTCTAACGATAACAGTTCGGTAATTGGACATAGCAATATACAAAGGCATGGTACGCCTACACGGTACTGTATTATTTTGTCTATGTCGCGCGTTGTGAGGATGTCTGTCGGAATGTGCATGCCTGCAACCATCTTTTCGACGACTGTAAACTTGAGCCAAGGAGTTCATCTTTTGTGACCCCTGGTGCCTTGTTGTCCGTGTGCTGTTCCACTTGAGAGCGGGTTGACTGCTCTATGAAGGTGAAAGACTACGCGATAAAACTGGCGAGCTTTTTCTCGTGCTTTTGAGGCCGGGCTCTAGGTTTGGTTACCACACCTGTGTCTCAGACAATGGAGCTCCTCGTCTGCAGAATCGCTTTACAATTTCGCAAAGGCCAGTGAGGTTCTTTGCGTGTGAAGACACCCAGTCCACCAGCACACTTTTAGACGACAGTTTAGGAGCGGTTCAGACCTGGTTCCACCACTTTGGCCGTCAGCTTGCGGGCCTTGTGCTTGAGCTGTAGTCGAAAACCCCTCGCAACTCTGGTGTAGAAGACCTCTTGCTGCTACGAGGACTCGAATGTCGCTGAGACTGGGATGGGCACGGCATTAGCCTCTGTAGGGGGAGTGTCGCGAAAGCCCAAAGCCGAACGACCACAATTCCTTGGAATATCCACGCGTAACAAGGAACCCTGCAGAACCCTTTGTGGTTCTGGGGAGACGAGCGTGCCATTATTGGGGGAAGAGAGGAGCTTGAGGACGTTCGAGTGTGAGGAGCATGCTGCGCGGCAAGCCTACTTTCATTTCCACCACCGGCCCTGAGAAGAAAGAAAAAGGCTTGCTTTCGACTGAGAACCACACGCGCCGTGCGTAATTGCGGACTTTTACCCGAGTCGTTGAAGAGGCACCGAAAAGTGTTGCGCCGATTTTCGCGCGGAGCGGTGACCGGTCACTTCGCCATCGCCTGAGCCTCTATCGTTATGGCGTGGGCATCCGAGAGGTTGCAATCGAGCGTCCAATGCCTACGGATGTCCTGAGATTGTACCCGAGTTGAGAAAACCGGAGTCGCGCAGGATAAATGGCAAGATTGGCTATGGTATCGGATCGACGGCACCGCTCTCGCAACACAGCGCAGCATTTTCTCAGGGTGCGTCGTTCCCTCTCCAATCTGCCTTTCAGTCTATCACCGGATCGACCCTTTCTGACAGCAGGCCTCTGTGCCAGGGACAAGAGATCGCAAGTCTCAAAGGTCAGTGACGGACACTAAACCTCATAAGGAAATATATTTACTTACTCTCAATAGCTGGATGGCTTGATCTATTCAAGTGAGGCTAGCTGGGTGTCTAGCTGGGTGTTGCATTGCCGGAACCGACGTGGGCTGTTGTGCTTTAGAGGCGGGTATGTCGGTGCTCCTCGCCCTTTTGGCAACACTTCCGCTGCCGTCATGTCGAACCGTCTCGTCGCTGGACCAAATGCCTATTGCTTCCCCTTTTCACAAGTCAGCTGTGCTCATCAGTCTTCGCATCACTGGCGAAACGATACTGGCGAGCTTGGAAGGTGGTCTTCGCAGTGTCGGTGTTTGATGGCCACAGATGTCGCCGGCTCCGAATACTCGGCATTGCACTGTTGACTTGCAATTTGTGACAACCATGGAATCAGGTCTGCTCACTTGCATGGGGGTTCATGGCCGCCACTTCGTTGGTGATCTTGAAGTAGAGGTGTCGTCTCGGCAAGGTCCTGTCGATAAGAGCGAAATTTTCTGCATGAAACCCCGACGAGAAAACATAACGCCTTCGGCAAGATGTCGAAAATGATCATCTAGCAAGCTTTCTTGTTTACGAATGACGGATGGAGATCAGGATGGAAATTTGGGCAGGAACATGCATCCAAGTCAGTCCGGTGTCTGTCTCCTGCTGTGCCAGGCGTCAGAAGTGGGTGGATTTTGGGCAACTGCACACAACTCGACAAAGTGGCCTCGGTATGAGACAGCAATGACCCGAGCATATGAGATATGGGCAAACAGCGACTGGAACGATTCAACATCGGCATGGATTCCACATATTGCATTGTGCAATGGGTGCCGTATGAGAGTACGAGCAGCAGCCGATGAAGTTATTTCACTACTGGACAAGTCTCTACGAACATGGATCCTGTTTCTGCTGTTGATGGTGGGGAGTTACATCAAAGGAAAGGGCAATGGTGGCTTCATTGTGCTCTTGCTCAGGGCAATGGGTGGATGCTCCGCCCGGCGAAAACGTGTCCCGGGGGATGTTGCCGGACACGGTGCTCGAACGAAGCTCGGGTTGTCCATCACTGTGGGACAGTGGTCACAGGTCATACGAAGGGCTGGGTTTCGAGACGGCGAGGGCTGTGCAGCGAGGCACCGGCAAGAGCGACTCACATTGGGATAGGGGCATGTGCGGGACCTGGTACAACCAACTGTTGGTTGCAAATTGGACTGGTGGGAATAAAGTCTCCGGCACCAGGTCCAAGGCCCACGGCCCCCTCGGTCACTCGCAAGATGAGTGTCTCCGATGGACTGATCATGGGAGTATCTGATGGCACCTTGTTGGCATATCCCCAACGTCCCTTGCCCGGAAAGGAGTCATCTGGAAGAGTATCGAACCTCTACTGGCTGAGCTAGGGAACTATGGACTGGTCAAGAAGAGGGGAACGTGGCCGACGCAATGTACTCGAGTTTCTGTGGATGGAAGCTGTGGGCTCAAAGAGCAATGCTATGAGACGAGGTGAACAGGAGAAGCTGTGCTGAAGCTGTCTCTACCCCCGGAATCAAGACATGGAACTTTCTTGTGATCGAAAACAGCCGTGAGGGCGATTTGGCAGACAAGGATACATATGTTTGTCTGTTGGGAACTATACAAACATGCCTCAGCCTTGTCGGAAGAGCCCAAGAAGCCGGAGGGCACGCCACCTTGATTGCCCACTCTAAAGGTCTATGGGAAGTCTATAAAAGAGCCAATGATGCCCCTCGAGATGCTGGGAGACACTCTTCTCATCCAACCGTACTGAGTCTCTCACAGTCGCAGTACTTCACACTCACACTTTCAAGGGTCTTTACCTACTACTCTTCCGCAGTCCAACAACATACTTACCGCGCTTCAAGCATTTCCTCATGACTGCGTTCTCTTCTATAGTTGTCGACGCCTTGCCACCCGTCGTCGACGACGAAAATGGCATGCGTGTCGCCTCGGGCGACACGTACATGGGCGATTCTTCCCCCGAATCAGCGGGCCCTATGAGGCTCGACCATCAGGAGGGCTTCATGGTAGCTCCCAGAATTATGGCTTCGTCAAACTCTCTTTGGGACGAGTATGTGCAGCACGCGCAGTTCACTGGACAGACCCAGATCGACGCGCAGCAGCCTGGAAGCATGGTAAGTGAAGCACATGAACTTTGTCTCTTGTCCTTATTTCTATTTTGCCTTGTATTTTTCTTGCTCATACCCTGTTGTGTGGCGTGGGAGGTGTGGCATTGGTGTCATCATGCTTGCCCGTGAGGCTTGCTTAATATTTAAGCTTCTTGATCCTTCCCGCCAGCATGTTTTTGTTTGAATTGACGGGCGCGCTTATTTTGCAACGCGCTTAAGAACACAAATCGTCGCGCGTTTAGCCTTTCTTCGTTACCCTGCCTTACCTGGCTGTTCATGCGGAACGCTATGCACCCGTACGAGAGCTTGTTCACTAACTTTTTCCCAGTCCATCATGCCAATTCAGGCACCAAATTCTGTCATGGCGTCAATACCCAACAGCTTGCTCTTTCCTCAGGCCACAGGGCAGCAGCCCCAACATCAAATCTTCCTTAACACGGGCTCGGGTCACTTTGAGGCTTCTCATCCCGTTTTTTGGGTAAGCGTGGGCCAAGGCCAATTCAGGCCTGCGACTGAGGTCGAGATCATTCTGCAGTACAAGCAATTTATGCAGCACCGCCAGGGTCCATCTGCCGCCAACGCTGCGCAGCCGATCCCCACAGCGACGGTTCCTGTAGTTGCTCCCAAGCCGCCAGTCCGCTCCAACGTCACACACGGCTTTTCCAAAGCATACCAGAACTTGAAAGAGGGTAAAGTTTTTTTCGAAGATGGCCGCCTTTGCGTCTTTGCTGGTGCCGCGTCCGAGATTAGCACTGGCAAGGCCTATGTCGTCGACAAGTTTGTGGGCGACACGGTCCATTTCGTCAAGAACCTCAAGGATGTCAAGACCATGGGATTTTTGGCTTTCCCGGTGTTTACTGAACCCCGAGAGCTGTTGGAAAGCCAAGGTCTCCAGCCGGATCATAAGACCATGTATGAACTCATGGTCTACAACGAAAGCAGCCCGATTCCTGCGGGAGAAATCATCCCTGGACTCTAGTTCGGACTCAGCCGCAACTCCTCGGGACATTGCCAATGCAGTGTGCTATCATGTTTTGGATGTTGATTTGGACTTTGTTTCGGTTTAGAGAGTGGTTATTGATTTGGAGAATCGGGGGACAATGGTAAAGCCGAAAGGGGTGGCTGGAGGATATCACATAACAACCCCAGCGAAAGAACCCTAGCGAGATAGACGTTGATACCTGACGGTCCACCTAGTTCACTATGAGACATGTGACACTCCCTGTCTTAATCTGAACTTTCATGTATGCGCGGGACGATAGTGCCAATATCCTCTGTCTGAATTGCATCAAAAGATTGGGGACGGCGCATTAAGCAAATCCGTGCTGAGGATGAAAATCACGGCTTACTTAGAAAACTAAATTCATGTCAGGACTGAGCATCACTATAATCTGACAATGAAAATTAGCGAAAGGATGCGAAGCGACATTTAAAGGAAGCAGAAAGGGCACATTTTTCGGTGAAGAAGTTTTTCGTCCATAGGTTTGATTTAGGGGAGTCTAAATTCTGCGCCGCTTGGTGATGTTGCCCCCTAAGGTAAATAAACGATGATACCTGTAGCGCAACTCCACGAGGCTTCGGGAGACTGGCAAATGTGCACCTCTTTACCAGATGTCATAGACAATAAGAATGATTGCTCAGATGTGAACAGGACATGGAAATAATTCTCGATTTTAAAAACTATTTTATTGCATTTCTTCCAGTATCCTTGCACGGACAATGGAGTACTCGAACCACAACCCATGCCATACCACCTTGTGCAGCTCCCAGATGTATCTGCGAGATTTTAGTTCTCACTGGATACGTGAGGGCCGACCCGAGGCCGGATGCAGGACAGATGCTAAGATGCAGCGTGACAGCTCAACAACGCCGTCGCTCGGAGATGCGAGACGTCAGCATTGTGAACATTGCGACTTTTATAATAAACTTGCAGTGGCACGAGGTCAAACAACTTGTATGTCATATGTTCCATGCCCGTTCTGGGCAAAGGCACAGGGCGTAGACTGCTGGGCTGCGCAGCATCACTCGAATTTTCTATGGCCACGTTGCTGCCCATGACATTTCACGCCCGGGGGGAGGGGCATTGTATCGCGATATATTGGCCATTGTTGCATATGTCCCGGCTCCTACTCGGTGGATCGTGAGGTGAAACGGCACGTATCGACGCCCATCTTTTTCCCCTGTGGGACCCGTGGACAAAGGCGAGGCTGCAACAGGCTGTAAGATTGCCCCGAGAATCCTCATGCTGAGCCAGGTGCTGATACATGTTGGGCAAACATGCTAAGCGTACACCTTGCTGCCCTTCCCTTCGAGCAGCTCGTCCAGGTACTGGTCAAACGTTGTGAACTCAAAGTCAGGATATAGCTCCTTTCCATCGAGGTATCCCAAGTACTTTGCGTACTCGGGGTTGTTGTCGCCACGAACGCCCCACGAAAGCCTGTACTGCGACGTCCAGAGTGTCACCAGGTCACCGATCTCCTTGGATCCCGCTTTGACCTTCTGCTCGGCTTCTTTCACCTTCGATACAACCTCTTCGGCAGGGATCTGACGAGCGGACGTTAGCAGCCACGGCGGAAACATTGAACGCCATCGATCATACCATCTTGCGCTCTGGCGCTTCACCAGTCTTAGCTTCGACAGCATCGAAGACTTGACACTGGGTTTTTACCTCGTTGTAAGCGAAGACACACTTGTTCAGAGTTCGGTCATCACTGATGATGCGAGCCACGTATCTGCCCACGTCCCTCAAGTGGGTGATCGCCATAGCAACGTCCCCACCGCCCATGATCCCGTCCATGGGCGCATTGAGGGCGTAGTCGAACCGGCCCGAGGGCAGCCTCGGTGTACCGATCTGGAACCACCAGCCAACATCGATGACGGTAAAAGGGAGCCATATCTTCTTGATATGGTCCAGAACATCCTCTTTCTGTTCATTCGTGTGTTAGAATGTCACAGTCAAGTGGCGCACATCCCAGCGTAACGTACGGCTTCACGCAGCGCCATGACACCCCTTGGGGGGGACACTGTGGCAAAGTGACAAGGCACAAAGCGCTTGACACCAGCCTCCTTTGCGGCGTCTGCCAGGATGATCTCTTCATGGAGAGCCCATGGCGCTATGGCCGAGATGAGCACGTCAATGCCGGTGAGGGTTCCCACCAGATTGTCCTTGGGTCCCGAGATGTCAGTGGCGACGAGACAGACACCAAGCTCCTGAAGCTTTTGGCTGGCGGGTTTCTGGAGAGACGAGGTACGAATGAGCGCCGTGATCTCCTGCTTGACCCATTAGTAGCAGTGTTCTTCGGGCTTGTCTGTCTGACCACAGAACGTACGAATTTGGCAGGCGACTGGAGTAGGCCATTCACGATAGACCGGCCCGTTTCACCGGTGGCTCCGACAATTGCGACCTTCATGCTGGTATATGTAATTTGGCTAGCTGGTGCTGGTGCAATTGACGTCGGAAGTATCATTGAAGGAGCGGCGCTCGGAGACTGAACCCCACGTGCTGGAAGGCTATGGTGAATCCATCCGTCTGCTTAGTAATGGGTCCTCGAGTGGCGACGCACTGAAACCCCACCGGGTATGGAGTAGACAGAGTTCGATTCAGCCCTGCGGACTGGATCTGGAGCCTGGGGGGTATCGCGTCTCACCGAGCCCAGAAGCCTACAAACGTGGCGCCAAGCAAGAATACTAACAGGGGCAGCTCAGAGAGCGTTTATGGCTCCATCTGGCGAGAACGTGGTAGCGCATCTACCTCTTGAAGTCGGGGATCTCAATCAGCATTCAGCGACAAGTGATGTCGATCGGTGGGGATCAACTTTGACGACATGGACACTGAACACAAAGGCGTGCGCTTGATCTGCGTCGAGATTTGCTGGGCGTGCAGCGCAAGTGCGACGACTGGAGTCGACGACGCCCGAGGCTTTCTCGACCTCAGCCACGGGGGGCGCAGCAGTTTGACTCACGCCGTGGTTCATGATTTGGGGGCGTAGTTCAAACATGTTGGCAGCCCGGGTGACTGGAGGTGGTAGGTTTTCTGCCATTGTAAGATTGAATCCTCCGTGACACAGTGATCATCATTATTAACCACCGGAGGTTGTCGTGTGTCAGGGAGTCGAGGATTCAATGCCCGAACAGGATCGCATTAAACTCGCGCGAGGCGCAACCCAAGCCATTTTGAGGTGGGTGGTCTAGCCCCCGGGGTAAAGAGATTCAGCGCCTAAGTTAATTGCTGTGATCCACTAATCTTAAGCCCCCGGCGCATCCCTGCATGCCAGCCTCAGTTAGTATCCACCGCTTGAGCTCGGACGCCCAGCTCAAAGGACCTGGCACAAGCAAAAGTACTCCGTATCTCGACGCGCTTCAAGTTTCTCTTCCCCTCCTGCTTTCCAAACTAAATCAAGCCCATCGTCTGTCTTTCTTTGTACAAATTTCTTGGGACGAGACATTCAACAAACATTGCAACCATGGCCGCGCAACCACCTCCGCCTTACCAGCCCAGCGGTGAGCAGGGCGCCAGGGGCGCTGCGCCCGCGACCAACTTGTCAGTCCATTGATGAATGAACCGTCGAGGCAGATGGATAGAAGCTAACACAATACAAGACCCGGTCAGCCTATCGCCATGCAACCCATGGGCCAGCCTGGCATGGACACCTCTGGGCAGAAGGTGACGCCGCTCCACCTCATGAGCGAGGTGCCTGAGTGGGTGGACTGCCAAATGTGCCACCAGCGCACTCGCACGCGCATCGAGAAAAAGGGCGAGGGCATGCAATTGTGAGTCGTGGCTCCTGTCCTGCTCTCCCCCGTCGGGTGGAAAAGGTCGCGCGACAAGCTGCTAACCCACGTCAAGTCTCACAGGTGCCCTCCTCTGCCTCGTCTGCATCTGTCTCGCCCCCCTGCCTTGCTGCCTGCACTGGTTCGAGCAGACCAACTGGTACTGCGACAAGTGCGGTAAGCAGATTGCCACGCGCACCCCCGAATCGCCCGTCCATGTCCTGCCTCCGCCTCACGCCCTCAGCGTGCCTTCGCAATACGGCGGCCAGCAGCCTCCCCCTCACGGCCAAGGTCCCCAGGGGCCGATGCCGCCGCACGTCAACCCCCAGGCTGGCGGCATGCCTCCTCCTGGTCAGGCGCCCATGTCGCCCCCGGTTGGGTCGCCGTATGCTGGCACGCCGCCAGCCGGCGCTCCCAGTGGCGGCCCCGTGCCCATCGAGCACCAGCACAATCCCAACCCTGAGATATCCCAGGCGCCGCTCCCGTCGCAGGCTACCGGAGGCCCCGACTCCCTGCCCGTGAAGAACTAGAGCATCGGTGAGGATAGAGCATTGCGCGGTGTTGGTGAGGCGAGGCGAGGCGAGGCGAATGGTGGTGGTGCCTGTAATTTGTCGGAGTGAAGGTTGATTAGGCTTGGTGCTGTTGCGAGATCTGGCTGTAGAATTTGGCCATAGATACCCGATGACGACTGACTTGTTTCTCAATATACACGACCTTTTTTGCGCGACCGGAAACCCAAAGTCTTGATGATCTAATGTTCGTGGCGACGGCAGCCGCCGGTTCCGACGCGGGTAAGCTGATAGTGAGATGAGTAGGATGTGCTCAGTGCTATCTTCAGTCGAATAGCGAGATTGGCAATAGGTCGATTGATAAGCACCGAACACACTTGCTCAACTTTATTCGATTCGTCCGTTGTAAACACACATCGCAGGGCTATCGAGATGGCTTCTCCTGCTACTGCGCCAAACAGCAAGGCTGGCACGTCCATCTATAAGTCTCACGTCCTCAACTTCTACGATGCTTTCGTTCTCGGCTGCAGCAACGACTACGCATGGAAATGCCCCACAGAGACGGTCCTCCTGCCATTGTTCCAGTCGGCCATTGGGAAAAGGCATCTCGATGTCGGTGTTGGAACGGGCTAAATTCCCGCGACAGCTGTCGCGCGGGATGTCGACAAGGTGTGCCAGGAGCTCACGCTGCTGGACCTCAATCCGAACACGCTGCAAATGGCAAAGCAGAGGGTGGAGGGTATCGCTGGCACTGCTGTTCGTGTCGACACCGTGACGGGGGATGCAACTCAGGCTCTGCCACTCGAGAGACGTGTATTCGACAGCATATACCTCTTTTACCTGCTGCACTGCATGACTGGACCGACCGCGTCCAAACTACGCGTCCTTGACATGCCGCGACCGCATCTCGCTCCAGACGGAACTCTGGTTGGCGCGACGATCCTGGGCGACGAGGCGACCATGAACCCGTTGGCACGGCTCCTCATGAGCCTGTATAACTGGAAAGGCATTTTTGGGAACTGGGGGGGCAGCGAGAATGAGATTGATGGCAAGTTGCGAGGGATGTTTGCGGACGTGGAGACCTGGGTCGTTGGACGTGTGCTGCTCTTCAGAGCTCGGAAACCGTTGGGTGTAGGAGTCGTCCCAGGAAATTAGCCGGCGAATTGAGGCTGATGCTACCTCAGCTCATGGCAGCCCGTACTCTGTACACAGTACACAATACTGGGTAAGGTACCCTGAACTTTGATGTCGTCGCAAAGTGATATCTGTCTGAGCGAGAGGCTCACGCAGTCCGTGACAAGACCAGATACGACAACATGTGGGGACGGACGGAATAAAAGTGCATTGGTTGAATCCACAAACCAGACACTCAGTATGAGTGAGTCGTCCGTGTCTCAACCAACACCATCCTCGTCATGAGCCACAGCCGCCGCTGGGTTCAAGTATGGTGCACCACCCCTCGTGGGCGCGAGGGACAAGGTCGCGCCAAGCCTCCAGTCATCCCGCGTGACAATGGACCGAACGACCCCTGTTCTCCCATTCTCCACCTTGTCACAAATTGGATATCCTCATCAATCTTCAACGTAAATACATACACTTCGCCCTTCACCTCCTCTCCCACAGCGCAGCTGCACCCATCGTTTCTGGAAGGCTGATGAATCACCAGACCCCCCCGCCGGGGTACCAGCACCACCAACCGGCCTCATATCAGCAGCCGTACCAACAGCCGTACTATGCTCACCCGCCGCCGCCACCACCCCAACCGCCGCGCCTGTCGCTCAATCACCGTTTACAATGGTGGTACAGCATCACGCGCCCCTGGGCGATTGTCGTCCCGGCCATCACCCTCATCATGGACGTGTGGTGGTTCGCGGCAGGCAGGCTGTGCGGGTACACGGACAGCGTGATGGACGAGTGCTTCTGGGTCCTGTGGCTGTCCCTCCCGCTTGTAAGCCTTCTCCCCTTGGCGAGACAGAGTACATACTCAACACATCTGTGCACAGGCTATCGTGTCGCTGGTTTGGAACATGGCCGCGACCATCTCGGCGAGGAGGATCATGCATCAAAGACCCGGGTTCGCCCCGGGGCTGCAGTTTGGAGGCCAGGCGCTGGTTGCGTGCGGAGCGTCCGTGTGTCTGGGCCTCCTCGCGCGGCACTTTGCCGTGTACATGGACGCGTGGTGGTCGAGTTCGCTCGAAGGCGCCATGATTGCCTTGATTTCCATCATCACGTAAGTTCTTCCCGTCTCTTGTGCGTCCCGTGATGGTACTGACTGGCTGGGGGAAGGTTCTTCAATTGGGTGCTCACAGCGTTTGCAGCCTACGAATGGGTCTTGGAAAGGAGAGCCAGGAATGAGGAGATATATGTTTTATAGCATCAAATTGTCATTACAGCGAGTTATCTTACAACCTCCCTTCTGGCGTAGCGGCATTACAGAGTCGGCGTCCAAGCATTTTTCCGTGTCCACGTCCCGAGATCTCGTCATTGCGTCAACATGCTCCCCGTGAACCCGCCGTGCGCCGCGAAGCGCAGCTGGTAATCCCTCAGATCGGCCCAATGCCGCAGCTCTTCCTCCTCATCCTGCGCTGTCATCTGCATTGGATCGCTAGCCCTCGAGGTGCCAGCCGGACCTGTCTTCTCCAATTTCATGAGCACGTCAATCAGCTGGGACAGCGCCTCCTCGGACTTGATGGCAAAAGGGCCTTTCCGCTCCGGCGCATCGTTCAGGAGCGTCGATGCGACTTGGCGGATCTTGTTGATTATGGAGCCGCCGTTCGGTTCCAGATTGCGCTGCGAAATGGATCCAAGGACCGTCAAGAGGTTCTCGACAATGAGCTCACGCTCCGATGTCATCAGAGAGAGTGTCTCCTTATCTTCCTCGTCATCAATGACCTTCTGCTCTGGCGTAAGATGGACCATGCTGTGCGGGTTCGCCAGATGCACATCACGGAGATTGAAGTAGAGCTCCACGAAATAGGAGCGAGTCGCCAGCTGAGATGTGAATATGTTGGCCTTTTGGATCTCATACTGGAGCTGACGCCGTCGGTGCGGCTGCGTCTTGAACACATTCCGCAGGTCGTGGGCTGGCTGTGCGGTAGGCCACAGTGGCGGCACATACTGCATGGTCGTTTCCTCAAACGCTTCCATAGGATCCACCTCGCCGTGGTTGCCAAGCTGTAATTCAAGCGGAAGATCGTCGATAATCCCTTTGACGGCGAGAAGAGCTGATCGTAGCGAGGACCGCTGGTCGGACCACTGCAGAGCACTCATGCCATAGGCAAGCTCAGTGCTGAGGATGCCGTTCATCGTCGTGTAAATGTCAATGGCAAACCGATATCCTGTGAGTAAAGATGCATTGCCCTCGTTTTGATCGTTGATCTGGTTGGCGAGAATGTACATGTCGTCAATGTTCTCGGGATACGCTGGGTAGGGGAAGTTGGGAGTCGAAGGCGGGATGACCGTGCCGGTTTGGCTGTCGCCCAGCTGCGCATATGACCTGTTGCCGAGCAGCAGACACCAAAAGATGCGTTTCCCAACTTGGTCCTTGACATGATTAAAGGGGAGCGGGTCGGGCGAGTACTGGTCGCTGCCAAAGGTTGGTAGCTCGCCTGGGTTCTTAGGCCGACTGAAGCCCAACTCACGTATTAACGTCAACGTCTCTGACATGAAAAAGTGAGACTGGTTCCACTGGTGCGTGTAGCTGGCAGCCAGGCCCATGAAGTAGCTGGTCGCCGCATCATCGAGCGTCTTCGGCTGCTTCGCTGCAAATCTGGGCCCACGGGAATTGAGCGCGATATCCCGACACTTGTCGATCAGAACAATAGCGCGAGGAAATAGGTGCGTGCTATGTTGTGCTTTCAGGTGCTCTCTGGCGCTGCGAGGGAAAGAGGCGACTAGTCCACCGATCATGCTCGCGATCAACCCTAGGAACTCTGGCCGTGTGCGGTCCTCGCGATTAGCAAAGGATTGCCGAAAGGTCGGCTCGTGGGGGAAAGGCGCAAGCGGGTGGATGTACGTGAAGAAGTCGTCGATCAACAGCTCCAGCACCGGCATTGGTGCTATGCTTTCTGCATCTTGGACGCCTTCAGCTGTAAGGTTCAAAAGACCCTTGGTAGTCCTTTGTGGCGATGGCGTGGGAAAGCTGGCGGGCAGGGGCTCGATGCGTGCTCGCTTTGCGGCCTTGGCGGCCTCGGCATGCTTGTTAGGCGGTCCTCGCCTCTTCGTCTCGCGCTGGTAGGTACAATCCACACCAAGCTCACGACACGGTTTGCAGGGGATGCCCGCGTCGTCGCATTTGACTTTGCGCATGCTGCACATGTCGCACGCGCGTCGCAGTCGCGTGAGCTTGGGGTTCACAGTCGGGTCGCGTGACTCGGACAGCTCATGCGAGGTGGGAGTGATGTCTAGTCCGTGCTGCGGATGCTGCGTCTGAGGCTGTGCCATGTGCGCTTGCGCCAGGGCTGCGACGGCCGAGGCGTCGGAGAGGCCATGATGCTCGATCGAAGGTTCTACGCTGGGATCAGCGACTGCTGCTTGCAGTTCTGAATGTGCCGTGAGCCCTTGCGCGGCGTCGCTCGCGGCCTGTAGGATTTCGAGCCCATTGCTGGCGTATGCGTGGACATTAGCGTGATCGGTGTCGGAATGCTGCGGCGGCTCTTGATACGCGTGCTGCTGGTCGAGATGGTCCTGGGGATGATGCTGGTCTTCATGATCCTGAAAGTCAGGTTCCGATTGGTCTACAAACGCCTCGTGCACGTCCTCGTGGTTGATCGTCTCATGCTTGGGGGGTTGTTGCTGCAGCTCCGGCGACTGTGGGGAGCCAGACATGATGGCGGCGCGGCGCGTCGTGATGTAGTATTTACCGATGTTGATGCGTGGAAGCCGTAGATGGCCCGACGGATTTGATGCGAGGCGTTGCGAATGTGGCTGGCTCACGTGATCCCCTTGAAGCGTACCAACCTCAGGCGTGCCAGCTTAGGTACGTACTCTGACGCATTTGCCCTCCCATCAGTTGCCCTCACGATCCAGAAGCATTTCCATTGAAATCTGCATTAACTAGGATTCGGTGTCAGACACATATTTTTTTAGCAGCTGCTATCAGCGATATGTCCATGAAATACGAGTCAAGTATCTTAAGCTGATCATAGCAATGGTGTTGAACGAGACGCTGATTCTTGTCTGTCAGGAGCCACTTTGGGGACGCCCATCGAATACGCTTCCCCCCCACCCCCCCGCGGCTATAATTGTGCTTGCATTTTCTGAAATCTCAGCTTTAAAAATTCATTGTCTTTTAGTTGAATGAGGTAAGTCTAGCTCTGCCTGGACAGTATGGCTCTGTAGGGTAACTACAAGGTCAGTTTGCCGGCCGCAATCATGTCGGGCCGGGTCATCCACACCCCTCGGTGCATGTGGCGCTGCGCTTGCTAAACCGAGCTCGGCTTCTAGAATCCAGATTCCGACAAATGTCGTGCCAGCGCAGAGGGCTTGTCATGACTTGTGAGTCCTCAGTCAACCAAGGTGTTATTAATAATTCCGCACAGGAATAAGTCAGAAGCAAGTTAGCAACTACGTACGTTACCCGTACGTACCTGGCACATCGACAGTGCCCGCTTTTTCTGCCACAAAGATTTCCACTCTCGGCTCCATTCCGATCCACAGCATTGACATCATCGTTCATATGCTTTGGCAGGACGAAAAATCACTGTTTTTGCTAGCTCTGGCATTGAACTCTAGCGGCCAATGTCTTGGGGAGAGACCACACCACACGGTAAGCGTCACTATATGGCCATGACACCAGTCAAATCGACACGCAGTACGGAACGAAAAGGCGGTGCAGCTCAATTCACTTCAGATGCGTCGAGAACCTGTGGACCCTCCAGGGGTCGGCAGCAGATCGCTCATCGAACGTCAGCTCCCAAACTTGCTCTGCATTTAAAATTCGCACCCCAAGACGGCTTTCTGCCTTGAAGCGCAGAGCCTCCATTTTCAGCGGTGAGGCAGCTTGATCAAAATCATCGCACAAACAACATACCTGTTGCGAAATTTTGATGTGGAAGCATCCAGTCGAAAAGAAAAAATCGGGATGAACCTTTTTCATTAAATTCTAGTTTGTGCCTAAGAGACTAGTACTGAGTCAGAGTTTACTGAAGCCAGGCACGTACGTCTCGACACGCCGCGAAATAATTACCCCTCCCCCACCATGAGTGCCATGACCAGGACCTGGCTGCATCGTCTTATCTGACCGCCGTGGACACCGTGCCTAGCACCCTATTCCTATGCGACTGGAGTTGAGTACGTACGTGTGGGCGACATTCAGGTGATACTGCAGTCATCTTTACGTACGGATACCCGGACATGCCTCTGATCAGCACCACTGACCAGTCTCGAGTGGCAGCTCAGGAGCAAACTGTCCTGGTGCCCCACTATAAACACTTTCAACTGGTTATCAACATTGCCAGTGAATCAGGGCTGCTGGAGTCGACACGGGGCAAGAGCTCCAGTCGGCCTGTGCGACTCAAGCCTTCCATTTAATTTTTGTGACTATGATACTTCAGCTCATCACTCGCTTCATTTGTTGACTTGCCCTCTTTTCCATCGTACGTCGTCTTCAGCGTCTGGATTCACTTGCTTCACCTACTTAGACGGCTGCATCCGTACCCTGCCTGCAACCATCAGTCTAGAATTCGCCCCGCAATTCGCACCTCACGCTTGCTGCTTGCAGCGCGCGTCCGGCGGCAACGCCTGGTGTCGGAATGGCGTCCAGAACTGCACCCCACGAACAACACCATGATAGCGCCCCTCCCAATGGCCTAGCGGGCGAGCCGGCCGCTGGTGGCCACGACCGCGGCGAACGCAAAGCACCTAGCAAGCTGGCCTTTTCGAACGACAATCCTCCCGCAAGTGAAGACGAGTACGACGACGAATCGCCGCGACCTCCCGCCTCCACCGATCTAGGTTTCGAGGCTGTCACTCCGGGCATCGACCCTCGTAGTTATCTTGCTAAGCGCACGACAACGACCAGCGGGGCCCCCAGCGTCAGCTACTTCTCTCGCAACGACGTGACCATCCCTTCGCGGACAGGATTGCGCGACCCTCTGAGCCGCCAAACGACTCTTCCCTACAAGATGGAGCGTCGTGAGTCTCTCTCTGAGATCCGGGCGGCCAATCCGGACCTGTCGCTCAGCGGCAACATCATCTCGGCGACCTTCAGCGCCCCTCATTCATTCACGTACCGCACAGGAGGCCAATGGGTAAGCTTCGCCGTGCCACGCACGCCATGATGCTTGTCTCACATACTAATACTCTGGAACAGGACCTAAAATCCCGCCGCGGCCAATCGGCTCTCATCGACTCGTTTGCCTACCTGTCTTCCGATGCTACACCATGGAACCACACCGTAGTGGCGTGGACAGGTGAAGTCGACCATCCCTCAGATGCTCCATTGTCGCCTCCCGAGACACCACCAACAACGACTGTGGGCGCATCTTCGCTGAACCCGCTCTCTGCACCCGTGCCCGTTGACGCCACGAGCAAGCCCGCGCCCGTACAGTCGGAGGGGCTCTGGGTACCGAAAAAGGATCAAGAACGGTTAGAATACGAGCTCCGCCATGATAAAAGCATGCCTACCATTCCTGTTTGGCTGTCTGACGAAGCCGAGTCCACACCCGAGGGCATCACACTCACGGACCAGACTAGATGGAGGAGATACGCCGAGCACGACCTGTACACACTGTTCCACTACAAGCAGCATGAGCCCTCTGATGGGCGCAAAGAGCGCGTTCAGTGGGCCGACTACTACCGCATGAACCAGATGTTTGCTAACAAAATTATCGAATTTTACAAACCTGGAGACATTGTGGTGGTGCACGACTACTACCTGATGCTGCTGCCCAGCATGCTGCGCCAGCGAGCACCCGGCATGTACATCTCGTTCTTCCTGCACTCGCCGTTCCCCAGTAGCGAATTCCTGAGATGTCTCCCTCGCCGCAAGGAGGTGCTCCAAGGCGTCCTTGGCTCGAATCTCATCGGTTTCCAGTCGTACAGCTACTCGCGTCACTTCCTCAGCTGTTGTACGCGTATTCTGGGCTTCCCATCAGATACTCTTGGCATCGATGCCTACGGAGCTCGGGTCCAGGTCGGTGTCTTCCCCATTGGCATCGATGCGGCCAAAGTGGAGTCCTTTGCCTGGAACGATACGGTCACCGAGAAGTACAATACACTCAAGTCCATGTATGAGGGCAAGAAGATCATTGTGGGGCGAGACCGCCTGGACAGTGTGCGTGGCGTGGCCCAGAAATTGCAAGCTTTCGAGCGCTTTCTCGAGCTGTACCCAGAGTGGAGGGAGAAGGTTGTTCTGATCCAAGTTACGACACCTACGTTGGTCGAAGCCGAAAAGGGCGACCCCCAGAAGAAGGTCAGCAGTCGGGTGAATGAGTTGGTGATGAAGATCAACGGGCAGTACGGCAGTCTCGGGTTCTCCCCGGTGCAGCATTACCCACAGTACCTCAGCCAAGATGAGTACTTTGCACTGCTGCGTGCCGGCGACATTGGCCTCATTACGTCGGTCCGCGATGGTATGAACACTACCAGTCTCGAGTATATCGTGTGCCAGAAGGACGGCCATGGGCCCCTCATCCTGTCCGAGTTTAGCGGCACGGCTGGCAGCCTGGGCGATGCTCTCCACATCAACCCATGGGATGTCAGCGGCGTGGCAGAGAAGATCAATTTGGCCCTGACCATGTCCGATGACAAGCGCATGGCCATGCAGGGCAGCCTCTACAGCCATGTCACGAGCCACAACATGCAGTCGTGGATCTCAAAGTTCATTCGCAAGGTGTACACTGTCCTTGGCGACTCGAACAATGCCATTGCCACACCTCTCTGCGACCGGGCACTGATGCTGTCACGCTACCGTGACGCCAAGAAGCGCCTGTTCATGTTCGATTACGACGGCACGTTGACACCCATTGTCCAGGAGCCGAGTGCCGCGATCCCATCTGAGCGCATCATCAAATCGCTCCGGCTGCTCGCAGACGATCCTCGGAATCTGGTTTGGATAATATCCGGGCGAGACCAGGAGTTCCTTAAGCAGCATCTCGGTCACATTTCCGCCATGGGTTTCTCGGCTGAGCACGGTAGCTTTATGAAGAATCCACACTCGGATGAGTGGGAAAACTTGGCGGAAAAGCTTGACATGGGCTGGCAGCAGGAGGTCATTGACGTCTTCCAGAATTATACGGATAGAGTTCAAGGTAAGCTAGTCCGAGCGCTTCACTCGCTGTCAAAGTGCAATACTAACTCGGCGGGCAGGGTCATTCATCGAACGCAAGCGGTGCGCCCTGACTTGGCATTATCGCCGTGCCGACCCTGAGCTCGGAGAGGCCATGTCGAGGGAATGTCACAAGGAGCTTATGGAAGGCGTGGGCACCCGGTGGGAAGTTGAGGTCATGGCGGGCAAGGCCAATCTCGAGGTTCGACCGACGTTTATCAATAAGGGTGAAATCGCGAAGCGCCTGGTGAAGACGTACCACAACCCCGGCGCACCTGCTGACGGCCCCGACGCGGGGCCAATCGAGTTTGCGCTGTGCATGGGCGACGACTTTACGGACGAAGACATGTTCCGGAGTCTGAATGCGCTCTCGGGTCCCGTCCTCGATGCCGACCACGTCTTCACGGTGACGGTCGGCGCCAGCACCAAGGTGACCCTGGCCAGGTGGCATTTGCTTGAGCCCGAGGACGTGATCGAGAGCGTGGCGCTCCTGGCGGGGACTGATGACATCCAGCAAGTCAGCGAAGTGAATCTGGCCGCCTTGAGTTCGGTCGAGGGCCGGGTACCAGGCGCACTCCACTGAGACTACCGGATGCGACCGGGAGGCGCATGCATAATCTCGGTCACTGTTCGGCGCTTTTTATGGCAGGATGTCCGGACATGAGCATTTCGCAGCATGTGGACAGCATTGGGACAATACAAAAACAAGAGGGTCCGCGGCGTATAATAGACGGGCATCAAGAGGGGCCTAGGCGCATCGGGAGCGAACTCTACACACGAGTCAGCGAGCGACCGAGGTCTCGACCTTTTAGGCGAGGAGGAGTGCTCGAGTGTAGGACGTTTGCAAGATATACACAACAGCTATTGCATCTTTGACGAACATAGTGGGTCATATAGACGAATGTCACCATCTCAGACCACCCTGGGAAGTACAAGTGCGACAAGTCGGCTTTCGCCACTGCGCTACTCGCCAGGAACGCAGCGCGCAGTTGTCTCAGACCCTGTACATGTATGCGTGCCCCCGATCTTCCGCTCTCACTTCAGGCTGCCCGAACTGCCCGGAGAGCATGGAAGCAAGAGGAAGACGGCCACCCTGGATGATGGAGCATTTGACGAGCACTCGTTGGTCGGAGAGCCCCAAATGATGATGGGCACCCATTCGGTGGCCCTTCGGCGCGGTGCTGACAAACAACGAGCTCGAAAGGTGAAAACATGACTCCATCGTCATGAGCTTCGTTTCCTGTGGTGACTGTACTCGACGTCATTTCGGTCCGTTAGATCGGGACAAGCAGCCGGCTTGGCACATCGGCAATTAGTTGAATGCTGCGGGTCCAGCCAGCGTGGAGGTGCCGGCCGGGCCGCCAGGGGCGATACGAAATCGATTAGTACTACGCGTGGGCACTGAATCGACACCAGCTTCTTCCCCATGGAGGACCAGAGAAGTTAGAATCAAGGTTGAATCGAAGGACGGACGTCCAGCCAGCGTCTGTTGCGGGCACAGGTCGATGGAACGAAAATTGACTTTGCTCGCGTCATGTCAATTGTCATATGTGATGGATGGACTTTTCTTCACACACAGAGCTCCTTTCTTCGGAGCACCCGGTTTGCCAGCACTAGACGAAGAGATCATTGTGCTCCCCCCCCTCCCAAAGCAACTGACACATCATTGGCTCCGTGTAAGAATGGGGCCTCTCTCCTCCGCACTCTACCACACCGGACCGACTGGGGATTTAATGTGCAGTCTGGGGGGTAGCCGGTTATCACGGGGGTGGGCATGGTCCATGGACCCATAGACGTCATTCGTCAGCACGGAAGACGAGCGGAACGACTGGCCTTGGAGGTGACTTATATGAAGTCGAGCTACCCCGAGCTATCAGGCGGTTGGAAGCTCGGGGTATGCTTGGTCAGTGGTCTCTCTCTGAAGCATTGAAAACCAACGACGTGTCAAAAAGGAATCCGCCAATATGAGACTTCCTGGGAACCAAGTTCACTTCGATGAACACGACCCCAGTTCGGAAAAGGGCAGACAGGGGCTGAGGAGTTCCCTCAGTGGGCTGGACTACTCGCCCCTGCCCAGAGTCTCGCCACGAGTGCTCGGGATGGGCGTCTTGGTTTCGATGGGTGGACTCATGTGAGTGAACTCGCCTCGGCCTCCCCAGCCTGTTGATGAATCCAATCCAGAGACTGACGAGACAACATGAAGTTTTGGCTATGACACGGGACAAATCTCCGGCTTCCTCGAGATGCCCGACTTTCTAGAACGATTTGGCCAGCTGAAGGACGATGGCACTCTCTACTTTTGTGAGTCTCTTTACATACTTTGCGCCGCGCCATCACGAAGTCCCCCTGCTCACACACCACTCTAGCTACCGTCCGCTCAGGACTCATCGTCGCCTTGCTGTCCGCTGGTACACTCATCGGCGCCCTTTTGGGATCGCCCATTGCCGACCGCATTGGAAGAAAGAAGGCCATCTCATTCTGGTGCCTCGTTGTGTCCATTGGGTTTGTGGTGCAGATCGCAGCCGTCACAGCATGGTACCAGGTCATGATTGGCCGTTTTATTTCCGGCCTCGGTGTCGGTGGCCTCAGTCTCATGGTGCCCATGTACCAGGCGGAGACGGCCCCCTACTGGATTCGCGGCGCTCTCGTCTGTGCGTACCAGCTCTTCATCACCATGGGCATCTTCCTCGCGGCGTGCTTCAACTACGGCACTGTCACGCACATGCCCAACAGCTCCGCGTGCTGGCGCATCGTCATTGGCCTCGGATGGGTGTTCACCATCGTCCTCGGCGTGGGCATCCTGTTCTTCCCCGAAACTCCTCGATACGACTACAAGGTCGGCAAGGCGGAGCGCGCCAAGCAGACGCTCTGCAAGGTCTACGCCGCCAATATGAACCACTGGTCCGTCTTCACCCAGGTAGAGGAGATTGAGGCCAAGGTGCGCCTCGAACACAAGGTCAAGCAGTCCTCCTACAAGGAGTTTATGGGCATGTGGCAGGCGCCACGCATGGCGTACCGCGTCCTCCTCGGCATGACGCTGCAGATGTTTCAGCAGCTCACCGGCGCCAACTACTTCTTCTACTACGGCACGACCATCTTTCAGTCCGTGCAGATCAACTCGTACATTACCCAGATCATCCTCAACACCATCAACTTCCTCGTCACCTTTTTGGGCCTGTACATGGTCGAGCACTATGGTCGTCGCAAGTCGCTCATCTCGGGTGCACTGTGGATGTTTGTCTGCTTCATGATCTTTGCGTCGGTGGGCCACTTTAGCCTTGATCTTAAGAACCCGCAGAACACGCCTTCGGCGGGTATCGCACTCATCGTCTTTGCGAGCCTGTTCATTCTCGGCTTCGCCACGACCTGGGGCCCTATGATCTGGACCATCCAGGCCGAGATCTTCCCGACCCGCTACCGTGCCAAGGGCATGGCGCTCTCCACGGCGAGCAACTGGATCTGGAACTTTTGCATCGGATTCTTCACGCCCTTCATCACAAAGGATATCGACTTTCGATACGGCTACGTCTTTGCGGGCTGCAACCTCTGTGCTGCCGGTATCGTGTACTTCTTTGTCATTGAGGGCCAGGGTCGAACGCTGGAGGAGATTGACACCATGTATCTCGAGGTAAGCCTCCCTTTTCTTGGACGTGACACGAAATAAAGACTAACCTTTCGCAGCGTGTCATTCCATGGAAGAGCAGCAAATGGCAGCCACCCAGCGCTGAGGAGATGGCTCGCATCCGCCGTGCGGCCCAGACTGGTGAAGAAGTGGACGACGTCCTGGACGCCAACGGTGAGGTCACTGGCAGCGACGACGCACTCCGGGGAACAAACGACGCCAAGGAGGAGGGAAATGGAACGAGCAACGGAATTCTGAGCGGGGACACGGCCTCGCATCAGGAGAATGCTTAGATTGGGAGATTGTACGGGGTATGCATGCACGGTTTGGGCGAGTGTTCTTTGCATTGTTGGAACACTAGAGCATCTGGTGGTGTATTTTGATGCCCTCATGTCAATTTCATGTTTCCTTCTTTCTTGTCAAATCGTTTACTCCCCCCGTGACTCAAATACTTCATGACGCCTGCGCACTTGAGATGCCTCTCAGTCTGTGGTAAGACATGTGGTGTTCGCGGTGGAGACCACAAAGGTTCACTAGCCTATGAACTCTTTCCCCCCCATTTGATCACCAGGCATTGTCAGAAGGCATCGTTGGGTGGAAGCTCTCCGATTGACTTGGGGGCTAGCATAATGTAGGTCGAAGACCATGATAATCGCGATACCAACCACACAGCAGATGGCAACTAGGAGCTGACATCGCCGGCGTAGAACCCCCCTTCTCGAGGTGGCCACGGCGCTAGCAGGATATATCTGGTTGAGGGTGAAAAACAGAAAAAGAAAGCTCCAAAATTGCAACTGAGAACGCGATCATCAATGCCAGACCGGCGTCGACGCAGCATGTAGACGCCAATGGCCACGGCGAAACAAATTATGACCTCGGGGTAATGCCCCGTGAATTACGAGACTCAACGTGAGAATGAATCCAAATTGACTCGAAGAATGACTTTTTTGAAGATGTTGGGCCATCGCTCGGACGGCGGTGCAGTGTTTGACTGGCCAAGCACATCAGTACGGGCCCGTCTGCGCGCAAACATGAAACAAAGGGCAACAAACATGATGCTGCATATCGAACTAGACTCCAACGTATGAAACCAAGCAGAATCCAGGCGGCTTTCACAGGGCCATTATTGGTCTTGTCGTCGTCGAATCTCTGTGCTTTCAACGTCTGGTCTCCCTCCACCCGGTCCGAGTCGAGTCCCATCTCACCAGCAAGTCCAGAGCACCATCACTATACGGCCAGTAGTTCTTGGTCGTCAGTGACTTGAGCGAAAGTTTCCAGGGGAAATCAGAGGAGAAACGCAGTCAGAGACTTCACTTTCACCCCTCGCCTTCAGCAGCTCCTCAGCCCGTTATCTGCTTGCCTCAACTTTTTCTGCTTGCAGAACAAGGCTATCTTCTTCCACACTGCCCCCGCTTGGGCTATTGACTTCTTTAAAAATATTGACATCCATCTCGCCGACCAGTACGCAATGGTCAAAACTGATGGGAGCAGCTCTGTGCTGCCGTCGGACGACCCCGTCACCCTCTCGATGGAGATGTTCCCCAAAGAATACAGGTCGTCCATCGAGCGCTACGAGAAGATATACGGACCAAAATCCACAGGACTCCTCAACGTGTGCAAGAGAATGGAGACGGGCGCCCCGGAAACACTGTACACTTCCTTCGCTAACGAGGATATCGCAACAGGCCAGGCTATCCTGACAGACCACCCCTTGTTCTTCGTCGACGACAATATGAGGGCGACTCCGCACAACACCCAAGTCATCAAGGACTTCAGCAAGACGCTACATCCCATGGGAAGAACGCTGCTCAAGGGTCTGCCCAACGTGCTCCACCGACAACCCGTAAGCAAGCAATACGCCCTGTGCAAGTCGTACGGGCTACCGATTCGCGGCGTCAAGGTACCCTTTGACCAGAACATGATACCGACCGAGGGGGCCGAGCAAACCGACTCCGTCCTCGGCGTCTTCCCCTTCATCGCACGCTTCATCCGCCACTCCTGCACGCCAAACGCTGTCGCCCAGCCATATGACTACAAGGGACGAATGAGCATGGTCGTCCGCGCTCTGCAACCGATTCAGAAAGGCAAAGCTATTTTTATCGACTACTTTGATTGCGGAAGCACGATATACAATGAGCGACAGAAGCTGTCCATGGCAAAAATGGGTGAGCTGTGTTACTGCCAGTACTGCTGCTGGCAGCATGGCTTCGAGCCACACGCATTCCAAAGTCGCAGTACGCATGATGTGGCGCGAAGCTCGATCGAGCAGATGCTGGGCGACCTTGTCCATAAGAGAGTGACACGGCCGAACATGAGCAGCACAATTCTCAGAGTCCGCGGTTTGATGAGGATTGTCTGTTTGGAGTATGGAGCGCTGCGAATGGACATGTTCCAAGCCGCGGCTGACCTGTGTCTTCGCGGCAAGGACTACATACGCGCCAAGTATTTCCTGAAAATGGCCCTGGAGATCGACAGCTACATGAATGGGCGCGAAAGCAAGCGCTGCCGTCGCGCGCGACGCTTGTTCAGGCAATTCGAGAGGAGCCTGCCCTCGGGTGTCAACGAAGAGCTGGCCGCCATCGAGGAGGGTGCACCTCGCGACGCCCTGCAGCAGTGGCTGTATCACTGCGACGACAGTCTACCCAGGCCGTCGCAGGTCTCCCAGTTCTTTGACCTGCGACTTAATCAGGATATCATCAGGACCATTGACACGGTACCGTGGAAGCACAGCGTCGACCACCGGGGATACGTGGCTGACGGCGAGCCCTGCACGAACTGGATGATCATCGTGCAGGTCGACCATTGGGCACCGCCGAATAACCCGTCGTATGGCTGCGTAGACCACGGGGGAAAGAAGCTGGATCTCTTGACGCCCCATTGGCGAGCCAACGAGCAAGCGAAGCACAAGAGACTCGGCAGCGACTACAGCGAGATCAAGGTGGGCGTGGTCCTCTACCCGTTTGCCGTAGGGCACGGTGCATCGTCCAAGAATCCGCTCGTTCATGTCCATGAGAAGGAGCATTTGGCGGTACGTCGGCGCACTTTCTCGCCTCCCACTCCATTGCAGGCCAGGTTGCTCACATATATTTTGCAGGTCCTGCCCATCCAGACCATCAAAGAGCTGATGGAGCTCAACGACCGCATCCAGCGATACTGCCCACCAATTCAGATCGGCAAGGACCACCGCAATTGCTTTGGATGCTGTGGCATTTTTGAGAAGACGATGCAATGTTCACGCTGTGGCTTCTTCCGCTTCTGCGACAAGGTATATGGACCGTCTCTTCCTTCACCAAGGATCTCTTCTGACCAAACGCTATAGGAGTGCTTCAACAAGGCATGGCCGCGACACAAGCAAGACTGTGACGCACTGTCCGACCCGGACGTGCGAGAGCTGTTTCTCCGTGACTGGAGCCGCTTTGAAGCGCCGGTGGAGTTCTCTCTAGCGAGGGAGGACTGGGTAGCGTACCAGAATAGGAGGAAAAGAGATCAGAAGATGGTCGCTAGCACTATCAAATACGTCGACCAGAAAAGGATAGAGGCGGCAAAAGAGATGGCCATGGCTGCTGTGCACAGTATCGTCAACAACAAGGCCCAGACCGTCGGTGAGAGGAGAAAGGAGGATGAGGAGGCAGTCGTAGAAGGCCAGGCTAATGGAAAAGGCGGAGCGGAGCCCAAGAGCAATCCGAACAAGTCTAAGAAGCGAAAGACGAAGAAGGAGGGAGAGAAGGAGGAAGACGCAGGTATAGGTAATGGACGGCAAAAAGTAATCACGCGACATCGGCACGTATTGCATAAAGCCACGACTTAACATGAGAATATGCGCTCATCCGCCCATTTGCGGCTAGATAATAAGGGTATACAAGAGGATACCCGGTGACACGCTTGCCTTGCGTTGCACCATCCGAAATAGAAGCTCCAGAACTCCTGTCTATGCATCTCGTTCGTTTGATCGTCACCCTGACCCTGTCGCCAGCCTAGGGCCGTATCTCCTTGTGCTTGTCCAGGGAGTTGGAGCTCGACGAGTCGTGCGACAAAGCCGAATGCGACAGGGCCAATCCTAGCTCGGCATCGCGCTTCATCAGCCTCGCCTCGTCGTCCTCGGCGCTCATGGTCTCAAACTCGACGGCAACTTCGGTCTCCATACGGATGCCCCTCTCGTTGGCCGCGCGGGACCTCGAGCGCCCGCCCTCGACGGGCTCCGCGATGGATCTGCTGATGGTGCCAAAGGCTTTGCTCTTGCGGAAGCCGCCCTTTATCCTTTTCTCGTCGTCGCCGTCTTGCACGGGGCGCGGGCGCTGGGCGCGCTGAAAGGAGCTGCTGAGGAGAGGGATGCGGCCAAAGAGCAGGACGACGAGGGTGCGCAGGGAGGGCAGGCAGGCGCAGATGATGCCGACATTGACCTCAATGGTGGACCAGATGGCAACCTCCTGCTTGACCCAGGTGGCGTTGGGGGAGTGGACGTCGTTGGAGATGAGCGACTCGAGGCGGATGCAGGCCATGACGGTGACAAAGAGGCCGACGCAGAACATGAAGGCGACCTCGGCCTTCTTCTTCCAGTCGAGGTTGAGGTTGTGCACCTGCGAGAGGGGGATGGCGATCATCCAGAGGTCGATGCCGATGCTGATGGCGCCGTTGGCCCAGGCGAGGGCGCTGACGTCGACGCAGTGGCCGTGGTCGGTGGCCTCCTCCTTCCATCGGGTCCAGTAGTAGCTGATGGGCGTGCACTGGAAGATGCCGGCGACGACAAAGGCGGTGCCGAAGCAGACAACGAGGGCGACGGTCGCCCACAGGTAGCGGCGCACGTTGCGCTTGGGGAAGACGCGGAGGTAGAAGAAGACAAAGGCCAGCTTGATGACGGCAATGTTGGCAAAGTAGAGGTTGGTGAAGATGTAGAGGGCGTAGCCGAATCTGGTGATCTGGTGGAACTCGAGGGTCCAGATGTCGCGGCCCAGGCCGTTGGCGACGCCCATCTCGACGCCAATGGCGGCCATGGGCGCCTGGATGGCCGCGGCCAGGAGGACCATGTAGTCGTCCATGCCAATGGTGGCGTCGACGACGAGCAGCTTGGCCATGAAGCGCTGCAGCACGGCCAGGCCGGAGAAGACGCAGAAGACGATGGCGACGATGGTGTACGTCTGCGAATGGTCCCGCACGGGCAGCTTGCAGGCTGTTGAGATGAGGTTGCGGGCCAGCAGGGACTCCTTGGTCGAGCAGGTCCTGACGACGCAGCTCGTGACCGCATTGTTGCCGAACGCGGCCGACTGGCACAGGCAGTCGAGGTCTTCGGGGTCGCATGGGGCTTCCTGCGCCGCGCGCATCTCCAGGAAGCATTGCAACTGGCTCTGGGGTCAGTGATTCGTTGTACTCTCGTCTCACCTGCTGTCTAGCAGGTCTGGACCACATACCGCGCAGTTGGGCATCCGCACCAAGAAGTCCATCTCGCCGCTTTGCCCATTACTGGATGCGTTCTGTGCGCTGACCGGCGATATCATCGCCGCCATGGCGAACATGAGCCCGGCAAGCCATGCCGTCCTCCGCATCTTGGTTGTTTCCGGATAATATGTGACAGTCCCGTGATGGAATCTCAACCTCTCAATGATGAGGTTACGCAAGTGAAGAAGATGGCGTGCGCCCCTATAATACGTTGTGTACCGTCGAGGGCTGAGACTGCATGTAATGTACCACAGAGCAGATCCAGCTGGTGATGGTAGCTCCAGTCAATTTCACTGATCCTCAACTCTTCAAGACTGTTCCGATTCCTTCTTCTGATTTGAATGAGACCAAGGGGTGAAGGGGGGCTGAATGGAGAGAGGAGAGGTGCAGGCAGTATCGTAGCGATGATGGACGAAGTGGGTGGGATATTGACCGTCATGTATGATGGAGATGGGTACCGGCAACCAGAAAATGATGGGCATCGGGTAGGAAAAGAGAGATAACACGAAGCGTTGGGCAGTCCAAGTCTCCAGTCGAATGCGACGCAAAACAAGGAACGTCCTATTGGATGGCAAACTGGCGTCGTCGGGAGACAAGGGCCCTGGTATGAACAATGTGACGGTCACATCTGAATAAGTCAAGCGAGGCCCGCTGCACGTACATGGTAGATGATCAGAGGAACCTCGACAGCATGCAAGCTGCGTCTGTGTTTGTGTCGTTGCCTTTTGGAAGGGAGGCCTGTCAGGCGCATGCAGCCAGTCGCGAGTTGAGGAGGGCAAACGCGGACAAGCAAACGGTAGTCGGGGGCTCCGTTGCGCCGCTCCATGGCGAAGCGGAGGATGCGATGCCGGACATGGCTATGATCGCTGGGGTCGTCGAGTATCAGGATTCGTGTCTACCGTCCATGTCAGTCATGCCTGGGTGCAGCCATCGCCAGCCAGCCAGCCAGCCAGTTGTCTGTTGGCACCACGGCGTCGTAGACGGGTCGTGACCAAGAATATGCAGCGATGAGTTCGGTTTTGAGGCAGCCAGATGGTGGGAATTATAGCATGATCTGAATTCTGAATTGCTGTTGAGCCCTTTGTGATCGTCGCTGCGCCGTGGACGAGCGGCCCAGGGTCTGTCTCGAAGGATCAAAAAGCGAGCGAGTGGCCCGCTTTCTCTGGCGTCATTCCGCTGCGAAGGAACCGATGCTTAGTCTGTCAGGCCGACTGACTGTGGTGAAGGCAAGTTGGAGTGAAATCATTAAAAAGTGAGAACACGCCGTCAGTGACGGTCAATCACCATCAGCAAGCTGACTACCCTGCACTCTAATCCGAAACTGGCTCGCCAGTCGGATCTTGAGTGGCACGTGCACTCACTGATGGGAATTTCCAAAAGATGATCCTCGGTCTTACACGTACCTACTTTTATTCTCAGGGTTGGAGTCGGTGGTCGTCGCTGATGCTGATCGGGGTGGTCTGTAGGTCTGTCTCGCGACCTGAAAGTTTCTGCCTCGCGTCTCTCAACGGCGTCCCGTGACTCCTGTCCGTCCCTGGCGCAGGCGGGTTTCGTGGCATTGGGTTGAAGCCGAACTTGAGCTCACCCAGCACTCGACGCGCATTCACATTTCTGGCATGACGTGCATCCCGCGAAACCTCAACTCAATCTCGATCATGCACGGCGCCCCTACATCCTCAATTGCTGCAATGACCGACAGACACATACTCAGCAGGCAGGCCAGTAATTATCGCGAAAACCGGAATCCCAGGGCCTTGGCACATTAAGAGGCAGGCCTGCCTGGTGGTCTGTCTGCCCCTGTGAGCGATGGGTGATGCTCCGCGCTGCAAGGGGCGACACTATCACCCCACGAGTCTATCTGTCTGGGACTGGTCCGGGTGTTTCCCGAGGCACGAGGAGCTTGGAATCTGGATGCTACCTACTATTGACGCACAGTAGACATCTTGTTGCCGAGTCGATTTCTACTCCTGGCCTGGCCTGTCCAGCGCACGCACACCCTCTGCCTCCCAGGCTTTATTTGCCATGGTGAATGCCGCACAGGCTGTATGCCCTGATAATAACGTACGCCGCATATTGTACATACGTACGGATGTATGCCATCTGCATATGCAAGCTTGAGCGTGATTAGATTCTGGTGTACTCCGGATCACCGTTTTGTTCCGACGCTAAAGGTACTAGTCCGGCCGGTCCCTGGAGATAAAGACGCGGGTCCCGACTCCTCGCCTTCTCGCCTTCTCGCCTCCTCGCACTCGTTGCAGCATAAGGCCAAGGGACCGAATGGGGCATCGGAGACCTATTAAGCTATTGTCGTAGCTGAGGGCCAATATCCAGTCTGTCGACGCAACAAGCAAGCATGTGCTCTCCTATCTCGATACCACAGGACGACCATCCCTCACCTAGCATCGCCTAGACCACGACCACGCGTGTAATATCCACAGACACCTTCTAAGATCAATCAACACCCTCGCGAGATGTCCAATTGCAATTCCAAAGACTAAGACCCTTTGAGTAAATCCAGCCACCCGCTCCGCCGCCTCCGGGCCGATGGGAAACCAAGGGTCCATATGGTGCGCCACCTGTCCCCTCTTCCCCGCCAGGCACCACGAAGACAGCAGCTAAAAAAAAAATAGAAACAGAGTGCCTTCGACGCCTTTGACGCCTCTCAAGCAGCCAAGCGGTCCATTTTCCTCTCCTTTCGGCAGCTGGCGCATTCGAAACCACGCAAAACCCTCCGGGTCCCTTTTGTTGGCCCACCCGTGCAGCGATAGTCTCGGCACCAGGACGTGTGGCGTTCGCCATGACACACCAAGCGGACGTGTTGTCCTAATTCGACTTGGGCAACAGGAGCGACACCTCGGCCTGCGACGACAACGGGGACTCCCATGAACTTTTACAAAAGATGGAAAATTTGTGTCTGACTCGTGCGGGAACGCGCAGGAGGGGAAAAGGGGCACCCTGTTCTCTGGACGTCGGCCGTATGTATAATTGAGCATCGCCTCGCGGGCCAGAGTTGATGATAGACCTCGTCGCACAAACCATCGCCTGCTTCGTTCCGGGTGCTACAGACCAACCTCGCTCACCTGCACGTTCATTTCCGGGTGGCCGACAGAGAACCTGGGTATTTTGGGCGTCTCCATCTTCAGTCCTGTCGCCTCGCTTGATCTCGTCAGGCTACGCTCAACTCGCCCTCAACCCGACTCGGATTTAGCAGCATGAAGATACACACTATTCTCTCTGGCCTCATGGGCTGTGCGTTCGCAACAGGCAGCACAATCCAAGCTCGTCAAGGCGGGCCCAATGCTTGTCGCTGCCTGCCCAGCGACGACTGCTGGCCATCCGACAACACTTGGGATGGCCTCAACAACACCGTCAACGGCCAACTGGTCAAGACGGTGCCCATCGGCTCGCCCTGCCACGATCCCACCTATGATGCCGAAGCATGCAATGCGCTGCAGCAGCGTTGGACCCAGGGAAGTCTGCAGTATGTTTCTCGAGCCGTGACTTTGAGTCCTCCCCGTTCTGCATCGTTTCTGACAAGGACATCAGCTTGCCCACCGACTCGAGCCCTATGCAGATGTACTTTGCGAACCAGTCGTGTGATGCGTTCACACCTCGCGGCCAGCCCTGTGTGTTGGGCAACTACGTCGCGTACTCTGTGAAAGTGTCCCAGCCCGACGACGTTGTTGCGGCGGTCAAGTTTGCCGACAAGAACAACCTCCGTCTTGTGATCAGGAACACGGGCCATGAGTAAGTTACACAAGCTACCAGAACTCGGATCCGCTGCGGACGCATAGCTAACACGTTGATGCAGCTTCTTCGGCAGGTCTACTGGTGCCGGTGCCCTCTCGGTCTGGACCCATCACCTCAAGAGCACCGAAGTTATCCCCAACTACACGTCCAAATCATACTCGGGCCCTGCGATGCGCTTCGGTGCCGGCGTGACGGGCGCCGAAGCCGCCGAAGCCGCCCACAAGGCAGGCCTAACCGTCGTCGTCGGCGGATGCCCCAGCGTCGGCGTCGCCGGTGGCTTCATCCAGGGAGGCGGTCACTCGACTCTCAGCACAACTTATGGTCTCGCAGCCGACCAGGCCCTCGAGTACGAGGTCGTCACGGCCACCGGTGCCATCCTCACCGCCTCCCCCAAGAAGAACCCGGACCTCTTCTGGGCTCTCAGTGGCGGAGGCGGTGGCAACTACGCCGTCGTCACCAGCGTCATCGTCCGAGCCCACGAAGCCAGCAACATTGGTGGCGCCAGCATGCAAATTCTCGCCGGCGACGTGACACCTGCCACGTACGCCGCCATCATCGCCAAGTTCCACGAGCTGGCGCCTCAGATGGCCGACAGCGGCGCCACCATCATGTACATCCTCAACGGCCTCTACTTCAACCTCGCGCCCGTCACCGTCGTCGACTCGACCGGCGACTACGTGCGCAACGAGGTCCTGGGCGAGTTCATTGACTTCCTCGACGAGAACAATGTCAAGTACGCCGCCGGATTCTCCACACTGGCCTTCCGCGACCACTACGATCGTTACCTGGGCCCCCTGCCGTGGGGCAGCCTCTCCAGCTCCGACTACCAGTACGGCGGCCGCCTCATCCCCCGATCCGTCGTCGAGAACGAGCCGGCCAAGCTGTCGGCCGCTATCACCTCCCTCCTGCCCGACAGGGTGATCGCCGTCGGCACGCTAGGCAACTTCAACCCGCCCCACGCCGTCTCCAACGCCGTTCAACCCAAGTGGCGTTCGACCCTGATCCAGTTGCAGCTCCTGACCCAGTGGTCCACCAAGCCCGAGGACTGGGACGCCATGCTTGCCAATCAGGCACGCATGACGGACGACTTTGTGCCCCGGATCAAGGCTGTCACGCCCGACGGCGCGGCATACATGAACGAAGCAGATTTCAACGAGCCCGACTGGAAGCACGCCTTCTATGGAGAGAGCTACGAGCAGTTGGCGAAGACGAAGAAGGAGTGGGATCCCAAGGGCCTTTTCTGGACTCTCAAGGGTGTCGCGAGTGATCAGTGGACTGTGGCGGAGGATGGCAAGATGTGTCGCGCATAGTGACTTTGGCAGCCGTGATAGATGGGAGAAATGTGCATAGCCAGTTTGAATGAATGAAATGATGACGATTAAACTGATTTGTAGAGTCAAATCATGTCGCCGGACATGTGAAGATGTATGTTTATCTTCGAGCATGATGTAAACGCGAAAAAGGGGGTCGGGCGATACACACCGGAATCAACCCGTATCAAGCAGGGTCACCTGCGTATCTTAGACTGCACCATAAATTACAAGCTAGAACAAGTGAAGGATAGGGGTAAATTGTTCAAGAACCCCATCACTATTGACCTGCGAGTGGTCGTGTTGGTGGCAGGTTTAGAATGGCGGCTACTCCAGTGTCTACAAGGCACATAACGACGAATGCATCCCAGTCCTGTAAGCAGCATGCTTTCAGGGCGGCAGTCACAGATTTGTTAGCATGGTCAAGTGTCACAATCATTTCGTAAGGCATCAATATGTGAAGAATGATCTTCTTTTCCTAAAGTATCTGTCTACCACCGGGAGTCTTCATGGGCAAATGGGGAATCTTGTTTTGTTTTGGGTGGTTTTCCAGAGGTTTTTTTTTTTTTTTTTTTGGTTCATTTTCTCAGTTATATTTGCCAGTCGAATGTTATGACTCCAGATACTCTTCTTGATCGGTCACCGCTATCCCAGCGCTCTTACTTGATACGGCCATCGCAGCACTAACTAACTAGCAGCAGGTGGTCAAGCCACATCATCAGGACGGGTAGGTGTGTGCCGACTAGTGTCATGCGTCTAACCGCGTTTACCGCAATTGCCGCAGATGATAACGCCGTCAACGTTGACGTGCTTGCAACCACCGCAAGTCCACTGGTTATGAGTAGCGGGACCAGGCGCAGCGCCAGTCTTGGTGGCCTCGGGGGCCTTGGCGGCAACAGGAGTGGTGGGAGACATGACTTCGGCTCGGTGGTCTTTTGTTAGCCAAAAGGGGCGTTAGCTGTAGCTGAAGAATTGTTGTCTGGAGTTGTCAGTTCAAGGGCAAGAGAGAAGTTGTTGCTTTTGCTGTTGTTGTGTCTGTTGGTGGTTGGTGAGGAGAGAGAGGAAGCTGGTCCAAACCATCAGAGATAGATCTGCTTTTATGCGCGTCTGAAAGACGATTGAATCAATGATTCTACTGCAAGCCGATGTTCTGAAGTGAAGCAATAGTTGGCAATAGTAACACTGCATGTGGCGATGGAATCACTGTGTGTCTGGCGACGTTCGCATGTGTTGCGTTGAGTAGTAGCCACCAAACACACGTCACAACCACATACTGGCACAGACTTCCATGAACTATCTTAAACAGACAACAAACTCTTCACATACTAAGGTTGAAATAGAGTCACTGTTCGCTGTACTTGCACATGTACAACTTCACCTCATTGCATTCCCAAGTTGCCCGGAGTTCATTGAGGAGAGAAGTCACGCATAAGTCTACGACCTCCGTCCGGATGGAATCGTTCTGGGTGTCGCTCATGAGCGTTCACTGACAGGGCAATATCTTTACACCTCAAGAGTCACACTGTGCACTTGTCGTGGATTTCTAGACTATTCATAGGTATGTAGATTGATGAAAGTACATGATAAGCATATGAACACGAACACAACGGCATCACTCGGCCGTTCTCACCCTGTTCCCCACCGAAACACACCATTGCCCTCGTGGATGTCCAGCAGCAGTTGTGGCTCCTCGCATCAAAATCGGATCATGCTGAGCTCATCCGCGTGCAATGCAGCCTTGACCATCACCGGACTTGAAAGTCGCACGGGGAATCCCAACAAGATGCTTTCCAGTCGCATTGAGGAAGTAAAGGCACGGTAGCTGTGTACATTATCTCTTTGGCATAGTGGAGGCCTCTGGTTCAAGTGCGAACATCTCTCTCAGATTCCACTTTGATGCCGCACGGCCTTTGGACAGGGTACCGGGCTCGCTGCGACTAGGTGGCGGATTCGGTCCATGAATAACCTCAGTCGGTCGTCCTGCGCAACGTTAGTCCACGGATGTTCTGAAAGTTGTCGAGATCAGCGCTCACGAATGTTCCCGATGCCTCCAATGCCATAGCCCCTCAGTTGACGCGCTCTGACGGCAGTCTCCTCATCCTCCGTTTCGGTGCCTGTATCCTGTTGATCACCGGCCGAATTGCGTCTTTGGGGGGTCTCATTGTTCTTGTCGGCCTCTTTGCCCTTTTCTGCTTCCCTGGCTTTCTTCTGTGACTTGATCCGCGCGGTCGATACACTCCTCACTTGTGCCAGTTTACCCTGTACCCACACCCGATGCGACTTCTTCTTCTGGGGAATGAGCCGACTGGATTCAGGGTCCAGCTCCTGTAGCTGAATATCTGAATCATCCTTGGAGCGGTATGCTGGCTTCGGGGCAGGGAGCATTGCTGCAATGTCATCGAGAAAAGATGGGAGAGCCGGTGGCGGGGTGTACGGTCGTGAACGCATCTTATCAAGCAGTGTTCGGAGCTGTCCCTGGATTACGATTGCTTCTCTTGGTTTTGATTGTCGGCTCAAGGGAGGCTTGCTGGGATGTAAGGCAGACTTGAGATCATCACTGCGTTTTCTAGAAAGAAAGGCTAAGTGTGAAACGCGAGGTCATATCAAATATCAGCCTCGACGTGCTTATCGGCATGACAAAAGCAATGTCGCAATGATAGATGCAGGGAAGATGCCGCTTTTGGCTTAGCGTGCGCGGGGGATTCAGGGGTTCTGGGCAATGTTGCGCGGGATGTTGCGCATCGCGTGGGTCGATAGACTCGATACGTGACAGACGTCAATGACCACTGTGAATGTGTCATTCTCCTGGCATGCAATCTCGACGTCGAGAATCTTTCATAAACCTCGTCTTGCACTCGTGTTGCATTTGGTAACGACCTAAACATTGGTAGCTCCCGCCATCAGGCATCACGAGTTCACAACCCTGTTCATACATGTCCACCCAGATGTCGCGCCTGTCTTTTTGTCGAGCATCTTGCCATTGTCAGGCCGCGGCAAGCTTGATTTATGAACAACAAACTGCCACACCAGACAGGCGGCGTTCACCGCGGCACCAGATATCAATCCGGACATAACGATGCAGTTGTTCCAACGCCTCGTTCCAGCACGCTCCTTGCGTCGATCAATATCCACACCATCTGCTGCCACATCTCTGGACTTCGAGCGTCACAGTCTACAAGGGTGATTGATAGCCATCCAAACATCAGTAGTACCGTCGCTCTACCCGAACCCCGAACAGCCAGGGCTCATCTGGCCTTGCCAGGTGTAATGGCAGCCCCTAGACATACTGGTCGATGCTGCAAAACTGTACGGTCTCGTGTACCGGACGGGTTATTTTGCCTTTGGTGCGCTCTTCGATATACTTTCGAGCGTACTGCATAGCCCCCAAAGCGTTGTATTGTAGGAAAGCAGATCGTACTGACATGGCGTGTATTGCACAATGGATCTGGACAAGCTCGTGATGATGTATAGACTCCTAGTCTATGACAGCGATCTGGTCCGGGGTGAGTGTGAAATCTTTCTCGATTTCTCGCCCGTGGCAAATGAAAGACCAACAGGATCGTGGTGTCGGGACAAGATCGATTGTATCTGTGGCTGGATCATGAACTCGTGCGGCACACCGACTACTTACTGTTAGCAGACGTGAAGGAGAGCGACAAAAGTCTGACCGACATGCGCACCAAAACCGGCGCGGAGTCCCGCATCAAGGATGCGAAATAGCTCATGAACTTCAACCACGGTCAAGTCGTCTGGGCCATCAACCACCCTCACTCTATCATCGGAGGATCCCGCATTGATATCAGTGCTGAAACGTCTTCGCTTGGCCTCGGGTAGGGTGGTGTGAGATGGTACGCTGTTTCGTTCAGCGCGCGCTCAAATCCGCCTTGGAGGGGGACGACGCATGTAGACCTCACATCAAATCAGGAGCCGAATCATTTAAATCCTTCACGGCATTCTCGGCTCTGGTAGCAAGTGCCCGGATTCACCCTGCACATAGATGAGAGAGAACTGTGTGGCTTGTTTTGAGGACTTCATTTGTCTGGAAGCGCATATACCGCTTCCAGTCTCTCTTGGATAAAGCAGTAATCACCCCGATGGCAATTCGCTGTGTGACTGAGAGCTGCTCAGTGCTGCAATGGGGATAGTTGGTAAATCGGGACATGGCTCAAATTCGCACCGCAAGAGCTAGCTTCAGTTCAGTGTTGAGATCAGACTTCATTGGTTTCATCAAGTCGAAAACCGCCCTTCTTGCTTGCGACTCCCTGCCCTGACTCTCGAGTCATAGATTTCAGGACAGCCACTATCCGAGAGCCAGGTGACGTTTTGCCTCTCACCCCTTTCCTATTGCTGTTTAGATGCGTCCCGTCTCGCCGCACTAACAGATCAAAAGTTCGGCCGTGTTTGCACACCCACCAGCCTCCAGAAGGAAGTACGTTGTTCTCTTTATGATCAGAGTAAGAGAACTCGTTACTGTGCCAGGCTTATCCATCAGCCTCCGTCCAGTCCGAAACATCGCTCCATGTATTCGAACGGCGACGGGAGGAGCTTGGCAAGTTCGCCCAAGTTGAAGTCTCGTCGTCGTCGGCTGACCACCGACCCGGATCGAGAAAAGCGCGTGAAGAGCCCACTTTCATGTCCCGAGATTACTGGCTTGATGCAGCAGTATCTTTCCAAGTCGCTTCGGGGAAACGGACGCTGCGCTTCTGCTTGAAATTCTCGCGCCTACCCTTGCCCTGGGCCACTCCAGACGCAGCTTGCATCGAAGAAAACAAACCCTGAGTCGCTTTGATCGAGCCACGCACAACATTCAGCCACGGGTATCTCTGCATGACATCGAGATCGAAATCCATGAAGTGGTATGTGTCGGGATGCTGTTGCAACGCACGACGCGGGTCAATGGTTGCATTGTTGCGGCGAATGATCATCCTGCGAATGTACCTAATCGCACGAGACTTATTCTCTTTTGCGATCATGTCTCGCATGTCCTTGCCAACTGTTTCGAGGAGTTCCATATGCTCATGGCGCGAGATGCTTTCGTGGCGAGTGTGGAAGATGATCTTGATCTCGTCAAGGCCCAGCTCCCGGCCCCAGACGGTATCGGCATAGTAGAAACGCAGGGAAGGAGGATAGTAATTGAGATGGACGCAGTAGGAGGCCTGTGAATCTGCGTTCCCATTGGCTGTGCAAATGTTAGTCCACCGTCGTAAAAGTCAACATCGATCGATCTACTCACGGTACCAGCCAACACTAGTTTGATAAGTGTCAGTAGGCAGCGATGGCTCACAGAAATCTACATCAGCATTATCAAGTCGATTCCAGCTTGCCGGAATGTCCCAGCCTTCAAAGACTTCAGCCAAGAGAGCCTCCATGAGCACGGCGTCAACCATGACTTCAGAGCCAGAAGCCTTGATGGCGGCTTTGGCAATGTTGAAGGACTCAGCGAGAGCTTCCGTGGTCATGTAAATAATACTGTAGATCGTGTTGCTCGATACGACGGGTTCAAGATCATCCTTGAGCATCAGTGACTTGAAGATTTCAGCACGCTCAAGTCGCAGCTGAACCCAGCGGGACCGTTGAGAAAGCTTTGCCATGTTGACCCCGGGATAGCTTTGAGATGAGTGGAAAAAGGTTTCGCTCAATAAAGTGTTGAAGTGGAAGATAGAAGAGTTATATAAAAGTTGACTGCTTTTTCTTTGAAAACCTACTGGCTGTAGGAAGAGAGAGATATAGGAGGAGGATGAAGGCACTCAAGGGAGCAATATATAGGCATAAGAAGTAGGGATGAAGGTAACGATGGAGGCGTGCCCTCTAGTTTCTTGTGCTGATGGCATAAGGTGCGTAATCAGTCAAATCCTCTGTAGAGTTTATCAGAAGATTGAAGCACATCAGCCGAAGCCAGCCAAAAATGAACCGGAGTTGTAGCTCTAGTATGTTCCTGCGGCCAAATAAAACATCTGGAAGATTCGCCCCATACACGAGATGCTCGATTGCACCGGGGTTCGTAAAGACCATAACAGAATATTAAGGAGAGACACGAGGGCTTGCAGATGGCAACTTGACCCCACAACTCCGGTTATCCTCCATTTATGGCAGGATGTCTTCGTCTGCTGTCTCAAAGAGGACATGTCACGGGGATGTATTTTGATTAGTGGTGCGTTTCCATGTGAGGTTTAGAGTATGAGGCCATGTTTAAGCACGCGCCGCTACAGTCAGTCTGCGGTATTCACTCGAGTCCTGGTGAACACAATTGATCCTTGAGAAGTTGCCCTTTCGCTCTGCACCTAGTCTAGTTCGGATGAGTAAACTATGATTTGGGCTTGCTCTGTCCTAAACAGTCAAAGTTAGGTACTTATCGGCGACGCCTCGCCTCAAAGCCAGGGCGGATAAGGCGCTTCATCGGCGAAGACCCTGGGCAACATAGAGTGGTTACATCTCAGATACTTTGATGGTTCGGCAAAAGGATTTTGAGAGAGCTTTGTTAGATATGAAAGGTCGAATGCTTGACATTTCATACCACGGCGGACGAATACAAAACCACTCTTCTTGTTATGCTTATGGAAACCGGCCAGAACCTTGTCAACGCCAGCCAGAGTACTTTGTCCCAAGATTCACAGAAGAGGCGGGTGCCCCGCAGACAACACTGAGTCCTCGGACACTCCATCGATGACTTATCAAGCCAGTCAGTCCACACGCACTCCTGATGCATGAAGTACATGTAGCAATTGACACTTGAGTGAAATCCGTGGTCCTTTTTGCAATAGGGGTGATGTGGATATTGGCATACTAGGAGTTGGCTTCAATTGAATGGAGGCGCCGAGCTGCCAGCTGCGAACATGAGCCAAGCGTTCGAAGCATGAAGCGTACCCTGATCGAACAGAATCCCTCGAAGGTTGCAATATAGAGCTCTTGATTCTTTGAAAAGCTCCACGGTCTGATCAAGTTCCGGTGGACCTTCTATGGGCGGTTCATGGCAGTCGAAGGCCAACTCATCGTGTATGGCATCCAACATGAAGACTCCGAGTACTATGTCGGTGGTTGGCGCATAATCATATCAGTAGTGTAGACTGACTCCGCGACAGTATCCAATGGCAGAATATTGTTCTACCGTGTATTTGTCCTGCTATTGATGGCTTCTGGCTGTCGTTCGAAGACTGGAGGCTTGGGAAAGTGCACATATCCCGGAATATAGGGCCCAGTGCCTGGTCCTAATAGAAACGTCCCTCGTATAGGCACTAATGGGAAGCTATTCTCGTGCATTTATCCTCAAAGGAAGAGTTGCTGAGATCAGGTTTGGGTCATCGTGTCAGGACACAGTGATGGTGAAGAAGCGAAGTTGAAGAGTGGCACTCGAAAAGGACGTAATCAAGCGCGCTAGATGTTCACAGCCCAGGTTCTTCATCAAAGCCAATGGTTCATGTTTCTTTAGCCTCTATATGTACTAATTCTTGCCCAGTCGCATTGAGAGGCTTCCCCGGTTGGTTTCAGGAGCCAGAGATCACATTCAACCAAAAATGCCAGTGTTTCGTGTATTGTCCATCCTCCTCCCCTCGTAGCTGCTAGACAACTCGGGATTGTTGAGGGGAAGGAGTTTAAGGGGCCGGCTGAATTTCGCAACCGTCGTCCTCGTCAGAGGTGGTGGTCGGCGGGCGGGTCGTGGTTGTCATGGTAGATGGAGGCTGTGTAGTCGTCGTCGTCGTCGTGGTCACAGGTGGGTTGGGCGACCCAGGGATGCACTGATGGTACCAGTCGCTGCGAGTGTCAGACACTGAGATACGTGCTTCATGGAGCAACTCACTTGATGACCTGGCAAGTGTATCCGCTCACACAGGTCGTTGCCCCTGTCCAGTTGTTGCCGCCGCCTGGAGTCATCAGAATGAGTTCAAGTACGATGTATCCGGCACATATCACTTACATTGTCCCCATGGGCCGCTCTGCGCGGTGACGACCTGCGAGACCAGGAGCGTCGACAAGAAAGAGACCGAGAGTTGGAATGTCTTCATTTTGAATGATGGATAACGGCTGTGGGAGGGATGGGAGTCAGATTCGAAGGTGTCGACATCTATACCACAACGGACGTTGAGTGTCTTATATAGGCATGATGCGGACGTTCATGCCCCGTTACAACCCTACCGATTCCCCTCATTGATATATGGCGGATGCTATCTATTCTCCGAATTGACAAACAAATCGAAAGTATCAAATGTCCATTGACTCCGGATACCGGAACCGGAATATTGGCATTGACGGAGCGTGGGGTCCGTCGGCCAAGACAGGAACGGGGTTACGGGATGGCGGACCTCGTTCCCACGGCTCATGGGTCGCCCTTCCTCGACAAGCACCGAATCGTCTGTGGCGATCGCCGGAGCTTCTAATTTCCGTTCCTCCTCTCAGAAGATCGCATCCAGCAGAGAGCGTCGCTTTCTTGCAGGAGCAACGGAGTTCTATCGATCTTACTGCGAGCCATCGACCTGAGAAACTCCTCAACTCTGTGTATCCCCCTGCCAATGGCGAAAGGCCTTGCCAACACGCCTAGCCTTCCATTTGTGTCGCAGATTTGACGGTAATCGTCCTGGAGCATCGAAAGTATGTCGACGGATTGGGCGGAACGCCAAGTATCTTCAATAAAGCGGAAGGCGCTTGTCCCCTTCTGCTCCCTGTGGCCTACAGCGTTCCGGGCGAAAGCCACGGCACGTCGAAAGTTTTCTGCATCGACATATTCGCATACTGTCGCTTTGGCCTGTAAGAGCATGCGACGCTGCTGAATCCGTAGATCCGCTGCGACTCTGACGCCTCTGTCAAAAAAGAAATTGAGCTCAGTCGGTGCCAAGGTCTGGGTCATGTCGTGATTTCGAAAGCCCCAGATAAGGCTTAGAGGTAACATGCAGACCGGCAACGTGCAAACTACCATCAGATGTTTGTCTATGCGCGGTCAGCAGTTTTACTCTAGGTACTGAATCGATTGATACCCAAGATGGACTCACCGTCGCTTCTTTCAGCAATCACCACGCGGCCATACTCCATGAAAGCGCTGTTGGGTTTCCTTCTTTCAACGACTACGATAGGATCCGCCGATGTCCAGCTGTCATCAAACAGCGCCCTCAGGAAACCGTCCATCAGCTTGCCCGAAGGGCTCCTGGCCCAAGCAGATGGACTGGCCGTGCCCGGTTCTTGATGGTTTGAGGAATCCACCGCTTTAGAGAGGATGCGGAAGCAGTCGGCCAGACTGGCACGCGATAGATCGTCTGGGCACTTCACAGCTGGCAGCCAGAGCTTCTGAGTCGCGGATGTGGAGTTCTGCTTTTGCTGCCTCATGTACTCGAAAACGGTGGCATGGCGCTTGGTTGGCGATTCTTCCGTGTCAGAGCCGGTATCTGGAGAGTGTTCTCGCTTCAGGGAGGCCTGCGGCATCTTGAAGAAATGCGTGGGAGGATAATTGTAAGGAGAGCGAGAGAACGCGGCGAGAACAGTCGTCTGAGGGTACTGGGCTCTAGAGAACAGAGAGTGTGGTGAAAGTGAGAGATGGAATCATCTCGATGTGCCATAACTCAGCATCGAGAGAGTCAGGTGAAGGATTTTCATCTCAACTACGGCACACCATACCTGAGCCTTTTCATAGTACTCCCGTCACTCTGAATTTGAGTAACCAAATAATGTGAAATTTACACTGCGTTTCGCAGAACCCTATCAGCACGTCAAACAATCAAACATTAACCTGCCGACCATAGAGGACGCACATGTTTGGCAATGCAAAGCGCTCTCACGCTAATTGGAACAGGCAGAAGATTGATGGCAATTAGCATCGTGCCATACTCTCAGGTAGTCAGGATAAGCCACACGACGCAAGCGTGGGAGTATGAGTAGTGTCTTCGTCGAGAACACGAAAGCGCAAAGCCGCGATTGGGATTTACACAACCGTAGGTCGAAGATATAAGGCACGGGTCCCGAATTTCAGTTTTGGTTAAGATGGGAAACTACTACTGCACACTGCAAGAGCAGTTGAGTCCGAAAGGGCACGTACATGCGAGCCATTCCATCGCAGCCGTTTAAGAACGACATGAATGTACACTCCGCTGCTTCCACACATGGAGAGGCCTATACTGGGGCATACATCTCCCCATTGATCGGAAGGTTTTTTTCTTCTCAACTTCAATTTGGGGTGTTCTGCGGCCTTGACAGGGAAAGGTCAGCTTGTAGGTGTCGGACGCCAACGCAATCAGTCGATACCATGCACGACCTACAACATGAAGCCTTGCGACTGTCTTCCTCGAATGCTCAAGTCCAAAGCAATCAATTTTGAAAATTGAATGTGCGCTCCTATCTCCCATGAACGTGAACAATTTCAAAAGGCCTGGCCCTAGATTGTGAACCTTGATAACACCTGGCGCGACGACCACGCGTGGCACGCATCGTCAATGCACCACACTGGGCTTCTCGTGTTGCCTCCTGCACGACTCACAAGACTGCATAACCATTTATGACGCGCAAAGGTTCCTGAAGGTCAATCTAGAATACAGCCAATGACAATCCAGCCATATGCGCGATGGGTAAGCCGGCTTCATCTTAGGCCCTGGATGAGGGACCCTGATGGTCAACTTGAACCCGTTCCAACCACAACGACGGGATGTTTGGAGGATGCGAGGCCAGGCCACATAGTGAAATACAATACTCTCAAAACCACAAAATAATAATTCAGAAAAGTTAAATCACCCTGATGAGGGGTTTTCTCCTTTGGTCTCTCCATCAAATGCTGTCCGCCGAATCTCTTTCTCGCACTCTCTCTTGAGGAAACATCACCGTGGTCATACGTAGTAGCATTCCGTTCAGTACTGCTTCACTACCCTCAATCGTGTCCTCTCAAAATGGCCGGAGCTACCAAAAATGAACGCAAGAACTCTGGGACTAAGGGAGCCAAGAGAGCGACCCCCGTCATCCTGCCCGAAAAACCGCTTCCTGTTACCCTTCTCTCTGGTTTCTTGGTACGTGCCTTTGAAGGGACAACACCGATACAGTCACTGAACTTTCTAGGGAGCTGGCAAGACGACACTTCTCAAGCACATCCTCACAAGCGACCATGGATACAAGATTGCCGTTGTTGTGAACGACATTGGGGCGTATGTGACCGGACCCGCCATCCGTCCATTTAGGGACCGTGCACTGATCACTGGACTCACAGAATCAACATTGATGCAAACTTGATTAAGGGCACGCACAACATCAAGCAGACCAAGGAAAAGGTTGTCGCGCTCCAGAATGGCTGCATTTGCTGCACGCTTCGCGGCGATCTACTGACCGAGCTGGTCCGTTTGCACAAGCTCCAGTCTTTCGACTATGTTGTCATTGAGAGCAGTGGCATCAGTGAGCCCGCGCAAGTCGCCGAGAGCTTCGACAAGCGCTTGATGGACCAGATGCTTGACCAGTCTGACTCGTTGGGCGTCGACCCTGATCTCATGGAGACGCTTCGGTCCATGTATGTCTTCCATGACACTGTCAGAAAACACATCCACTGACACGCATGTAGCAAGAGCGCAGGTGGCATCGAGCAATTTGCCAAGCTCGACTGCGCCGTCACCGTCATTGACGCTTTCACCATGCTGAATGAGTTTGACACGCCCGACCTCCTGTCCACACGCCGCAAGGACACGCCCGAGGAAGATGAGCGCACCGTGTCCGACCTGATGGTCGACCAGATTGAATTTGCCAATGTCATCCTGCTCAACAAGTCCGACAAGGTCAGCAAGGAGCGCCTCGCCGAGCTCAAGGCCCTGATCAAGACGCTGAACCGAGGCGCTCTCATCTACACGACAAAATTCGGCAAGGTCGACGTCTGGAAACTCATCAACACGGAGCTGTTTGACCTCGCCAAGGCGCAAGTGAGCGTCGGCTGGCTGCAGGATCTACACGAACTGATTCCTCGTGAGGTACGTCTTTTGGATCCGCCCCCCTTGCTGGTGCCAAACCCTGCTGACTGATGGAACAGATCAACGGACGCATGGTCATCACCCCCAACCCCGAGACAGAGGAGTACAACGTTCGCAATTGCGTCTACAAGCGCCATCGACCATTCCACCCCGAGCGCCTGATGGAATTGGTTCATGACAAGTATGTCTTGCAGCTGACACATGGCGACGACGAAGATGAGGAAGACGAGAAAGAAGACAATCAAGATGATGACAAGGTCGAACGTCCTTCTCCCATGGCCCTCGACGCGGATGCCTCCAGCTCCGACAAAGCCGCCACGGAGGACAGTTTCTCCGATGCTGGATCTCATCGCTCTCGTGCGGCCACCCATGAGACCATCCCAAGTGACGATGAGGAGGAGGAGGAGGAGGAGGAATACGACGCAGGATTCGAGATTCCAGATGACGAGATCATCCTCGCCAACCGCCGCAATCATCCCATCCTTAAAGACCTGCTCCGCTCCAAGGGTGGCATATGGCTGGCGACCCGCCCCGACACCAGAGGCGAGTGGTCCCAGGCCGGCGCCATGCTCTCCATGATCCCAAATGGGCCCTTTTGGTGCACATTCCCCAAGGAAGAATGGCCCGCCGAGCACGGCGAGTTTGACGAGCAATTCGAGTACGAGATCAAGGCGGGTGGCGAATGGGGTGACCGCGCCCAGGAGATTGTCTTTATCGGTCTGGCCCTGCAAAAGGAGAAGCTCGCCAAGCTATTTGACGACTGCCTTCTCAACGACGAGGAGTGGGAGGCGTGGCAGCAGGTGATGCGCCAGGACAAGACTGTCGAGGAAAAGGTCGAGGAGCTGAATGACTTGTTCGACGACGGCTTTCCGGACTGGAACGAGGAGGAGCATGATCATGATCATAATGACGAGGGAGTCTGCCAGACAAACGATGGTGACTCGGAGCCACCCAAGAAGAAGCGCAACATTAGTGAGTACACAGGCAAGCTTGGGGAGGTCTCTTGAAGGACTGTCAGTGCACGCAGAGTTGGCAAAGGAGAATGAAGTATGACCAATGAACGAGCAAGGCATTGACCTGTCGCCCAACTGCTGCTATGAATTAATATGGCCTTTTCTTTCCCATAGCGCTCCGAACTGCAATTGAATGACTTTGCCCCGTGATGGATGTATATCCCTGTGATGACTCCTGATATGCTCCTCACCTCCCAACGGTCTTTACGTCTCGCGTAATCCATGTCCATCCTCCTCTCAAAGCAGCGCTTCCGTGCTCATACCCCTATGTTCGTCAAAGCAAAGGTCCCTCGCCTCAACCCACGTGCAACGCCTTGATCATGGCTTTAATATCAGTTGTTTCCATATATCCCCATCGCCCACCAATGCCACACTTGTACTCCTGCCCCTGCGCCCAAGCCGCGACGACCTTGCGACCCAGCCAGACGGCATAAAGCTTGTTGACGCGGTGCACCTCCCTCGTCACGCCGTCCTCCATTGTCTCCATCAGCTCAACGCGCCACGGCGGCGTCGCCTTCCACAACAGCTTGGGCGACGTCGTGGTGGCCGGCACACCGAGTCGGCAGGGCAGGTATTTCCTCACCGTCGGGGGCGGCGCGCGCGGGTCAATGGTGATAAAGTTGAGGCGGAGGCTGTTGTCCTTCATGTCGACCTGTGCTTGGGCGAGGAGCTCGCATGTGCATGTCTCGCATTCGTAGCAAGCTTTGGCGCTTTTGTGTTGCGGTTGATTGCCTGTTGTCCCTGTCAGTATCAATTGGTTGCTCTTTGGTCTCTGCACTAGGGCCACTCACTGCATAACATGCCAGCCGACACCTGAACTTTAATGTCCCTCAGCTCCTCGACATCGCCAGGACTGGCCTCAAACTCGTCGCCTACGGGCGCGCCACTGTCCCAGTTCTTGAAGATGGCCCTCAAATAGCCCTCGATGCTTTCGTTGGTCGTCGCCAGCGTGGCATCCTTGTTCGTCGCACTGCCGCAGGCGTGCAGGATCTCAAAGCAGTGTTTCAGCTCGGCCCGCTCGAGGTCGTCGGGGCTGGTGAGGATGCGGCTGATGGTCTGGTCGTTGGGCGCGGACTCGACTATGGTGTTGAAGAAGGCTCTCCGCTCCAGCGCGCCAAAGCCCTGCTTGCGACGCTTCTGCGGGTGGTCGGGCGGCGCGGTCGAGGCGGCACGGCGAAGCGGTGTTGTGGGAGGGGGCATGAGCGTCGGCTCTGCACCGCGCGATCTATGATAGCCAGGCGCATGAGGGCCGGGAACGATCACGGGGCCATCGTCGTCTGTAACCTCGACGCTGGGTATGGTTTCCGTCAGATCGTATGCGCCAGCCATGATGAGCGTGACGATGAAGGCTTGTAGGGCTGGACGGAGGTGGAAGCAGCGTGCTGCGCAGAGGAAGGGAGCGAGAGAGAGAGGTAGTTGTGCGTTGAGCAAAGCAGCAGCAGAGGCGTGTAGAGAATACAAGAATGGCATAGAAGGGTTTGATGAAAGAGGTGTGAGGACTCGCCGTAGAGAAAAAAAGGGCGCCGTCTACAAATGTGCACCTCCAGCCCAAGGCAAACATCGGATGGGCTGTGGCCATGGAGTATCACACGTGGACAATACTTCTCTCATGTTGAGTCAACGTTTCTGTGCGCGCTTAAGGTGAAACATCAATGGGCTCGCGCCCTCGTATTATTTCCATTGATGCACCATCTCAACAAATCTGTCGACCTGCTCCGAGTCCGTCGCCCAGGTCGTCAGCAACCTGATCACCGCTTCATCATCGCCATACCGCTCCCACACGTAGAAGGTGAAATGATCCTGAAGCACTTTGATCAGACCCAGTGGCAGCGCCGCAAACACCTGGTTCGTCTCCGTCGCAGCAGACACCGTGAAGCCCGCCGCCGCGATGCCCCTGGAGAGGGTCTCGGCTGCCACGTTGGCCTGTCGCGCGAGCTCAAAGTACAGATCCTCCGCAAAGAGCTCCGCAAACTGCGCACCGATGACGCGACCCTTGGCGAGGAGTGACCCGTGCTGCTTGACATAAAATTCAAACTCGGACGCGAGACGCGGCTCCTTGACCACGACAGCTTCGCCCAGCAATGCGCCGTTCTTCGTTCCTCCGATCCAGAAGATGTCGGTCAGCTCGAGGACGTCGGACAGCGTCATGTCGTTGGCCTTGGAAGCCAGCGCGGTCCCGATGCGGGCGCCGTCCAGGAACAGGATGAGCTCGTTCTGTTCGCAGACTTGCTTGATGGCAGCGAGTTCGTCTCTGGTGTATATAGTGCCAATCTCTGTCGCATTCGATATGTAGACCAGTCGAGGTTTAGCCATGTGTGGAAAGTGCCAGTTGTCCTTCAGTGCCCTCTCGATGACCATGGGCGTCAGTTTCCCCTGGTGCGGTGCCACATTGATGATCTTGTGCCCACTGGCCTCGACCGCCCCCGTCTCGCGCGTGACAATGTGCCCGGAACTCGCGGCAATGACAGCCTCGTGTGGTCGAAGACAGGCCGCGATGGAGATGGCGTTGGCCGATGTGCCGCTCGGCACAAAGAAGATGCCCACATTGTCGCGCCCAAGATGGCGCCTGATTCTTTGTCGTGCAAGCTCGCAGTATGTGTCGTTTCCGTAGCCGGTCTCTTGGGTTGCGTTGCTCGACACAAGGGCCTTGAGCAGTGCTGGATGGGCTCCTTCGCTGTAGTCATCCATGAAGCTGTAGGAGGGCATCCTTGTGGTTGTTTGGGACGGCATGCTTGAGGTATGATTTCTTCCCTTGGGCGTGACGTCTGGTGAATATGAAGACTGGAAAAGAACAAATCTCGCCGTGTAAGCAAGGTCATATTCCTTTTGTCTGTGTACATTGTCCAATCCCCACATACTAAACGTAACACGAATGCGACCATTGGCAAACATCCGGTTGTTAGTAACTCGGCTGTTAGTCAACCCGCCGCTTGTGGGTCGCTACTCAGCAAGCCGTTCCAAAGCGAGGGCCCGTGCAAAAATTGTTTTGCAGCTATAAATATGGCGTCCTCGTTTGAATTTGGGCGCAATGCTAGTTCCTTTATTCCATGTGAGGGTCTGTATAGCCTCTGAGCTTGTGGCATATCATGTGGTCAGCTGTACAAGGAATTGCTTTGCTGGAATTCATCTTGACCGTAGTTCGGATCCCGATCCAGGGGACTGGATAATCATGTTGATGGCATCAAGGGAAAAGTCGATGAAACTGCGGTATGTCTCGACCGTAGAGTGGCTGAGCGGCTTGGGGTATGTCAGGATCTTCTGGAACGTGGGCTTCAGCGGCGTCCCCGCTGCCGTGAGCTCGCTGGCCTGGTCGTAGAGCTCGGGGTACTTTCCAAAGAATGCCGGGTCGATCTTGTAGTACCCCGCGCCCTTGTCCATGTTGAGCTTGTTGAAGGCTGCACGAGCATACGCCGGGGACGAGAACAACGAGGCGACATCCGGAGCGGGGAGGACAGCCACCGTCTCATCGTTCTCGGCCGTGACGCTGGCCATGGTGTTGATGAGATCGGTCACTCGAACGTACACTTGCACTGGCTCCGCCCCCAGGACAAGATCGGACATGAGCGTCTCTACAACGTAGCCTGTCACGGCATCGCAGAATATCTGGTCAACATGTGGGTTGGCCGAGTGAAGCTGTATGAGACGATCTCGGACCGAAGGGAACGGTATCCAATCAATGATGAGCGGGTGCGCATTCTCCATCTGGGCTTTTATAGGGCGATACCTTGGATGTAGCTTCTCAAAGGTGGACGAGGAAGGGTATAGCTGCCACGCGGTGAGTTCAATAATGTGGAAGAAGCGCGTCTTAGCGTACCAAGCCATGACATCCGGTCGGGTCATGCTATTGAACATGGACAAGACCATAAGCACTGGCTGGTACACACTGGAATTGGTCAGAGAGGCGTCGGGACCATCTGAAAGATTCATCTTGGCTCACCTCTGTATAGATCCTGACGCATCCAATTTGTTCTTCAGCATGTGCTGTAGAAGCTGAATGTGGTCAGAGAACGGTGAATTGGTGCAGGGGTAGTGTTTGCCAAGCATCATTCTCGACTCCTCGGTTGCGTTTACTGCCGCCAAATACGGCTGCATACCCATTTGGTACTCGTGGCTCCAGATGTTGGGTATCTGGGAGTAGAGAGGACTGGTACCACCTGGGTTAACGAGGTCGAACCAAGTGCCACTGGTCTCTGCTGCGGGTTCGAGGCATCCTGTCTGTCCTGGGAGAGACTCGAGCTCCGTGGCGGTGAGGTCGAATGAATTTAAGTCCGAGGGCGGCTGGTCAGACGCCGGCCTATGATTGATCCGCTCAATAGGAACCATGTCTGTCTGGCAATTCGTATCCCGCCGGACAAGAGCTTCATCTCCGTGCGCAGTACTATCCAACGTCTTCGTCACAGAGTCGTTGAGCGACTGCATGGTCGCCATCATGCGCGACATGTTGCTCTGGAGGTCCACGAGCTGCTGCCGGAGCATTCGGTTCTCCTTCTGCAGAGCCTCCACGCGCTCACTCTCCGGCCGCTGGTCGGCCTGGACCCGGCTCTGGAGTTCCCGCACGCATTCTGCCTGTCTTCGGCGAAAGGCTCGCTGGGAAAGGCGATTGCGAAGCTTCCTGTGAAGCTGTGGTCAGCAACCAAACACCAAGTTCCAAGCGTGGGACAAGGATGAGCGTACTTCTTTTCCTGCTCGCTCATTGGAGCACTCATGTCGCCCCCTTCCGAGACCCTGGGTACATCCATGGCAATCGATGCATTCTAGAAGCACTGCAGGTGGTTGCACCAGCTGGCGTCTAATGCGGTTGAGTTGACGCTCCTCAAAAGTCAACTGGACGAGACGGCCCTGGGCGGTTACTGGCGGCAAACCAAGACTGATTAGATAAGGGTCTCCTGAAGATTTACATGTATGTATAGGGTATGCCAGATCCCAGGCTACCCTACACGGCGCCTATACGTGACAGTGGTGATTCTTTTTGCAACGGAGGCACTGGTTATCCTAAAGGGGGCTTTGCTAAATTAGGCTCTCAGTCTCCGGAATTGTCTCGACTTGACCGATTTTATTCTGCAATGAGCGCAATGTGATCGTGAGCTATATTGTTCTAACTGCTAAGAAAACAAATCAAACACCGAAGCACCCCCCCCCCACCCCCCCCACCCTCCCGAAAAAAAATCCTCTGCCAGTCATCTGCTAAAAGGTAATCTAAAAAAGAGTGTAGAACGAACGAGTTGAACCACAATCTTTCTAAGGATTAGGATTTACGAGAATCTCACCACCCTGTGTCCCCGATGGCACAACAATTTCCTCCACTCCAGCTGCGAGCTCCTTGTGCTTGGCCAACGTGCGCTCATTGCTATCAAAGTCCTGGTTGATCACGCCCACCATGCCCTTCTTGCAATGCTCCCCCTTGAGCTGGGGGCAGTAGTACCAAATGGTGCTGTCGTCCTCGATGACAATCTGAAAGACATTGTCGTTCTTGCCCTCTTGCGTTGCGAACTCGAAGCCCGGGAAGAAGCCGGAGCCGTCGGCCAGGGGCTGGCAGGGGTCGGCAAAGTTGGACTGGACGACGGAGTGGTTGGCCGGCAGAAAATCCCACTGGATGATATCGCCGACTTGGGCGACGACGTTGGCGGGCTCGAAGTTGAGACCGCCCTGGCCGGCGACGACGGTGTGGGTGACGCCTGTGAGGGGCGTGTCGGCGCGGGTGGGGTGGTTGCCGCCTGTCGTGGGGGTTGGCGCCGCCAGGACAGAGGAGACCAGAGCGGCAACTGACAGAATGTTCTTGAACATGTTGCTGGAGTGGGAGATGCGTAGGATATGAATCAGGCGAAAGACTTGAACTGTAAACTCGAAAAGAGAACGAAATGGTTGCTGTTGATGCTGTTGATGCTGTTCAATCTCATCCGAGCCCTCGACTCCCGTTCTTATATAGCCATGATTGAAACTACTATTATCATCTTCATGTCGACTTTCAGAAGTTTTGATACAGCAAACACTCACACAGCCCCCCGGACATGAGCTCTCCCGAACTTGGCAGAACCTCACCAACTCAAGGCCAACCTGAGCGTCAGCCGCACCGCCTCAATTCTGGTCCGGCAATGCAAGCAAGTAAGCGTGGAGCGAATGCGGCTGACCCAAGCTGATGCTTAAAATAATTAACGAGTGGCGTATTCTGTCAGCGCGAGTGAACTTTGTCAGAATCAGTCCTAATCTCATTTTTGGCTATTATGCAAACATTCACCCCAAAGGGGAAAAAGTGCTCATGAATCGCTCGGCATGTGCAAGTGCCGAAGGAAACACCAATGCCCTTCGCATCGACAACAGGTACTAAAATAGGATGCAGGACTGCATGATTATTATCTTGGTATCGCCCAGGGAACCCAGGAACATGGCCATGATCACTGAGGGTGGACTAAGGTGCCCATTCCGTGCAGTCGCTGCGACGACTTTGCAATGTTCTCATGGCCCCGAGCTTTCTCTGCCTCATACGCCGCCCTGAAGACTCCAATGTCCTCCTGGAAGAGGGGCCTCTTGTCCGTCCAGCCCGTTGCCCTACGAATCTTGCCGCTGCCCACCCACTGGGGGAAGTTGAACATGACATACAGCCGAGGCGGGAACCAGTCGCCCCCATCTTGGGGGAACCTCGCGCCATCCGGAAAGCCGTACGCAGCAGCCAGGGCATGGCCAATTTCCCCAACTGTTTCGTAGCGGTGAGCTGAGATGTTGTACACCTGATTGGCGACATCAGCGCGGGGCGCATGCTCAGCAAGCGAGACGTAGGCTTCGGCACAGTCGTCGACGTGGCACGCGTGCATCGGTGTCCTGGGGTCCACGGGGATGCGCAGAGCTCGCTCACCCTTGTCGGCTTGCTCTGAAGCGTAGTCTAGCATGGCGCCGTAGTAGCTACTCGAGTAGCCGTAGACACAAGTCGGGCGAAGGACAATACCGTCAAAGAGCTCTGGGTGATCGAAGACTCGGAGGGACGTCTCGGCACGCGAGCGCACTGCCTCAGCCGTCCCGTCAACGGGGCTCTCCTCAGTCTGAGCCACAAGGCCAGGATCACCGTGAAGAGCGCCGTCAATCCCATAGTCTTTACAGCCTGATGACCACAACAGCAGGGGGCGGACCCCATTCTCGTTGCCTTTTATAGATATTTGGCGGAAAAGGGCGATGAGCTTCTGGTAGACCGTTTCGTAGTCGGGATAGGCTTCGAGACAGTTGACGATGACATTGAGTGTGTTGCTCTCCTCGAGGAGATTGGGCACCCAGGCCATGTCATCCAGGGTGCCAACGACAGGCGTGATCTCGTTGACCTGCAGGTCGACAGTGGCTTCGACCCGCCGCACGAGTCCAAAAACCCGATAGCCGGCGCGTACAAAGGCTTTGCTGACGGCGAACCCAATGTAGCCATTGGCACCAGTCACCAGGACCGTCTTGCGGTAGGATTGGTGAGAGGTCATGGTGGAAGAGTGTTGTGGTGATGTTGTTTGTTTTGCTGCTGTGATCGTTTTGTATACTCTATTCAAGTCTGCCGGCATCTTTATATAGACAATATTCCACTTGCCCTCAAATTTTGATTAACAAGCATGTTGTGGAGGCGCGCAACATTGCCAACTGGACGGAGTTCAAGTCGTTCCGGCTGGAGAATGCTCAGTAAACAGAAATGCCACTATCGCGCGCTATCAGATTGTCACCAGGTACACCGCTGATGCTGATAGTTCCAGTTATAGGCGCTCAGGATGCCGTACAAGTGCAGGGCCGCGCCCACGACGACGAAACAGTGAAAGACTTGATGCGAGGCGCCGTAAATGTCGAATCTCTGTGGATGCCACGCTTCGGGGTAATGTGACTATCACGGTCAATTAGCTGTCGCTCTAAATGGATCGACGTGGCTGCTCACAGCATAGAAAAAGACCCCAGCAAGCATGCAGACGCCTTCGAGATAATACCACTTCAATCCAGCTTGCTGGTCAAGTTGGCCATACGGGAAGATTGCCACAGCGTGAGTAATGGGAGCAAAAGCTGAGAGGCCGGTCACGACAAAGGAGGCCAGTCGGACAGACCGCCATTCCGGGCTTTGCAAACCGGGACTGAGGTTGATGTAACCTGCAATCGTTCCAAGAACGAGAATCTTTCACAGTTAGTCGTGGCAACATGGACAAAAGTTTAGCGACATCTCACCATTGCCCAGTAGGCAACCTGTAGCCTTGGCTCGCAGTAGAACGAGACATAGATCCCCGAGACAAACGAGCCCAGTATCTGTATGACAATCGCTGCATAGTCGAGTCGCACCCACAGATTTGAGTAATGCTCAGAATGGCAGAGCAGAGTGTGGTAAGCGGCAGATATGCCAAAGCATCCCAACGACGTGGTCAAGTAGATGTGGAAGATGAGCTGATCCGCAAAGGCACTCGACGGATAGGCCTGCGAGAACCACAGATAAAAGGCGCAGTGTCCAACCAAGCAGAGTACAGAGGGGATCAGATGCGTGTAAATGTTGACGCTTTCGTTGTGCATGTAACGTAGGCTCGCGAAACAGAGACGCACAGAGTGCGTGACAGGTCGATACCCATTGACGGTCCAATTATTGGCAGAATACCATCCAGGCACTTGATCAGCTGTGAGTAGCTGTGGCGAACCCGACTTGTAGGTTTGCGAATGTTCGTGCAAGTGTGACTTGCGCGTAGGAGAGGCGGACTTGGCTCTGGCGAGTGGATGCTGGCGACGTTGAAGCGGCATCATGTCAATGAGCTGATGCTTACGTGTGCAAGAATGATGGGAACCCTCAAGGTCAAAACAACACAATGATTTCTGGTCTGTTGAATGAAGCGAAAGGCGCACTCTCGACAATAACGCGTCTTGTTGGCAGCCGCGCTGAGGTCGGCAGGGCAGAAGTTCAGAATCCAGATGAAGCCGTCATGATCCATAAGCGCGCCCACGTGTTTGGCCGGTCTTGGTGTTGTGTTTTGGCCCTGGAAATTGGGGTGGGTCACAACTAAGAACGAGAGCCGCGTAAACCGTCTTGGGCCCTTGGCAGGTCTCAACTTTGATCCTTCTTGCCGTCGAAACTCGCCCTTTGATATATATACGCTGACTGGCTTGTTGTTGTTGCAAGGCTCCTTAGACCTCAGTGCTTCCGTAAGCTGTGTAGTCCCCATTGCCCGCCAACTTGTCATGCTACTCCTTTCCGACCAGACTCACAAACCAAACTGCATGGGTGGCGGGCACATAGATCACTGCAGCTTCTTTTCTATCGTCGAATACTCCCTCGAGTCATCGCCCTCCACAATCTTTTGGAGGCGCTCCATCTCCTTGACGTCAGACCGCCAGGTCTTCTCTGACATTTTCGTCTGTTTGTCGAACCACGCGCCGTCTGGTTTTCGATAGCTGCCGCCGAGCCTATCCCAGAATGTGAGGAACTGACCGTAGTTGTAGCTATTCACGGGGATTAGTGCTTCTCCACATGTATCGGCCACCTCGCACGACGTACTTGAAGTAAAGATGATGCGCTGAGTGGCAGGCAGCACCGTTGATGACAGGGTTGTCAGTGATGTATTCGCCATCATGGATCATAATCGTCCATAGGTTCACAAACATAAACGCCGTGATGAAGACGAACTTGTGCATGGGGAAAAGCATCGGAAACAGATGGTAGGGCGCAGACTGCGCAAACCCATCCAACGGGTGAAAAGCGTAGCTCGCGTACGGCGTCGGCATGATCCACCTGTGATGCGCCTTATGAAGCCACTTGTATATCCTGGGATGGTGCAGGCCGCGATGGATCCAGTAGATGAGCGCGTCGGTAAAGAGGATGAAGAAAAAGATCTGCGCGTAGTCGTACCATGCCCCTGGGCCCTCTGCAGTGTGCCCGTATAGACGAGTATAGCCACGAACCTCGAGCAGGAAGACCATGCACGTGGGGACGGAGATCCCAGGCATGGCAATTAGTGCTTCCTTGATTTCCTGGCGAATTTGGTTCTTGAGATACTTGGGATGCTTGAATGTCGCCTTGTCGAAGACGAATACGTACGAGAGAGTGGCGAAGAAGAAGTAGTTTACCATTGCAAACACCCTGTTGATCAGCTCGGATATTCCAGTAGCAGTAGATAGGGGACTCACCATCCTAAGAAGAAGAGTGTGAACGTCTGACGCCAAATGTTGTCTCGTGACCAGATGCTTCCGTATGCTTCTTCCGCAGGTTGGAGGTAGAACAGATGCGTGCTCGGCCTATACTCCCAGTTCGATGTACGCTCGATCGTGCAATTACCGTTGTCGCTGTAGACTTCAAAGGACAATGAACGCACTGGCAAGGCCCACGCGTAGATGCGATCCGCCACGTAGTGATCCACGACTTCGAGAACAATGTCCATTATTGCGGTGGAAATTCCAGGTAGACTTTGGAATGAAGAAAAGCGTGGTCGGATGTGCACACCATGGGCGACATATACGACGATATAATTACAGGCAGCAGACGATAGGGCCGACTACAATGTCCGTTGCTCCGTACATCAACATAAGAGCGAGAATCAATAGTCGCCTGTCTCGGCGCGCCTCGTACGATAAGGCAAAGTGGCCAGTGCTTCTGATGCCGCGTGTTGACTGGTTTCGTTCAACTTCGGCTGGCAGCATGTCCGGATGACAGATCGTACGATTTCTGATCCGGCGCTGCGCATCCTTAAGCAGGCCACATGGCCATTTCGGGAATGCCAGGGAGGACAGGAAGTCATTTGTAATTAATTAGATGGATATAAGCTGACCTTGAGATTACAATGTGACCTGTGGCACCTTTTCACTCTCCTGATCTGACAGAGAAGCCCGTGAGTGAACTTCTTCTTGAAGCAGTGCTCATGATTCGGCTCAAATGACAGAAAAAGGGGTCGAGCGATCCCTTTCTTTTGCTGGCTATGTCATTTTCGCTGCATTCACAAACGAAATGATGGGCGATAACGGATGAAGCGAGCTTGTAAGCAATTCATGACGTTGAATAGCGCTTCCTGGCACCGCCCGACCTCAGTTCCTCGTCAAGGTATAGTTGTAGTGCCACCCTTCTCTTTGCATGTCCGTTCTCACCTTGTAATTTTCTTCTGCGACATCGAGCACTGCCATGTCGATCTCCCTCACCAACACACCCTCCTCGCCGATTCCAAGTCGCCCCAGACAGCCTTGCACCGGCATGGTGATACTGCTCAGGCCGCCAGCGTTGGCAAACGCGATGGCGGCAGTGTTCTCGAATGCCCTGCATTCCGTCGCACTCTTGATGAAAACCGCCTCCGAACTTGGATTGATAGCCAGGGCCGAATCCGAAATGTCGTTGGGAAACCACCACGAAGGAATGATGATGATCTGCGCGCCATCAGCAATTAGCGCTCGAAACGCCTCCGGGAAAGCGAGATCCCAGCAAATAAGCATGCCAGCCCTGACAGGCCGACCATCCTCGCGCCTCAGATTGATGTCAAAGGCCCCATGTGGCTCGTCACCCGACGAGACGAGATGTTGTCTTTCTGGATGCCAGAGGTTCTTTTTCTGATATTTCCCAGAGATCGCACCCGTTTCACCGTTGATAAAGTACGCCACGTTGCCTATACCTTGCTCGTCGGGCGGGCCTGTTTTCTCGCATATTGTGCCAGGGACAATACTCATCTTCAATTCGAGAGAGAGCTTCTGGTACTCATCTAGATACCGACTGGATTCCACAGAGGCGAGGCGAAAGCCGGGTTCATCGGGAACCCACGATGTGAGGTGAAACTCAGGGAGGACAGCAAGATGACAGTCCGACTCGGCAGCCTGTCGAAGGTAGGAGCATGCTTTGACAAAGTTGCCTTCAATGTCCATGGCCTGTGAAATTTCAGTCAGATACGTGTCTTATGACGTAGGAATTGGCGACAAACCTTGGGCTCAAACTGGATCACTGCGATCTTGAACGTTGGCGCCATGGCTTCGGCGGTGAGTTCTTGCGGACAAAGATAGTCTTTGACCGGCCGACGTAGCAGTTACACAACGAGGTTGCAGTCTTCTTGGCCAGACGACAGCGTGGTAATGATGGCGCCGTCGTCGTTTGACTTGTATAGCGTCAGAGTCCCAGACTATATGCGTCAGGCCAAATGCGACGCAAGCTGGCAAATCTCGTAGTTCTGAAGCTTCAGTCTCGAGATCGTGCTATCCATTCTTAGATGAGGACAAGGTTGAAACAATTGCAGCTAGCACGTGAGCTGGATGCGCTGCTGCGGAGGTTGAGGCGGGCGGGAATAAGTTAATAACCGCGGAGGGGACGTGACGCCACTCTCACTCACCTCAGCCTAAGTGACCTCACCACCACCGGAACTAGAGAACATCACTTCACAAAGTTGGAAAGGGGTAAATTTGATGGCTTCAAACCCTTAGTAGAAGACAAAGGCACACCAGTCCAAAGTATCGAATGTGCATGCATATTGTGCGTCATGTTCCCCGCCTAGGCCCAATCACGTAAGTTGGCCCGGACATCAAAAGAGGCGCCGCAATAACAGTTGAGGTCATTGGAACAAATCCAAATGAAACCAATTCTAGACTATATCGCCTTCTGCAACTGCGTTCTATCTCCTTGACCCGGCTTTTGATCTAACGGGCTGTTTCTCGTGCTGGAGTTTCAAAGTCAAACCTCCTGGCCCCCACGCTGTCCACCCCGAGACAACAAAGGTAGCAAAACTCCTCGAGACTGGTAAGAATGCATCTAGTTGATAAAGTCCCCCAAAGTATTGCGCAGCTCCTGCGTGGCGGTCTTCAGACCAACAATATCCACGGTGTCACTGCCAGAAGACTTGCTGGCGGCGTCCGCGAATTCGACAATGGTGCCCACAAAGCTCTGAGTCGCATCCTTGACGGCGTCAACTTCCCCCTCGATATCTTCCGTCACGGCAGGCTGGGGTTTGGTATCAGTGCCTTCAATGACGTCCTGGAAGCTCGCAATGTTGTCCTTGGTAGTGGTAACAACCTTTTCGAGCAGATCTACCTCCTCCTGAGTGAGGCCTGTGGCATTCTCGGTGACACCTTGCGTGCCACCAGTGGTAGACTTTTTGATGGCGTCACTGCCACCCTGCAAGGCCTGGCGTATCATCTCGTAGGCTCCCTTGAGAGCCTCGGCGTCCTCGCCGGCGCTCGCAGCAGCGTCAACCGCTTCCTTCACAGTGTTTTCCGACTCGGCAGCTTTATCCACCAATCCCTTCAATGCGGGGGATATCTCAGGTAAATTTTCCGCCATGTTTTGAAGAGTGCCAATAGCAGTCTGTTGCATGTTGCCAGCGGCTGGCTGCTGCATGTTGCCAGGGACGGGCTGTGGCATGTTGCCGGCAGCCGTCTCTTGACGAGCGGGAAGCTTGCTGGGTGCCGCCAAGACCAAAGAGGCGAGGCTGAAGATGTTTATAAACTTCATGATGGGGTTGTTGAGATGGTTTTTGTTTGTGCCTTGAAATATAGAAAGTATTGATGTTGTTGATGCTGATGGAGAGCTGGTTGGGAACAATAGTGGCATCAGCTGGTTTATATATACTCAGTCATTCTCCTACGCTCTAATCGAACTTTCCAAAACAGGTCCTCAGTCTCTGAAAGGCATCATCCGGCTTGATCGATCGATCTCATCGACAACAATTGCTGCACGGTCGCATGTCTATTAGTACCACACATTCCACTTACCTTTCGCAGAAGGCCCAAGGAACGTAGAAACCACAGACAGATGAGAGGTTTTCGTTGATCTGCACTCGCTCGACGTGACATCCCAGATCCTGAGCTGACGAAATCATGTTCCAGATTACGCATTGCCGAGACAGTGGATGAGACCCTTCGAGACAGGGGAAGGCCAATTTCCCTGACTATTAATGCCGTCAGGATCGTCAATCTACATTCCGGATCTCTCCTATTTGGACAAGGTCATTTTGAGAGGAGCAAGATACCCCTTTAACCACCGATTCACAACACCACGTTCAGTTCCTCGCACATCACTTATGGCCACACTGGCTAGAAACCCCTGGCCAGATGATACTTGACTCTTGAGTACATGTGCCGAAAGTCATGCAGATCACAGTGCGTCATTATCCATTCCAAGGGAACCAGCCCTTGATTTAATCTCCTACGTTGATATCCCCGCGGCGCGCGCGCATCGATCGAAAAATGCAGCGCTATGTCATCGTAGCTTCTCCAATGTCGCCAGGTCAATCTTCGTCATCCCCAGGATAGCCTCGGCCACCTTGGCTGCCTTCTCTCCTCCCTCTTCGCCCATGGTAGTCCCGAGTCCCCTCGGGCTGATCTGCCAGCTGACACCGTACCGGTCGACCAGCCATCCAGCCGCCCTTTTCTTCTCGTCCCCTCCCTCACCGAGCCGCTCCCAGTAGTAGTCCACCTCCTCTTGGGTGTCGCATTCCACCTGGAAACTGACTGCTGGCGTGAACCGAATTCCTTCGCCACCGTTGATGGCCACAAAGGGAGCATTGTTGAGGGTGAAACTGACGGCAGACGGGGTGGGTGATGAGGGGAAGCGGTGAACTTGTGTGACGGACGAGTTCTCAAAGATGGAGATGTAGTGGTTGGCGGCTTCTTCAGCATTGCCGTTGAACCAGAGGTTCGTTGTAATTATACAATTAGGCATTTTGTCCGCAAGATTTCAATTTGCCCTCAAACCACCGTCTTCATAGGCGTGTGTCAGAAATCCGAGTTGTAGGGATAGAGAATAACGAAGTTAATACAAATAGAGAAATTAAAAGCGACCAGCGCCTGGGAAAATTATGTCAATATTTGAGTAGAGAATTGTTCCATTTGCGCAACACAGAATGCTTCCCAATTTCCTACTTATACCTCTTATACTGAGGCCATCGCCAAGATATTCCGTGGGATCGTCACGGCGCCCTTTCCGTACGTCTACGGAAGAATCCAACACAAGCGATCCGACTGGCTGCTTCGCGCTTCTGATACATCCCACCTTGCGCCGTAGAATAATCTGAAACGTCTGGAATATTTCTGGAAACGATAGATCGCCCGCACAAAACGTGGCAAAGGCGCGTGGAGGCCAACCATGTGCTGATGCCGAATGGGGTTGTACCATACCAGCCCTACGATCAACAGTCCTGCAGGAGTCTGCTCAGGGGGGCGGGGGAGAGCTAGCTCGCCCACAGTGCTCCCGGGGCAATCCATCAACGTCAGATATCGCATTGCAGAAATCCTGACAATGATCGTCCTGAGTTTGACATGTTACTTCTGCCTAAAGCGACGATTGAAACCTCCGCGATGCGTGTGCAGGTTCATCATTACCCTCTTTGGACGACAAGGGCATCGCTTCCAGCGCAGGACCGTTGAGCGGAGGATCTAGAGCCCCATAGATTCACGCACGGAGACGAAGGACCCCATGGGCACTGTCGGCAGTCACTCGACAGGTCTCGCGTTGTTTCAAGAGCTCGCCACAAGAGGCATCACATGCTGACACTGACATCAGCGACAAGACGAGGATAATAATACACTTCCAGGAGCAGCTAGCTGATCGATCCCGCCTAGCGCGAACGCCGCTAGCGCTGTTGTCAATGGTATATAGTACAGCCGAATCGTACAGACGCGGTACGCCACCGCGAATCACTCATCTCTCCGCATAGAGTATCGTACAAAGTGCTCCAACTCTTCTAGCCTTCCCGTCAAGCTCGCATCAAAGGGTGCCACGTCTGTAATGGCCTTGGCGAACGGGCCCTGGAGCCCGAGCTGGCAGCTCGCCACGTGCTGGCGTATCTTGCCCAGCAAGACCTCGGCCTGATAGTCCGCGTACAGGCCCGTATTGTGCATTTCCTCCAGCAGGTCAAGAGCTGAAGATGCGTCGCCGAAGCGATTCCAGTGGATGGACGCCAGGTTGGTGTAGAATGACGTCGACACGCCCAAAATGTAGGATGTTAGACCGAGCGATTTAACCTGTGGCAAGATCTGAAATGTGTAAGGCGACGGTATGGCAAACTGCGTGTTGAACAGCTTGAGTGCGTGGAGAAGGTAGTGTGAGTACAGCGCGCCATGAATGTCCATGATATGCTCGTTGTCCTTCTCTCCAGCTGCCTCACTTGGTGTGGTTGCGACCGACTCCCGCTCCACAACATCCTGCAGTTTGGCCATTTTCCCGCCGCGAGACTTGGTCTTTTTCGTCTTCTCGCCTTGCGAAACACCGAGTTTGCCCATGAGGCTGAACACCTCCCGCTCCATGACTTGCCACAGCTCAAAGTCATCCTGGCAGGCCTCCATCTTGGCCTCCATCCGCTTTTTCTCGGCATCCCGTACTTCCTGGTAACGGGCACGCTTTTCCCACAGCAGGCGATCCTCGGGGGACATCTCTTCCAACTCCGTCTCGCTCGGGGTCTCGAGGATGTTGAATGCCTGCTTTGCCGCGTTGCGCACTGATTGCGGGAATGCTTCCAGATACTTATTGCGAAATTCAGTCATCCGTTCCGGGGCCGCTTTTGGCGCCATGGCGCCCGACTGGAGAATGCTGTCTGCGCCACCACCTTCCGCCGGGGGCGTGGATGGGCGCCGTGGCTTGGGCATGTTGCCCGCCGTGATCTCGTCGAAAATGTTCTTGAAGATATGCGCCTCGCTCGGCGAGAGTGTTCGGTTGGACGCCTTGAGCGCTTCGTGTGTCATGTCGCTGCCGGATCGCCATTGTTTCTTCGCCGACGTGCCATGCCCAAAATCAAAAGGGATGTTGCCCTCGTCGTTGTCATCCGCTCTCGAGCTGGCGTACCGTACAATCGACCTCGTCGCTGGAAGGCGCCATGCCCTCTGTATTGTGCGGGTCTGATACAGAAAAGACAAAGACATTGTGACGAAGTGGATGGCGGTTGTTATGTGCGAAATACCAATGTGCGAAATACCAATGTGCGACAAGCGATGGTGATGGACCCTGAAGAACGGGCAATTTGGATTACATAAGCAGAAAATGCCGAGCAGACGCGGTGACGCGTGACTTCGCGCGTTGAAAGTTCACGGTCATTAACGCGCTCAGGCTGCCGTGCACGGTGCACGTCATGAGTGAATGGGAGACCCATCCCTCAAGCTGCTCTCACCTTCTGCTGCGTTTGCTGCATTTGACTTGACCAATTTCCATGTACCGTTCATATTTTTATTCGGCGAATCCGTCTTTCAATTCTTCAGGCCATCATTTACCGCCAAAATGCCTGTAAAGAAAGAAGATAGTGGCGGCATGTCCGTCTTCGAACGACGCCGTCTGGAAAACATCAAGGCCAACAAGGAGGTCCTGACTGACATTTCGAAAACGGCCAAAAGGGTCATGCCGGAAAGACCTGCTCCAAAACCTGCACCTAGACCAAAGAGAACATCTGACGCCACACCGACCAGACGTAACACCCCTCGTGCGACAAGGACGAGCTCGCGGCTAGCTGGCATAGGTGCCGACGACGAGACCCTCAAGCGGAAGATGGAGGTCGAGAACGAGAACCAAGCCATGCAAGCCAAGGCGAAGAAAATGCGACACAATGGCGACCTCAACTTAGGGGATATCGCTGTGGAGGGTCGGAAATTTGGCAACGGCGTTGCCGGCATCAAGGATCTCTTCCGGGGAGCTGAACCGGGCGTGAGGACATTCACCGAAGACGATGTGACGGAGACGACCGACAAGTCGCTCAAGGAGTTGAGGGAACAAATGAGTGCGCTCGAATTGTACGAGCACTGGCTTCCTAATGGTATGAGTTTCCGCCAGCCTCCTCTGCCCGCAGGTGACTGACCTATGCTCAGAGATAAAGATTTGCCCGCAACGTATCTACTCACTCGGCTTTCATCCTACGGAGGACAAGCCAGTAATATTCGCGGGGGATAAGGAAGGCAATATGGGGATCTTTGATGGATCCCAGGAACGTCCAGCCGAGGGCGACGACGATGAAGATACCAAGCCGCTCGACCCTGTGATATCGGCCTTCACAACCCACACACGCACTATCACAGGGTTCGTCTTCCCACCGAACGATAGCAACGCAGTATACACGTCGTCGTACGACTCGTCGATCCGGAAGATGGATCTCGAGAAAGGCACATCCGTGCAGATATGGGCCCCCGAGGACCACGACGAGGACCTACCGCTATCAGCATTGGACATGCCCCCGAACGAGCCGAACATGCTCTATTTCTCCACGCTCAGCGGCTTGTGCGGCCGATACGACATCCGTGACCCCAAGTCCACCGACATCTGGCGTCTGTCGGATCACAAGATCGGCGGCTTTTCGCTGCATCCCCTCCAGCCGCATCTCCTCGCCACGGCTTCTCTTGACCGGACGCTCAAGATCTGGGACTGTCGCAAGATCACCGGCAAAGGCGACCTGCGGCATCCCGCGTTGATGGGCGAGCACGAGTCGCGTCTGTCTGTGTCGCACGCCTCTTGGTCCGCGGGCGGCCACCTCGCCACCTCGTCGTACGACGACACCATTAAGATTCACGCCTTCCCGGAATGCTCAACCTGGAAAACGGGTCACGACATTACGCCTGCATCCATGGAGCCCACCCACAAAGTCCGTCACAACAACCAGACCGGCCGCTGGGTGACGATTCTGAAACCTCAATGGCAAAGGGCGCCACGGGATGGCATACAAAAGTTTGTCATTGGCAACATGAATCGCTTTGTGGACGTGTTTGCCAGCGATGGCAGCCAACTAGCCCAGCTTGATGGTGAGGGTATCACGGCCGTGCCCGCTGTCGCGCATTTCCATCCCAGCCAGCGGTGGGTCGCTGGCGGCAACGGGAGTGGCAAGCTGTGCCTGTGGCGCTAGACGAGAGGTTGTGGAAGAGGATGGCATTGCGCTTTCAATTTATGCGTGGCGTTTGAGGGGAATGCGTTTGTTAGTGGACTTGGATGCATACTGAATTAGCTCGTTGTATACGCTTGCAAAGGACCCCCGTGGAGGGACTTGGATGACCCCCGAAGATGAAGGAGAGCGCGGAGGCGGTTTGAAATGTAAATCGTTATTATTTTCGTATCAAGATGATGCCACTGGGTGGAGCCCGTCAAAGAACGTCCCATTGCATGTTCCACGGCTCGCTACCCTTGCTCGCATCGACACCATGCTTGTACGCACTCATCAGTTCCTCCTGATCCACGCCGCAGTGGATCTGGCCATCTCTACCCTTGAACCAGCCCAGGCCGTAGGTCGTGCCGTCGTCGAGGCGGTCCGCCATTTGCGAGTTGGTCAGTTTGCTCGTCCCCACAAACTTGTACACCATTTTGCTTTGGTGAATGAACGCCAAGACAGAAGCAATGGTGCTCGGTTGTCGGGGGAGGAAGGGATGGCGCCGTCGCACAAAGACCATGGTCGAGACGAGGGTCATGTATAGCAGGATGAAGAGCGCCGTGGCCAGGGATACGAAAAAGGACCGAGCCGTTTCTTGACCAGACTCCATATCGTCAGGATCGATGCCAGAGTTGTGCATGAACTCCCTGCCACGGACGGTGACGAGACTGGAGACGAGGATGGTCAGGAACTCGGCCATGACACTACCCCAACCAAGGAGGAACATGATAAAGTGCCCGTTGATTAGCGCTCGCAGCGGCATGTACGCAAAGGGCAAGGCTGTGTAGTCCAACGTCAGAATCTTGGAAGGGGCGTGTCGCTTCGAGAGGATGTAATATGGCTCCATCATCCTCACCGCCGTCTCAAGACTTGTCCAGCCGAGTTTGAGACCAACCGCCATGGCAGTCGCTAGCCAGGGTACCTTTTCAGTGACCACTTCGGCAGGTGTGAAGAGAAACGCTGGGATGAAGCCCGTGAATAGTATGAGGGCGATAATGAAAGGTATGCACGACGCCGCGCGGAGCATGGCTGGGTGCGGGTTCTGGGAGAAATGCGTCCCCTCGTACTTCTCCCTGTCCCGGCTCGATGCCGGGTTCTCGTCGTCTGGCGTCAGTGACGAGTTTCGCAACAAGTAGCGATGGTACTTGAGCTTGTGATGTATATCCTTTGGCTTGGCTGTATCGAGGTCTTTGAAGTCCATCAGAATGTGGCTGACCACAGCCATGGATGCCAGCCCAGCTATACCACGGACATCGGCCACCAGGCCTGTCCGTCTGGTCTGCAACAGGTAGAAGAGCCCCAAACCGCCGACGACGTTCAGCGTCAGCACGGCTGTCAACAGATACGTGGACACGGGCGAGAAGTAGATCTCCTGGAACCCTTCCCTCTTCCCCAGCGTCAATGCTGCCGCTGCAAAGGTGGGCACCAAAGACACGGCAAACGTCGTCGCTGCGCTCGACAAGGCGACAGCGTGATGCCCAACTTTCAGCGCGTGGAAAGGTCGGAAGAAGCTGAACATTGAGACATAGTCGACATTGATGGACTCGGCAGCAAGCGCACCGCCTGGCTTGGACATTTGGAAGTACGCCTCGAGCCGTCGCACTTCGAAATCGGTAAACTGCCACAACACGCCGTACACGACGGCGACAATGGTCGGTCCGAAGCGCACAGTGAAGTATATACCCTCGTCGACTTCACTCGGGCTCTTGAAACGCAGGATGGGGTTGTCGCGCGTGTACATGCGGAAGAGAACCTGCGTCATCACAGCCAGACCGATTGATAGCAGGATGAGCATGGAGAGATATGGCCAGCGCATCGAGAATGGTTTCCAGTTTGGCTGCGGATAAAAGATCTGCGTCGTGGCTGCTTTGCCCAGGTTGAAGGTGGAACGTCGCGCTTCGTCCGACGTGATGCCCGTCGGTCCCTCCATTGTGCTCAAGTCGGCGCCGGCTGGCTCTGGCTCTTCGACAACAACCTCGATCACCTCGCCTCTGCGGTTCGCTTCGCCTTGGCCAGCATATCTGATCGTCTCGACGCGGCCCAGTCGTTTTCTTGACATCCTCCGCGTGAACGATCGCGAGAGGCTGCGCTGGGCGACTGTCGGAGAAGACAGAAGATCAGCATCGCTCACGGTCGTGTTTGGTCGGAACCCGAGGCCAAGCCCGCCAGTCAGCATCCCCTTGGCCTCGTCGTCCTCGAGTTTGCGTATGAACGCCTCGTCTTGTGCGCCCATGGGCCCCAGCGCGGACCCCACGTCGAAGCCTGGAGCAATTATGCGATCCTCGTCCAACACGTCGGGATGGCCACCCATGGGCGCCGCGGCTTGCATAAGCGAAAGGTCAAATTCCTCTTCGTCAATCGTATCCGGGCCTGGTCGGCGTAGCGAAGTCCCTATCCGCGACCTATAACTCGCCTTTGACGGTGTCCTCGACGGCACGGGCCTTCCAACAGGCGCGTACCCCGCGCCCGATGCGCCGGTGTACCCCAGGCTCCCCGTCCATGATTTTGTGGGAGAGGAATCGATTTTCCCTTCGTCGTGAAGCTCTTCGCATGGATTGAGGGTACTGAATGATGCTCTCGAGCTGAGGCTGACGAGCGATTCGCGACCGCGCAGCGGCCCGGGACTATCGTAAGGGTTCGAGCGCGTGTTCCCGTAGTCACTGTACTGGGAGAGATCCGATACCCTGTGGGACAGGTATTGGTCTGGTTGACGGAGGGGTTCTCTTCCTGCGTCACTCCAATGTGACATGGTCGTGCATGTCGTGTCTCAGTAGCAGCACAGAGCTACAGACCCAAGCGCGCGGACTGAGTTTCTTGTAGGTGAAAATGTAATTATCGCTTAGTGAAGATGCTGGAAAGCAGACGCGAATGAGCGTCTCTCTGGGGGCATGAATCAAACGAGCGACAAGGACGGACAATCGTACAAACGCGGCTGCGCTCGAGAATTTGAAGGAAAGAGGACCAGTTGCACGAGGACATGGCAGCTGAAATGAGAAGTAAGCGACTGGACCTGAACAAGCCACGCTGACGGTTCCTCCAATCCGCATCCAGGGCCAAGCCAGCCCACGATACGTCGGGCGGCTGCAGTGCCTCCCCGACTGCTCGTAAGGGTCTGGTCGTAAGGCTGGGGCTGGGGCTGACCGTGATGGCTGGAGACAGGGGATCGCAGTCCAAGCGCGGGACTGACCCGTCGTGTCGTGGACTCGTGGCAGCCTACCCTGTGAAGGCACCACCTACCGCACGGCCAGTTTACCTCTTAAAAATGCTAGAAAATGCTACAAAGTACGCTCCGTAGAATTGACAAATAACCCATCGCGAGGTTCTTTCGTGATTGGTCACTGATCACCTTTCCTGACGGAGCTCGTTATCGTGAAAGAACGGCAAGCTAAAGGCTAACAGAACAAAAAGAAACCAGATGATGGATTATCCCAATGGTTAACCTTGGCGTTTGTTTACTTATTTGCTAGTTATAAAGCATTGGCTCTGGCCAATCCCACTTCAACTTCGAACCCAAGAAATAACAATAGAGACACTACAACTGCCCACGATTCATCACAATCCACTAACACGAACCTTCCTATCGGATTGGGAATTCTACTAATTGGGCTTTATTATTCGTAATAGCGTCATTGATACGGCGAAAATGAAAGCGTTTCGGCGTCGAGCAGAACTGGTGGTTCAGCTCATTCAATGACCAACTCTCCAAGACGCGGTTCACCTCCACAGCGCAGAAGACACGGGCAAATGCGCAACAGCTGTGCATGACTGGGCACAGCGTGACGGAATGGGTCATCGTCGTGTCGGGCGCTACAACATAGACAGCATCGTTGCCCGGCCGCGAAGGGTTGATGAAGCTGTTGCCGTCTTAAATCGTTGTTTCGCCCGTGCCCATAGCATCGTATTTAAGTAATTTTGCAAATTATTCGGTCCCTTCCTCCACTTATCCCTCCGAAGACAACGGACTGGGACTATGTGCTTGGCCTCTCCTTCTCCTCTTCACAAAACTGGGGAGCGAGTACTTGCCGCCCTTCTGGCTTCCACTGGCCTCCGCCATCTCCCTTCGCTCAGCTTTGGGAGTCCGATCGGGCTTGCAACAGCATCCCAAGGCCGAATGGAGAATGAATGCGAGTACGGTGAAGACAGCGGCGAGCCACATGAAGACAAACATCTTGATGCCAATGTCTGCCCTGAGATTGAGCTCGTCCTGCGCGGTGAGGGCGATCTTGGCCGCCACGCTGATCACAGTCGCGACGACGGCGGCGACGGTGACCAGAATAGCGGAGATGAGGCTCAGGATGGAAAGCGCGAGGCTGAACCATCGCGTGTAGATGGCGAGCGGAGAGAGAAGCATGAGGACAAAGTTGAGCACCGTGCCCGTGAGGAAGAAGCCAAACATGACCTGCGATCCGATCCTGAGCAGGTTGAGAATCGTCGTGACCTGCGAGGGCAGGGCGATGGTCGCGCCGGCGAGCAGCTCAGAGACGAGCACCCTGACAGGGTTGAACCAGTAGAAGCTCTCTGGTTCGGAGCACTCGGTCACGCCCTCGCCAAGATAGCCTGAGCAGTAGTTCCATAGTCCAACGGTGTAAAAGTCATGGAGACCCAAGCTTCGGGCCACGGAGTTGAGCAGATTCGAGTTGACGACACTGATGGGGATGATGTTGGATACATCGAGTTTGAAAAAGTAGATGGTGTTGAGAGTGCTGTTGATGTGCGTGTTGCCGATGCAGACGAGGATGAGGAAGGGCAGTGAGAGCAGGTAGAAGACACTTGTGGCTATGGTCGTGTTGCGGCGGTGCGGCGCCATGTTCCCAGCCGCCAAGGTCTCTTGCGCGAGATGATTGAATCTTCGAGCCAGTTGAAATGAAGTGAGCTGAGGTGAAGATGCTGGCGATGCGCAGGGCCAGCCGGACGAAGGACTGGAAAACACGTCTGGGCAGCCAAGTGACGAAATGCGCAGCACCTACCGCCGGGGCTTGCGGGGACTGGAGACTACGATTATTTTAGGGGCTTATGCACTGACTGCAGAGCGCAGACTGGAGAAGGCCTGGCATGACGGGTGGGCACCTTGAACATAAATTGTGGAAGCATTGTGGACGCCGATCTGCACACTCCGCCCGACTCAAGGTACGATCGCAATCGCTAATTTCCGGCCGTTCAAAGCCCAACTGACACTTATCCGTACAATTTACGTAGGACCTTCTCAAAACGCCTGCAGGGCAGCACTCATGCCAGGCGAGGCGCCACGACACGTCCGGTCTGCATCCAGGGACATTGGCCCCTTGTATGGTCTCGCCTGCTGCCTTTGCTGCCAATCGTGCATGGCTCGCACGGCCTGAAGATGTCTCAGCTCGCGCAGCTGTGTCCACTGTCCAGACCAGACCCAGGCAAGTGACGCGTAACTCACCTTGCTCCAGTCTGAGGACTTTGTTACTTAACAAGCGCTGAAGATCTGTGGGCCCACAGTGGCACAGTCGCTCGACCAACGTCTCGGTGTCGTCGAGACTGCTGACTTGCGAAAATTCCCAGGCCGTGCTCTTGCTTTAGCAGACGCTCGGAGATGATGAGTCCTAAGGTGTGATATAAATTTGCAACGGGTGCCTGGCATGTGTCATCGACTAATGGATTTTCTTCCTCGACAGCGAATACGCTGCCCTATCCCCTTTAGCGACGAGCCCCAGTGATTATTCACCGCTAGCCACAGGCTAAGCTTCTGCTAGCGCTGCAGATTTCCCCCCTGCCGCGTCCTCCACTGAGGTACCGTGAGTCCGTGACGTCGTCATCAATAATCTTCCAATTGTTGCTTCAAAGTTCACCATCGCACAACCTAGACCACCACTCAATCGCTGATTGACTTTGCACCACATAACAGGGCCTCCCGACCGTGTTTGGTCACGACCTCAAATTCTCCGGCTTGAGGATACTGCGTGCCTCTTTGCCAGGGTCACGGCTGGGGTCAGTCGCTCAATCGTTCCAACCGTCGCCATGCGCGTAACACTGCTTCTCACAGCATGTGCTGCGTTGCTCAGGCACACGCATGCACAGAGCACAGAATCGGACGAGTCTACATTGGATACGGCCTCCAGATCTAACACCAGGTCAGGCACCGCGACGGACGATGACCAAGATGGTCCTACCGCGCCCATCGCCTCATTTTCCGCCACGTCGAAGCTGGACTTTTACACAGGCACAAAGACGCAGCGAGTAGACGACGCAACGGCTATACCAACAGGACCTTACCAGACTTACTCTGGCCGGATCACGCTTGGCAACCCAGAGACGGACACGCCTATCAGCGGTAGCTATACTGTGTCCTACACGCCCACCGTCACCATCACCAACAACGTCACGGCCACGACGACAGTCCAGCCAACAAACACACAGCCTTGCAACAACTACGTCGAGCTCTGTACGCGCAAGTACTCCAACATCACCAATGTGGGCTGCCACAACTCCCCGTTCGTCCGCCCTGGCAACTCGGGCTCCAACCAGGAGCTCCCTGTCAAACAGCAGCTAGACGACGGCGTCCGCTTCATCCAAGCCCAGATTCAGTTCCCCGAGGGTAGCAACATCCCCCATTTCTGCCACTCGACCTGTGATCTGCTCGACGCCGGTCCCATCACTGAGTGGCTGGGCGAAGTAACGGACTGGGTGGAAGCCCACCCCTACGACGTGGTGACGATTCTCCTAGGCAACGGAAACTACTCTGCTCCCTCCTTGTACGCACCATACATCCAGAAGACGGGCATTCTCAAGTACACGTACGAGGCGCCGTACCTCCCCATGAGGCTCGACGACTGGCCAACCCTAGAAAACCTGATCCTCCGCGGGAAGAGGGTGGTCATGTTCATGGACTACAACGCCAACCAGCAGGAGTACCCGTGGCTTCTGGACGAGTTTGCGCAGATGTGGGAGACGCCTTTTGACCCGCAGGACCGCGACTTTCCCTGCACGGTCCAGCGGCCCCCCAACCTGAGCGAGGAGGACGCCAAGGACAAGCTGTATCTGGTGAACCACAACCTCAACGTCGAATTTAACGTGTTTGGCGCCTCCCTCCTCGTCCCGGCAGTCAGCCTGCTCAATGAGACAAACAACGCCACGGGGTACGGGAGCTTGGGCGTCACGGCGAACCAATGCAGAGAGGACTGGGGCCGCGCACCCAACATTCTCAACGTGGACTACTACAACTACGGTGACCCCCCTGGCAGCGTGTTCGAGGTCGCCGCCGAGATGAACAACGTGACCTACGACCGGCCCTGCTGCGGTGTCGAGCAAGGTGCGGCGTCCTCGCTACTGGTCATCGGCCTGTCTGGTTGGTTGGCCCTGACGGCCTTGCATAGTGTGCTTTTGTTTTAGAGATGTCATGACACATAGCCGGCGTTTGGGTTTTTTCCCCCCCTTTTCTTTTTTGTACTTAGTATAGACTGTATGGTGTATAGATACTTTACAATGTCATCAAGTACAATCTATCTTGTTCATTATAATTCATTGTCCACATCACATCAGTAACCAGCCGGCCAAAACGACCATGATCGACACGCGGCTCAGCCTTGTCATGGCCGCAGCGTCATCTTCATCATCGTCAGGGAACTCCTTTTGCACCGTCCCCGTCTCTCCGGCCCTCTGCTCCGAGAAGCAGCTCGCCGTCCCGCAGCTGTACCCGCTGGGACAGCACCCTGGCGTCGGACCTCCTTCATCACCGCATAGAGACCACCCGTCTGCACAGGTCCCTTCCTCTTCCTCTGGCACGTCAGTGGCATCCACGACCACGGTCACGCCGTCGGAGATGAGCGTGGTCGAGGAGCTTGGTGGGCAGGACTGCACGTCGCAGTTGCGGTCTGTGCGACAGCAACCACCGCCATGGGTGGCAAGACAGCCATAGAAGCCGGTAGGGCCTGGGACTTGTGTTAATCGACTTCATTACAGAAGAAATCGCGGTGTACTACTTACAGCCTGTCTGGGTGTCTTCAGGTTCTGAAGTCAGCGTTGGTCGGAACGGCGGTGCGCCCGTCTCTGTATCGGTAGGCTCTTGGGTGGTCGTGACAGTGTCCTCCTCCGAAGTCGTACTGGGCTCTGCCGTAGTAGTGCTCTCTTCCTCTTCAGTTGTTGTCCTCTCCTTGGTCGACGTCTCGCGCGCTGTGGTAGTTTCCGCTTCTTCCTCAGTCGTCGTGCTCGTCTCCTCCGCCACCGTTGTGCTCGTCTCTTCCACTGTGGTCGTCTCTGATCCATCATTCCCGTCCCCTGCTTTCACACAGCCTACTCCTTTGCAGACATACCCTGCGATGCAGCACCCTCCGCCCAGCTCCACCGAGCAAGTGACGCTGTCATCTGGGCATGCGCCCACTCCACCGCCGCATTCTGATCCCTCGGGGCAGCACGCGACCTTGCCTACGGACGTGTCATCGATACCGACACAGTTGGTGCCTGCTGGGCAGCACTTGGCGGGATTCCCCGTGTTGGTGCACGATTTCATGTTCGCAGGGCAGGATGACCTCTTGGCGAGCAATCCGCTGCCGAAGCCGCCGCCCGAGAAATGCGGCGAGAATGCGCGCGCGTAGAAGCGTGCAGTGACGTTCTCGGCAGCATAATTGTCGACAACAAGTGGAAGGTGGAATGCAGGGGAGAAGGCGAGATGGTCGGCGAACAGCTTCTCTGAGGAATCGGGATGCAGTTTGCGCAGGGCGGTGGGCGAAGGGTCTGCGAGTGCTAGCAGGATAGAGGGCGGTAGGAGCAGTAGAGTGCGCATCTTGCTCGTGGCGGTAGAAAAAACTTAAGATTCCATTCGTATGAGATGAGATGAGCGTTACCTGATGCCTGATTGATGTTGTACGTCGTGTGGTCGATGCGCATGAATACAACACGGAAAATCGGGTGGCTGGGTCGGCGACAGACGTGAGGCGCCGCCGAGGCGCTTGTGTAAGTCACTTGAATACTAGTCTCTTATTAGGAGTCGAAAGGCAACTCATCTATTCGAATTGAAGCCATGATTTCGATCAAGGAGACTTTTACCTCGTGCTTTGGGCGAAGAGACCACTTGTGATGGCGTTTTGTTGAGGGCGCAACCTTTGGCGCGACTCACCGCCAGGAGCCGACTCTTACGGGCGACGGGATTAATATAACTATCGCATAGCACTAGGCATACATCATGTGTTGATTCAGTGTGGCTATGCGGCGCAACAAACCATCATCTGTAGTGCGCCCTATCGAAGAATGTCTCCCATGTCTCTGTCAGGACGAGTCCTCCCACCGAAGTTTGAGTGCCCTGACAAGTCACAACTGTTGGTCAATACCCACCGGGGAATAGCATGATAGCCACATAGGCGCGGCAGTCGAAGACGCTGAGCTTGGGAGATCAGTGCTCGCAGAAGTTATGTTCCGTTTTGACCCAACTTTCCTCCATCTTGTTCGTACTCGCGGTGCGCTCTTCCATTAGTGCCAGGCGGTGCTCCTTGGCCTCGTCGAGAGTCATGCAGCCTTCGGGGAGCGCGCTGAGGAGGGACGTTAGCCGTCGAGAGGATTCGATGGTGGGGATCGACGAGCCACAGGGCCACGAAGCGACGGTGACCAGGCTTGGTTTTTTCCCTGAGTTTGAATGGACAGACTTTGTGCTGATTGAGCGACGGCAGGTCAGTATTGCAGACACGCTCCGACAAGAGGCAAAAACTCACAAGACATTGGGAAAGGCGAGGACACGACCCTGCCGGGTTTCAACCTCCCCATATCTCTGTAGGCAGGAGCCTGCAACACCACGGGAGCCACCCAGTGATGCGCCGCGTACCAGTTCAAGCCAGTGGTAGCTATCCTGTCCGGCTTGCATCTTATCCGAGAGGTAATAAGACGTAGGCATCCGGAAAGACAAGGCGGTTCTCAACGTTCTCCGAGTCCACGTAATACAGCGCGGTTGCACAGATACCTTCGTTCATCTGGCCCTCAATCTTATTCCGAATCACTTGGCAGTCCACCGTACCTCGCATCCCGCCGCAGGATTTGGCTCATATGCCAGTTGCCACCAGCAAACTCGGGCTTCTCCGGCGTCCGCTCGGCAGAGGCCATCGTGACGATGATTTGAAGGCCGTGTTTGGCCAATCTTTGACAGATACTCGCGTGCTGCGGCTCGTAGTTGATTGTCTCAAACCCAGGTGGCTCGGGATGCACGAGATCTCGCAGTTCGAGCCATTTAGCTAGCTGCTTTTCATCCTCAGTCAGTTCTCGTGGGCTGTTCCGGCTTCTTTCCCATTCTGATTCGTCACTCTGGCTAGGCGGGCCGTGCCTGTCATCTTCCAAGTCGAGTTGGCCAGCAATTTCCTCGAGAGTGTCTTTGCTTGGCTCATTCTGGATATCCCTCCACTCTTCGAGGTCGCATGATTCCCAAAGCGACTCATTGTCGTCACTAGAGATTGGGAATAAGGTACCGAGTTAGCCCACACCATTGCATATTGTGTGAAATTTCCACTCACTCGGCCTCCTGAAACCGCTTGAGCCGTGTTGACGGTCGTCTAGCGGGAGTCTCTACGGTGTACCTGTTCGTGTCCCGCAAGCACTGGTCCCATGCCGTTATGACAGCGTCGATGAGCTTCTCTACCGCGCCATAGACTTCAGGGTGCTGTCGCCCGTTGATGTAACTGGCGAACTTGGGCGCGCCATTCCTCACGTCGACCAGTGAGGGAAGCCATTGGCACTTTTCGGACCAATACTCGGAAGCAATTGAGCCGCTGCCGATATGGTCCAAGAGTGGTGTCGTCTAGCCTTGGTCTTGGGCTCTTCAGGGTCCTCAGCCTGGGAGGGCGATGTCACGCCTTGGTCCATGTGCGCGATTGCATCAGCCACCCCGACTTTTCACTCGCGCGAGAACTTGGAACGACCTGTGGCAATCAGTGAACGGAGCTTGCGGAGTCTTCATTCCAAAGTCCCTTATCCCATACGAGCGGATACATGGAAGGATGAACAAAATTTTGTTGCACTTCATCACTTCCTGGATGCCAGTCTTCGTTCCCAAGAGCCTCTCTCTGAAGCTTGTCAAACGCGGCAGCCAGTTCGGCGTGGATCTCATCACCAACCAAGTTGTCGGACTTGACAACGGTGTGATGGCCAGCATCGAGGGTCGGGATGAGCTTGGATGATTTGAAGTAGGTCGCTTTATTTCGCAGCTCGGCAATACTCTTGTCACCAGTTAACAAGGTAGATCCGCCGCAACTCAGGGGCTCCATACATAGTTGAAGGTATTTTCGGAGAGGATCCTCGCCTTGCGCGGCATGTGCACCTTGTCGTCGTGCTATGACTCGAAGCGCCGACCAAGGTAGATCAACTTCCACAATCCTTCTTCGGACTGTGTCATGGCTTCTTGCCTCCATTTGGCCATAATATCGTCGTCAAAGACTTTCTCTTCCCAACTCTCCTTGTCTGTGATCTTGTCCATGAAGATCATCATTGCGACCTCGCGCACTTGCAGGATAGGCGATGTGCATCCTGCAAGGTCGGCGCTCACGCTCATGGCATGGGATCTTTCACTGTCACGCCCAATATTCTTCCAGTGCGTGTTGTTGTGGCCAATGCCAAAATCATCAACGCGGTTGCGCAGGTCATAGTCCACACCGGGATACTGGAAACTCATGTCGGCGATGGTGGTGATGGGGAGGGTACTCCAAGTCGGCGCTTTGGACACGGCGACGGGTCTTTTGTCGTTGTTTCAAGGTTTGAGCAATTGTGTCTGGGTGATAGCGTGCGCGAGCTGTGAGCTCGAACGTGAATACTGCCTGCGCAACGTAGAGCGCGTGAACAGCGAGTCGTGACCGCGTGGGCCAATGCAGGTGAAATCACGCCTTTGGTGTTGAAAACCGCCAGTCACGCTTGGCGAATAGCAACATACTGCTCGAAGCGGCACAAAGATCTCATCCCACTGGAGCTTTGGAAAGTCGGGACCGTTTAGTGCCTGATGAACTTTGAAACGAAACGCCAAGTGAATCTCGGCATGGATGACTGGAGCCGAGAAGCGAGATCCAGCTCCGCCCAACTGGCTCCGCCCAGTGGCTCGAGTCCGAAGTCTCAGTGATCTGCGGCGCGGTCACCAACTCAGCGGTGGCGCCTGTGGACCCAGGACGATCATCTTCAGGCATCTATGAGCGCTCGCTGGAAACATGAACAGAGGCGACTGAATATGATACTGCAACGGGAACTCTCGAAATTTGATATCTTTGTCATTCTTCCATCCATCTCAACCTTGGTACTCCACACATGAAGTGTTTGTCTTGTCCGACCCTGTGCGCCCAAGCCAACCCCCACATGCTGCTAGCTCAACTTTGCCCTGTTCGCACAATTCCTTGACTTGGTGTTTTGAGCTGAAGGCACGTCCTCGGGGTTCGCTTTGTTATCTTGGTGGGTCGAATTTCTGACGATCATCATGCGGTCGGAATAGGTCATTTCTTGTTCGGAGTTCAGATATCGCTCCAACGTAGGGCTGGAATATGTCGTGTTAAAGCCGCTGGGCTCGCTGCAACGTGGTTGGTTAGCGACGTCACTCAGTCGCTAGCTAGGGAACTAATAGGGCTTCTGAGACGTACCCCGAGCTCAACTTGCTCAACGCCTCATTGGTCAATCTCATGATGATCTTCGTTGGGTATTGGGTGAGGATGAGTGCAAGTAGTGTAATACTGTGGATGGAACTTGAATGTTCGATTGTGTCTTGAAGCATACTCTTTTGGAGAGAGCGCACCTCGTAACTTATGTACTTTTACTGACCAGGATACGCATTCTTTGCTGCATAGATCGGTAGTAGCAGTCGCGGGCGGAACTGTGAAATCCAGGGCATGGCGCATTATTGGCTCCAGCAAGTTACCAGCCAGTGAACAAATGTTCATGACGGTCGCCAACCCTTAACCAGCCAGCTGGCGCCGCCACCGCCTCGGTGCCGGAGCACCATCATAACTTGAGGAATGAATCCGACAGTGACCACCATGGTCCAATAAGCACTCACAGAGCTGCAATTTGATCGAGGAGACAAAGTTCAACGTTGCCAATTTGGCTGCTATCAGGGAACCCGAATCTGTATCCAAGTATCACGCGCGACTGATGCTCACAGTTGATAACTCGCCAGGGCGAACTGCATGCGTAGAAACCGACCTCAGTGTTCAGCGTCATCTCATTCATCCCGCGTGTAGAGTCCAGACTCCAGACAGCCTCGCCCCGGGTTGCGTAGACCAAAGCGTCGCGCGAAGCATGCCCTTGGCCCGACGGGAACATTGAAGGTCAGAGGGCGTCCAGTCGTCATTCGTCTTTCCTGTACGGGATATTTACGACACTGAGACTCGAGGAAACTACCAAAATGTATTGATTAGGTCGTTCACCAAGTTCATGTGCGGCGCAGTTTTTGGTCCGAAGTGACGACTTCGCCCACGCACTGACGCGCTGGTTGCACTGCGGGTGCGGATGCATGTTGGAACCGCACCGCGCACGCGCGCTCTTGCACGAGTATTTCGTGTTACTCAACTCATTGCGCTGAACGTGATCAATCTCCCCAGCCTCACGTCTCAGGGAGCAGGCCTCGAGGCAATAACCTGCTCGCACGAGAGCTGACTTCCCCCAGAAGTTCAATTACAACACTAGTTTCACCACAAATGGACGCTCCCAATGGTGCAAAGATGAACCACGACTCTCCACAGGGCTGCTGTTTCACACCTCCGTTATACCTAATTGAGCAAGCCTGCGAAGCGGCTTGCGCAATCCTCATTCAGCAGCCACGCATGCTTGCGTTAGTACGGGCAAAGGTGCCATGTTGCCTGCAAAGGTCATCTACCGAGTCTTACTCACGTTGACTTGTAGAATCCATATACTCCGTACACCCCTGAATCTCCAAAAGTCGTTGGCATGTCTTTGAAGGCCACGAGCAAATCGCAACTCGGAACTCTCTATCAAACCAGCCGTCTTTTTGGATCGTTGTGAGCCCTCCGTGCCAGTGCACCCACCCCCTGAGTCGCGGGCCGCTGGCGGCTGACGCCTACGGGTCGCAGCGGCAGTGACTGATGCTTCATTCCTTAGCGACGGCCGCTTGATTACTAGGCGTTCTGCTCTTGCTTGTAATTCGCAACAAATTAGCAACACTTGGCATTTGCGTGCCGTCCGAACCAAGGTGTCACGGGGCAGGAGACGATTATAGGCCGGGTTCTGAGGTTAAAAGCCATTCACACTGTTTGGAGGTCGCTTTCAAAAGTGGTGTCCTGCCAGCAATCAAAGTACCAATAAAGTAGTTGTATTACGCTCTTGATTAGCGCCTTCTGAGCCAAGGACAAGTCTTTTGAAAGCGTCCTCCGTACGGTTTGCGTGAAATCTGCATATTCACTTTTGGCCCAGTGGTCTGGTACAACTAACCGCCTTGTCCGCAACATGACAGTATCTTCTCGTTCTACGGAGTACTCGTGTCACGCCCCACCTTATTGGAGGTGGGGCGTGGCACGAGTACATTATCCTGCCGCCACCTAAGTCGCCTTTGAAACAAAAAGGATCCGACGAATGACATGATGGATGTCAAAGTCAGTCCCGCAATCAGAATGATTGGACGCCGCAGCCTTGGGGGGGGGGGGGGGTATGTCATGCGGCAGGAGACGATTGTAATCCGTCCAGGCATTCCATTTGTTAGCGCGTGTACGGAGTCTGGATAACTAAGTGGTGGTTATGGCTGCTACCGAATGCACTATAGCAGTGATATCCCTGCAAGCTATTGAAGTACCTCTTGTTGGGGGCCCCAGTAGTGCTTCTCAAGCATCGGCAACAACTTTTCGTACCGACCTCTGTACGAAGTCTGGTTTTCTTCGTTTATAATTCATACTGGTGAGTATCTTCAATGACAGATGCTTATTTAGCTGGAGTTTGTTGCTTAACATGCTTAAATAATAGGGTCAATGCGGACTAGAGGAGTAGCTATGGGATGATCAGCCTTTTTAGCGTGTTGCGTGTCGAGGGTGTGGTATCGTGTGAATAGTGCGTGTGGTGGCGTGTGAATGTTGCTTGTGGTGTCTGTGACGTCGGTAGGCGTCTTCGTGCAGGGTAAGAGCCGTTGTGAATCCGTACTGAGAAAATCCGCATTTCTTGGCAAGGTCTGTATACTGCCAATACGTGCTGGCATAGGGTGGGTGGAGAAGATGCTTGTTACCCGAGACGCCCACATCCCGACGTCGATCTACGTTTGACCGCCGCCCGGCAAGAGTCTCTTTGATATGCCTGAGCCGTAGCCAGCCCCCATGTCCCAAGTCGCTCGTGCTTGGTAGAAGGAGCACCCACACGAGACCCCGAACAAAATCATCTATGAGCACCCTGATCAGCGCGCCGGACTCCGTCACCACGCTCTCCATGTCTATGTTGGGAATCCCATCGAGCTCGGACTATGCTGGTGAATTCCACGATTCCCAGGACATTATCGCAGGCTCGCGGCCAACTAGTCGGTTGACTCGGGCCCTACATTGGCACAAGCCATCGGATGCGACATGTTCCACACTCTTCAATGAAGATGAAGATGATCCCTTCCTCGAGGCCATGCCGGACTGCCCTGTGAAAGTCCCTGTCGGCCCTTTTGGAGCTACCCCAGCACCCATTATCGTTCATCAGAGGTACGTCAGCAGTGACTAGTCCAATGCCGAAGGGCTTGAGCAGTCTGGCGATTCCTCAGATGAAGATTCAAGACTGACCTTCGATTACAGGCCCTCTGCCATAGCCGTCTCGTCAAGGAAGCAGAACGCGGAGGAAGCTCTTCTCACCTTTTCCAAAGAACCTCTCCCATGTCCAACCCCCGACCCACGGAATACACCACTAGCGGAGAAGGCTGAGAAATGGGAGACTGAATCCGGAGCCTCAAGCGAGTGGTCGGTAGACGACACCGATAAAATCCTAGACTACAATCTCCAGATGACACAGGGCGTTGACCTGGAGGAGTCATCTTTGGACATTCCCAAAACGCGGCACATCGCACGGAGCCTTGTCCGCCAACTTGGTCAAACAATGCACCACTCTGGCTCAAATGGTCAAGACCAGAACGAGATGGGCTTCTTCAACAGCACCTCATCCACACCGGGCAATAGTGGCTGGTCACATCGAGACGGGAAGCGGAAAAATCAGCCTGGAGGCGGCAAGGGGGACGACGGAAGGGATGATTTCAATGAAGGTGAAGATTATGGCTCTTTGCAGGCCAAAAAGTCAAAGCCCAACCCTCAGGAGGAGAAACCTCTGCGTCTGAGCTGTCCGTTTAGGAAGCGCAATCCCAACCGTTTCAACGTCAGAGACCACCACTCCTGCGCCATGACATACTTCCCCAAGTTCGCCGAGTTGAGGCAGCACATTTTCAAGCAGCACAAGCGAGATGAACAGTCTGCCTTTGTCTGCGACCGTTGCAACCTTGATTTCGCGTCGCAGAAGGAGTTTCGATTTCATCAACGTCTGCCGCGCGAACAGATCTGCGAGATAGCTGACCATGACCCGGAATCCGGCATCGATGAACCAACTTCTCGCAAGCTGATGAGTCGAAAGCGAGCCAACGGAGCATCGCCAGACATCCAATGGCGTGAAATCTGGAATATCTTATTCCCGGACGACGACGATAGCAGAGTGCGCACCTATCGTGAGTTTCATGATTGTCCTTGAAGTTCAAGGCTGACCGACTCGTCCAGAATTCATCCCTGTCATAGAACACTTTGAGATTTCAGATGCTTATCAAATCGCGTTCTTGCACCTTCGCAAGTCCATCAGCGGCATGTTTGAAAACCCGGCGACCTTGGATACCCTCGCCACCAAGTTCCACCAATGCTTCCTCGAGACGGTCCAGCGGTGCGAGACCGACGCAGAAAGTATGCCATACGCCAACCGCAGCAACAAGCGTGGCGAGCAACGTGCTACGGCAGCTTTGACCGCCCGAGACTTTGGTGTTAGCATGAATGAAGAGGGTTCCGATGAAAGTGGCAGTGTCCTGGGCCTCAGTTACAGGAACAGCGTGCGAACAAGGCAGAGCTCCTCGAGGAACAGCAATCTACCGTCGACATCGAACAGAGACTTGCCCCCCGCAAGACCCCCATTGGCATCCTATGACCTCATGCCGTTTCCTGTTCCATTATCTGCTTCAGCGACCCCGATGCCGGAAGCCTCGAGTTCGCTTGGAGCGTCGGATGCGCAGGCGTGGACGCAGGGGGTCCCGTTGCAATTTCCACAAGTCACTCACAGCTTTGCTATTGCTTCGGCCGATATGCACGTGCGCCATGACATTGGTGACACGAATTTGCAAAATTTATTTCACGATTCCAGTGTGCACGGATACGGTTGGCATGCATAGCGATCTCTCGCGGTCCATGTAAGGGAAAGTGCTGCTGGTGGATGGACCTACTGGGGATCGTGCAGCTTGGTCCAGCTTGGCGCGAGGAACATGGGTACGATTAGTGTTTGACATAGATCTAGAGTATATGCAGAGAGCGAAATTCGACCGCAAGCGAAGAATCCACTCTTCGATAGCCTTTGACGTTCGGTACCCACCAGCATACATCATCTTTGAGCCCGACGTCCTTGCCTTGCCCCGCTTTGTCAGACCAGTCAGGCGGTAGACCTCACGTTGACACTCTGCCACTACGTCCTGAACCATCTTTACTTGGTCATAATCCTCCGAGACAATAATTTCCACTAGGATTCACTCAATATGGCGCCCTCATTCCCCCCTCTACTGGCCTCCAAAGTCACGGTATGTGCCCATCCAGCCAAACGTCTGGTCTGTGAGCACACGTTGACGTAACCGCGGTCGGCACACAGCTCGCCAACGGCAAAACGATCCCTCAGATCCAGCTGGGCGTCTACATGATGACTGGCGTTGAGGTCACAAAGTCCGTCCATTGGGCCCTCCTCTCGGGCTATCGTGCCGTCGACTCGGCCCAGATGTACCACAATGAGCGCGAGGCTGGCGCCGCCATTCGAGGCTTCCTGTCCTCCTCAGAGAACAAACTCGGCCTCACACGAGAGGACATCTGGTATACGACCAAACTGGCCAACTGCACTACAGACTATGACGAAGTCCGGAAAAGCATTAAGCGCAGCGTTGAGGTCAGTGGGCTAGGCTACGCGGATCTCTTCCTGCTGCATAGCCCGTATGGAGGCAAGAATGCGCGATTGACGAGTTGGAAAGCCTTAGAGGACGCGATTGATGCTGGCGAGGTGAGAATGGGCGGTGTGAGCAATTATGGTGTGAAGCATGTGAGTTTCTTCTTCTTCTAGAGTCCTTTCTTCTTGACGCTGTGCTGACGCTGGGATATAGATTGAGGAACTTGTGGGCTCTAACCCCCGTATTGCCCCCGTCGTCAACCAGATTGAAGTTCACCCCTTCAACACCCAGACAGGTATTCGGAACACCTGCCTCAAACATGGAATCGCCATCGAGGCGTATGCTCCTCTGGTCCGCGGTATGCGGATGAAGCACCCGCGCATCCAGGAGTTAGCGACAAAGTACTCCTGCACGCCTGCACAATTGCTCGTACGGTGGAGCATCCAGCATGGCATGATTACCCTACCAAAGAGTGTGCGACGCGAGAGGTTGATGGAGAATGCGAGTGTCGAGAACGTGGACATCAGTGGCGAGGACATGGGGATCTTAGACGGGCTGGATGAAAGGCTTGTTACGGATTGGTGAGTAATTTGAGGGAGGCGGAAGGTGCCTGGTTTGATGGTGTGCTAACTGTTACAGGGACCCGACCGAGACTGCGTGAGGAGAATATTTAGTGACGTCTGTGTAGAAGGAACACTGTTAAATAGACGAAGAGGGATCATGGGAATGCATGAATAGATCTCAGGGTTCTATTGACTTTCCCAGCTAAAGGGGTTCAAGATCTAGTTCAGGCCTCCAACATGGATAGCCAAGATGTTGGCAGCTGGAGGGTGAAGTCTCCAATTGAATGCAAGTATACTTCCGTCAATAGTCATCTTTATTGAACCCCCCCAAAAAAAAAGAAAAAAAGGGGGATGCGTTCGCGCCCTTAGCTTTGTCCTTTCTTAAGTTGTGAACCGTGATCGGGATATCTTTATCTTCCCGCCGGTATCGGCAACGGGCACCGAGAGTCGACTCGGTTGAACATCCCGAGCGCCACTCATCGTCAGACATGCAACAAGTCGAACAACATCCAAGCCTAGCCAGGCAACACCAGACCAGTTCGATTGATTTTTCGCATCTCGCTTCATTGGTTTCATCGACATATCCGACAAAATGACGGACTCTCAGTCAAACCCGACGGTCGTTATCATTGGGTGCGTCCCTGCATCGCCTCCCCAACATCCAGACCATTTCATTTCATGTTGCTAATCCGCGACAGCGCAGGGATTATTGGCCTCACTACTGCCCTCAAACTTCAAGCGCATTTACCTCCCTCATCAACAGACATACTGCTGGTCGCCAAAGAATGGCCCACGTCCATCCCAGGCGCACCGCCCTCTCACTCTGTCGACTATGCGTCCATGTGGGCGGGCGCACACGTCCGCCCCATTCCAGCTTCTACCCCACAGCTCACACGCGAAGCAGCATGGCTGAAGACGACGTGTACTGAGTTTGCAAGGCAGGTGGAGAAGGAGCCGTCGATTGGCGTCACGAGCACAAAAGGAGTTGAGTTTCTGGACAACCCGCCAGAAAACTATGCGGCGCAGACAAAAGAGAGGTTCGAGACGGAGACCGGCCTCGTTGGGTACAGGAGATATAACGATGAAGACCTCCCACGGGGCGCGAAGCTGGGGTACGAGTACTCTACGTACTGCATCAACGCGCCGGTGTACTGCGCCAACTTGCTCAGAAAGTTCATTGCGAGGGGTGGGCGGACGATGCAAAGAGACCTCAGGACCGAGTGGGAGGCCTTCATTTTGCGGGACGATGTCAAGATGGTAATCAATGCGAGTGGAATGGGGTTCGGCGACACCAAGTGCTTTCCCACGAGAGGTGAAACATCTTTGAAGCAAATGGCGGAACGGTCGTTAACAAAGTGTAGGACAAACTGTTGTCACAGATTTGGCCGAGGCCACGAGGACAGTGACAAGACAGAACCAAGATGGCTCGTGGAGTTTCATCATTCCTCGCTTCTTCGACGGTGGAACAATCATGGGAGGCACTAAAGAACCGGGGAGTTGGCATGCCGAGCCTAACGCCGCCCAACGGGCGAAACTGCTCAAGGGAGGCCACGCGCTGACAAAGTACGCCACGGACGAGGCGGTCAGAGCACCACAAGACGTCAAGGTGATTGCCGATGTAGTCGGTAGACGGCCCACGCGTGACGGTGGAGTGAGGATCCAAGTTGAAGAGAAGCGACTCACTGGGACATACGGCGAGTTGAAGACGGGCCACGTGGTTCACGCGTATGGCGCCGGAGGGCGAGGCTTCGAGATCAGCTGGGGCGTCGCGGAAGAAGTGAGCCAACTGGCCTCCCGGGGTTTCCAAGATCTTGTCGGGACAAAAGCAAAGCTGTAACCGCTTTGTTCCAGCAGAAGCTGCTATTTTTGTCATAAGAAGGCGTTGGATGATCCAAATACAAAGTATGTGCTGGTCTATCCTCCGAAATAATAGTCGTGCTGTCCGAGCCTTAAAGCCTCAATCCTCCTTGACACCGACCTTGCCGGCCTTGCGCAGGCCGAAGAATCCAATCGCTGCACAAGTCACCATGAAGGCAAACATGGCCCAGAAGCTCGCCCGGTACCCTTCCATCAGCGCCTCCACTGGCTTCATACCCTTGCGGTCCTTGGCCACCAGCGACGAGATGACCTGCATAATCGCCATGCCAAAGGCATGACCAAACTGCGAGCTCGTGTTGAACACGGCCCCCGCGACAGCCTGCTTGTCCTCCGGGAACACGTCAGTGATGACGATCAGTCCGACGGTGAACAAGGCATCGGCGGCAATGGGCATGAAGATCTGCGCGAGAAAGGCGTTGGTCCAGTATGGTGTCTCGGGCTTGATGACGGCCATGAGAATGGGCGCAATGGCCGTCAGCAGGGAGGAGATGCTGACGATCCACATGGCGGGGACCTTGTGGATGAAAAGGCCGGTGGAAAGGTTGATGAAGAAGCCAACCACGAGGCTGGGCAGGATGCGGACGGCGGCTTGGAGCGCAGAGAGGCCTTGAATCTCTTGGAAGCTGCGCATATGGTCAGTGGTCAAACTTACAAGGGCAACCAGGGCTGGGACCTACAACAAGCTTGCAAACAGCTCTAAGGAGTTGATGATGGCGAATGCGATAGCAACGGCTGCACAAATAGACGAGAACGCCATGTTACGCCAGAAAGAATTGGGGATGAGCGCTGGCTTGCCCGATTTCACTTGGCGGTGCGACCATCCAAGGAAGAGTGGCAAGGATATGACTCCAAGGCACAGGAAGACGATGGTGTCTGGCTTGCGTATGTGCTCGACATCACTGCTGATAACACTGTCCGCTGTTAGCCAGGATTCCACCTGTATTTGCTTTCAGCCAAGGGAAACTCACGCCAGGAAGTAAGAGAGTAACGCCATGAACGACGATGCCAGGAGCGCTCCGACCCAATCCACCCTCTCTCTGATTTCTGCCAAGGTCTCCTTGAAAGTCCCCAGCACCGGGCTGCGAGGGAGAGAGAAGGCTCCCACGGCCGTCAAGAAAAGTACAAGACTTCCGTAAAGGTACCATCCGGCTCGCCATCCCGCCTTGTCCACCAGCACACCACCCATGACAAGTCCAAACGAGAAGCCGAGCACGGAGCTGATACCCAGGCAAGCAAACGCCACATTGCGCCCCCGACCCTTGGGTAGGATCTTGGTGATCAGAGAGACGGAGCTGGCGAGATGCAGTGCCAGTCCGATACCCTGCAGTGCCCGCAGTGCGACGAGCTGTTCGCCTGTCTGTACGAAGCCACAGGCAAGCATGAAAATGCCCAGCACGAAGCATCCGACAAGGTCGACGCTGCGCGGCCCAAGAACATCGGCCAACGAGCCGGCAATGAGAATCGTGGCCGTGGTTGTCAGAGCTGCCACGGATGAGGGCCAGAAGGCGAGTGACTGGGGTAGGTTGAGGTCAAGGGTCATGACAGGAAGCCCGACCACGACGAGACCATTGACACAACTGTTGGCGAAATTGATGCCGGACAGTTGGAACGTCACGGCGGTCTTTTGTAGCTTGGAAAAAGGCTTGTTGTTCGATGCAACAGAGGCCCTGTCGCTCTCGGTATTGTCATTTTGGCTGTTGACTTGTGAAGTGATAGTTGTAAGAGGGTGCGAGGCTTCGACGCTGGTTGCTTCAGACACAGGCGGCACCAGTACTGTTTGTGTGGAAGTCGACATGATGAAATAAGATGCGCAAGTCTTCGCTCTTGCCAACGAAGAGAAGCAAAGATTTTGATTTCTTCAGGAAGGCGGCTCTTATTGTATATTCATAGGTCTCCTCTCTCCGCCAACCAGTTTAGGATTAGCCAAAGACCCCTGAAAAGGTGCGCCTTGTCTTTGACATGACATGGTGGGTCTTGGGGACAGGGTCGCGATCCTACGGCTGTTGCCGCGGACTCGTGGAGCTTTGCCTCAGGTTTCTAGAAAGTAGAAGAAAATAAAAACTTTAGCGTGCGCTTAGTACATATATCCTACCGTTTTCACTTCAATATTTGCTGTCAAGACTCGAGACTCGTTGTCACTTCATATCTGCTCATGGGACAGTGGCTTTGATATCCTGACTGCATACGCTGGTTTGGGGGCAAAAGGGAAAAGCAAGACACAGACTTGAAGCTGAGCTACATCTTCTCGACTCAATTAGAATCGTGAAAAACAGTCGACGATATAATGTAACTTCTCGATTACGTTCGTCATTCGGGATACTAGAGTCCGAGCTGAGCAAATCATCCCGGACTTTTTTCAATGGTTCGCCGATGATTCGGTTCGTCATGGCGTCGACAACTGAAATACCCTACTTTTCGCTAACCACCTAGCTGGAGCTACATACCGTATAGCCAGGCTTGTGTCCAGCGATGATGTCGATGTGGATGTCCAACAACACATCACCGCCTGCCAGACTCGGGATGTTCTTCATGTTGTCCACAACTTGGTAACCTCCACACAGGAACAGATTGCAGTGATGGTCATCATCGATACTGCGACTGCTCTCGATCGGACACGTCTTGTCTAATCATTTATCGTCAGATTCACCTGGAAACATGGATTGACGTTGTAGATTTACATTCCATAGACCAAATGGTCGGTCACAGCAGCACCACATGAGGCTTCTTGCGTCAATCCGATCCATCCAAGTTATCCAGGACTCAGGAGCTAAGTCTCTACTGCAATGATTGGTTCACTGACACCATGGGGCTTGGGGATAGCCATGACCGCGTGGGACCAAGTAGAGTCCATGCGACAATGGCTGCTGAATTGATCAGCCTTATGGTGACTTTGATTCAGAAACTATAGAACTATTCAAGATCAAATTCTAGACACAGTATTTACACGCGAAATGTATACCAGAGAGACTCCGTTTCTATCTGTAGGGCTGGGATCACTTTAGAAGTTCATCCACCAATGACAGAGGGATCGGCGAGACAGATCAAGACCACTGTAAACCGATGTAGCACGCAGAATGATGTTACTTCGACTTTTTTCTGCAAACATTCTGCTGTCTGGTTCAAGTGATCCCCGGACTGCGCTCTAAAGACTGACTATCGCAGCTCTGGTCGGCTACTTGGGCGTCAAGTAACCGAAGCATTGCCTACCCTGTAAGCCTACCCCGGAGTCCCAGACTCGAAGCAGCCCACCCCCACACGACAAGCCAGACTCCAGAGATGAGTCGGCTTCTCCAGAGCACACCTCGTTGTGAACAACATGTATATTCTCAAGTCAAATGTATTCCATTGTGGGCTGGCATCACATTCTATCATAGTATTATGCCGTTGTGAGAAGACGCCTTGACCCATTTCAACCCTCAAAATGTCTCGCCTCATGGTTCCACAAGCAGCCTGGCGGTTTGCTAGCCATCGCACCTTCTCAACCACGCCTCGTCGTCGAATCATGGAGACTTCAGCGTTCACCGAGACCCAGCTTGACGTGCGCGAGGCCATCACATCAGTGTGCAGCCAGTTTCCATCCACCTACTGGCAGGAGCGCGATCAATCACAAACGGACCCAAGCGACTTCCACGCCGCGCTCGCCCAAGGAGGATGGTTGGGCATCGCGCTCCCCGAAGTGTTTGGCGGCTCGGGTCTGGGGATATCAGAGGCCACCATGATGATGCAGACCATTACCGAGTCAGGCGCTGGCATGGCTGGAGCGCAGAGCATCCATGCCAACGTGTACGCCACTCAACCACTGGCCAAGTTTGGGAGCAAGGAGCAGGTGGAGGAGGCAATCCCCAGGATCATCTCTGGCGAGTGGCGAGTCTGCTTTGGTGTCACTGAGCCGAACTCTGGTCTGGACACGCTGCGCCTCAGCACAGCGGCCCGCAAAGTCGACGACAAGACCTATGCCGTCACGGGACAGAAGATTTGGATCACCTGCGCGCAGGTCGCCCGGAAGATGATGCTGCTCGCTCGAACAACGCCCCTCGAGGACGTGAAGAAACCGAGCGAGGGGCTTTCCCTCTTCTGCATCGACCTCGACCGCGAGCGCGCGGGTTTAGACATGAAGAAGATCCAGAAGATGGGCGGGCGGGCTGTCGACGCGAACGAGGTGTTCTTTGACAACTACAAGATTCCCTCCTCATCGCTCATCGGGGAGGAGGGCAAGGGGTTCAAGCTCATTCTGCACGGGATGAACGCCGAGCGCTGCCTCCTGGCGGGCGAAGCACTAGGTTTGGGCTACGCCGCCTTAACACGGGCAGCAGGCTATGCGCGCGAGAGGACGGTCTTCCAGCGGCCCATTGGGCAGAACCAGGGGATCGCGCATCCCCTCGCGGACGCGTATATGCATCTCGAGGCGGCGAAGCTGGCCACGTACCATGCGGCGCGCCTCTATGACAACTCCAAGACGGACGACAGCATCGGCCAGGACTCGATTGGTGTTGCGGCGAATAGTGCAAAGTACCTCGCGGCGGAGGCTGCGTTTACGGCGTGTGAGCGAGCGGTGCTAACGCATGGCGGTATGGGGTACGCGAGCGAGTATGATGTAGAGCGGTGGTTCCGCGAGTGTCTGGTGCCCCGGATTGCGCCTGTGAGTCGGGAGATGATTCTGAACTATATCAGTGAAAGGGTGCTATCGTTGCCGCGAAGTTATTGATGTAGTATTGGACTAGCCACTCCATGAGCTCTTTACACCTAGTGGCCTGTGAACTGTGGTCGCTGTTCGCGTGCTTCTCGTTGTCAATATCTGCGTCGTAGAATAATGCACTGAAGCTCTACGATTTAAGTCTCTCAAATACTTTGTCAATTTTTCGTGATGAATCACCGGATGCGACCCGCGACCCCCCAATCGTCTCCAACAAATTCACCGCGACCCCCCAGAATAGAACCTCCAACCTCGTCATCACCTCCCTCCACCACCATTCATGGTCTCCGACTCTCCGCACGGTGAAGTCGGATCCAGCAAATGCCGCCATTGGCCCCAGTCTTATGCAAACCACAGCATGAATGATCTTTGTCTGTAGGCCTGGCCTCCTTCTCGCTTTGACGCAATTGAGCCAGGCGACCGCGCGTACGCGCTTCCGCCTTCCATGCCCGCCATGGCTCCTCCATCGCCAGCGCCGTCCTCCTCGACTACACGCGCCGCCAAAAGGACCCGCGCCAAGCAGGCATGTCGCGTCTGCAACAGTCGGCGCGTGCGCTGCAATGTCATGGACGTCCAGCCATGCGACAACTGCGTCGCCGGCGGCGTGACGTGCGAGATTGTCCCTTCTCGTCGTGGTCGGTTCGTCGTACCACACCCACCCACGCATTGGCAACCAACCACATGTAGCTCACTCACTCACCATATCACGGAATCAGATACCCCCGTCGCTCCAAACGTCAGCAGCAGGGCTCCGTTTCGGCGACCACCGACGTCTCGCCAAATTCCATGAGCCCTCGCCCCAGTTTACGCGCACACAGCACCATACAGCCCGCCGCACCTGTGGCTTCAACCTCACATCCAGCCCATCTTGATGAACCCACCGCCGCGGCAAAGGGAGCTTCCCCGACACCGGGGACCCTGTTCTTCGGCGAGTCCAACTTCATCACCCTGGTCCCCGGCACAGCGCACAACAGACATGTCTTCTCCGTCCCCGAGACACCCCAGGATGCCCAGGCCTCCGACATCAGTCCCGCCACGATGCGCTATCTCAAGGAAGAGGGCGCGCTCACGCTGCCTGACCTGCAGACCTGCCTCCCGGCCCTGCAGGCCTACTTCAAGTGGTTCCATCCTTGTTTTCCGATCCTGGACCGTGCCGAGATCACGCAGAAGCTGGCGGCCATGGCTATCTCGCGCTTGCTGCTCCAGGCGATGCTCTTCATTGGCGCCACGTACTGCGATGAGGAAACGATTACGGGCATGGGGTTCAGGGACCGCACGGAGGCGAAGCGTCTGCTCTATGGGAGAGCGCGGATCCTCTTCCACGCCGACTGGGAGAAGGATCGGATGATACTGATCCAGACTCTGTTTCTCATGAGCTTCTGGCGAGGGGATGCAAGGGATGTCAGGGATGTGCGGTACTGGCTGGGGGTGGTGATTACGCTGGCCGAGTCGCATGGCCTCCACCGATCGTGAGTTGCCTGATAACTTTGATGTGCCCCCATGGCTGAACAATCGCAGGGAAAAGATCATGTCCAAGGATCCGACTTTGTCTAAAATGCGGAGACGGATTTGGTGGTCCATCTACGTATGGCAATTGACAACCAGTCTTTGATACTCGCTTACATGGACAACACAGGTTCGCGAACGACAGGCCGCAGCATCTCTCGGTCTCCCAAGCCGCATCCGCGACGAGGACTGCGATATCGAAGCGTTGAGCGCCTCGGATCTCGAGTCGGACACCAACCCCACCGTCGCATCCCTCTTTGGCGCCTGCGAGCCGCAGCATGTCATCTACGTCGTCAAGATGGTGGAGATTGCAAGGCTTCGTGAGTTCACCTTGGTTTCTGTGTAGTCTTGGAGTAGCAGCTGACATGAGCAGTGGGCCGCGTGATTGATGTGCAGTTCGTCCCTGGCCAGAAGACGCACCACGTGGACCACATACCTGAGCTCGACGCCCGTCTGGAAGAATGGAGACGCAGTCTGCCCCCTGAGATGCAGTACTCGTCCGATGATGGGTCAAGCTCGATATGGACGTGCTTGCTTCACTTTGCCTACAAGTTGACCTTCCTCTGCTTGAATATAAATATCTGCTAATACATAAACAGCCACTTGCGCATCCTCATCCACCGAACCAACTTTATGCGCTTCCCCGAAGATGATCCTCGGAGCCAAGTCGTCACCAACGCGGCCTGTCGCATCAGCCGCATCGCCGAGGACATGTCTGCCCAGGGTACCCTTCGCTACGGGCAGATGCATCTGTAAGGCAGCCCTCGGTCCTCGCGATGAGCAACGTCCCGCCACTAACCAGCGCTTCAGGATCACCAGTCTCTTCGCTGCCCTGTGTATCCACGCCCTCGGCATACGCCGCTCCAAGTCCATGAACCAGCGCATCGCTGAGCACCGTGCCCAGCTCTGTCTGCTCTGTCTCAAGGAGGTACAGAAGTACTGGCGTGTCAACAACAACGTCCTCGATCTTTTCTTGCAGTATCTGGATTCCTCCATCGCCAAGCGTCTGCACGGTCATGTGGACGAGCCATCGACGACGGCACCGCCGCTTGAGGCACCCGAGGAGCCATCGGCAGCCACGTCGCCAGCCGCCGTGGATGCGGGTGGGTCCTTTGAAGACCAGTATCCGAGCCTCGTGAATGGCGAATGGGAGGGCGATGATGCGCTGGGAGATCTAAGCCTATTCCTATGTGGTGGGGAGGGCTTCATGGGAGACGAGGGCCTGGACTTTTTGGGGAGGTCATTGTAGTCTAATAAGTCAATGGGCAATTACGACAGTATTTCCTCATTCGCAGTAGCGTTCATGAGCCTAATGAGGATGATGGAACGTCGGACGACGCCCGGTGCGCATCAGCCACTGACTGACAAGGGCGGATGATTGGGGGACGGACTACTTTCGTGCCGTCTTCGTCTAGGGTACGTTGGTTTGTTTACGCGCGCACCGGCGATTGAAACTTCCAATCACTGCCGCCCGTTCTGCTATGTCGGGTTGTCAGGATGTGTCGCCGTCCTCAAGCGAGTGAAGTGATAGGAACATATCGTAACCCTTCCTTGGGCTCATTAGTAGATGGTTTCGTTCAGCCAGTCAACGCTCGCCTCAAAGACCAGCTTCGGCTGGTGGATGCACTGCCACGTGCTCGCTTCAAGCCAGAGTGGGTGGGACTTGCACGCCGCCTTATTATCATCTATGGGACGAGGCAGACTTTCCCGCCAGGGCTGACAATCCTGGCATGCAGGACTTAGCTGCACCACCCCTACCGCGCTTGGCGGGCTTGGTGCCACTGAAATGGTCCCCGACTGGATTGGACCCTTATTAGCTGAACTATAACTAAGTGTCGGGAGAGCCCACATGCCTACCCTTGGACCTTGGCCCAGCATCAGCTGATTCAGCTCCAGGACCAAATCTCTCAGCCCTCTACCTTCTCATATCTTCCAGCTTCGGCCTTTTCAATTGCATTCCCATCTTCCTAATTCAGCTCGCATTCCTACCGAACAATCATCGTCATGTCATACCAACCACCTCCCCATCCTCCCCCACAGCAGCAGCAGCAGTCGCAACAACAACATCACCCGCAGCAGCAGCAGCACTACCCACCTCAAAGCGACTCGGGCACATTCCCAGGCGGCCAGTACACTGTCAGCCACCGCGACACCAATGCCGTGCTCAACCTCGACCTCCAGCAAGGCGCCACAATCAAGGGCAAGCCCGGCGTCATGATCCACATGGCCGGGTCCATCCAGCTCACGGGCAAGACCAAGTTCTCCATGAAGAAGCTCATGACCGGTGGCGAGATGAGTGAATCGACCTATGTCGGCCCAGGCCGTCTGGCGCTGGGCCCAACATTGTTTGGCGATATTATTACATTGCACGTGGACGGACGCCAGAACTGGATCATCGGCAAGGACGCCTTTCTCGCGTGCACGCCCGAGGTGCACAAGGAGTCCAAAAGCCAGGGCTTCAGCAAGGCGCTGTTCTCCGGAGAGGACCTCTTTGTGTACCACGTCCAGGGGCAGGGCATAATATGGCTGACTAGCTTTGGCGCCGTGGACCGTCTTGACGTGAGTTTTGATTGTCCTACCTACTTACGCACACCCCTTTCTTTGCCATGCTAACAAGCGACGCTCGACAGCTCCGACCTGGCGAGCACCACATTGTGGACAATGGCCACCTCGTGGCGTGGAGCTGCGACTACAAGATTGAAAAGGCGGGTGGTGGGTTCATGGGCAGTATGAAGACGGGCGAGGGCTTGGTGTGCCGCTTCACGGGACCGGGTTCTGTTTATGTGCAGACGCGGAACATGGATGAGTTCAAGACTTTCATCGCGGCTTGTGTAGGGCCTCAATAGGAGGTAAGGCCTGTAACGGAGGTAAGGCACGTCCTGTAGTCAGCAGCGGGCGCGATCGAACAATGGATCCTATGATACTCCAAGTATGGAATGGGAATCTGTCCCACGTCTCTCACCGATGCCAACTACCAGCCCTTTGTCTCACTTCATCAGGCTTTTGAGCAGCTGGCTCGAGTGCATCATGTGACGCGACATAGGCTGGGTGTGATCTCCGTAAGGCAGGTGCTACCCCAGTAAGCTGGGTGCGTACAGGTAAGGTGAGTACTTGCTTTGTACCTCAGGGCAGAAATTTCCGCGGTTGTAGCGACTGGTTAAGGTTCCCAAGGTACTTAACTGCGCTCCAGTTGCTTCAGAGCTTCGCTCCACACAAGTCCCTCAAGTCCGTAAGGCAGGTACCAAATAAACATTGGCTTCATCTACTTTCAAGATATGGGAACTCACACCTTCTGCTCTCTGACACGGCCTATCTTGTACACTTAAATCACCTCCAAAGTTCCAAGCGTTGCCTATATCTCGTATTCAACATGTCCTCTTGGTATCATGTTTCCGGTCAGTGCTGTTTGGCCTGCAGATGCCGAATCTCTACTCCCGAGAGTCCCAACCCAAACGGCGATCGCGACGGATGGCATCGCAGGTGTCGCGCGCGTAAGTGGATCGTACCAAAGGTCATGAACAGTACAATTCCTGATGACTATCATAGTGTACACTTGTGACCGTTTCGCAACAGGGCGCGAGCCTATGTGGCACCTCTGGGGCGTCGGGTACTGTAGGTTTGAGGAATGGATTGCGCCATCCCTGTATATGCCAAGTATACTTCTGCCAGCCGACGGCTCGACGAAGCTGCATCTCCCTGATACTCCAGAACATATTGCCCAGGACATGCAAAACGTGAGGCTGATCCAGCCCGTACTGGGCGATTTTCAGAGGGAGGTTGTTGCGATCCCAGATGCCGAATGGTTAGTTCGACCTGTAGGTCTGGCGTTTCATGAAGCATGTTGGCAACTCCTGATAACTTGCCACGGATGCAAGGTTCCCAATATCTCCGAGCTTGCGAAGTTCCTGGCGGGAGTTACAGTTTCCTCTATAATTTTCTCAGAGGTGAGTTTCCTTGCAATCCGAGCAGCGGGAACGCGGCCGGCATCCAGTTTTGAGTCTGACCCTTCAGCAACCGCTTCGGGTCATGCTTGGTCCAATACGCCCCTTTGACTTCCTCGTCGAGGCATCAAATCCTGCTTTCAAAAAGGTGATCAAGTAAGAGTTGACGTACAAGAGGGTCTTCCTGGTATCCATGACAACAAATCAAGCCGGGCGCTTCCAACGACAGTATGACGCTTACCTGAACAGCGAGAGGATACTAACAGCCCTCGACTGCTTGACCATGAGGTTACATGGCACCCGCAATGCCGATCATTGCGTGGCGATCGAACGCTCTTGTCTAGACTTGAGCCGTCCATGGCTTTTACCAAACTAGCATGACACCTGGTCAACAAAGGCTCCATGGACAGAAGTGCCGGGTTCAACCGCTACTAAACCACATAAGTTGGTCCTAGTCTCCCTGACTGTCGACATTCCGCACGATGTGGTGAAAATTGAGACGTACAAAACTCAGCCCCGCTTGAGTAAATTGACCGCGATTTGTTTTACTCGAGCAAGCGGCGATTCTGTTGTCCTAGGCTATCGCTGGCCTCATGGCTACGGATCTCGTCCCGCGACGACGACAGCCCAGAACGGCCTGGTGCTGTCCCAGATCTGCGGCATCGAGTTCCAGGAGGACTGCGAGGGCATAGCCCGCGACGCCACGCTGACGGGCTGAGCGTGGCCGCGTCAGCGAGCATCAGTGGCTACAGACGTTGAATGCGCGGAAGCCGGTCCGTCCAGGCTGCAGCCTGCAGGCATCAACAATTATTAGATTGTCAGTCGAATCTTTATTAGGCGGGGCCTCAAACATGGGGAAATCACTGACAAGTCCGTCAAGCCACGTGCAACAACGATCCAATCGACGACGGGAAGTAAATTAAGCTTACAAATGAACGACTTGCCGAGAATGAAATAGAATTTGTATACTGGAATCAGGATACCATCGTGCTTCGCAACCGGCTATAAAAGCAACATGAACCCAACGACTATGTGGACCTCGTCTCACATCCATCCCCGGAAATCTACCCTAGAGCATCTTCATTACCATCATCATCATCATCACCATCAGCCACAATGACTCTCACGGTCAGTGTCATCCCTGCATCTTCCAAAGTCGGCCAAGCGGCGATCCATTATCTTCTCAAAGATGACATCACCGTCCGTGGATTCTACCGCAACACCAGCAAGGCACCTCAAGAATTTACCCAGTCGCCTCTGTTCGCTGCAGTCCAGGGCGACTTGCAAGATGCTGCCTCGTTGACATTTGATGGCTCGGATGTTGTGTTCTACGTCCCGCCTCCCGCCTACGATGGCACCGACCCCGGTGAGTTTGCAAGTAATGCAGCGAACAGCATCAAGGGTGCCCTGCAGAAGGCCAACGTCAGGAGGCTCGTACTCTTGTCAGCGCCAGGAGCGCAGCACTCGTCAGGCATTGTGAGTTCAAAACTACATACGGCCAGCTGTCCCGACGACATTATTGACCAGTCCCAGGGAATCCTCAGGATCAACCACATTTCGGATGAGATACTCAAACAGAGTGTCCCCGAAGTCTTCGTCATGCGACCATTCTACTTTTACGAGGACTGGGCAATGCAGATTCCCACCTTGAAGGAGGATCCGCCGTTTATCACTTCAGTATTTTCGCCTCTGGACTACAAAGTCCCCATGGTCAGCATCAAGGATATCGGTCTGTACGCTGCGCGGTCTGTGACGGGTCCGCCACCAGCCACCAGCCCGCAAATCTTCAAGCTCTACGGCCCCAAGGCGTACTCAGCACTCGATGTGCGGGACGCAGTTGCTCGCGCTATCAATCGTGATTTGGAGATCAAGGAGGTCACGCCCGACAATTTGCGCGAACATACGGCTGCGATGGTGCCAGAGTCGATGGTGGACGATCTCGTCGGCCTCACGACGGCGACTTTGCCAGGTGGGAAACTGCAGGACGAGTTTGAGCCCAGACAGGGGGTCGATGAGATTGGCGAAGTCACCCTCGAGGACATATTTGTGGAGATCTTTGGGGAGTTGAAGGAGTAAACATTTAATTGTGCTGATAGTGTATGTCGAGTACTTGTCATCTTGGCCAAGTTCTCCTATACGGTGAACTTACACCGCAAGAGAACCAAGAAATGCGCAGAAGAAGAAAAACAACGCAGAGTCACCAGCACGCCCTATTTTCCGATAAACAAATTTTCTTCTTCTCCTTCTTCTTCTCTCCCCTTCGACGATCTGGTCACTCAGATTGTGCGCGATACCCACTCTATTGATCTCCTCGTTGTGACGCGTGACATCATCCATCCGCTTGTCCGGCTCATCACCATGATGCGATCCAGACTGGCCTCTTTCTTGCATATTCCCCAATTCAGTTGTGGAAAGACCGCTCAATTCAAACTTGTTGTCTCACAAATGATTTCCCCCTCGTCACCTCTATACTGCAGCCATCATGTCTGACGTCCACGTCCCCCTCTGCTTCGCGTCCTGCTCCATCGGCACACCAAAGCACACGCTCCACCAAAAGATCGAGGCTATTGCCCACGCAGGCTTCCAGGCCATAGAGTTGTCCATGCCAGATCTCCTTTCCTACGCAACTCTTCACTTGGGTCGTGACGTGGAAGAGGATGACTATGATGCCCTCTGCGAAGCAGGCGAACATCTCCGCGCTCTAGTAGAGGGGCACAACCTGACCATCCTGGTGCTGCAGCCATTCGCCAACTTTGAAGGCTGGCCCAAGGAGAGCCGAGAGCGGTATGAAGCGTTCAAGAAAGCGCGAGGATGGATACAGACCATGTCCGCCGTGGGCACAGATATGCTCCAAGTGGGATCCTCCGACTCGACAGGCATCTCCTCTTCCTTTGAGGATCTCGCCGCCGACCTACGCGACTTGGCCGATCTCATGGCCCCCAAGGGATTCCGCATCGCGTATGAGAACTGGTGCTGGGCGACCCACGCACCTACGTGGAAAGACGTCTGGGACATTGTCAAGCTGGTGGATCGCGACAACATTGGGCTATGCCTCGACACGTTCCAGACAGCCGGTGGCGAATGGGGAGATCCGACGACGGAGACGGGCCGGCTCCCCGGTATCTCCGAGGAGGAGTTGAATGAGCGATACCAGAAAAGCCTGGACGAGCTTACGCAGACGGTGCCCAAGGAGAAGATCTTCTTCCTGCAAATCAGCGATGCCAAGAAGATGAGCCCGGCGCTCAAGGCGGAGAGTGACGAGACAGGACTAAGGCCCCGAGGGCAGTGGAGTCACGATTACCGGCCCTTGCCGTATGATGGCGGCTATCTGCCCATCGCCCCGTTCGTCAAGGCCGTGTTGGACACGGGCTTTGAAGGGTGGTTCAGCATGGAAGTCTTTGACGGCAGCTTTAGTGAGCGCTACGGGAATGATCTTGCAGCGTATGCGAAGAAGGCGGCGGATGCTAATGCCAGGTTGATCAACGAGGCTGTCGGCAAGGGCAAGGGGAAGGCTGCTGCATGATTCGCATAGGGCTACGCTGGTGGATTTTCAGCGCTCCGTGTAGGCAGTGCGTGCTGCATGATATGAAGGCTTCTTTCATTGCTCTGGCAGACAATTCAGTCTTGCACATGAAAAGAATCCCGAGCCGGAGCTAAATGCCGGTGCGGGTCCCGGAGCATGGGGTCTCCACTCACCTCATTCCGCGTTCGCCGACCATTCATTGGCTGCGTCGATCCCGTGAGCAACCGCCCAGAATGCCAGGGCATTCTCGCAAAAAGCAGGGAATAATAAAAGTGCCCGCATTGCCAACTCCTTGAACGTGGAGAAAATCGTGTTCGCGAAAATAAGGAGCCATCGCACATGTTGTGTTCCGCTATAGGAACCGTCCAATCCAGTCTTCCTCTCCACAGTCCCACGTCAAGCGAGTTCTGCAGTGAGAAAATGAGCAGCAGGAAGCCACCAAGTCCAAACACGATTCGACAGCAGTCAAACAATGGCCACCGCCGAACCCCATAGTCACGCCCTAAGAGGCAAGCCAGCTGAAGTTCGGACCAGCCGGGTACAGAGCCTGCGAGTCGGGTCAGTAAGTCAAAATCGCACAACGACCGTTGTCGTCGTCGGTGCCACATTCGAATCGATCGAGGCCTCTGCACGTCAGAATTCTGATCTGTTTCCATTGGCTCAGTAGCGGGGCCAGAGCCGGGAAAGCAAGCCAAAGCCGAGCCACCGGGTATCAAGACTGTCGAGCAGTCGGTACTAATACACGCCTCCCCCCTCCCCTTGCTTCGCCCAACTCCTTGATCAACCGTGCACCGAAAGATTTCCCTCGGAGGCTGATTCCGTAGTAGTAGTTTGCTGTCTCTATCATGCAAGTGCGTGCGTGCCTCCCTCCAAAATCCAGTAGGTAAAGAGTCGTAGCGATTCGTTTCGCGTCTTCTTCTCCGTGCCGTCGGCGTCAACAGACCATCGACGGGCAACGAACCAAGACGGCACCACCTAGTCTGCGCAAGGTCCAAATTGCTTCTCGTGAACGTGTCGTAGGTAGTTGCGTTGCGCCTCGAACGACGAGTAGTCGCCGGCCATGATCGTGTCGAGAATGCCACCTTTAGTGTTCTTTGAAGCAACCTCCTTCATGCGATCGCGCAGCGTGAGGAAGGCGTCTTCGAAACGGCTCATAATCGCAGGGACGTTGCTAGAGCCACCCGAGATGTCATTTGCGTCGTTGTTGGGATCAATGATGGACAAGCGTTCTCTGTTCTTGTAAGTGAAGCCACGCACATCCGACTGGACAATGTCATTGTTAGTAGCCGTCCACATCCCCAGTGCAAGGACACACGCACCTTGGGCATATAGCCAATCCGCCCCGTGAGGGAAATCGCATTGTGCTCATAGTTGAACTGGCGACCGTAGAGATCCAGGAACTCGAGAAGCATCTCGCCCAGGTGGTGTTCGGGGATCAGACTCCGGCTCTGCACCTGCGGCATCAGCTGCAGCATGCTGACCACGAGACAGATGACCGAGAAACCCCCAATGCCTCCATTGACAGGTTCGTTCAGTCCCCTCATGAGCAGGAAGTGTTTGATGACCGTAACCAGGATCGGCATAGCGGGATAGCTGGCCTTCCACCGCAAGAAGGTATCGATCGCCTCCACGCCACCCAGGTTCTCAAACGACACATCCACCTTGAGCGCAGTGGCCTTGTCGACGAATTTGACCAGCGGTATCCGCGCATGGGCGATGACCTCGATGGAGTCTGGATCCGCCACTTTCTGCGAGACCAGGAGCTTCTGGAACTTATACAGCCAGCTTCGCGCGCTGAGATACCGTGGCGGCCCGCCGCGCTGAAAGCTCGAGGAGCAGACGACCAGATCCATATCAGCCGTCGGCAGATACAGGCCCGACATGAAGGAGCCAAAGGCATGGATCTTGGCGTCGGAAAAATTCCTGCCGTCCCGCATCATGCACTTTTGCAGGTTCTTGATGAGCTCGTCTCGGATGCGCTGCTCGAACTGGCGCGGCCTGACAAAGTTGTAAAAATCCATAACCTCCTTGTGCAGCCTACGTATCTATGGTCAGTTGTTTGCGACGCGCAGCTCCCCATTGCGAAACTCACCTAAAGGCCACGTTGGACGTCCCGGAGTGGTCGACTGTGGCCCAGGGAGCCGAGGGTTCCCCTGGCTTCACCTCCCACATTGGTAGGACAGACCCATTCACCTTCTTCATGTTGGGCTTCTTGAGCTGGCCGTAATCGGGGACCTTTATCACGTCGTTTGCATTTCTCTTCCGCGACCCAAGCGGCCCCGATGAGTCGCGCTGATCAGGCAGCGCTGGCGGGGGAGGCGCCGCGGGAAGAGGTGGTGGTGGTTCCCTCGGCGGTGCAGGTTGCGGCGGTTTCGAAGGCAATGATGCGTGAGGCCCCTTGGGAGCGTTGGGCGATGCTCTGTGTTCTTCTCTCTCGTCTTCTTCGTCTTCCTCGCGTTCGCCTTCTTCTTCCTCGTCAGTCGTCTCAAAGGCGATGAAATCCTCAGCCTCCTTGGGTGCTGTGTCCACAGCCTTCTCCTCAATTCGGGCCTTGCGGATCAAGGCCACGACGTCGCGCTTCTTCTGCAGCGTATCGTCGGGACAAGGCAGCGCCGTGTACGGATCGGGATTCGACCACTTGGGCGCGGCGTTGCCGTTGGTTTCGACAGCCTCCGTCCTCGCCCTCTTCTTGGAGGGTCCGTCCGACTCGCTCTCGTGTTCTGATTGATCCGAAATGTCCATAGCTTCTTCGTCATCATCCGACATGGCATCCACGTCACGGAACTTGGCGGCCGCCTCGGGGTTGTGCAAGGGTTCCGAGGGGAGGTTGTTCATCGAGCTGGACAGCAGTGCGCGCTCAGACGGGTGCACGGGCTGCCATCGACCGCCTCGTCCTCTGCCACGTCCACCTCGCCCTCGATCTTTTCTCCCGCCGCGACCGGAGCGATCGTTTGACGGGCCTGTGGGTGGGAAGCTGGGGCCGTTGTTGCCCGAGCGGAAAGTGAAGTCGCCCTGAGGCGGGCGGAACGAGTCGCCGGGACCCGCCCGATTCGAATAGCCGTTTTGTCTGGGTGAGCGATCACGGCCGGGCCTGTACGACTCGCCGCCGCCATTGGGCCGGTAGGCCCTGTCGTCGCGTCTTGGGGGACTTCGAGGTCTGCGCGGGGGCGATTGCCACCGTGGGCGGTCGTCACCGCGTCTGTCTCGCCTGCCACGACCCATAGTATTTTGCGTGTCTCGGGACTTCTAAACGACGGCGCGCTCGTCTATCGTGCGATGGTGTCTGGCAAGGAGTGAGGGTGATGGACATGGTGCGTGTTGCCATTTGACGAAAACTTTGGACTTCGCAATGCGCCGCGCTAGCCGTATGCGGCAAGCCTTATCAGTGGTAACGATGAGTAAGCATTCTTATCGGGATTGTAGTCTCGCGGTGACGATTCTTGGACTCGATGATCCATCAAATGATCCACAAATCCATTCACGTCGTCATTTGCTCTATCCTGCCCGTCCATCGCCTCAACAATCCAGCGCCACGACCTCAATCTCGACCCTCATCCCAGGAGCACCCAGCTGCCGGACACCAACCTGCGTCCAAATAGGCTTGTGATTGGGCATCCACGTCTTGAAGCCGGCCGTCATGGCAGCCGTGACTTCAGGCGTCAATTCAAGGTGGTAAGAATTGACACGGTACACCTGTGGCCAGCCCTTGCCGCCAGCATGGCGTATTGTGCGGTCGACGTTGGCAAAGGCTTGTTCAATTTCCTCGGCAATGTTCTCGGAGAATTTGGGTACCTCACTGTCAGGGTCCCAGCCGCCTGCGCTGCGTCAGTGCATGCATGGACTGGCTTTCAAGGTTGAGTCGTCTTTTCGAGGAGTCTCTTTGCGACTGTCATACCTTGGCCCGAACACTCGATGCGATCACCCACCCGGATGGCTTGCATGTAGCCCAGGTTGTCGCGAGCCCATTCCCCGAGACCGGGGTAGGCAAAAGACTGGAGCGAGGCGGCAGACATGCTGAGGCTTTGACTGCTTGGGTACGTATGTGCTGTTGTGTGCGGCGGTTGTCGTTCGTGATGATCCAGATGTGCAGACTCGAGAGGGACGAGCTGTCGCCTTTTATGTTCCTTCCGAGGCCACGTTCACCAGACTGGCCCCGTCAAATCCTACGCGGAAGATGCCGTGAGGTCATCATGAGGCTCGTTGCTGAATAAGTCGGGCCATCTTTCCTCGAAAGTCCCGGGCGATTAGTGAACAAAGCATCCGTACCACGAACAACCTCATTTTGCCAAGCCCAGCGGCGCAATTCTGTCCCGGCGGGAAGATGGTGCACATTGAATCTGTGCCAAGTTCCGGATCAGCCAATCAACTTGTACGGAGTCCGAGAATTGATGTCGACGGTCAGCGTGCATGCAGCCAACTGTTTAATAGACCCTGCCACGATTGAGATGGAAAGCCCGAATGTTAGTTGCCCTCGTCGTGCATGAAAGCAAAATGCTAGTATTCCATGCGGGTTGTCAGCATGCGCTAGATCTTTAACCATTGTCGATTACTACATGTCTCAGAGCTCAGCCATCAAAATTAGTCACAAGTGCGAGGAGACAGTTCCCTATATCCGACGCATTTCCCCTGCCCTTGTACCCCGCAGCCATTATGGGGGAGGCCGGGTAGTCACCTCCACCCGCAAGCCGATGTTGCGGAGGAAACAGACCGGGGACCTGGCCCAGGCCTCGGTACGACGAGGCTGGTATGAGCTCAGCCAGGGCGTCAGCTACATTTAAGGACAACTGCGTCACTTTCGTCTTTGCTCAAATTTCTTGCGCAACATTCCGTCACCCCGAGGACACACAACAATGGTGGTCTGCACACTCCACATCATCGCCCTGAAACCAGGCGTTTCGGTCGCCAGCTTCCTCTCCAAGCTGCGCGAGGGAAACGCCAAGCCCGTCTTCCAGGCCAAGGCTCTGCGATGGATGATCCTGCCCTCGAATCAGTCGGCCGGTCACCTGCTGGGCCGCAACAAGCACTGGGACCTGCTCATCGGTCTCGAGGCCGGCGTTCCCATTCCGCCCCGTGCGGTGGCCGACATGGAAGACGTGTGGACCGCCAGCTGCGGCGTCTCATCCAAGGCGCTGTCGGGCTATGCGCAGCTCAACGCGAAACTCTTTGACGCCGCCACTCCACCTATGCCCTTTCCCTCCGACCGTGGCACGGCGTCGTCCCAGAACCTCGAGCTATCGTCGGAGCTGCGCGAGTGGTGCGCCGCTCTGCCTCCTGAGCTTCAGGACCGACCCATCTCGATGCTCAACCTCCTGGCCTTTGCCCCCGGCAAGAAGGACCAGTACAAGAAGTACGGCGTCGAGTTCTCGTCCCGCGTCGGAGCCAACTACGGCGGCCATCCCAAGCTTATCGGCCGCGTGATTGAAGGAGGCGAGGGCCGTGCGCATGAGGATGGGTGGGATGAGGTCGCTTTTGTGCACTATCCCAGTCTCAACCACTTTGCGTCCATGCTGGCCAGTACACCGTACCAGGAGGTCAACCAGCAGTACAGACTGGGGGCGCTCAAAGACACGTTTATTCTATGCGTCGTCGAGATTGATGACCGAGGGGAGCTTGTCGCCAAGCAGCTCAAGCACAAATTGTAAAGTCAGTGGACAGGCAAAGCTGCGTGACTGGAGTCTTGTATCAATCCTTGGGGTTGTTGCTGCTGCCAAAGGGATTCTCCAGGGGTGGGTTGACATCTAATCGCTGTATCACACGTTGACACCTACGAATCTCAGTTCCGAAGCCCAGCAAATTGGCACTAACCTTTAAATATTTGTCACTCCATATCCCCTAGATCGGTTGTCAAGATTGTGAAATGAAACCGTATGCTGGCTCACTGTGAGGACGCCCACACGGGGAATACTGTCAGGTGCAAGTTAGCACCCCAAGAAATTTCCTCTGCTCTCAACTATTCGCAAGGCAGGGCTCTGTGAAAGCATCCATACACCGGAACATGAACTAGCCCTGATCTCCCTGCTTGCAACTCAGCTCCTCTCTGACGTCTTCCCTCGGGCAAAAGGCTCGCCAGCGCTGTCCCGCGAGTGCAGTTCCATGGCCTCTCTGCCCGAACCATGAATATTGCCGGGGTACCAGATCAGAAAAGCCAGCATGAGCACCGCCATGGGGCCAAAGTCGAAAACGTAGAGCGGCCACTCGTTCGTGAGGAGATAGGCATCCTGGCCCATCACGTACTCGATCGTCCGAAAGATGTTCCTTGCCATGATCGTCACCGACGTGCAGTACAGCATGGTCAAGGTCTGTCGCCACGGAACCAAGGTCGTCTCCCCCGTGTTGACCAGGTACTGTCGAAAGCGCCTGTGGAAAGATGCGCAGATGTATATGAAGCCAGTGAAGACAACGACGTGGAGGATCAGGCCCGAGATGAGGACCCAGCGTCCCGCCGTCGCAACGGCTGGCGTTTGGTTCGCTGTCAGGCCCGCTCCGTTGCCTTGAATGTTGATGCAGAGAATATCGGCCGCGAGGAAGAGGCGTGTTGACCAGCGTGAAGGGATGATAGAGCAGTCCTCTCGACCCAGCGCGCGGACGATGCGAGTGTACACCATGTACATGGACGCCGCGAAGAATGCTGGGGGCAGGACGAGGAACGTACTCTGCAGGATGAACAAGACGAGGCTGGAAGTGTTATAGTAGGCGATTCCGCGCATCAAAAAGCCGAGGACCATGACTACAGGAGAATGTTAGTCTGGTGGTCGCTATTTGCCACGCCTTGGAGATCAAGCTGTGGTCAGACGTACCGATGCCTCCGAAAATAAAAGGGGAGCAAAACCAGAGTCTAGCCTTGACCATACGCCAGATATGCGCCGTGGTGATCAAGATGAACAAGACTCCAAAGACGATGCATACAGGAAGATTCGGCAGGTACTTCCAAAGATAGTAGTCTCCCTTGTAGGGCTCGAGTTGCGGCATGTTGACTAGTCGTGGGTTGAGCGAAGCACTCGCGAGTGATGAGACGCACACAGACAAAAAAGACTTTTGGCAGCGAGTGGAAGAAGAGTCGTGCTCGACGTGTATGAGTGGCTTGGGAGTATGGCAGGTATGTCGAGAACTTCATCTGCTGGCGCTTCAGGACTAGATGTACCTTATGCACTGTCCTCACCCTCCTGGCCTCCACCTGGCTGCTTGTTCGATGCTCCAATCGCATTCGCTCAGTAAATGCGATACAGATCCAGACAGGGCTGTCACTCCACGGATTGTACTCTCACACGCGTATTACGTGGATGCCCTGGCGCAGCAAAGACACCCTGGGCCCGTGGACTGGACCTAGGGGGCCTTAGCCCGCCCATGCACAGTCCCGAATGTCCACCGCATCATTGGATTCATCTTACCAGATGTGGCCCAATAACCAGCAAGTCCAAGACCCGTTGCTGTTTGCCTGAGCATACATATCTGGTCCAGTCAACGTCAGCCCGAAAAAGGGCGTAAGAGGCGGAGCGAGTGGATTCTAAATCCCGATACCCCCCTGAACACGCGTGTTAGATAAGCATATCCCCCAGCCCGCTTCTTGGCTGCGTCGCATTGCTCGTTTCCTCAACATAGGCGACCAAAGCGAGAAATCCAGCGGCTGTGCCTTTTTATTGGCCCCCAACAGCGAACAACCCCAAGGGGAAGGGTCCGGCTGAAGGGCGTTTGCGGCAGCGCATCTGACACATGCATCATTTCGGTAGCATTGATTCATCCTGGGTCTTATTCATCAAATCTTTCAGCAAACGAGGGCTTTTTTCGTGTCGATTCCGGACCGTCGTAAATATGCTCCGTCGAAGTCACAAAAAGTCCAAAGATGGCTGTGCTCAATGGTGAGTTCCGCAGTCCTCTTGATGAACTCGCCTGGCGTGTGGCCCGTGGAGTCAAAGCTGGACATGACTAACAATGTGAGGCAGCAAGCGACGCCACGTCAAGGTACAGAAGCCCCTGAATGCCGAATCCGTCCGAGGCGAGTCTCGTCCGAGGCGATGAGTACAAGACCTCCAAGACCAGTGCACTTCTGACGTCCACACCCAGTGCGATGAGGCTCGACCCTCGTGCCGACTCTGCGTCCTCTCGGATCGTGTCTGCACCTACACCTCCCAGGACTCAGCCCTACGGGTGAATCCCCCCTCCGAAACGCCCTCAACGGATGGTTCCTGCAGCCCGGCACCCCATTCAGAACCCAATGAAAGGCCCGTACCTGGCACTGTTCGACCCAATCTGGAGGGCCTCGCTGGTAACCCCAGCAATGGCCACACGGAATCTGACGAAGTCAACTTCGACCACATGGAGCTCCTCATCCACCTGACTGTCGATGAAGACGTCTTCAGTCTCGCTGACCATGTCGAGGACTACAAGCTGGCCATGTCCATCGGTCTCCCCCTCGCCCACGCCACGCCGTACCTCCTCTACCAGATGCTTGCCTTCTCCGCGCGCCACCTCGCCCACCTCCACCCGCATCGCTTCGCCAAGTACCACAACCTCGCCGTCGGCCTGCAGACCCGCGCCGTCTCGCTCTTCAACGCGTCCGGTACCGCGCCCACCCCGGATAACTGCGTGCCTATGCTCCTCTTCGCTACCATCCTCGGCCACCACCTGTTCGCGGACATGCTCTCGCAGAGGGAAGACGGCGGCTTCCATGCCTTTATCACCCGCTTCACGCATTGCTTGGAGCTGCAAAAAGGCATCCCCACCATCTTCACCACCGCCAGACATGTGCTGATGACGTCGCCTCTGGAGCCGGTTCTGAAGGGGAGCATGGATCTCACAGCACGTGACCCGACAGGAGACGATTGCGACGAACTGATGAAACTCATCTCCAGCTCCTCCCAGCTCACACCGTCCCAGAAAGAATCTTGCCTCGCCTCCACGCGCTTCCTCCAAGTCGGCTTTGACTCCTCCGCTGATGGCGACGAGTCCCCCCAACGCCATCAAATGTGCTTCACGTGGACGCTTGTGGTGTCGCCCGAGGTGACCGCCTTGATGGCCACGTGCCAGCCGGAGGCTCTGGCCATGTTGTTCTATTACGCCTTGCTCTTGCACTCCAGTAGTAGTGTCTGGCAGATTGGCGCATCGGGCGAGTATATCATGGACAAGGTCGCTACGTTCCTTGGCCCGAGCTGGGAGTACTGGCTCAGTGCTGCTCGTCGGAAAACGGCACAATCGTCCCACGATGCGGCGCCACCGAGTGTTGTTTGAAAGGATTCACTGGATGGTGGGGGGGCAAGGTGCCGATTGAGGAACGTGCATGGCGGCCAATCCGTCACCTGCATGAGCTCGTAGCCGCCAGAGGCTGCTGAGGTAGATCCAATCACCCAAACGCGACCGCGTGAAATTGAGCAAGTTTCCGCGCAGCAGTGCACGACAAAACTACATCACTGATTTTTCCTCCCATGGGACCATGACTTATCTTTTTCCTCCGGTACGCCTTGTCTAGCAACACCTCATGTCGTTCAGAAGACTGGCGGTTCTCGTCGCAGAGTCATGTCTTTCCTCGGCGGCTCTTGTCGTGTTCACGGCGGTGTTTGTCGGCGACTACAGAATGAAAGCTTGGCTGAATGGAGGTGGTGAAGGCTGGAATTCAGATCCAGCGAAGAGGGTGTACTTTTATGCAAACTTCAAGGAGCCCCCCGAGATCCCGACCATATGGACACAAGAGTGAGTTGGTCCCGTTTCTGTCTCTACAATGTCTAACAATCGAGGTCAGTCTTTCCAAGGCAACACTGGGCATGGCCATCTTGACAGTGGTCTGGCTCTTTGTGCATAGCATTGCAAGCCGCCACAACTATCTCTCCCTTGGCGCGACACTGGCCTGCGAGACCTTTATTACCCTTCTATGGATCTACATCACTCTAGAGCAGTGCTCGAGCGACTTGACGGACGAAGAGCACATGAGTCAGTACCCATGGTTCCTGACGAGGGCTTGCTCGCGAGCGTGGGACGGCGCAGTGGCGGCCTGCCACACGCTGCGTGCGGGCTTCTACCTGTCACTGATGATTGTCTGCATGTTCTGCGGGCGCATCGTCCGTTCAATACATGCACTGTCGTCCTGTGGTCGTCCGAGGGAGCTTGGATATACAAAGGCTGGTACTGGCAGCAGCTACCATCTTGAAGTCGGGGAAGATGAGGACGAAGCGTTTGAGCTGCGCTCCTCTGAAGAGAATCGGCAGCGAGCGTTGCGGGATGCCATAAGCCCGGTCTTGGCATTTTTCCCTTCACGTTAAGCGTGGTCCCTTGATGGGGCCTTTCTGAATGCGCATGTCCATGCGTGCATGTGGGAAGCGTGGTGGGCAGGGGTGGACTGGCGCAATCATGCTCATAGCGAGTTGGCGGCGCGAGAAGCTTCTCCATTGTTCGCAAGTACATAGCAGTAGCAAGATACCCAACCCAGACCTTCCCAGTATTTAAATTACGCAGGCATTGACAACCACCTGCTCACCTCAATCCAGAACTCCCATAGCAACCAGTCCCAGCCCGCACACCATGGGTGCATAACCCCAGTGGTCCCATTCACCAAACCCATTCATCTTACACACCGTTCCGTCAGCAACCGCCACCGCGCTGACGGCGATGAGTATGCCGCCCGCTGCCTTGCGCGCCCCAAAATACAGCGCTACCCAGACGGCGACACCCATAAAAATGTCTCTCACCCCGTAGACGATCATGAGATATGTGACCAGTTGCTCATCGCCCGGCGTGCGGAGGTTCTGAAAGTAGAAGAAGCCCAGTGCATGTTCCGGTCGGAGGAGGCAGTTCACGCCGAAGGCGGTGGGGATGATGCCAGAGACGTTGGCGAGGACGCTGACGATGCGAGACTGGGAGATGGGCATGACGGCTATTGGTGATGTTGGAAATGCTCCTGCGTTGGTTCTTGTATCGTGATGAATCAATCGACTGACTGCTGACCCAATCACAACGACCAGATGTGCATTTTATAGTATGGAAGTTGATCGGATTTTCGGCTCACGGCGTATCTGCGACAGGCAACGGACAAGTTGCAATGTCCGGCCCGGCGACTGAAGTGAGCGTGAGTGGAGATCTCACGTCAGCATCACGCGAAGCAATTGGCTTCCGCGACATCATAGAGAATCCATGTTCTGTTTGCTACTAGTTGCATGTGCGGCTGTGAGTCATGTACACAAGTATGTCAGTGCGGCCGCCGCCAGCCAGTCCCGACACCAAAAGGACACAATTACGGTCGCCAGCGGAATGCTGGGTGCTTCCAGTCAAGGTCCTCAATCTGGGCTTGCGTCAGCCCGCTCAGCTCCTCATCGATATCCAGCTCCTCCCTCTTCTTGTTGTCCCTCTTCATCCACAGCAGCGTGAGCGTGCTCAGGACCAGGATGGTGCTGGCTGTGGCGAGGTTGAGGCCGTTGCCGATGGGGAAGTTGGGCCCATCCCAGGGCAGGAAGCTCCACGAGCTGATCAGCCCACCGACGTTGCCAAACATGACGTTCATGCCGATGCCGGCGCTACGTGCGGTGTCGCTGACCACGTTGGCCGAGACCTGGGCGTTGCTCAGGGGGCCGAGGATGAACGCAGAGGACGCGATGAGGAAGGTCGCGGCGTAGCGGGCCGTTCCGTTCTCTGTGCCCAAGAAGATGCAGTAGCCGACCATGACCAACGGGGCGGCCAGGATGAAGAAGATTTGGCGACGGTCGATGCGCCATGAGACGAGTGGCAGCATAAGGACGAAGAAGGCGCCGACCACGTAGGGCGGGACTGTGTATAGCTGCTTTTGCACGGTGGACGCCTCGGGGTAGATACTGCTGACAATGGTCGGCGCGAAAAAGGCAAGCCCTTGCACGGTAATGTTGTTCAGAAGGAAGATCACGGCCGTGCTTAGGGTGATAGGGCATAGCATGCCCCGAAGTAACTTGGGCTTGTCGATCTTGTCGAGGACGACCGTCGAGCCGACCCTTTCGGACTTGACGCGATCAATAGCGAGCCTCTTCTCCTCGGACGATAGCCACCGCGCGGTCTCGGGACGGTCGGTTAGGGTGATGAACCCAATCAGGGCGATGCCAATGGTGATGATGCCCTCGATGGCGAAGATCATGCGCCAGGAGGTCACGGAGCCAAAACGATCCAGGGTCAAAATGGCAGACGCCAAAAGCCCGCCAAAAGCACCGGCCAGGGGCGCCATGACCATGTAGAGGCCGAGTCGGAAAGCCAGCTCATTGTGTCTGTACCAGCGGGAGAGGTAGTAGGCGATGCCGGGGAGCATGCCGGCCTCAAAGATGCCCAGCAGGAAGCGAACACCGGAGAGCTGCGGGACAGTGGTGACAAAGGCGGTGCCGAGCGATACGATGCCAAAGATTAGGGTGGTCAGTGGTAGGAACCAGCCGGGCCCCATCCATTTGCAGAGCAGGTTCGAGGGGATCTCGAAGATGATGTAGGAGACGTAGAAGATGGACACGACACTGTTGTAGTCGTAGCCGACCATGCCCAGGTCCCTCTCCAGGCCAGCGATTTTGGCATTCCCTGGGCAGTGTCAGTGATAGGCGCCTCAATGTTGCGCGTGTTCCATACCAATGTTGGCGCGGTCAATGAAGCAGAATAAGTACAGCAGGGCGACAGTGGGCACAATCATCAAGTCGATCTTGAGACGAAGTTTCCTCTCGGCGCTGGGGTCGTATTGCACCAAAGCATGGCCATACCTGCAGTTGTATGAATATTCTGCGCTCTGTAGATAGCATGAACCATGTCCCGACTTACTTGTCGGTAGCCGCCTGGCCCGACTCGGCAGCATTTGGAGGTGACGACTTCTGGTGGTGAGAAGCCACGTTTGTAATCTCAGCGCCCATTGCGAATCACTTCAAAGAGATATCCGGTATCGAGGGGCGGAACTGAGCAGGACGAGCGGTGGAGGAAGGGGGAGTGAGCAAGTGGGAGATGCGCGCCGGGCGTTTTTGACTGGGATGCCCGTCTCCTCAAATATGCTTGTTGAGCGTCAACGGCTGGAGAGAGAGCCGACGTGAGAGATGACGATCAGATTGGTCAGCGGCCAGCTGTAATGCTGAACAAGTCGGCTAAAGGAACGCAACTCGAAGCAAAGCAACATGAAACTTGCGTAGTTTACGGCCGACGGACATGAGTATCCCCCCAGGGGGTGAAAAAAAGCTGCCATCCGGCCTCGAGGGCCAGGCTGCGGGGGGCATTTGGGGGGCAAAAAGACTGTCTTGTAGCTTATCTCGCGACTGTCCAATCAGCTGCGGGTTAAAAAAAAAATAAACCTCCATGGCCGGGTTCGCGTGATAGAGCCTGGACGCTAAGCTAGCTGTGTGTTTGCGTGGTCTCGGATGTGGGGAGCGTTGGAGGTCTTGGATGACATCGCGAACAATTTGCCGTTTACCCCAGATTTTCGGCCGGACGCTAAAAGCGCCGCTGGGCGATTCAAATGGGGAAGTGTGAGCGATTACACACACACTCTTGGCTGGAATCGTTAGCACGTCGGTTTGGAAGGGGGGGGGGGGGGGGGGGAAGCTTGACGGGTATGCGGAGTCGTGTGTTCGGCAATTCAGATCGGCAGAGGGCGGCTGGCGACGCGGGTTACCCTGTGGCGCTTTTAGCCAGCGAGTTTGCCAGATAGCCGCTGTAGATTGCGGAGTCTTTTGCCAACGCTTGGGAGAATCAGCATGGCTAACTCATGTGTATCAGCGAGCAAAGGCCCCGATCCACGTGCGTTCATCAATGTGAACCGTTAGGAGCAAGCCTTAACATCAATCGATGCCTCTCGGCCATGCTTTCTCCCATCGCCGTCCAGCCGTGCTACGTATTACACATGTATGTTGTGCCTTAGTTATATGCTAGTACTATCCGTAGTTAGTCCCTACTGACGTTCCCCGAAGACCTGACCGGCCCACGACTTGGTATTCCAAAAATGTCAAACTTGGGAACAAGCATCGACCCCCAACGGCGGAACTCAACATAAGCGTAATTCAACTAATTCAATCGATATTGGTCAGCTGATCAATGGTACGTCGAACTACTGGATCGTACCATCGTCAATTCGGATCATGTTGGGCCATGACCACTCCCTTGGAAATCCAGAGCCTCTGATTGGATCCTGCCGCGCTATAGCCAATCAGCAAGCATCTGTTCTTCGCATGTTTCCGTCAGACTTGCCACTGTAGAACAAGACTAACACGAACTATAAGAGGAACGTCATTCGGAAGAAGTAGAAGCATCAGAGACTCTTCAGACACACCATTCTGCTTCTACCCAAATTCGATTCCGGAATCTCATAAAAAATACCATCCCACTTACTCCCAACCTTCACCATGGTCATCACCAAGTCCTCCACCTGCTGCGGCAAGGGCAACGTCGAGTGCGCGTGCGGTAAGCTCTGGACATTACAAAAATTACATGTCCACCCCTAACACGCACATAGCCAAGCAAGCCACTTGCTCCTGTGGCCAGCAATCGGCCCTCCACTGCAACTGCAACAAGGCCTCCATTGAGAACCAGCTCACCGGCCCTCGCTGCTCGTGCCGTGCTCGCCCAGCGGGTGAGTGCACCTGCGAACGCCAAGCCACTGAGAACGCCTCGGTGACCGGCTCTACGTGCGCCTGTGGCTCCCGGCCTGCCGGTATGTTTGTCGACGTCGGACTTGTGCCGCGATGGCTAACAGCGGCAGATGCCTGCACGTGCGAGAAGGCCGCCGACGGCGGCTTCAACCCGGCCAACGAGATTGACTTCACCACCAGGGCATAAGCGGTCCTGAAGGGATGTAATGTGAGAGAGATGAGATGTAGCGTGGCGGCGGTAGGGCGTTCGGTTGGCAATGGGGCGTATTGCGTACGTTGGAGGACGGCGCATAGGGCGGCGTTACGATATACTTTTTCGCATACCATACGGATACATACAGTGAACATTACACAACGATCCAAATCCAAGCTTGTCAGTCAAGTAAAGTCACGCATCGTATTGAAGCAACAATGACTCCAGTCACTACGGTCACGCAGCTTCAAATAGGGGTCGCTAGGCAGCTTAGGCTGCTGGGTGAATCCAAAGCCGCGTCGTGGCGGCGCTGTTCGTAGATTTACTTTCAATGTTCGCATCGAGGTTTTGGCAGAGCGATATCAAAGAGTGTTAGTAATAATGAACAGAGTTACCACCATTGGCGCGGAATGTCGAGTCTGGTTGTCCGTCCGTGACCCGTCCCACGCTGAGGCGTCGACCCGCTATTATTGACGCAGGCTTCCCGATCGGTGGCTCACCGTCGTAACTTTTTTCACAGCAACAGCGCGCATTCGTTCCCTCCATCACACCGTCACAAACACTTTGCTGATTGTCTGTCGGTGAATCAGGCTGCATTGTCTTCACTTGATTACCTGGAACTTGCATCGCCCAGCGAGCCACTTCCTTTGAGCGTCACCGTTATTGTGCAAAAATCACAGCGTTGCCCAACCTCGCGCGTGTCGCTCTTCCGCTTTCCAGCACCCGCATCGCGTCGCGTCTTGCCCCGTGCCCTACTGGCTACCACACAGCACCCATTGCACGTAAGACTCGACACCCACATCAGCACATATTCGCAATGGCTCCCCGAAAAGCATCAGCGGCAGCCAAAGCTGCCAGCGCCGACAGCAAGGTCACCAAGAAGACCGCAACTACCCCAGCTGCCAAGCGAGCTGCTACACCAAAGGCCTCTACGACCACCACAGCCACCAAGAAGGCGGCAGCCTCAAAAGAGGTCGCGCCAAAGAAGACCGCTGCGGCCAAGAAGGCCTCCACACCTGCTCCTGCGAAGCAGCGCGCTGGGTCTGCGAAGCCCACTACGAACGGCAACACAGTGGCTCCCAAGTCGAAGAAGCGCAAGGCTGAGGAGGACGAGGAGTCTGACGCCGTCCCCGAGACCAAGAAGGCTAAGAAGTCTGCTGCGAAGAAGGAACCCACCCCTGCCCCCACGGAGCCGGAGGACAAGCGTCCCAAGGTCGCCATCGGGCCCAAGATCAACGAAGCGCCGACCACAGTCCTCGATGTCTACGTCTTTGGTGAGGGTACTTCTGGCGAGCTCGGTCTCGGCAGCAGACGCGTCAACGGCAAGAAGCCGATTGACGTCAAGCGCCCCCGTCTCAACGAGAACCTGTCTGCCGAGAAGACCGGCGTCGTCCAGGTCTCCTGCGGTGGCATGCACGTCGTCGCGTTGACGCGCGACAACAAGATCCTCACCTGGGGCGTCAATGACCAGGGCGCCCTCGGACGCGACACCACCTGGGACGGTGGCCTCAAGGACATGGACAAGGCCGGCAGCGAAGACTCCGACTCTGAGGACGACGATGACGACACGGGTATGAACCCCCACGAAAGCACGCCCGCTGCCGTCTCCGAGGACTACTTTGCCAAGGACACCAAGTTTGTCCAGGTCATTGGGTGCGACAGCGCGTCCTTTGCTCTGACCGAGGATGGCCGCGTGTACGGCTGGGGCACCTTCCGATCCAGCGATGGTATTCTAGGTTTTACCGAGACAATCAAGATCCAGCACACCCCGATACTCCTCCCCTCGCTCAAGAACATCAAGTCCCTAGCCAAGGGTGCGAATCATGTCCTCGCCCTGGATCACAAGGGCAACGTCCTTGCCTGGGGCTGCGGTCAGCAGAACCAGCTCGGTCGCCGTATCATTGAGCGCAACAAGCTCACCTCGCTCATCCCCCAGGGCGTCGGCCTGCCTCGCGGCAAGATTGTTCGCATTGCCTGCGGCTCCTACCACAGTTTCGCCATTGATACCGCCGGCCAGCTCTGGGGGTGGGGCCTCAATAACTTTGGCGAGGTCGGTGTCGAGGGGAACGCGGGCGAGAACGACGCAGTCATCCTCCGTCCGGTCAAAATCACGGCCCTGACCGACCACATTATCCGTGATATCGAGGGTGGTGGCCACCACTCCGTTGCTTGCAACGACAAGGGCGAGCTGCTCACCTGGGGCCGCGTCGATGGCCACCAAGTCGGCATTGATCCCAGCACCTTGACAGAGGAAAATGCAATTTTTGATGACCGCAAGGTCCCTCGTATTCTCTTCGTGCCCACCGTGGTGCCTGGTAAGTACAACCTGTTTCACAGCCTTCTGTGTGTACTGCTAACATGACCGCAGACATCTCAAACGTTGTCGCTGTCGCCGCTGGCTTTGACAACTCCTTTGCCGTCACCGCCGATGGCCGCGCTTTCTCTTGGGGCTTCTCCTCCAACTACCAGACCGGCCAGGGCACCATTGACGACATTGAGAAGCCCACGCACATTGACAACACCGCCATCCGCGGCAAGAAGATCATTGGTGCCGGCGCTGGCGGACAGTACTCCATCCTCATCGGCAAGGCTGAGGGTGTCGTCAACGGCGCCTAAGGCCCACAAACCCTATACTACAATTATAGCCTGCGCTGGGGCATGCAGTGCATCCGCGACTCTATCGATGTAGAGCGATTTGTTTGAAAACCTGTGGCGTTGCGCAGGTCTGGGAGGCAATGGTCTGCTTGTTGTTTGTTGTTTGTTTTTCTTAACGTTACTGCACAAGAGAGCCATGCATGCTGTAATACTACGATTATACGCCTGATGAGAGGCCAAAAACGGGGACATAGACACGAACAAAGAAGGAAGCTTGGATGCGAATGGTGCAATGGTATCTTCATTTTCCCCTTGCACTGGTGCACGCTTAGTGAATGTCGTCTGTATCACATCTTCTAGTGTACCATGTCGGCCTGACTCGAGTCTGCGCTCCCGCTGCCAAAGGGGTTCCAGATAGCCACCGCTCGGCTGCTAAAGATGCCCATCAAACCAAACCCCACGTAGAACAAGGCCAGGGGATACGCTACCAGGGCCCGCATGCCTCTCATCCTGCCGACGGCGCAGAACATTCCGCTCGCGCTATATGTGCACCACAAGATGGCGGCCGACGTGAGGACGTGGCCAAACGGCGTGTTCATGGGCACGACGATGCCGATCAGACTGGTGGCGACCAACGGCAGCAGGCAGTACCCCAGCACGCTCGCCGACCGAGGAAACGTCAGTGTCGCCGAGAAGTGGCCGCCGCTGACGCCGCCGCCCTGCTGCTGGTCGGCGTAGTGGTTCTGGTACGGACCCGGCTGTTCTTGTGCGGCTTGGGCGTCGGTCGGCGACATGAGCGAGAGGATGATGTGGAGGGTGCACGAGCCGAGGACGGCGAGGCCGTAGATGTAGCCGAAATGGACCTGGCCCGAGAACAGCAGAAAGGTGCCGAAGAGGAGAAAGAAGAGGATGGGACCGGCGAGGTCGGAATCGTCCATGATGTGCTGGTTGATCGGGCGGAACGGGTTCAGCACGGCGAGGGTCTGGTTTGAGGAAATGGTTAGCTTCTGAGCACATGGATCGGAGACAAGCGAGGGAACACGCACCTTTGCCTGGATGTGTCCAAAGTTGACGCCGAGCTCCTCCAGCAACGGTGGCTCTTGGTCATACCCCTCCGTCGAGAATGCGGCGAGCCATCCTGTCCGTAGGCCACCCTGCTCGCCCATCCGTCCGCTCACACCGGGTCCAGCCCCGAAAGCTGGATTGGAGAAGCCAGAGGGCGTTGTCGACTGAACGAACCCATAGCCGCCGGACTGTGGGCCGCCTGGTGGTGCTGGGGATGCGCCTGGTGCGCCGTAGGATGATGGGTAGAATTGGAGGTTTTGGGCGCCTTGCGGTGCGTAGCCGCCCTGTGGAGGGTGCTGGGCGTAGTAGTTGGCCATAGTGGCGGACTATCTGCTGGGAGTGATAACGGTTCGAAATGGACTGAGCCCGGCGGACGATGGGAGAGGAGGGGTCGAAAGTTGCGAGAGCTTGCTTAGTGACAGGGATGGCGATGATGGAGCTGTGCGGTGAGGACAGCTCAGTTTCGTGGTGGGACGGTTGCCAACAGTTGGTGCCTGATGACTAAGGCAACATGGCGATCCAAGTTGCGCAAAACCCACGCCAAGAAGTCAATACAAAAGCACGCTTTGGGGTCCAGGCGCTCTATAACTTGCTCAGAGGAATACTATGTTTGTACCTGAGCTGCTCAGCATATTATACCAGGTTGTTGTGCGCAACGCTGTTAGCGTTCTGTCTTGTGAACTGCACAGTCACTGCTCCCTACACTTGCCCACCATTCACAGCTCTCGTCATGGCCCTCGATGACGTGACAAAGCAATCAAAGTCTGCCTGGAGCTCGGGAAACCCTTCGAGGTACCTCATGCACTCCTCACGATACTCAGAAGCCATCTGTGCCCGCGCTTCCGGACCCTCTGGTACCTCGGTGACGGGCGTGGCCCAGAGGTTCGTCATCTTGTCAAATGTGGACATCATGGCTGAAAAGTCCCGAGCACGGAGTGTCGACTGCCCGCTGATTAGCTGTACTCTCCAGCATTCGTTGAGATAGAGTTGAGCATGCTCTGGCCTTGGTGACATAGCGCATGATGAAAAGCATGCTGTCGTCGGCATAGGGCTGGCAATGGAGCATCGCGTCGCTGAACTCCCTGGCGCGCGCCCAAGCGTCATCTTTTTGTGGTTTGTTTCCGGCCATCTTGGCGCGTCATGCCAAATGACTAGTCAATGCGATATGACAGCCTGGCACCTGCTATACGTACTCTGTGCTGATTGATTACAAATGCGATGCCCAAGGTCGGATGGCACACGGTAGTGCAAGATGCAATACCGCTTTATTAGCTTGTCATATCCCCGGGGTGCGAATCTGCGAGGGGTCACGCTCTGACACAGGAGCCGGGAGTCAACCCAGCGAACCCCAGAAAGTATAACAAACCCCAGAAAGTATAACAAACCACAGAAAATATAACAAACCCCAGAAAATATAACAAACCCCAGAAAATATAACAAACCCCAGAAAGTATAACAGCCGTACCCGTTACCAATCAACAGGTGGGTGGCATACGGCGAGAAGAGAGGGTTGACCGCTATAGGCGATCAATCACGAAGCCTCATTGCCGGCATCTGCTGATCGAGATCTTGGCCAAGGCCTTTATCAGCATCAAATACGAGGAAAGTGGATAGCCCAATTTCATAGCGTTGCGAGAGCATCCAGTATAAGTCCGACTGGACCCTCTCCATCTCTAATTTTGAAGATGAAGCACACCAGACACTCACCAAATCACCAATATGAAGGCTCGTCTGGTATTCTCCCATCTTCGCAAGCATCGCCGTGGCTAGCACCACACCGCCCACGAGACGTGGTTGTCTGGTTGTCTGGTTGTCGATGATGGAGCGCCTTTGGGACCAAAAGTTCGCCTTCTAGGTGCCCCAAGCGTTCCCGAGAACATCAGCGTGGACGTCAACTTCCATCTCTCAAGCACGAAGGATCACAAGAACCTTATCACCGAAGAGATCGCCAACGCCCAGTGGGATGTTTTATAACAGGCTTTTGCCAAATATGACATCCATCTCCGACTGAACTCTAGGACACGCGTTGTCGACGACATCATGGGGCAAGCATTCCTGCGCTATGAAGGCCCAGAACTTGGGTGGGTTTACGACGAGGAGGAACAGGCGTTCTACAAAAGCTTGCGCCTCGGTGGATATGGCGCCCTCAACATTCACTTCTTCAGCGACTGCCCCCCCGGTGCAAACGGCTACTGTACCTTTCCGACGGTGATCGACGGCAGTGATGACTTTGCCTTTAGGCAAGACGCTTGCCAGCTCAGCGCGATGACCATGCCGGGCTTCACCGCGGAACAAGGAGCCTTTGAGGAATGGAATTTGGGCCATTTGGCGGTTCACGAAGCTAGACATTGATTTGGTCTCAACCACACTTTTGCTGGAGGGTGCTTCGAACCTGGTGACTTTGTGGCTGATACGCCAGCCCAGTGGACTCAGATCCATGGCTGTCCTGTGGCCTCCGACAGCTGCCCAGATAGTTTTGGTCTGGATCCCATCCACAACTAACGTGGGATACACGGATGATAAGTGGTAACTCAACCCATTGTCATTGTGACCACGAGTGGTAAACTGAAATGTTCCAGCACAAGCGGGTTCACCGAGGGGCAAAGGGAACGTATGCGCAGTACGTTCGAAGCGTATAGGGTCGGCGCATAGTTCTTATATTGAACAGCAACTGCAAGATGAATGTTAACATTCTGAATAGCAACTCGTTCTCCTGATCTGGTCGCAGCTGATGGAGTATGTATTACGGGTCGAAGTTGAGGAGCAAAGGCGAGCCAGAATGGAGGCATGTTCAATCAACACACTCTGCACCACTCAAGAGGCTCTGACTCGGCGTGGCTAGGTTGTCAGGATCATTAATCTATTCCAAAGTTTGTGAGTGGAGAGAACAATAGCAACAGCCCCTACCGCATGTGCAGCAAGGACTGCATCGACACTGGCAAATCAGCATGGATCCCACTCAAGGGGTGTGCAGCCAACAGAAACAAGAACCTATTGATGGCATTCTATCACCGGAATGGGAGTACAATGGTGCCTAAACAAAAGAGCAATAGCGGGCATAATGGGGGCTCTTAGACAAGCCCGGCCAGGCTAAATAGTCCTTCTACGCTCTTTGTCCGCAAGTGCTAATGTTAGACTGTGCCTCTTCAATCTCACCACACCAGCCATGGTCTTTTCTCAAGCCACAATCGCCATTACGGGGTCTGGGGGAATAGGCACGAGCATAGCCCGTCGCATTGCCAATGGTCGACGCATCTTCTTGTCGGACGTTTCACAGGTGAACCTCGACTCTGCTGCTGAGACGTTGCGCCGAGATGGCCACAGCGTGGAGACACACATCGTCGACGTCTCCAAGTACGAACAGGTCAAGGCTTTCGCTGACGCAGCTGCTGCCTCTGGTACGCTGCAAGCTGTCGCACACACAGCTGGCGTGTTTCCCAGCCAGGGGTCGATTGCTCAGATCATGGAAGTCGACTTACTAGGCACGGCCAATGTGCTCGATGCATTCTACGAGGTAGCCATGCCAGGGCAATCAATTGTCTGCGTCGGCAGCGGCTCGGCCCACGTCATGAAGGAAGAGGTTCCATTGGAAGTGCTGGACCATCTCGCTCGCGCCCCCCGCGACTCTCTACTTTCGCACCCAGGCATCCAAGCAACTGTGAGCCCTCTACTCGCGTACCAGATTGCCAAGCGAGGCAGCCTCGCCCGCGTGCAGCTGATGGCCAAAGCATTTGGCTTGAAGGGCGCACGGATCAACATCATCTCCCCTGGCATGATAGCAACAGAGAGGGGCAGGCTGGAGTTGGAAGGCGACATGTTGCGGGCGTACATTGAGATGCTCACAAAAGAGTCTGCCATGGCCAGGCTTGGTGCCGTGGACGATGTGTCCAACTTGGTCGAATTCTTGATTTCGGACCGAGCATCCTTCATCTCGGGCGCGGACATTGTCGTGGACGGTGGTGTTGCTGCAGCGCAACGTTGGAAAAGGGAATGATATGATTTTGGAGCAGGTGGGACGTTTCTGGGCGCTTTGGCAGCAACGAGTACTCGCGCAGTCCCATGACACATTGCTTTGACCTTTCACAGCTCCCTGAGTCGGTTTGGTTGTCCAGGGAAAGGGAGTGACTGGGACGGCCGGGGACATGAGCAGTCGATACTGAATTTCAATTTTAGTCTCAAGTTCATATCTTCCCAAGTTCTTTGGGGGTTGAATCCCAGCAAGTCCAAGTTGGAGCCTGGCTAGCACCTGCCCAGTCAATTGACCTTGTTGAAGTGATGTGGTTGGATAGAATCTCGAAAGCGGGAAGGATGATGGAGTCAGTCATACGTGTAAGGAGCATGTCCAATCCAGATTTGAGCTCGTTGTGAGGTGATTGAAACATCATAACCGCGAGAGGCTAATGGCGACAAGATCGGTTTGGTCCCGGTAGTGTAAGCCTGTCTGGAGTTGGAAGCTGCTTTCGACTCTGGCAGTGATACTAATTCTGTACGAGATCAAGGAGGAGCCTTCTTGGGGGATTTGCCTCTTGTGCCCGTCATTGCATTGTGAGCTCGCATACCTAGGTGCGGAAGGCGAGGGTTTGAACGCTTTCTTACTTGGAGTGAAAGCTTCGCCTGGTGATGTTTACCCTCATCGGACATCCCCTTTATAAAGCGTGCTCTCCCCACCAGCTCGACTCCGTGTCTACGCAACAACAATTTGAAATCCATCAATCGCGACATCGTCTCTACACAAACAGTCTCATACGTCATACATTCATCACAAAAGCAAAGATGCTCTTCATCTGTTCTGCTATAACTTTCTGTGGGATCACACGGATGGATTCTTTCCGGCTCTGCTAACCTTCCAGTGGCCGCCTTCGCCTTGGCAGTACCCCCGGCTCATCCTCTCTTGGAGCCAGAGCATAGAGATGACGTCGACAATGGCCAGAAGAAGGGCTTCCGATACATCACGGCTTGGTGTCGGTCGGATGAAGAGTGTGCCAGTGGCTGCTGTGCGGCCATTTCTCATGATGAGGCAATCTGCTCTGCCCCCTTGGTTGCCTACATGGAAGGCAAATACGGTTGTGGCTTTGGCGATTCCACGAAGAAGATTGCCCATGGTATTGATGTCACCCTGCCGGGGTTCAACAACGTCGGCACTGGAAACAAGGTGCGATACATCACCGGTCAATGCTGGAGTGACGATGATTGTGAGAGCGGATGCTGTGCTGGACACAAAGACCAAAAGGGGGGGTTTTGCTCCGCCAAGTTGATTGCGGAACAGGATGGCAGGACTGGCTGCGGGTATGTGGAGTAGACCAATTGGCGCTGTACACAAGATAGGAATCACAACACACGTAGGGGCTTGAATTGGAACATTGTCGCTGTCCAGCCTCACTTGCCGCGTTGAATGCCAACCTAATGTTCTTCACGCCAAACGACTCGCCGAAAATAAAGAAATCTAAAGAATGAACCACAGGGACACAAAGCCATCGATTCTTCTTTGTTTGTTGACGGGAGAGTATCGAAGCCTTCAGCCCTGCACGGACCCGGACCCATGGCGAACCTTGCCACAGGAACAAAGACGATGCAACAGGTTATAAGATGCTCAAACCAGCTCTAGAAAATGTGTCAAGACGAAATGAACCCGAAGCCTACCGCAAGTGATCCCCTGGTCAGCTTACACTTCCCTATCGCATATCTCTTTGTCATAATAGCATTTCCATGCCCAATGCAATGAACGATTACTTACAGTCGGACGAGAAGCAAGTCGAGATGCAATGTGAAGATGTGGGACAGAAAGCCGTCCACGCGCTGCAGTTCACCAACACGGAGTGGGACTTTTGGCTACCCACCCTCGAGGAAGCTTACGAGACGTGCAGCTTCGATACCACATCTCTGAGAAAAAGAACGTACGAAGAGACATTGCGTAGACATGCATCAGTGGCAGGTGTTGATGGCATGTTCGTCTACAATCGGCCGTGCTCCCGATCAACGACCGCAGGTGAAAAAGGCTCCATGATGATCAACTACTACAACGACGAGTCTAAGAAAGCACTAAAAGTCGTAGCCATACGAATTGGCTTGTATCAGAAGGACGGCTCAAAGAAATTCAGAACCGCCACACGCACGAGCATCAGGTGGGCAGCCAGTGAGACGGCGGATTACAGCACATTTATGGATATGGAGATCATCGAAGGTCGACGCAGCGTCGCTAGGTGGCCCAAGTCAGCCTACAAATTTGCTCCTGATGATTATCCAATCGCCACACTGGAACTTTCTCCGAGCATCAAGAAAAAGCAAAAGCACGCGTACAGACATGCGCAGAATTCCGATGTTGCCGAGAAGTTGGAGCAGGATGAGCAATACCTTATCGTCAGCCATCGACGCAACAAGATACTCGCAGAGCAGCTCAGTGAGTCGAAGAGAAAGACTTTAGAAGCAAACGATTTCAAGAAGAAGCACAACGCCACCAACACCAAGCTCAGAGCCGAGAATAAAGACCTCAAAGCCCAGCTACAGAGGCATTTGAACAGCGCCAAGGACATGGAGCGCCTCAGAGACGAGCTACTGGGGACGAAAGAAGCCTTTCGTGAGCTTGAGAAACAGTACAATGAGCTTCTCGAACTCGACGATGCTTCTGTGAAGAAGCCAAAGACAAAGGGTAGGAAAGCGATGACAAAGAAAGTAGTCCCGAAAAAGGCTGGAGTTATCGAGGCTGAGGTCGAATTTGAGACCTCAAAGATCCAATACGCGGCCCCGAGCACACTTGTAGAGGAATTGGAACCAGGGAGCGCAGAACTCAGTGAATCAGATGACGAAATAGGGGAGGCCGAAGATGCACCAACACAGGAACCTGTTCCCAGCGCTCCTCTTACGGATGGAGAGACTCCTCCTAGTCGTAATTCTTCCTTCTCTACTGTGCAGTCAGCTGGTGAGGATGTGGACATGGATGATGCGCAGGAAACTGGAGAAGAGAGGCCTGAATCTGTGACATCAGACTCAGACATGTCCGACCGATCAGAGGAGGAGGCCGCAATTACTGAAGCAGTCGATTCAAGGTCAACCGCTGAGGTGACTTCGGTTGCAAAGGAGAGCCAGGCCATGGCACGAAGTACCACTGGTGGAAAGTCAGTTGGCGGCAAGCGAGCTATACCAAAGGCTAGGGAGGATATCCACGAGGGGCATGTAGCCGGGAAGACTGTTGCTGGCAAGTTTCCGCAAAAGTCTGTGCCCGTTCAAGAAGCCACTCTAGACATGATGGCGACCGACGAACCATCTTGCGGCGATGGCGGTAGCTCACCACTAGAGGTGGAAGTCGAACAAGGTGAAAGATCACCCCCCACAATCAATTCTCCTGCACGGGGATGCGAGACATCGCCGGCGCCCGTTGCTTCTCACTGTCCAGAAAATGAGGCGGGAAACGAATCAACAGTGTCACAACCGGGCGCAGTTCATGCCAACGCTCTAGCCCGCGAGGACGGCCAGTCTCCTGAGCGCAATGAGCCCGAGGATGTTACGGAGACTCCCGAACCCGATGATAAGACAGTGGGCACAGCCATTGAAGGGTCTCCGGTCGTAACTGCTGGAGACACTGGAGAGGGAATGCCTCTTGATGAAACCGCAAAAAAGATCCACTCTGATTGCGAGGTTCTCGCTGAGCCAGACTGCATTGACGCCAGGCGTGAGGGTTCAAGCACCCCTTGCCCCGAAGCAGGGGAGGCCACTGAAGTCGCTCCCGCAGCGCCTGGGACTGGGGTGACTGGAACACCTGGCGCCCATCAACCAGGGGAATTTAAAGATGAAGTAAGTGATTGCAATATCCGTGGGGATGAAGAGGGCGGGCATGAGCGCAGAAGCTCTGCTGAGCCGGCCGACATGTCAAGCGGTACCTCTCCAGGATCTCTCCCGGAAACATCGAAGAAACGACCGCGCTTTTCCATGGATGAGGACGAGGTCGGCGACTGTGGCGAAGACGCTAGATTTGCAGCAAAGAAGCCTCGATTAGGCGAGGAGAGGAGTGCGAACGAGGAGATGGCTGAGGCTAGGTAAGAGTAAAGAGCCTTGCAGACGGAGATTTTGATAGATAGGCAATCAGTAAACAGGATCGTGTGAATATTCAGTGGAACCCATGTTCCTGTGCGTTAGTCGAGGAAAACTTGACAGTTATAGTGCAACCTAGCCTCTTCCACTGTGTACTCCGTAGATTGTATCAAATGGCAGCGTCTTCAAGTTTTGCAAAGATCAAGCGTCGGAGTTGAGTCCTGGACTCCAGAGACGCGGTTGTTGAAGTCGCGAATGGATGGCGACTATAGGGTAGGCGCGCATCAACCCTGTCCCCAAAGGCTTAGTCATGGCAGCAAATTCTCACCAAAGTCAGTTCAACAGCCTCCAGACGAACAGACACACTTTCATCAGTTCAATTCGAGAATTGGTCAAAATGCTTCCTCCTCGTTCCTTACTATAGTTCCTTTCAAACTACATGTATTTCTTACTTCTTTGTTACATGATCGACGACTCCGTTGAGGGTTAACTTTGCACGCACGCATAAGCGCATGCCAACTGGAACGATGCGACCATGGCCAACCAACCCCATCACTTGATCATCGACCCATGGTCGCAAGGCCTAAATGTCATGCGCGATGTCTTCTCACGCTGGTCCCGACTGGACATCACGCAGGTCGGCTCGGCGATTGCCATTGTCGGCACAATTCCCACAGCAGTCCGACTCATGGGTCGCGTCTGGCGAGAAGCCTACCATTGGGTTCGACTATGCTTCCTCGCCGAAGTGAAAATCCCAGGGGGCGATCCACTCAACCGGAGCGTAGTGAAATGGCTCCTAGAAAAACGACCGCGGCATCATCGATCATTCACTGGACGGACCCAGGTCCAGCACGCTCGCTCAACCCCCGATCTCGGGGCGGCCCTGAAGAAGACGCGCCACCAGGCGCAGTACTGCCCGCATTGGCACTCGCGCTGGTTCTTCCAGCAAGGTGACTTTTTCATTGTCAACCGCGCGGCAGATAGTTTCAGCGCGGCGCTCTCGGATCCGAGCTACGACGGGATTGGAGGCGAGGAGCTCACAATCAGCTGTCTAGGCTGGTCCGCAGCACCCGTCATGCGCTTCATTGAAGAATGTCGCGCGTATACAGACCGACAGGCGCAGTTCTTCGTCATCATCTACGCACGCGATCGGTACGGCCTTGCCTGGAAGCCTAAAACGAGGACGCCGATCCGGCATCTTGATACGGTGCATCTGGACAAGGACGTGAAGGACTGCCTCATATCGGACGTGCGCAACTATCTGGACCCCAAGACGCAGAAGCGGTACCAGAGCCGGAGTATGCCCTACCGGAGAGGGTACCTCTTCTACGGCCCGCCAGGTACGGGGAAATCCTCATTGTCTGTGGCGATTGCTGGCGAGTTCGGACTGGACATTTATGAAGTCAAAATCCCGATGATTGCTACGGATGCCGATCTGGAGCACATGTTTCAGGAGATCCCGCCCCGATGCGTTGTGCTTCTCGAGGACATTGACGCCGTGGGTGTCGATTGCGCAGCCTCGGACAAGTCATCCGCGAGTCAGGACGGCAAAGAGCCCATGCCGAATTGCACAATGTCCGGTCTGCTCAATGTGCTTGATGGCGTGAGCTCTCAGGAGGGCCGCATCGTGATCATGACCACCAACCGGCCGGAGCAGCTGAACAGCGCCCTCGTGCGCCCAGGGCGCGTCGACATGAAGGTGCTGCTCGGCAACATTAGCCAGGCGTCGTCGCAGGAGATGTTTCTTCGCATGTTCGCCCCGGAGCTCGGCATCGCGCAGCCGTTGGATTCGGAGGAGCTGCTGGCGCTTGCTGCGCAGTTTGCCAGTCAAATCCCCGAGGACACGTTTACCCCTTCTTTTCTGCAGGGATTCTTTCAGCTTCACCTGGACTGTCCCCGTGAGGCGGCGGCCAGCATTGGACCGTGGGTGCAAAAGGCACTTGCGCGTGGCGTCGAAGGGGACTTTGAGATGGTCAACCGCAATAAGAACGGTTGACAGTGTATATACACTGTATATTGCCTGTAATGTATTGTAGAAGGTTGGGCGTCATGTTTCCTGGATAATGCATGTCAAGGGTTGGGGATACTTTTGAATGTATCATGGGACTTTTTGCGGCTTTCAACGCTCTGCATGGTCCTATCCGAAGTACTCCGCGCATTTCCAGGTCCATGTGGACTTTCCTCACTATGGAGCTCCCTGTTTAGCCCATCTTGCCTCGTGGATGGCCTTGATCTCCCCGACCAAACTATCGACAGGGCCGTGCCACTTGATACGCGTAGTGATCTCACCAATGCCCAACGGCTTGACCGGACCGAGGGGAAACCCAGCCAGCCTCATCCAATGATCATACTGTTTCGCTGATGCGATGAAGACAATGTCTCCCAGGCCACACCAGGCATGGGCGGCGGAGCACATGGGGCAATGCTCTCCGGTCGTGTAGCACGTCGTTGAGGCGCGCTCATCCGCCGTCAGATTGAGCATGGCCCATTGCGCGAGAGTGAATTCCGGGTGAAGGGTCGAGTCTGGGTGAGCGCCAGTGCCATCGAGACCTGTCCTGGTGCGGTTTCGGTCGGTCTTGATGATGGTACCCTGGGCATCGACGAGGCATGATCCAAATGGTGAGTCGCCTGCGTCAGAGGCTTCGCGGGCCAGGGCAAGACAGGTTTGGAGAGCCTCTTGATGCAAAGAGCTTGCCATTGTGAGTGGAGGGTGCTGTTGCGCAATGGTCTGGTACGTGGCAGGCAGTTGCAGGTAGCTGATAGCGGTTAGTTGGGCTGGTGCCGATAGTGACTGGACGCCTGAGGCTGCCAAAATGATGTCGCCGGTCGGCCTCCGCAATTGTCCCCGCCTTTATTACGGTCCGCCTCCAGAGTCCAGAGTCCAGACTCCAGACTCCAGACTGGAAACCGGACTCGAACGTTAAAGTCGCTGAGATGAGTCGTGTGCTCTATGTTGACAGCTGAGACTAGCATGTTGACTACATGTAGACGACTGTTCCCCAATGCATGATACCGATATCTCAGCCCAATGCCTCGCCACACCTTCCTGTTCTTCTTTTTTTCTCACAAACACACCCTTGAGGCACTCCCCAGTTGAAGCATACAGCCTCATGTCTTTCCAAAACACCTTCACCTTGACTGCCAAGACAATCTTGGATCGACTCGATTCGGTAGGGTAACCCCCCTCGGAGTCCCGGACTGCACTTCAGCGGGAGTCTGGAGACCCATGATGCATGCAGCATCACCCGGCCACCCCTCCGGAAGCATACTTCCCAACCCCAGATCCTCGAAGGCGGGGGAAGCCAGGGATCAACACGGGGTAGCGGCACCTCGGGAGATCCAAGTCGACCAGTAACGCACTAGTTCGTCACCATCGTAGACATATTCAGACATTTGGAAAGGGGAACTCGATCTTCTGGGTGGTGCCTCGGCGAACTTGTGGGCTCCATGTCGTGATGGATGGACACGTGAGCCAATGGCTGGAGTCTATCAAGGTCTGATGGACAGCCAAGTGTGAAATGCGGCCGAATCAAGCAAACCAGACAGGAGGTTGCGTGTATCCTGTTAGACTGGTACGTACGTACGTAGACACATACAAAAAGCAGTCGTGGCAATAACGCCTCCTCTTGTCTACTTGTCACTCAATCCCAATCTCCTCATCCATCCACTAACGTCTCCATCACTGTCCTCAAGCACTCCAGCAGATATCGCCCAAACCTCTGATCACGCCACCATGTCCGCCCTCGAGGATGGCAAAGAGTACGACATCATCTTCGCCGGCGGGGGCACGGCTGCGTGCGTGGCAGCTGGACGTCTGGCCAAGGCTGACCCTAACCTGTCTATTCTTCTCGTGGAAGGCGGCAAGAACAATCTGAACGACCCAACGGTGACCAATCCAGCTATATTTCTTGCCCATCTTGCTCCCGACTCGCAGACTGCCATCTTCTACAAGGGCAATAAGGAGAAGGCGCTCAATGATCGCGAGGCCATTGTGCCCTCCGGCGGCATCCTTGGCGGCGGCTCCTCCATCAACTTTATGATGTACACACGAGGTTAGCATTCCTCACCTACACATATTGCTTTGGCCATGAGTTGACGTGTCCGCAGCACAGGCGTGTGACTTTGACTCATGGAACACCGAAGGCTGGGATGCGGCCAGTCTGATCCCACTGGCCAAGCGATTGGAAAAGTACCACCCCAGCGATCCATCCGTGGACAAGGAGCTCCACGGCTACGATGGCCCCATCAACATCACGCACGGCGACTACGCTCCCAAAGGCCCCCAGGACGACTTCCTGGCGGCAGCGGAAGCCCTCGGCCAACTGGAAGTCTTTGACCTCCAAGACTTCAAGGCTACCGGTGGTTTCTCCCGGTGGGCGCGCTACGTCTGCCCCGAAGGCAAGCGACAAGACGCCGCCCATCGCTATGTGCACCCGTTGATGGCCTCGGGTAACTACCCCAATCTTCACATCCTGGTCGAGAGCAAGGTGCGCAGGGTGATCTTTGAGGGCAACAAGGCTACAGGTATCGAGTACGAGCCTGCAGTTTCGTCGCAGCCGAGTATCGGCCTCAGCAAGAAGGTCGTCTCGACTGTCAAAGCACGAAAGTTGGTGGTAGTATCCTCCGGTGCTCTTGGCTCCCCGTCCGTCCTGGAGCGCTCGGGCATCGGGGGTGCCGAGCTCCTGAAAAGCCTCGACATTCCAGTCGTGTCGGAGCTACCTGGTGTTGGTGAAGATTACCAGGATCATCACCTCCTCCTTTACCCCTACAAGGCCAACCTCAAGCCAAACGAAACGCTGGATGGGCTTCTGAGTGGCCGAGTGGACTTTGCGACGGCTGTTCAGGAGAAGAACCCCCTGCTTGGATGGAACGGAATCGACGTCTGCTCCAAGGTCAGGCCCACCGAAGACGAAGTGGCGGAACTTGGCCCCGAATTCAAAGAACTCTGGGATCGCGACTTTAAGAACAGACCAGAGCGTCCATTAATGCTCATGGGCGTCGTGTCCTCCTTCTTGGGCGACCACAAGGTGCTCAACGAGGACAAGGATGGCGTGAGCCAATATGTCACTATGGGCACGTACTCAGCCTATCCGTACTCTCGCGGCAACATACACATTGTCTCGCAGAATGCGCAGACGCCCGCTTCGTTCAACACTGGGTTCTTGTCTCACCCTGCCGATCTCAAGAAGCAGGTCTGGGCATACAAGAAGCAGCGCGAAATCTACCGCCGAACCAATGCGTTTGCAGGTGAGCTCGCCATAGGCCACCCGCAGTTCCGCGCGGGCAGCAAGGCAGCCTTGAGTGAAGGGCCACTATCCCCCCATGGCTTCAGCAGCATCGAGGAGAGACGCAAGCTGAAGCCCATTGAGTACGATGCCGAAGATGACGCGGCGATCGAGGACTGGATCAGGTCGAATCTCAACACGACCTGGCATTCCCTCGGTACATGTCGCATGGCACCCAAGGAGAAGGGTGGTGTCGTTGACAAAGATTTGAACGTGTACGGGACTGCTCACCTCAAGGTGGCGGGTAAGTTCATCTCTCTATCATCTGGAGCTCTTCGAAGATGGGCACTGCACTGACATTTACAAGACATGTCCATCGTTCCGGAGAATGTTGGGGCCAACACCAACAACACTGCGCTCGTGGTGGGTGAAAAAACAGCCGACATTATTGCCAGTGAGCTTGGCTTGAAGGTATGTACTTTGTTCCTTCAAAGTGTGAAGCAAGGCTGACAGCAAGCAGATTGAGCAGGGTGTATCTGCCAGGCTTTGATTTTGTGGCAGCATGTATACTTGGAACGATACCGATCGCACATTTGCTATAGGTCCGTTGGAGATAGCATGAACAATGGTCTGATAAATTCATACTTCTTTAATATGTTGTGACGGAGAACAAGTCGGTCACGGTGTGAGTGTTGCTTCAAAACGGGAAATTGACACCGTCTCCCAAATATCTTGATCAACTACAGTATCCTATGAAGAGAATTTCCCACTGACACAGCCCATGTTCATCTCTCAACGACGCCACTGATGTCACAACCGCCAGTGTTAGCGCTCTTCCATGCTATGAACTGCCCAATTAGTTGCTGTAGGCGTTGATGGCCTTCTCGATGGTGTCATTCAGATCGGCAACGTCCATTTTGGCACCCTTCTGACAGGTGGGCACGAGCATGATGATTCCCTCTGCGAGCGTGTCCACAATGTTCTCCAGTTCCCGGAGGACAGTGGCAACGAGTGGGCCGGCAAAGGGCACAATGTTCAGTAGGCCAGCCTTGCCGATGACAATTTCGAGGAGGTTCTTGTGGACCTCGACAAAGCTCGTAAGTGCTGTGCAGATGGCCGACTGGTCGTCTTCCTCAAAGTCGTCCTCGGGCATGTTTCCATCCAGCGCAGTGACAGTCTGGGTGGCAGTGGTCACGATGCCGCCGAAGCTCCTTGCGAGTGTCTGTGTCACGCATTAGCACTCCCTGAGCGTAGTGGTTCATGGACGAAGGCTCAGTCACGTACGAGGAAGCCAGAGGGGAGGGAAAAAGGGTTGCTGGTAATGCTCTGCGCGACGTCGGTGGCGTCCTGGGAGAGATCCGTAATGTCTTCGATGCTGGTGACGACCACCTTGGGCGAGATCTGCGCTGTAACGGCGGAGGCCGAGAGGATGGCAACGAGAGCGGGGAGAATTTTGAACTGCATGTTTGCGGCTGGAGATTGGAGATCTAAGCTTGAGGATGGGAAGACGTTTGAATGTGTGGGAGTAGTTTGCTTGAGGTTGCAGTTGATACCACGGCACATATTCGCTGCGGATGTTGAAGGTATATATATACTGATTCGCATATCCCAAGTGAAGGCGACAGTCATTCTTGCCGGCTGTCAGTGACCACAGATACCGACGGGGCATTCCATCGATCTCCATATCGAAACGAAGCGGGAGGCAATCGTAAATTCCCCGTCAAGAGACACACTATGAGGCTCCTCTGAAGCAAAGACAAACGATTGTTCATGTAAAGGAATGCCGATCCGGCGAGGCTTGCTATAGTGACAGCCGTAGCTGCCGTGAACGCTCCCTATTCCATACCAAGAACTGTGGCGGAATCCTGAGGGGCCGGCAGCTCTCAGCGACTGGCAGCGGGCGGGAGTTCCCGAGCCTAGCTGAATGACTGAATGGAGCATGATCTGCAGGTACATGTCTAAGAATCGGAAGTTGTCCAAAGGGCGGTTGAGCACGAATGGAATGTGCTGGGCGGGACATCGAAATTGGTTGATATGCACTGGCCTGCCGCCCTTGCAACCAAGTTTCAGGGTGGAAGAAGCCATTCAATGCCGAAATTGAGCCCAAATTTTGTTCCTTGAATAGCCTGCTCGACGCTGCAATCGGCAACTTCCAATCTCGCAATGACCCCGGGACAATATCGACAAGGAAGATTGGGCGGCCGGTCTATTCGACTCAGGCCCAGAATCCCCCGGCCAGTATGTGAGGTTGTCGCCATATCAAGTGCCCCAGCCGTAGTGCAAAGGTGCGTGTGTGCAATTGGTGGTTAATAGAGTGGCAGTCATTGATTCAATATCCCATCGTAGTATTCACCAGCCCGAGAGCAGGCTAGAAACGTGGAGTTTGTGTGCTTCTTCCTGATCAAGATGCATCGCCGGCTGATGTATCGCCGGCAATAGTTGCGTAATGTGACTATATCCGAGTTCCTTTGCTAGGTCCGCGGGCCCCTGGCCGGCCTTGTCCTTCGCATAGGCTTCCACCCCAATATCGAGCAGGATCTGTACTAAATAGCTCTTGCCCTCCGATACTGCCCATGACAGTGGAGTCCGACCTTTCTCTCTGTCTTTGATCTCAATGTTTGCCCCATTGTCGAATAGCAGCCGAATAACAGCTCTGTAGTGAGTGTGGTCCGGACGCTTAGGACAAACGTCGCCCGGTTCATCGGGATCAGGATCTGGACCAAGTAGATATTCCGCCTCTAGGTCAATGTGTGTGTTGGGTGCGACCACCTGCATGAGAGGGGTCCAACCCTTCTCATCTGTGGATTCAATATCTGCCCCTTTTCGTAACAAAATCTTGATGCTAGCTTCATCAAGCATCAGGGCAGCCCACGAGAGAGGGTTTCGGCCATGCTCATCTCGCGAATCAAGGCCAGCTCCCATGTCGACCAAGGTCTCAACGATATCAGCAACTCCGTTCGTAGCCAGCGTCAAGTATGAGGCCTGGTTCCCGGTCGTGTTGGATTCTTTGCTCAGAAGCATCTCCACCGCTTTCTTTCGTCCCTGCACAGCCGCGAACAGTAGTCGTGTCGGGCTGTACCACTCACGAGGCTCGAAGCGCGCTCCATGGTCGATTAGCTGCGCAGCTGCCATCCCACGTCCCTTTTGAATCGATACAAATAGCGGCGTCCTACCCTCCTTGTCTTTGGACTCCACATCAGCTCCGTGATCGAGTAGCATTCCGACGACGGCAGAGAACCCCTTCTCAGCTGCCCATGAGAGTGGAGTTCGACCTTGATCATCTCGTGTCTCGATATTGGCTCCGAGGTCTAGCAGATACTTCACCAAGTCCAAGCATCGGTCTCTGGGACACTTAGGTATGGTGTCCAATAGACGGAACGTGCAAGATCTCCGTACGGCTAGTGAGAGAGGTGTTTGCCCTTCTTCGTCTCTTGATTCAATATCGGCGCCGTTGAGGACCAAGAGTTCGACCATGTCGCGGCAATGCTGCGAAGCCATTCTGAAAAGGTGTCCGGCGCTCATCTCGGCCCCATGATCCTAAAGCAAATTTGCCACACTAACCCGTTGGTAATCAATTGCCGTGCTTAACGCTGAGTTTCGAAGTTGAAGTGGCTGCACAGGAGCATCCTTCTTGAGGATTTGACTGGCGATAGCTTGAAACCCGCCTGCAGCTGCCACTACCAACGGCGTGTGATGGACGTGCGCCGATACTACATCAGCACCTTGGTCAATCAGCAACGCAACAGTTGCTTCATGACAATGGAACGTTGCGAAAAAGATAGGCATCTTCCCCTCGTTATCTTTTGAGTTTACGTCGGCTCCGTTGTCGATCAACAACTTCACAGTTGCGTCTTGTCCCTCTGCCGCGGCCCATGACAGAGGGGATCGGCCGTCCTTATCCCTAGTCTCCACGTCGGCTCCCTTGGCAAGGAGTAGCGTAATGACCGCTTCATGTCCTTTTTCGGCAGCCCAGGATAGTGGTGTGCGCGATACCCTATCGTATAGATCCGGTGCTGAAGCTGGGTTGCCGAGCAGGGCGTCGACATACTTACTGAGACCGAAGTACGACGCCAGGTGTAGGCCCGTTCCGTAAGTCTCTACGTCCGGCAAGTAGTCTCCGGCCTCGTCGTCCCAGTTATACATGCAGTCCTCCCAGTCAGAAAAATCTGATACATCAAACCAGGACGGATCATTTTCAACCACAAGAACTTGACTAGACGCATTGGTTTTGCTGTGACTTTTAAGAAAGTTTACGATAGTGTGACTCATCTCCGAAGTTGATAAAGCATGATGGCCCCAGTTCAAAGAAGCGTAACAGTAGAGTGGGTACTCCTTTCGCCGAGCCTGGTATTGATGTCCAGTGCGACAGCGGCCGCTCCCAAAACCATCAAGTGAGAGGTAGGTGACACATGTATGGGTGAGATAGGACTGAGCGTCCGGGAACCAAAGGTTACAAGTCGCTTCAAAGTACTGCTGTGTTGTGTAATGCACTAAACGCACGGCTTGGGTCTTCTCGTCAACTGTGACGAGGCCCGCGCAGGTCGAGAGGAGATCTTCCACTGGACAGATGTTTTCAAAGTCGAAGCTCATCTGCCCATCAATTACGGCGATAGCATCCTCGAGTTCCTCTGCCCGCAGTGGCCTTTTCGCAAAAGTGATCCAGGAGAGGACCTGTTTTGCAGTCTCTGCGTGGTCGGCAAGCTGCCCCTCGATTCGTTCCATGGCAGCATCGTAGGCGCGGTGGTATGCCTGCGAGCCTCCCGGCAGGTCTTTCAATGCGGCGCGGACGGCCGTTGCTGATTTCTTGCCTTTGAGAGAGTCAAGGTTGAGTCGTGCAAGAAGAAACCTTGGCACCGTGTCAGCATGTTCTATCAAGAGTTTGGGCAATGGAACGTACATTCCGTCAGCGGCTCGTAGGATGCCCAGCTTGATCTCTTCCTTCAAGCTGGGGCTGCGTGATGCGCATTTTGGTAACTCCAAAGCACGACCTTCCAGATAGGCGAGGATATCGTGGTCAGAGGCCCGGATTTCCAGGGTGGTGCATCCTTGAAACTCTGCGGCAATCTCAGGGATATGCCTCGAGGTCGCAAAGAGTTTGACACCAGACTTTTGTCGGAGGTTCTTGAGTTCATGGAGAAGTCGAGACCGAGAGCCGTCAGAATTATCGCACTCGTCGAGCGCGTCAATGACAATAAACGTTCTGAGGTTTGACACAATAACACTCTGGAGCACACTCGAAATTTCCTGCAATGACGGCCGCGTTCCCCTGTGAGTGACGGTGTGCTTCTTATGGAGCTCGTCAAGTTCACTCGGCGTCGAGGATCGGTACTCGCTCAGCTGCTTCAAGATATTTGAGAGCAAATCCTCGATTCCCTGCTCATTCTGACGCAGGTAGTCGAGATAGATGTAGGCGATGGCCGTCTCGGTGTCATCCCTGTGGCGAGTAACAATATTCTGCACCACGATCGATGTCATGATAGTTTTCCCCGCTCCTGGGATACCTGGACAGAACAAAGTGCTTTCAAGTCGGTCCTCGGTCCATCTTTTGAATTCATCAGACTGCAGGACCCATGTCCCAGTTCTCTCTTGCTGACGCTTGACAAAAGCACTATGTCGGATAGCATAATCAACCGGGGCCAGCCATTCAAGGACGGCTTTGCGCTTCTTTGCAGCGTCGTGATCATTGTGCCGAGTCTGCAGCCCGTGTAACTGATCTCCGAGGGTGTTCTGCGACTCCTCAACGCGTCGCAAACCACTTGAGATCTCTCGATCGGGAGGTCTAGTTTCATCGCAACTACCCTTGAAAGCCTCGAGAAGCTCCTCGAGTTGCCGTTGGTTTTCTTTGGACGTCTTTCTGATCTCTTGGATCAGCTGCAGGCAGTTGACGTTCAGTGCCAGCCCTAGCAGTGCCTTCTCACGCTCTATCGCCGCAAGCAACCTATCGACCTCGTTCTCAGCAAAGGGCCAAGCAAGAGAGGATGCGACCTTCTTGATACCTCTTTTCGGTTGGAGTTTGGACTGGGCAATTCTCAGGAAGGCCGAGAGTCGTGCCAGAGGTGCGTCAGGAGCATCGATGGCCTTGACCATCTCGGACCACCCTTCCCCTTCCTCACAATCGTCGACTCCGTCCATGATCAGCTGAAGGGCTTGTTCGCAGCCCCGTACTGACTCCCGAAGACGTTTGCGCTCATTTGTGGACCCTGACACTCCATTGATGTATCCGATCACTTTGCTACAGAGCTGCATCACTGCTGTAACACTCGGCGTGGCGCTGAGAGGTTCCATTTCGAGGGCCCAATAAGTGGGCACCTAGGTGCCTCAATAAGTACCGTACTCACTTGACAAAATCGCGAGCGCTGGTGTGTCTTGCGAGGCAACACCCCTGTCAGGAGTGGTGCCAATATCGAGCAATAATTGCAGCCTACGGGCGTTATACTGCCCAAGGGCTACACGAAGTATGATGATGAACAACAGATCAGAAGAGCGAAGTTGATCATTCTCTATCTGAAGAAGATGATGATGCTAAGGAAAGAAGGAAGAGCGCGACGGCGCGAAGATGCTGCCTTTAAAGGGCAGCGGTGTGGGCCGAATGTGTGGCCTGGCTAAGCAAGGCAGACATGCTGGCCGCCAATAGGTGCGAGCCAGGTGCGCAGATGAGGTTGATTGTGCCAGCTACCCATAGGATAGCTTCGTGAGCCAATTACATCCGTGTGTATCACTCACACGGCTGCTTATGAGGCTACTTATGCGTGCGGCTGTGAGGCTGTTATTGTATGTGGCGATGAGGCTGTTACTGTGTGCCTATATATGCGGCCATAGATAAGGCTGCCTATGCGTGCAGCGATGAGTCTGTTATTGTATGCGGCTAATACTGCATATATATCCCCCTTTATGTTCGGCGATGAGGCTGCCTGTGCGTGTGTGCTGTCTATATGCACGGCGATGGCTGACATGGTAAATCTTATTCGCGCGGCCGGGCGCGCACCTACGTATGCGGCCAGACATGCCTGACAGACAACACAAAGCTGCTAAGTATCGAGAGATTCGCGCTTTCGCATAAGCGTATATCGACGGCACTGAACCATAGGCGGCTAGGTTTTACTCACTAGCGCTAGCGACTTTGTTAAGTAAGCTCGAATACCTCACTCCTTTTATTATATCTTGTTCAATTCCAAGTATGAACCACTCAGGTTCTGGGGCGACACAGGATATCAGAGGTACTGATTTCCTCGACGAGAAGAAACCTCCATCCGCCACGTCTGTTTCTCACTTGCCTACCCTACGGCCGCAGCCACGTCGCGATTGTATGGGTGAGTTGATGCACAACATAATCAACTTTAGCACATGCTTATTTAATTCTAAAAGGTGACATTATCTACAATGGGGAGGGGCTTTTGAGTGTCTTATCATGGACAAATTAGGCTCAAACAATCAGTCGTATTTTTACCTCAACTCTACATCTCAATGCCTTCATTGGGCGGAAATGATCCATCCATCCACTCTCACTTGCCAAATAACATCGCTCCTTTGCCCCATGGAAGACGCGCCCTGGATATGCACAGATGCCAACAAGCTGATGCAAGTCACGTTGTTGTATCCATGAGATGGTTCGTTACAGGTATGTATCGATGGGGCGCGCGTGCCACAATGTTCCTGTCTGCCGTCGCACGCGCGGGACAGCTTCCAGTCCAAGGGCTTCGGCGGCTGTCACGAATGGTGGCTGTCTGTGGTACAGCATCCTCGATCAATCTCAGACTCTCAGGTCCACGGTGAATCGCACCAACAGCCTTCAACGTTGGCTAGCCGGCGACGCAAGTACCGTGCCCGTTCTACAAGTAACAGCTCGACGAACAAGCTTCAATCAGTTCCTGCCCGATTTTGTCCGCGCTTGAGCCGAGGCCGAGGCCGATCGGGTGCGGCCCGGTAGCCAAGCTTTATTAAGCTTCTCACGAGGCTTCAGGGAGGGTCACATTGGCCCTCCACGGATCATGCAGGTCTACGCCATGAGGGCGTCGTATGACCAGTGAGGCGTCGCAGCTAGGAACGCGACACAGGACTGGATCAGCCGGGAGATGTGGTTGTGAATGGTGCTGCTCACATGGAACCTTGACGCACGCCCTTGCTTCCCCTCAGCGTGACTTATTTCCCTCAATTAATTGGCCTGCAGCAGCGCCATTTGCCCTGGATGTCGAAGCGCCAGGTTTCGTCGTCCTGGGCCACTGCGCGTGATTGGACACGGCGGTATGTTGACGTTGATGGCGGCAGCAGATGGCGATTCGCCAGCTGATACATGTTCTTCAAGTTCTTGCTCGATGCTGAGCACCGACATGAGCCCTCTCGCATGTGAAAGCCTTCCAATGAACTGCCGACTTCTTGCCACTGGAGCATCGATCCTTGTTGGGCAAATATAACAAAGTACGTACTCATCTGGAACCTCATGCGCCAGCGACATCGGCCACAAACTGTCACCAGACCTGACCAGACATCCCTCCAGGCGGCTGCACACATGCATGCAGGTTCTCATGCACAACCGTCCCGTCCGTCGCAACCCTCATCTGCGTGGGTGTAACAATAGTGTTGGCTTTTCAAGTCCAGACGGGACAGTCCTCGTCATCTCTTCGGCTCATCCAATCTCTCGACCTCCACCATACCATAGCATCGCCTCCATCGAACACCACGACGGAATTTTTCCCAACTTGTCTCGACTCTCGCCCTTGGATCGCGGGGTTCTCCTCTCCATAGTGGGGGGAATCGACGGGCGATCCACCATCGTGCCCGGCTTCAATCGAATCAGTCACTGGGATTTGATCGCGACAAATACTCGACCGCCACCCAGCACTATTACACACAAATCGACGCGAGAAGAGGGGAGAGTCACGCTCTATCGAAAAATCTGCGGCGTTGGTTCCCACTCGGCTCTCGACGAGCATCTTCACCTCCACAGCCGCGTGAGCGTGTGGATATCCGCTGCCCTACACCGCCAGAGAGCCTCCATATCGGCTGGTCGACAGACCCGCTGGCCTCAGACACCCTGGTTTGTTCCTGGCGACCTGCATCAGAGAAAAAGCACCATCACAAAAAATCAAAAACAAAAGACTCACTTGAGTTTTGCTCCAATTTGCCTCTTTCACCTTTTGTGTCCTCCTTGTGGCCCTGGTCTTCTACATCATCCCTGACGTGCTGGCTCACCGTTCGTTCAATACGTACATGTGCCCTTTGTGATCGTCAGCCGACAAAGGCTCGTCAAATCTTCCAGCCATCACCGACCAGGGACCACTCTCGCAGACCGCAACTTCTCAATCTAGCACTACCGCAACCAGGGCTCGCAGCAGACGTCCGACGCATCGCAACTTCTAGTGGGACCTCTCTTGTCGTTACCTGGACAAGGAAATTGGAACCGGACGTGCGTGCGTATTGTCGATGGCCGTTCGGCGAACATGGTTCACCGACATCTTCAGCAATCAAAAAAGGATTATATCGTCAAGTGAACGGCTTCTTCTCCATTCTCTCTCCATTCACGCACTTCTGCGTGGAAAGACCCAACCACCATGACCATGCCTTGTCGAACAAACGTCCCACAGTCTCAGACGACATACCACAGCTTTCATGACATTGAATTGTACGAGCCAGCCTCGCCACCAAGGAAGTCGGCACCAGCTGTGCGAGAGTTCGAGGTCGACAGGTCGACATCGAGCGAGGAAGACCGGCCTCCCGCCAAGTTCCAGATGAAGCGACAGGATTCCGGTTACGAGTCCTATGGTCCGGGCACCAGCCCCCGAACCTCCATGTCGTACGGCAGACCGTCACCACCACCTCGCCGTCCGACTTCAACATCAGTCCGTACTTCCACCAGCATCGTGCCTCATCCACGCACGAGGCCCACCACCCGACGTTCGACCAACAAATCCTACCACCAAGCCAACTCCTCCTCGGTGCACATTGTCCGTCCTCCGCCGTCGGCGCCGCAGCCCTCAAGCTACTTTCACTTCCCGCCGCCGGATCCCTTTGCAGATGCGCTCGTTGAGCATGAGGTCTCGCCACCGTCACCGGCTTCACCACCACCACAGACCACGCACTACTGGACGAGCGACCAAACCCGACGTCTCGAGTACGCTGCCATTGACGCGGCCAGCCGTGGAGTCAAGGGCTGGTGCCGTCGCAACCTCATCCCGGACTGCCTGACCGCCAAAGCGGAACGACACGTCTCCTTTGACGACGACACGGGCAGCGTGCGACGCTACAGACTGGAGCTCGAGGAAGAGGACGCAAAGAGCGTTGCACCCAAGAAGAGGAAGACGTGGCATTTTTGGGCCTAGACTAGGAAGCCTCCCTGATTCCCTTTGTTTTTTTCATTGAGCAGGGAAGATTGACGGTGCATTGCGAGCTGCCTTTGGGCAGCGAAGGTTTGGGCATTTACACGGCGCACTATACCCCCACACCCCCAATGTCATTGACGATAGATGATGACGACGGATGATACGCAGATGGAGATGAGGTATAATCTACGAGAAGCGGACGGACGGTGGGAGCGGAGCATTGAGAGCTGCATTCAATTTCGCAGCCAGCGAGCATTAGCACATGAACTTTGAAAAAGATATTTATCGATTAACACGCTTACGATATTCGTCTTTTTCTTGACCAACCATCGATTCTGTTTTCGGCCGGTTCTGGCATGCCAATGACGAGCCCGCGTACACGTATGCATCCCATGTTCCACAATAGGTGTATACACTGTCTCTTGTCTCCGGGCTTGAAGTTCAGGCACACCGCGTGATGGGGAGAAAGTAACCAACTGCTGCCCACCCAGTGCTCGGATGCTTGTTTGTGTCAGGGGCTCCCTGGAACACGATCGGGGTCTGACACCGACCGAAAGATTGCGCACATTTAGCAAGACAAGATGCGATGAAGATGGCTTGTTCCAGGGACAATCTCGATCTCCAAGGGGAGTTGGCAGTCCTATCGATGTGGGTGCCGTCAAGTCATACAGGACATTAAAACCTCAAAGTATGAACACTGGACAGGCTCACGGTTCAGCCACTCCGCAAGCGGTGGCATTTTCCCGCTCAATAACGTTCACATTCAACTCAGCATTTCCTGGTCTTCAGTTTCACCATACCGCGCCAACCGCAGCACTACGTACAAGTAGTTGAGGCCTCCCTTCAGGGGAACTCCAAAAAGGCTAGTTGCGGGAACTGTCCGTTGCGTCAAGCTGACTCCATCGTGGCTGTGAACCTGCACAATCCATGACAGGAAGCTCGCTCATCACAAACCCGTGCCTGCAAGGTCAACAAACCACAACCAAGCACTTTTCTATGCCTTTGGACTCAGCAAGATGCCGGGCTGCCTCGCGGCGGCCTCCATGACCGCCTCGCATCCCGGCGACTTTGTGATCACGGGAGACTTCACCGAGTGAGGCAGTGGTTGTGTACACAGTTTCGACGTGTTGGGCACACAACATCACATCTTCGCGTACCGCATGGCTGAGCAGTCGTCAAGGGACCACAAGTCGCCACGGCCCCTACGCACACGAGTTGAGCCAGCCAACTATGTCACCAATTGAGGAGCCTACGTAGTACGGGGAATAGCGGCCCACATGATCCCGCCTGTGTCGTGTCGGAAGCCTCTAGACTCGACCGTCGGGAGTGATGATGGAGTGTCAGTCAGTCTCACACTCTGCACCAACCGGGTCCCCAAAGCCGAGAACAAGGCAGTGTATCGGACGCTGCACAGTCCGCTCAGCATGCATAGCCCAAATATTCAAGCCTAATAACCTTACTAAGTGTCGTTGATGATGACATGCCAGATGGGAGTCCCTAGCCACGATCCCCATGCTCAAGTTGCAAGGAAACTGTCCCGAAAGGCGAATCTCCGAGGAGGCGCGTCCAATCGCAAAAGTCACTCGCAATGATATCATTCCAAACGATCATCTACGGGCATCCGCTGCGCCCGCACTCCGGTGACATGTTGAAAGTTCGTCTCCATGCAGCGACTTGCATGCCAATCCTTCGGGTATGATGTGGGGGGCGTCCGCCCACGTCCCGGTGCTTGATTCTGTGTGATTTGGGAGGGGGAAATTGCGAAACCAAACGGGGGAAATGACCGTCCGTGCCAGTGCATTGCTTCATCTAGTCTAGAGTGTAGCCCGCGGAATCGTGATTCCATCAGGCCGTCGCGTAGCCAGCAGCAGGGTGTGATTCGACCCAAATTCCGCTGTTGCTACGTATTACTACTCTCTTCACACCATCCAGCTGGCTTGGGTCCTCATGCTCTGTTGGGCGCTTGCGTGCCCGTGTCCTTTGAAGTTACGATTGGACATGCCACAAGGGCATCAATGACAAGCTTTCGAACGGGCGCCAGCAGGCTCAGCGAGACCAGCTGAAGGTGCCTGCGGTGAAAACTCGACTCAAACAGCCCAAGTTGCACGAATGCAAGCTTGGGCAGCTCAGCCACGATGGCATGCAGCATCCCAAGCCAATCACCGTCGCCATGCGGAGTCGACCGGCGCCCCTGACTCCCACTCGGGCCCATCCTCCCGCACACCGGAGTGTGGGAGAATCAACTTGCACAGTGTTAGCGCTGTTTGAACGTCACAGTGCATTGAGCGCCACAGGTACAGGCAACTGACTGTGGCTGAGCATCATCAGCCACAATTTGACGAGCTGTACAAGTACGTACGCAGCACGATTCTCGATCAAAGAGTCGTCCAACAATATTCCGTGTTATGCAATGGCTCAAAGCGTCTCGAATGGTCTTTGAAGGATCCTCAACGCACGTGCGCACAGGGGAAGGGGCTGTGCGATGCGTTAGTGCGCAAACACGACGCTCTTTGGCTTGATACTTGCTCCAGGTAGATATCACAATTTCTACTGCGTAGTGACGACAACGCGCGATCGGCGCTGATGCGAAATGTCTTTCGCTGGCTCACCTCAAGAAGTGAGTGGTTGGTCGCCTGTTGGCGCCACTGGCATGTGAGAACTCAGGCCACTGCATTCATTGTGCGTCTGGACTCGGTATGCCTCCGTAATTTGGTCATCATGCACTGCCGCCGTGTAGTGCAAGCGATCAATAATAGTCTACGTAGTACGTACTCCGTAGTCAAGTTAAAATGTTCAAGGCAATCACGACTAGCTTTGCCAGCGTATACGTCGCCCAGAGTAATGTGTCGCGACTAATGAGTAATCTCCGTATGGTCAGCTTCTTGAGAACACTTTAAAACATCACAAAACAATTTGTTCCAGGCAATTTCCAGGGCAACTAGTTACCAGGGGCAAGTCTGGGCTGCTGGTGCGAGACGAGGCTGCCGCACGGTACATTGCCCATCAGGACCCATTCAACTTGCTCCAAAAAGGGGGCAGTGCAAGACCCTGGTCATTAATTCGACCTGGACATTGCAATCGCCACTATTGGCTGCTTCCACTGATGTGCCTGGGCCAGAGTCCCGATTCGTAGGCGACGGACTCGACGAGCCTGCCGTCCGATGCGTGAAAAGGGTGCGACTGAAGCAAGGAAATATTCAGAGTGACGCCGATGCAAGGAGGGAAACCATCAACCGTGTAGCATCGAGGAAACCTGTGTGGGGGACATCGGGAGTTGGGGCTGCATACACAAGGGCCGCTAGTGGCACTTAGTCATGCTCCCTGAGCCAATAGATCACCGAGAATAAACCGCTGGCCCGCTGGTTTTATAAAACAAGCATATCCTCAGACCGGAGCTTAGCCCGATCGAGAACACGGACAGAAGAACAGTGTCCGGTCCTGCCCATTCACGGACCGCTTCCCAGTGTCCCATTGTACCCACCCCCTCCCTCGGATGGTCAGTAAGACCCATGCAGGCATGGAGTCAAGCTGGCGGCCTACTGGATCGTTTTCTTTCTCGCTGGCCGCTTCAACTTCTTTTCATTTCCAGTCAGTCTAGCTTCGGGGTGCCACCTAACTATGACATGCTGCATTCTGGGCGTTCTTTACTCCTGTTCTTCAGCCCTCGAAGCACGGTCTAACAGCGCTTAGACTGCGAGGCCTCCTCTGTTCTTCACTGTACATTCTTAGTTCATTCTTTCACCTTCCTTCTCTACCAGCTCTTTTCGCCTCTTGACGCAGCAGAGGCGCAGCAGAAGCATACGTTGCGAGATCAGCCTCGGCTACGGAACTCTACAGATTTGAGCGCAAAGGTTATCAAACCGGGAGTAACCCGAGAGGCGAGTGAGGCTTCAGATCCGCTGTATACCTACTCCAAGACCACTTGCACATTCAAAGGTGCTTGTTCCCGGCTCCCCCCACGAACCCGAAACTCCGCCAGCTTCACCGAGTTTAATCGCCATACTCCTCACTCTTCCATCCTACCCTTTGGGCTTTAGAGGAACCCGACCCTTGCCCAACAAGACTGGTTCGTGAGTCTGTTGCCCAGCATGGCGACGCCATCACCGCCCTCGACTGGCCAACCTCACCACCAACCCAGCAACAGCAACAATAGCAATACGTTATCACCACCCACACTATCACTGCCGAACCTCCAGGTGGACACATCTCGGCAACGCGCTCACAGCAATGCCGACACCGTCCATTCCCGGTCGTCGGGTCTCTCTAACCCGTTCCTCACGCCAGCCGCGACGAGCGCAGCCTCCAGTATAATTGAAGATCCCGAGACAGCTCTTAGGCCGGATCCTGGCACAGAAGACGACTTCCGGGTTGAGGACAATCCTTTTGCGTACACCCCAGGCCATCTTAACAAGCTTCTGAATCCAAAATCATTATCAGCATTCAAGGCGCTTGGCGGACTGCAAGGCATCGTGAAAGGACTGCAAACCAATGTGCAAACAGGTTTGTCGGTCGATGAGACGGGCGCGCCGACACGTGTTTCCTTCGACAGCGCGACGAAACATCACGACCCTTCATCTTTGTCCGAGGCCGACTCGCCGGTTGAGCACGCCTACACGAGTGGAGAACCATTCGGCGACCGCATTCGTGTGTTCAAGAAGAACGTCTTGCCTCCGAAGAAGCCGACGCCCTTCTATGTCTTGGTGTGGAGGGCATACAACGACGTCGTTCTCATCGTCTTGACAGTAGCCGCGGCCATCTCCCTGGCACTAGGTCTGTACGAAACCCTTGGCAGGGAGCATGATCCGAGCGAGCCAATGCCCGTCGATTGGGTCGAAGGCGTAGCCATTTGCGTGGCTATTATCATCGTGGTTGTCACGCAATCATTCAATGATTGGCAAAAAGAACGTGCTTTTGTGAAGCTCAGCGCGAGAAAAGAGGAGCGCGAAATCAAAATCATTCGGTCTGGCAAGTCGTATTTGATCAGTGTCCACGATGTTCTCGTTGGCGACATTCTTCACCTGGAACCCGGTGACTTGGTACCCGTTGATGGAATCCTTGTCGAGGGCCACGACCTCAAGTGCGACGAATCCTCGGCAACTGGCGAATCCGATGCCCTCAAGAAGACTGGAGGCGACGCAGTCATGCGCGCTCTCGAGTCAGGCCAGAGCAAGGCTGAGCTCGACCCTTTCATCATCTCGGGTGCAAAGGTTCTGGAGGGCATGGGTACGTTTGTCGCAACGTCTGTCGGTGTCAACTCCAGTTTCGGCAAGATCATGATGTCAGTACGTACCGAGATGGAAGCCACTCCTCTGCAGAAGAAGCTGGAACGCTTGGCCCTTGCCATCGCCAAGCTTGGTACCTCGGCCGCTGCTCTCTTGTTCTTTGTTCTTCTTTTCAAGTTCCTCGCCAACTTGTCCGACAACAACGACACGGCGACCGAGAAGGCATCGACCTTCACTGATATCCTGATCGTTGGCATCACCATTATTGTGGTCGCTGTTCCCGAAGGTCTTCCGTTGGCTGTCACTCTTGCGCTTGCTTTCGCGACAACCCGCATGCTTCGTGAGAACAATCTTGTGCGTGTGCTGCGAGCTTGCGAAACCATGGGCAATGCCACAACCATCTGCTCCGATAAAACCGGCACTCTCACTACTAACAAGATGACCGTTATCAAAGGCACGTTCGGTAAGGTCAGCATCACAAGGACCGAGGGAGAGAAGTCGGAGGAAACCAGTATGGCGGACTGGAGCTCGAATTTGCCTGAAAAGACGAAGCAAGCAATCATCCAATCAGTCGCAATCAACTCAACTGCCTTTGAGGGTGAAGACGAAGGTCGGCATACATTTATTGGATCCAAGACGGAAACTGCGCTGCTCTCCTTGGCGAAGGAATTCCTCGGGCTGGGTCCACTGGCGGAAACGCGTGCCAACGAGGAAGTCATTCAGATGTTCCCCTTCGATTCGAAAAAGAAATGCATGGGCGCCGTCATCAAGCTCAAGGAGTCGCAGGGGGGAGGGTACCGTCTCCTGGTGAAGGGCGCTTCCGAGATCCTTCTCAACTATTGCGGCAGCCGAGCCAATATCGACGATCTCAAGGTCGAGGAGCGGTTCCCACGAGAGGAGCGCAAGAAGATCCGCGCTATCATTGATCAATACGCCGGCAAATCTCTTCGCACCATTGGTCTGGTGTATAAGGACTACACTCAGTGGCCTCCTGCCCACGCTGAAGTGGAAGAAGGCCATGCCGACTTTGCTTCTCTCCTCCACGATCTTGTCTTCATGGGTGTCGTGGGTATTCAAGATCCTGTTCGTCCTGGTGTTCCCGAGGCTGTGGCCAAGGCCACACACGCCGGTGTCAAGGTTCGCATGGTGACAGGTGACAACATCATCACTGCGCGTGCCATTGCTACTGAGTGCGGTATTTATACCGAGGGTGGCTTGGTCATGGAGGGCCCTGCTTTCCGCAAACTGAACGACGCTGAATTTAATGAGATGCTTCCAAGGCTGCAAGTTCTTGCTCGGTCCTCTCCCGAGGACAAGCGTATCCTTGTAACCAAGCTGAAGGCACTTGGCGAGACTGTTGCTGTCACCGGCGATGGCACGAACGATGCGCCTGCGTTGAAGGCTGCTGACGTTGGTTTCTCCATGGGGATTTCGGGCACAGAAGTCGCCAAGGAAGCCTCAGCTATTGTTCTGATGGACGACAATTTTACCTCGATCATCACGGCTCTAAAGTGGGGCCGTGCCGTCAACGATGCGGTGCAGAAGTTCCTTCAGTTTCAAATCACGGTCAACATCACTGCCGTGCTGTTAGCGTTCATCACCGCCGTCTACTCGCCAACGATGGAGCCTGTCCTGAAGGCCGTACAGCTTCTGTGGGTCAACTTGATCATGGACACCTTCGCCGCCCTCGCCCTCGCTACGGATCCCCCCACGGAGAAGATCTTAGATCGTCCACCCCAAGGCAAGAAAGCACCGTTGATTACCATCAACATGTGGAAGATGATCATTGGCCAAGCCATTTTCCAGCTGATTGTGACCTTGATCCTCTACTTTGCCGGCCCCGAAATGCTGAACTATGATCGCTCTGACGACCAAAAGATGAGGGAGCTTGACACTGTCATTTTCAACACCTTTGTTTGGATGCAGATCTTCAACGAGTTCAACAACAGGCGCCTGGATAACAAGTTCAACATATTCGAGGGCATTCACCGCAACTTTTTCTTCATCATTATCAACATGATAATGGTTGGACTCCAAATCTGCATCATCTTCGTCGGATCGCGCGCGTTCGCCATAACTGATGGTGGCATTGACGGAACCCAATGGGCGATTTCGGTCATTACGGCCCTCATGTGCTGGCCGTGGGCCGTCGTGATTCGTTTGTGCCCGGACGCGTGGTTCGAGGTTGTCGCAAAAACCGTCGGAGGTCCCTTCGCCCTCGTCTACCGTTTTCTTCGCAAGGGCTGGCGCGCCACAGTCGGCCGCCTGTTCAAGCGTTCCAAGAAGGATGATGTCGACGGCGACGAGAAGGATGCTGCTGATACCGCTGAAATCAATGAGCACACCGTCACCGAGGAGAAGGTCAAGGACCTCGAGAACGCCTCGAGCCCGGCTGCGAATGTTCCCATCATCAACGTACCAGATGAGATGCCTGCGACGGAGAACGCCCCTGCAATAACGACCACGGCGCCTGAGCCACCTCGGGTCGAGGTTACATTGGATCATGAGCCTCCGAAGACCTCATAATTCTGTTTTGTTCGTATTTCTTGGAGTTGGTGGCTTTGCGCTACAGTGCCGTGATTTTCACATTTCAGTTCACGGATAGATCATTACTGCATGGACATTTTTCGGATGGCATTCGTAGTCAGCAACCGTTTGGTGTTGACCCTCGCCTTTTTGGCAGTGCCCGAGGCGGCAAGCATACCTATAGACATCTGGTAGCGAAATATTGAACGTTTTGTCAAAGGATCATTGTCACTTTTTCGAACAAGCTTGCGTAGCACGGATTTCCCTTGTGTAGCCTTGTTATCCACCTCTTTGTGTTCACTTCCCAGGAAAGTGAACGCAAAGAGGGGGATAACAAAGAGATTCGACAAAGCAAACCCAAGAACTGATCGAATTTCAGGAGAATGCAGAGCCCACGTTGCAGTTCATTCTTGCGCCCGGATCATCTTGAAAGCCTGTCATCAACGCAGCAATGTGAGCATTGTCATCAGGCTGACAACGGGGACAAGAAGTTGGTCATAGGTAGGCACGCCGCTTGACAGTCAAAAGAACCCACCAGCCCAGTCCTAATGCACATTTCCCTAGCATCTCTACACTCGATTTATGTGAACACGCTGACATACTTTCAAGATGTGCATCACACTAACCGTCCATCACACCAGATGTCCCTCGAACCAACCAATCGTCCATATCCCTGATACTCGCTTCGACATTTACCACCCGTTCCATGAACCGAGCTGCGACTGCGCGCAACAAGCACCTCAAGGGCGTGCATGGGCCCAGTCATGCCATAGCCATGGACCCTGCTGCAAGACGTACAGTATGGAGATATGCGACAACAGGGTAAAGTGTGGATACTACAAGTGCCTTAAAAACCAAAGCCAAGCCCATCTGGTGTTACGCTACGGATCCAGAGCCCCTTTGACCGGCTCAGCGGTGTCCAAAAATCTGTTCAAGAAGCCCAAGCGTCTTGGAGATCAACGCATTGCTCATGGCATCATGCAAGTATTGCATGGTGTCCTCGATATAGGGGCGAGGATCCGAGAAACGCAGCAAAATGAGCACATTGCCTGGCCTTCCGGCAACGAGGAGCTAAGGAATGAACTACTGTCGCAGCCTGAACACCATCAACTTGCCCAGAACTGGGAGACCAACATTGCCACCTGGCGAAGGATGTGTCTTCAGATTGCCGACTTTCCGCCATACCACCGAGCGATAGCTACGGGCGAGGACTGGATTAAAGTCACGGCTTTGCCACAGTGGCTCGCTGCTTTCAGAGCGAATCTTATTGACTACACCGACGCTGAGCGGCTTGAGCTGTCAAAAAATTCAGACGTCAAGTGGTTAAGTTACCCAAAAGATAATGGTAAGTGTCGCACCTGGTGGCGTGAGAGCTCAAGACAATCTAACCAGAGAACTGCAGATTTCAACCGCTTCATTATGGAATCTCCATGCGGTACCACATTCGTCATTGACAACGAATTGGAGTCCGATGTCACTCATACACGCGGTGATGAGGCTGCTCGGACCGAGTTGTCCATGGCTGAGCCCGCGGTTCATGTCGGGCCCACGAGCCAAATTAGCCAATACATTTTTCCCACTTCGGGACACGAAAGTCTCACTGATGGAGATGAATGCTCCTTCAAAATCGAAATTCATAAGGGAGATGAAGATGAAGATCAACATGGGGAGCCCTTGCTCCCGTATGTGCTGAACAACTGCCGCCTCTACGGCGAGGATACAGGGGTTGGTCAAGCATGGCTTTTTGTGCTTCGAAACCTATATGCCAGCGGCAGTCTCGACACTGAGATCACTGCCCTGCGCGAGGAAGCAGGTTTGGTGCTTGACATGTATCAGCAGGCTGCCGACACGAAACAGGAGACGCGAGCAGGCGAGCTGTATGATGAAGCCTGCACGATCGCCAAGTATCTCCAGAAGTACAGGGAACGCAACTCACAACACCAACTCGACACAGAATCTTGTGTACCTGAGCGTATTTACGGTCCTACTGCGATGGGCATTCGCCGACCGAGGATCAACAGAGCGATGGAAAGACATGCCCGGCTGCTGGGCGTCGACAAGGCGTATCTGAAACTCCCCCCCAAGGAGCTATACGTTGACATGCTCAATAATCCCAATACCAGAGTGCTGAGCATTGAGGAGATCATTGACGGACATCTGGTCAGACCCTGGAGAGATATTTCACGCGCGCCTTCTCTGGATGAGCGTGAGCTCAACAACAAGAACTGCCTAGATGCTGTTCGTCCACCGCAGAATGCGGAGTTTAAAATCCGAGGGGCTGCGTTATCTAATCAAAAGGTTCATCATGGGAACCTTGTGGGTGGGAGCGTGCCGGCCGTCCTCAGCGGGACAACTTCACACGCTGCTGTTCACGACATGGCCCATACCACGGACCAGCAAGACACAAACGGTACAGCAGATCAACAGCCGAACCCGCCCTCAGGTTTCATCAAACGAAGATCCAGCAAGACGTCGCCCTGGAGACAACAGGCAATGGTCTCAGACCCATTTAATTCTGTAGTAGGTCCATTTGCAGGAAGCGATGTGACCCACAGCATTGTCGAGACTGAAGGCTTGCCCTCTGATTTGATAGCTGTCGACGAGGACGAGTTGAGTGACTACAAATCTGGCGGCGAGAACTCGGACGAGCTCGATGAGTCCATGGACGGTGCGCAGCATCATTTCAAATTTCTACATCAGCCTTGCACTCCTTTCCATCAAGACCAAAGCACCGGGAATGTTGGCTGTCCCCTGAGCGGTAGCGGTGTCCAAGGCGAACAAGGCATGAGGATTCCGCGACATCTGTCAAATGATTCATCTATTTTCGTATCTCCCAACTCAGAAAAGTCAGAGGAGAAGTCTGAAACACGACCCACTGGAATGTCCGACCTTGAGAAGCCTTCTATGCCAGAGCTTCCCAAAGATGGCGAAGATCTAGGTTACGAAGCGGGCTACGAATCAGTGACCGTCTCTGAAGGCCATGAGACACCGCTGAACACTGGCCCAAACATGCGGACGCTTTCTCTCTTTGGTGGCTCTGCTTCGGGGCCTCCAGACCGATCAGAGCGACCGCGTACGCGACATGGATACACGACGAGCTTGAGTCGCCGTTGCCAGATGCCCAACGGCACTCAGCGATTCTCGCCTTACGCCCGTGCAAACGCATCAAATGTACACATTTTCAAAATGCGATCGACTTGTCCGAAATTCCGCACATCGATATCTTCAAGTGAAGGGTCGACCGACGCTCGCCCTCATCGGGGCCGTCGACCGGCAAAGGGATACTTACAGCTTCCCGAGAGCGATGGTGACAAAACATCACCCTCAGATTCGGTGGCCCCGTGTTCATCGAAATCGACCAATAGGCCTAGCTTGATTTGTGAGGAGCCCAAGACTCCACCCGGCTGCATTCACTCTGAGTCCTCGTTGCCCGGATCAGGCACATCAAGTGATGGCACGATCCCCGAGGACCACACACCTTACAGCCATAAATCGACACCGGCCTCCGAGCTTTCAGAAATCGAGGGCTCTATGTTGAGTGAGTCTGGCTGTTCGTGTGAGCCGTCGGACAAGAAGTCACGCTCAAACAAGCGCAAGCGCTCTGATGAGCCTGGAGCAGAAGAGCCCGTACAAAAGAGAGTCGCCGGGAAAGGCCCAAAGCGAACTCCTGTGAAGACAGTGGCGAAAATGGCGTCTGTGCCCAGAAGGGGAAGTCCGCGTCTAAGAGGTAAGGCGAGACGTAATTACTGCGAGTGATAGGTAGACGTGGGTAGTGGGTATTTGTCGTTTGCATTGAGGTATACAGGAGTTATAGCAATTGTCGTTTCCAAGCTGCGGGAAAGGATGTGTGATTTGTGAGCAAAGAAATCCATGAAAACGTACGCACCATTATCAAACTCTAGGCCTGACTTTTACCTGGAAATTTATAGGCCTGACATTGAACCATCCGTCCATTCCCACCTGCTCGATGTTGTAGTTTTCGTCCACCATCTCAAACTCGATCTCACGCAGCAGCATGGTGAGCACGATCATGTTCCACAATTGGGCATAGTGCTTCCCAATGCATTCACGCTTTCCGTTTCCAAACCACCTCGTCGCTGCGCGTGGAAGCTTCTCAAACTCGGGACCCATCATCCTTTCCGGCTTGAAAGCCATTGGGTCTGGGAACACCGTAGGATCGCGGTTGACACCAGCCAGTACCAGGATGATCGGCTGGTTGTGGGGAATCTCGTACTTACCCCCGGCGAGCTGAACGGGCGATTTGTCCTCAGACGGGACGGGCTCAAGATTGAAGCCTGGGGCCGGGTGTCCCAGTCGCAGCGCTTCGCGAACGACGCCTTCAACATAGCTGAGCTGAGGGATATGACCCATTGTGAGGGTTTCTTTGCCGACCACGTGGTGAATTTCTTCTCTTGCCTTGGCCATGACTTCCGGGTTCTTGAGCAGATAGTAAATGGCGGATGTGATGAGGCAAGGCGCCGTGCTGCTGCCAATCGGCATGGAGACAATCTCGTCAATGATTTGTGATTCGGTCAAGGATTTGCCTGTCTCAGGGTCCTTGTGCTCCATCATCGCAGACAAGAGGTCCTGCCTCTTGGTAGGGTTCTGCTTGCGGTAGTCGACCATACCCTGGGCATATGCGCGCATGGTGGCTGTGCTACGCTTAAACTTGCGCCCGTAGAAGAGGGAATTCAGGATGCCCGGTCGAGTAGGTCTCATGACCGCTTCAGCAGTCGATGTCTCCATGCCCTGAATCATGGGGTGCTGCTGGCCTTCGAGTCCATTCAACTTCTTGCCGTAGAGCGTCAACGTGGTAGCTTCGAGGTTAAGCCGGTTGAGCTGCTCTATCAGCGTGATCTTATTGCTGCTGTCGCCCAGGTGCTTCCACAGGTTGATGAGCTCAGAAGTAGTGTCCCGCATCTCGTCAAAGTGTACGCTCATAGCTTGAGGTGACAGCTTAGGTGCAATGATTCGATGAGCGATGCCCCAGGAAGCCTCGTGATCGTAAGCCGTGAAGAGAGCATCGTGCACGGCGTACCGGATCTCATCAATAGGGCCACCGACATACTTCCTGAAGCCTGTCCTGCATTAGCATAACGACACAAGAAGATGATCGAGAGGTGGTGTCGTACGCTTTTCGTCGGTGACCTCTTCAGCTAGATTAGCTCCCGCGACAAAGACAATGGTATGTCCAAGGACAGTAATCTTGAAGATCTCGCCGTATGTTTCGGCGAGCTTCTTGAGAGAGGCCCAGGTGTTGCTCGGCTTCACATCAAGGACATTTCCAAGCAATGGCAAGCCTTTTGGCTGAGGAATTGGTTGCGCCATGACTGCGTTGATGTCTGGTTTGGCTTCTGAAGAAGTCGAGGAAGCGAAGGAACATCGAAGGGGGGACGTCAAAAAGTACCTAACGTTAGGTGTCGGCTGATGATCACTTTTAGGCCGACGCGCCACCACTGGGATCTCGCATCTTGTCTCACTTTAGCCCAGCCACCATCATTGGTCTTGTGTTCAGCTGTCCATTTACTCTACCCTTTTCGTGACGACGATCATGGTGCTACTGTAGCTGCACCTGTAGCTACGGCAATGGGGATGGGACTATTAACCATTCCAGCGCAATGCCCACAGTAGACCATTGTTGTTCAACATTCAAGTTAGCAGATCGGTAAAGGCTGGAAAATGATCACCATGGATATTGGATGCTGCCTCAAGAGTTGCAGCGGCGCGGCGTTGTACATTAGCTCACGCTAGATGCGGGACGCGGACGCAGCCGTGGCCGTAGTACCGGCTACTTCACTCGCTTGACTGAAGTTGGCCCTAATGAGCCGACCATCAACCGTGCTTTGCAGCCCAGTCGTTGTTGCTTCTGATGCAGATGGTCCAGTGACTCTGGAACAAGCTACGCAGGCGTCCGCTAATTAAGTCCGATCCAGCGGACGTTTGATCGACGGAGCGTGAATGGCGAATGTGTCGCTGTTCAGCGAATGCGAGAAATTCAGATCTAACGGAACATTTGAGATCCAACGTCGCGAGTCGCGACCGGCAGAGTCGGTGCATCCAGGAGTGCCGATTCCAGGGAGAAGCGAATCTACCGGTGAGTGTGCGATGACTAATCTTGTGCCCCACCAGCATCCCCAACTTGAACCTCCCAAGCTCGACCTCCTCCAAACGCGTGCCCCTGACACGTCTCCCGCCCAATCCATCGCATCACCCCTCTGACAACCGCAACCATGACACGCGCGCAGCAGACCATCTCGCTCGCTCTTCTCGTCTCCTCGGTAGGTCCCGCGCTTTAGGTGCTCCGCCGCAGCAAGGCTTCATCCGCTGGAACAAAAGTTCGTCTGACATGGACAGTTGTACCTCGCCCTGTTCTTCGAGTTGATCCCGCTACCCGCCCTCGTTCAAGAACAAATCGTCCCGTTGGTATGTTTTGACCCTAATGGCCGCCTTGTACTTCAGTCGAGAATGAATCTAACAATGCACAGCTCCCATTCTGGGCCCTCGTCTCATTTGGAGCTCTCCTCCTCTTCCGCCTCGGGTACGGCATCTTCACATTCAACGACGTTCCGGCCGCGCATCAGGAGCTCATGAAGGAGATCGAACTCGCCAAGGTCGACTTGCGAAAGCTGGGTGTGGATGTGGACTAAATCTTGCCTCAACTGGCCAGGAAGGGAAATGTCACAGCCACGGAAGAGGTAGATGGAGGAGAAGCATGATAGCATTATGCGGGGGTATCTGCAAATGCAAAAAAGGACAAAATGATCAACGCGACAACGCCTCGCTAAAACTAAGCATACTATCCCAATGGCCAAGATTGTGGGCGTGTATCACGATTCGCCGACAAGCAGTGACACCACCTTGCGCACTGCAACCCGCGGCTGCTCACCTCCCTCGACGAGTTCCTCAAATAGCTTCGGCACTTTGCCCAGCGCGCCTTTGCCATCTGCTTGGCGCCCTGCGGGCTGTTAGTGAGGAACAAAACACGGACAGGGATGGAACAACTCACATTTACCGGGCGCCCCCAGTAAAACGGCGACTTTGCTGTGCGCCTCGCCTGACCATTCAAAGTCGATTCTCCATTGGAATCGCACCGATGCGACTGATGGTGATGATCCACCCGGTGGTGGAATCTGGACGTCGATTGCTTGTTTCCCCATGTAGAGCAAGAGGTCCACATGGCTTGGTGTCATCTTGGTATCCTCCTCTCCATCTTGTTCCCCATCCCTCCTTTTCCGTGGCTTGGGCGTGCGCAATTTCTGATTCATCTCAAGGATGGCTTCGGCCGAGCCGAGCTCAGCCTGCAGCTGACACCAGAACTGTGCTCTCTGCTCCGCTACGCGCACCCATTCACCCATTGCCCAGGATGCGATCCCAACGTTTCTCTGCATACTGCGGTTGCATTGGCCAGTGCAGATTTTCTTCAAAAACGCACCGAGCTCGCTTTTTGCGCTTGGCTCGAGTGTTGGAACATCCAGTGATGTGATGCGAAGTTGATGTACGTCGATGGTCAGCTCCATCTTGGCGGCAAAAAGTCCGGGTGCACGCCGTGAGCGTAAATGAACCGTGTAGAACTGTTGCGAGGGCTGATCCGCGGCAGTGGGCGCCATAGACATGGCGCCCAACACTTCGAATGGGCTGAACAGTCGCAGAAAGGGCAATTCCTCCTCGGCTGTCATAGGCACCGGTCGATGCGACTTGATGCGGGCTTTGTCTTTCTCGGCTTCATTCGACGGTAGCACAGACACGGCCGGCTTGGCGAACGGTAAGAGGGCCATTGGGTTCAATGCTGCTTTCGCCAATAGATGAGACTGCGTCGGGCACGAGTCCACACCACCAGGCGCATAATGCCGCTTGAGGATTCGCTGGATATCTTCCTCTTCCGAAAGTGACACTGTCCGACCAGCTTTTTGCAGTGCCCTTATCCTCTCATTTTGCCGTCCCGTCACCTGCAGATCATTCCTCAGAGTCGCCAACTCCGTTCTCAGCGCCTCAAGCTCTCTCCGCTTGTGCGTGTTCTCGTCAAATGTAGGCAGGTTTCGGACGTTGTCAGACTCATCTGATAGCACAGTGGTCTGTCGCAGCCGGCTTGGCTGCGTAGCTGTGGCGAAGAGTTTCCTTTTGGACGGCGAAGCCATGGCGTTCTCCATGTCGGTATCTGGACGCACTGGCGGATTTTTGAGGGGTGAGCTCGGCTTGGTCTTGGATTTAAATGTGCGGCGCCGCGATGGACTACTGCTGCTGTGTATGCCCCTCGGGGGCGTCGACGTGACAGGATCGTCGACAGACGGTGGAAGATCTGGTTCTGGAGGTGGCTGGACCGCTGCCGCATCTGTCGAGCGCCTCAATCCACGCCTGGCGAAAGGATCGAACTCTTCCTCGTCCTCGTCCGCCGGCGGGGGTAACGGTCGTGGGGCTGGCTTCGCAGGCGATCGTATAGGCAGTATCCGGCGTACCGGGCTAGGAGATTTTGGCGGAGACACCGAAATTCTTCTTTCAAGTATACTCGGGTTGAAGCGCGCCATGCTGGTCTTGGTGGGCGACGCATAGGACGGGCGATTGGTCCTTGACTGTTGCGACGAGGGCCGTGGCGCGTCTGTTGCTTCGCTGTTGCCGTCATTGGGGGGCGATGTTCGCCTTCTTTTGGGCGAAGGCGCATCCATGATTATTCAACGTTGTCGTTTAATGCGACATTGCGCGGCCTTGTGAACAACTGAAATATACTGGTAGAGACATTGACAACTTCCTGCCTCGATCTGGGGGTAAGACCATAAGTCGCGGCAGTACGGATAAGTCGCGTCGGAAACAAACAATGTGGGCTTCACCGCCTACCCCTTTTGACCACACTCTAAGCATCGACTTGCTCTCAGCGATCAAGTTGCTGCAACAAGCTCAATGAACTAGGCTCTGTGTGTCTCAAGGCTTTAAATCAATTGAGTTTGTAACATTTACAATACAATGTCACAAAAACTGGTCAATTCTATAAGCTCGCTTGGCAGCTTTGGCTATTCGTCTCCCATGCCGGTCACGTGCTCTGGCTAGCCGAGGGTCAGTCGAGGACCCCCGAAATCCGGCGCGTGCTTCCGCCAATTTACGTCACTCTCGTTTTCTCTATTTGCTCTGCCAACAGTGTCCACCTTCTTGCCGACAGCTTCATCCCTCTCTTTCACGAACACTCGTCGCAGCCATGTCTCTCGCACTAAGGATCGCGCCTCAGCTGCGCGCCATCAGCCAGGTGGCTGCGACACCCGTGGTGGCACGTACCTTCACCACGAACACCCCCAACACGAGGGAACCCAACGACCCCCAGAACCAGCGGTTCCCCATTGGCGCCTTCTACCAAGCCATGCTCGACTATCCTACGCCCTTTGGCTTCGAGGTCAAGCCCGAGGTCCCTCCCAAGTCCGCCGACCCCGCTGTCCAGCCGGCTGAGGAACCCGCCACCGGCAAGAAGAAGCCCGGCCGCAAGGCCAAGACCGAAAGTACGCCACCTCCTATCTCCTCCTTTACCCCTGATACGAGCACTGCTGAGGAAAAGGCCCTGCGGGTGTTCGGTAAACGCTTGGACGGTGAGAAGGACATTGCCGCGCACAGTGCGAACAAGAGGAACCAGTCGCGATTAATAGGGGGCGTGCTGGTGCCGCCAGAGCCCCAGGAGCCGGACAACTGTTGCATGAGCGGGTGTGTCAACTGCGTGTGGGACCTCTTCCGGGAGGACATGGAGGAGTACCAGGCGAAGAGATTGGAGGCGGAGTCCGCGATGAAGGCGGAGGATGGAGGGGCAGGCGATGTGATTACCACAACAAAAGAGCAACAGCCCATAGCGGGAATGAAAGTTGGTGATACGACCACGATTGCCAAGGACACGTGGGAAGATGATCTGTTCGCGCACGTGCCGGTCGGTATACGAGAGTTCATGAAGCAAGAGAAAATGTTGAAGGAGAAGCACGCAAAGGAACAGCAGGCAAGCTGAAGTGGGGAGTTGGAGTCCGCACTCTTGGATAGAGATACCCTTACGACAGGCACGACTACAACATAGCATAGAACAGCGAATAGAATTGTTTGCGCCCTCAGACTGGCAGACCGGACTCCTTGGCTAGCCTGTCGTGCTCCTCAATGTCGCCGGCCTCCCAAGGGTAGCAGATCCACTCGTCGCCGACCGTGCGCGCAGCGTGGTAGCGACCCTCGGCCATCATGTCGTTGGGGAGGACGCCCTTCTTTTGTTTGTCCTTGTTCTGCGAAACACTGTTAGTCTCGATCTGGCGCGCCTGTACCATGGCGTTGACCTACATGCAGAACAAAGATGCTGAACTCTGTCTTGGGCTGGTTGCCTCCAAGGCGCTGCCTCGCCGCCTCTACATCCTTCTCGAGCTCCTTGACGGCGTACTCCAGGGTTGTGCGGGTATCGTCCACCTCGTCCACAATCAAGATCCTCTTGCCGATCAGGTTGGCCATCTCGCCCAGCGAGCTGAGATCCAGCCACTGTGTGCGCGTCACCTTGGTACCGGGGGCCTCAACCTGGTCATCGCCTTCTGCGCCGAGCGTCTCGTAGAGGGAGAGACCGATGGCCTGGATGGGGATGTTGGGCGAGCCGGGCTTCTTGAGGAATGAGCGCAGGATGCGGGCAGGCACGTAGCCGCCGCCACCGATGGCGATCATGAGCTGGGGCTTGCAGTCGGCCAGGAGCTTGTCCGCCGACTGCTGGCAAAGCTTGTGGACATCGTTGTACGTGACGTAGACTTTTTGGACCATGATGGGCAGATTTTGTATTTGTACGAGGTCGGTACGTTGCAAGGAACGACGGTGTGGGAGTCGGCGCGCGAGGAGATACGTGTGATTATCACGGTGGCAACGTCCGGACCGATGGAGTAGTCGAGGTTGCCCAAGGGGAGAGAGGGAGGGAGGGAAAGGAAGACTACGGACAGGATGCGGTCAGATTTAGGGTTCTTTTCATGCTTTGGCCAGCAGGCAGACGCCGCCAGCGTGTTGGTGGTGCTATCCGTCCATCCCCGCGTCACTGTGTCTGATCTTTTTTTTTCTTCGCTGCGACTGCCCCTCCAATCCCCGCAACTGGCTTGCGCCCTCCAATGATCTCGTGCCATCGTGGGACGCCTCGATCTTCTGTCTCCGAGCTGTCGGCGAGCGCCGAAAAGACGTGTGGCTGGTGGACGAGGAAACAAAGCTCAGAAATTAGGATGGAAGATGATTACAACGGCTGTCGTACATTTAGTGGAGACTATACCACCATGGCAGCATTGACAGTATCTTACTTGAGGTTGTGTTGTACAACAGAATTCAATCACCCTTTAGGACCTCGTGAAATACCCCGCCCCACCTCTAGTATCCGTATAGCCTAGCCAAGTCGATCACAGGCTCACAGCCTGAACATCGCTACGTCCTTCCTTCACCAGCCTTGACAGCAAGCGTCCCATCCACAGCCCTCCTCTGTGCCCTTTGTCAGTGACTCTCAAACAGGTGCATTCTGTTCCAGTCCCTAAGTGTTCCAGATCAAGTCATGTTTTTAGGGCAAATCAGTTCCTATCTGACTTTGTCACGTGCATGCGACATGTCAAGTTTATTACCGCGTCAATCGGGCGTGGAGTCAAGACAGCGAGTGTCCGCGCAATGTGGACGATGCTATACACCACAGCAAGGAAGTCAATCTCATCATTTGAAGAAGCGGTTGCTGTGGTACTCTAGGCTTTATTCAGACATCGACGCACCGCACCATGGAATTTCCCAACTCGGTTGCCATTGCCCAAGCACTCTGCACAGCGACAGCTTTCTAGCTTGAATGTTGAGAAACCCTTGATTCGATTGGCAAGCCCAGCACGACGCAGCTCGAACCTCCTGTCTGAGGCTATCGGATTTTAGGATGACACTGACTCCCGAGTCCCAAAAGTCGTGTCATCCAAAGACGCAGCGAGCTAATCACAATTGGCGACTGTGGACTCGGAGTCTTGGAGTATCCGCAAACCACGAGGAGCTGGGAGTGCTGCGTCTCATCGGCGGCTGTGGCATAATACGCCCTTCTCTGGGCTGCCTCTGAACACTCCTTGATTGTAGTTGTCAGGGTTTCTTCTCGCCCGCAGAAGTCGCCACTTTACGTGTAGTATCTGAGCGAGAATGTAGCTGGCGTTGCGGACGACGGTTTTCGACAATGTCGAAAGGTCTTGGATTTGCGTGTCTCCTGCTTGGTGCGCTTTGCCCCGTTTTCATGTACGTTGAGCATTGTCAATGGTATCGCACACCCTTTCTACAACAAGTGTGACACAAGTCCACTTAATAAGTCCGAAGCGCATAGGGCCTAGTGACAGATCCATTTTGCTTCGAGAAAGCAGTACTATGAGGCCCTCTTCGGCTAACGATGACTTTTCCAAGGGTGTATTCAGACGTCACCGACGTCTTTTCAGTGTCAATATAGTATGCGATTCCGCGCGTTCCTCGTCCTCACGTCTCACACGCTGATCCTTTTAGTCCGCACAGCAAGTCTGTGAAATTCAGTGTATCATCTGTGTAACCAGCTGCGGGCTGTGCGGGCAGGCCCGAACCTTGTTATGTGCGATGTTATCGATAGATCCTTGGGTGCGAGACAACACAGACGATCACAGCATGAACGGTTGGGGCATGTAAGCCAGGGTCATCACGTGCTCTTTTAACTTTTGATGGGATGGTAATCTAATTATGAGTCCAAATTCAGGGTCCAACTTCAAGGACCCTTATTGGTCCACTTATCTGAGTAGACTCTTCGCCTCGAAGTTTATATTCCTCCTGAACTCTCACTGCAGAGCAAATATAGAGTGAACATTGTCCTTTGTCAGGGTCATATACCTGTCCTGGTCAATTGCATCAACCATTCAGATGGTATACACATAGATTACAATGGGCGCATCACAACGGCAATTCAGTTGATGGTAAGTGTGTTGATCATTGATAGTAGTAACAGTGTAAACGTCCTCCGCAGAAACATGTTCGCCAGTGTGCCCCTAAGCACATAACCTTTGCCAGTCAAAATCCAAATCCTCCATTTCCTGCACAATTTTTTTTTTTTTTCTTTTTTTCTTTCTTTTTTTTTTTTGAGTTTTGAGTTTTGAGTTTTGCTGAGGACACAATGTCCATTGCACCCTTGTCGACTGACCACACATTTGTTGCTCAGAAGCAACCTCAACGCTGTGAGAAAAACAGAACACGTAGTCAAAAACAAACTGTCTCGAAGCTCATGGGCTCCTGGTGGGGGGTATCGTGGTAAAAAATCGACTCGCTTGTGAGCTAAAGAGCTCGAGAAAGGGGGTATCGCTGGTTTGCTGAACAGAAGGAAATCTCTGACATTGCCATCTCGTGAAAGGCAGATCCTCGACTAGAGGTGGCAGCCCTGGTTGAGGAGGAATTCACAACCATTGCCAGCGTACTTGACCTCGGCAGCGTTGCAAGTAACGCGGCGACGGCACACCTGGAGGCGGAGGACAAGCTTCCAGCGCTGGATGAAGAAGCAGCGGCGGTCCTCAAGGCGCTGGAGGAAATTGTCCTTGAACTGAGCGTGGTGATCCTTGATTTGCACCCACTTCTCGTCTGAAACATCGTCCAGGACGAGGAGGAGGTCCTTCAGACGGGCGTCGTGGCACTTGTACATGTCCCGGCACTCTTGCTTGACGGTCTTGACATCAGTGGCCCGGTCGCGTGGCAGAGAGTACATGCAAGGCGCATTGGTGTTGTAGTAGCGACGGATGGCAGCAATGGAGTCCTTGGTGGCATGCTCTGCCGCGACGACATAGTCGCGCATCTGGTTGCACAGAATCTCATCAAAGTCATCATGAGCAAAGTCAACGCCTGCCGTCTCGGTAGCGGTAGGCATGTCCGTGATCCTCATGGCGTTTGCCTTCTGGCAGCGAGAGATGGCTTCGTTGAGGCGACGGCGAGCTTGAGCGGTGTGGTCAGCGGCGACAACGGCAGCTTGGTTCATAGAGTTGGAAGACATCTTGAGGAGAGTGTAAGATGTGAGTATCCAAAGCTGGTAGTTGCTTGGTGATCAAGTAAATCGAAAGGACTTGAAGTTCAAAGTCTTTGGTAGCTGGTGAGTCGGTTGTGGTATGAGCTCAGAGAGACAAAGTGAGTTGTCAGAGTGAAGATAGATTGTCTACTAGATGGGCGGGCAGGTGTCTTAAGTAGTAGAATCACGGTGGAACAGCATGAAATGTATCGAGCTAATGAAAGCTTGAGAGCGAGTTTGTAAGTGAGCGGAGTGAGCGGTATAGAGAGCCTGGATCGTTGATGGAGGAAGGAAAAAGAAAACGCTTCCCAGGCAGGGAGGCGTGCTTTTATACTTTTTTCCCAGGGTCTCGCAATCAGCCAGAGTCTTGAAATCAGTAGTTTCCTTGAGATCAGTCAGGGTCTTGAAGCTTTTCAGGGTCCTAAGGCTAATCGTGGCACGCGGCGAGTAGACTTTGATGTCAAGGAACCTTGTAGACAGCATACAGCACGGAATTGGAAAGAAGCTTTGCCGGCTCGTGTTAAGTATCAGGCAATCCAGGGGTGACTTTGCATAGTCTTGAAATTGTTCAGGATCCAAAAGCTAGTTGTGTGTCACGAGGACGCTTATAGGCAACATGCTTCACAGAGTGGGAAGGAAGCTTTGCCAATTCATGTTCAGACTCTGTAAATCCACTGGTAGATTTGTACAGTCTTGAAATTGATTAAGGATCCAAGAGCTTGCCCCGTGTCACAAGAAGCCTCATAGACAGCATACGGCACAGAGTAGGGAAGGAAGCCTCCCCGGCTCATATTTAAACTTAGGAATACTTCCGTAGGTTCGTATGAAAACTTTGTATCAAGAACGAATTTCGACATAGGTTTGTGTGGGCGCTGTTTAATTCTCTGCTGTTCTCATCGGGTACAACGGAGTATTTGCCCGAGGCCCTGCTGCCCCACGAGCGCACGATGTCAGGCTCCTCATCGGAGAACTCGGAATGCTCACAACCTCCGAAGGGGGACTGACTCACCAATTAGCACACGCTGGCCATAACTTACGATGCTAGCCATCTTGCAAATAGGCTTTAGTCACTTTGATATCCTTTCGATGCAATTTCCATCAATCACATGGCATCCGGCCCATTGTCTATGTGAGAAGTGAGTTCTATGTGGTGATTTAGAGGTATCCAAGCTAGTCTGCCGCTCCTCGGCCCTGGAAATGCACCACGCCCGCAATGAGTTTCCAAACCCGCATAATCATGCTGCAGCAGCACTGAGGTCCACGAGCTCCTTGCCCTGCTTCAAGTCTGCAAACCCATAAGCCTTGCTATCTGGCGGCAGCGTGCCGTCAGCAGCCCACATATCCACGAGTGGCTTCATAGGCTCGAGATCCTCCGGTCTCAGCAAGTCCAGCGTTGTTGCCGTCAAGACAAAATGGCTGAAGCAGCTGTTGAGTTGCTTCTCCAGGTTCAGCTGATAGAATGGGTCGAGGAAGTGGTCCCAGTACAGATGAGCGTAAACGCGGAACATCTGGAGGAAGATAGTGCGGCAGATGCCAGGGAACTCTTTTGGGAACCCACTCCGCCTGCCGATGTAGTCATCGGCCCCATTGGCGTCGGGGTTGGCCGCATCAGCATAAGGTGCTGAGGACACACCAGCTGGGTCTGACGGGAAGAGATTTGTGTCATCAATCTTTCCTGAGATCCAGCGCTGCATAAGGGTCATGTACTCGTATGCAGGTAGCTCGACTGGCTCGTGACGGCTGTTCAGCCAGGTGTATGAGGTGCTGCTTCCAGCTGACATTTTGGGGCAGCTTTGACGGTTGCAGATTGATGTGCCATCCTCATCCTTCTCAACCACCACGCGTACAAAGTTCCACAGCACCCTATAGTGTTCGACAACTGGAGATTTTCTTAGAATATGACGTGAAGCACCAGCGGCTCCTGGACTTACCCTGATGAGCTATCCACTCGCCCTGGTCAACTGTCTTGGGCCTCGCGCTGAGCGTCATGAAATTGCCCTTGACAATGTGCTTCGCACAGGGGCGGCTCAGCCAGGCAGGCAGAGGCCGTGGCCAGCTGGACACAGGTCCATCAAAAGGCAGGGGCCCCGATGCAACAGCGCCTGCAGGCGTTGGCGTTGCCGCTGGTGATGAAGATCCGGGAGGCGGCTGGAGGGGTCCCTCAGCCGGGCCGGGGCTCCTCTCGGTACGGCCCGAGGAGCCTCGGAAGCGGGCATTTCTGCATTATCAGCATATACTATGCCAGTTTCAGAAGAGTCTGTTCTTACATCCCGGAAATGAAGTTTGACATGGCCGGTATTGTTGTACGCTTGGTGAAGTGAAGTCAAATGCGGTGGTGCCAGGTGGGCCAGAGGCTAGAGCGGTCAACGGTAATGGCGGCCGGCGGTGGACCCCTGTTTAGGGGCACCTTCCATCCAGGGTCCAAGCTCAATTGTGGCGGGTGAGAGTGGCTGAGGCAAACAGGCATCTGTGGCCCGGTAACACGTCCCACAGACTTCCCCAAATTCAAAAACGGACAGACCTTTGTCATCTGATCAAGCTCGTCATGTTACGAACTCTTGTACACTCGCGATTTTCCAGGGACACAAAGAACCATCTCTCATAAGTACATGCCTTCAATGTGAACTCGAAGGACACCCCGTCAAGAACTTGACTGATACACATTCTAACGACCGAAAGCCAGTGAAATGGCGCGGCTCTTACTCTGAACAATGCAGAGCCATTTCCACCGCCATTCAAGATCGTGCACTGGTGTTCTCTCCTTTAGACCGAGATGAGAACACCAATTTCTAGAAGACTGTTATGGACAAAGATGCCACGCGGGAACAGCAAACAACTACTTGGTCGACTTTGCTACAAGTATCTCCAATACACACTTCTCTTCGTTATCCGAGTCACTCGCTATTGCAATTCACTGACGAGGAGAGCGATTCGGGAATCCCTCTATCATAACGGAACTCGTTTTACACTGGTGTTTTACGTACTCGGAAAAAAACACAGAGCCCTGAACACAACCCCAAACTCTCTCACAACGAGCCTATACTTCACCGCACCCAACCTACGCAACGATCTCTCTAAAATGGCTAGTCGCAACAAATGCCCTGGTCTGACCGTGAGCATCCCATCCCCTGACGATTTTGTGAGTCCGCTATATCTGGGGCGAGCGGAGCAGACAACCAGCGCAGACAGCGTAGAATCCCTTGAGCGAGAGCCATCATGGACTCCAAAGCCAATCAACGACGCGGAGTATCGAGCTGCATGTCTGGATCGGCGCGAGAGATACATCCTAGCACTTCAATCCTCGGGCGATGCTGGGTTCAACGACTACCTTCACTGGTACAGTGATCACCCACATTCATACCCTTTTAGACGCTGGGATCCCTGCAGCTGCACTCACACAGCCTCGACTGATTCATCTAGCAGTGTGCAATTCTCATCTTCTGAAAATGACGATAGAGAAGGTACGCTTGTGCCTTGTGTGGACACCGCCCAACCCAAGTCATACTGTGCAATTCGTCAAGCATTTTGGAACATTGATTCCACTCATTTCCGTTTAGAATCAGGATCTCCAGATAGTGCAAGCGCTGACGAAGAACGATCTTTTTTGTCCTACTCGACCCGCCGAGCCGAAGTCGTTTTCATTGGTGAAGAGGAATTTTGCAATGGTAGCATGGCGATTTGCTCATCGATGGTCGTTACGGCTATCACTTTGGCTGGGCTTTTGAAGTTAAGGAACATCATTTTCTAAGGAGACGCTTGTAGCGCTAGACGCTCTCTCAGATGTTGATGGTTTAAAGGTAAGTTCTCTAGAGTCGGATTTCGCATGCACAATCTTTTCTTTTTTACGCTAGGGTCCTGTCCAGCTGCTCCGGACTTCCGTTCACTTATCGGTTCATATAGCGCATGAGTAGTTGAACATCCACTCAAAATTCATTCTAATGAAAACACGAATATTTATCATCTCGCAATTGTAATGAGAACCAAGATTCGCGGAGTGACCCTGATGAAGTCGGCTCTGTGCACTGAGGCCTCGTGTTTGAACAGGCTCGCTCCGCAAAGACTAATGGTGCAGAGGTAATTCTCCGGCGACTTGTCTTGCGACACAGTGAAAGCTGAAAAAACACGAAAAGGAAGACATACGGTCACGACAAGACTGATGTGGCACGCATGCGATCGACCTGCTAATTACAGGGCGAGCGAATGGCATCGCGCTCTTGCTCAACTGGCGCTACGTCGCCGCCCCACTATTACTCCAAAGTGGGCCAGACAAATTTCTAGAGGCTTCTTCGCTCGAGCTTCCTATACATCTCCTCTTCATCTTCCATCCAACTCTTAAACCAAACCTTCTCTCTTTGCTAACTATCCAGCTGTACAATTTCGCACTGAAATAGGCGACCTACTCATAGTCTGCTTTAATTGTAAGTCAATCATCAACGCGCGCCGAGCCCTCGCTCCCCTTTGCTTTATGATGAAAAATCCAGCTGGCACCAGTCATAGAGTGACTTGTACTCCCTTCATTGATGACTATCATGCTGTGGTCTACCAGGCCATCCTGATCAAGCTACCCCAATTCCTCCTCTTTGCGCATTCATTGTTCAAGCCAGGCGCTAACACGCACTGTCGCAGGTCTGCTAGCTCTCATCGACACCGACTACCGAATCGTCAAGATGGTCCTGCACAACCCCAACAACTGGCACTGGGTCAACAAGGACGTGTCCGAATGGGCGCGCGAGTGGTTCAAGGACAATTGCCTCAAGCTCGAAGCTGCCAATGGCGACGTGACAGCCCGCATCTCGGGTCTCCAATCCATGGATGGCGACGTCGACGTCAGTCAGCGCAAGGGCAAGGTCATAACCATCTTCGACGTGAAGCTCGTCCTCGAATACTCTGGTAAATCACGCCCGTCGTAGAGGGGCCCCGTAGTGTTTCTTTTGTTCGTTCTGTCACCACCAGGCACTGACGCCTGTCGGTAGGGTCTGCTCCTGATGCCGCTGACGTATCCGGCTCCATTACCGTCCCCGAAATTGCCCACGACACAGAAGAGGACGAGTACGTGGTATGTCACCCTCCTCCTCTTCGTGTTTCCATCCAGTGACTGAATTTCGTTTTTTTCTGCGTCCTAGTTCGACGTGGATCTCTTCGCCGAGTCCAAGGAAAAGCAGCCCGTGAAAGCCCTCGTAAAGTCGGAGCTTGTGCCCAAGCTGCGCCAGATCTTCCAGAACCTCGCCCCAGCGGTCATCAGCTACCACGGAAAGGATATCCAGCATGCGCAGGGGTCGAATCCCTCAAGCGGCTTCTCCACGCCTAAGATGTACGAGAAGTCCGGCAGTACTAAACCTGCCACCACATCAACGACCCAGACCTCGAGCTCGTCCAAAGTCAACACAACCACGGTGACCGATTCCGTCGAATTCCGCACAACAGCGCAAGAAGCGTACCAGGTCTTTGTTGATCCGCAACGTATCGCCGCGTTCACCCGGGCGCCTCCCAAGGTTTTTGAGGGTGCGAAGAAGGGAGGCAAGTTCGAGCTGTTTGGCGGAAACGTGTCCGGCGAGTACTTGGAGCTCGATGAGCCTAAAAAGGTGGTCCAAAGCTGGCGGTTGGCGCAGTGGCCAGCTAACCACTACTCGACCCTCAAGATCGAGTTCGATCAGAACGATGTCGATCATGTGACCGTCATGCGGGTGACATGGGATGGTGTGCCCGTCGGACAGGAGGAGGTCACCAAGAGGAATTGGACGGAGTATTATGTCAAGAGCATCAAGCAGACATTTGGGTAAGCTCTGCACCCGTTCTCGTTGCAAAACGATACTGATCTTCACAGCTTCGGCACCATTCTATAAGCAGATGCCGCGCACATGCTCGGGGAGTACATTGGAACTGGAACTGTTATTCAATGTTATGGGGGGGGGGGGGGGGGGGGGGGGGATGATGGTCACGGATACAAAACCTAGCCGCGGGGGTTTGCATTTTCAGACGACGTAATTGAGAACATGTTGATTTTGAAGTGACACGAGA